AAAAAAAAAAAAAAAAAATTATAGGCGATTCCGTGCTCAGCAAATAAGGGTTTGAGGACATTTTGGGACCGTGTCTCAAGCACTGCCTGACCACTGCATGAAGATATAGGCTATGTTTCAATCTTAATCTGTTTCCAATTGGTCTACATTCACCCGTCCGCTACGTTACGGTCGTTCCAACCTACAATCTTGTCAAAGCACCTTGGAAAAAAACGATCTTCGGGCAGAGCGGAACCAGCACCAAATCGCATGGCTGACCGAGTAACTCAGAAAAAAAAAAACTTATTCTGAACTTGGTCCACCTAAATACGGCCTAGTCCATAAGCACGTTGTTCCGAATGCAATGACTGTCAATTCGACAACGATCCCTCATCAAGCTTTCATTTACTTGCAAGACACGTGGAGTAACTTTAAAGATAGAACATCCGCTATGTTGAAGAAGCGATGGGATATTCTCAACAAAATTAGTTTTGAGACCTTGTTTCAAATCTGGGTCTTTTAAATGACATAATGCAGCCAGCATGCCCAGAAAAAAAATTGTAGACACAAACGGATTAAAAATCAAAGGTTGTGGAAAAGAGGTTGAGCCATGATGATCACACGTGGTACTGAAAGGTTTGTGTACCTCAAAAAGCACCAATTATTAACAGATAATCAACCTGGTTAAGCCATCACCTGAAACACTTGCAAACATTCGTGAGGTAAATAATCTTGCCTACCGATTCTCGCCGTTTGAACAGGGACATTTATTATTATCCCAAATGTACATTTATGACAACTTCAATTCCATGGTAAATACCCCATGTCTATCCCTTTATTTCGACAGCGTTTGTTACTGGGTCTCGATGGTCACCAACACGCAACAGCTTTGTACGACGGAAAGACACGTCTGCCATCAACTTGTGTTCCTCCTTCCAAACGTTATCGTCCCAGCCCTGTGATGGCTTGTCTTTCTTCAGTTCCTCAATATATACACCATGCATGGGGTCTTCACCAGCCAGGTAAGCTCTTCTTGTATATGCATAGTCAACACTAGTACATTGATCCAGAACCTTGTCAGGAATAGTGAGGTTTTGAATAGCTTGAGGCATAACCACGAATTGAACTGCTAATCCAGCTTCCAAGTGCCACTATAAGTTCAAGGTTAGTCAAGGTGTTTGCATGGGTGTTCGATCATTCGATATTATCACGTACATCCATGTGACAGTGGAAAAACCATACTCCTGGGTGAGCATAAAATCTACAAAAAAGCATCGTGAATTTTTTTTTCATCACTACTCATACAACTGATAGATAGCCGACCTTATAACTGCCCAACCTCGTGGAGGTATAGTAGCTACGTCCCGCCGAACGGGATTTACGTAGTTCAAAAGATATTCGTGTTGGGTATAGTTGTAAGTGCCAGTTCCTGTTCCCATAAGGTAAAACTCCTGGCCATGCTATAGGTAGTAAGGTGATGATCATGTTGAGAATCCCCAATGTGTTTTTTAAAATGAAGGAACCAGCAAAGTTTGCTTACCAAGTGGAATGGGTGCTCATTACCGGTAGGTGTTCCTGTTCACCCACGCAGGTTGACGTGTGAGACAAGATGCTTGCAGCGCAAAAATAGTTTTAAAATTTACTTTTACCTTGTATGACGACCTGGATATACTGAGGTTCTTCGATGTGGTATATTAAATTATCGCCTGATAGACTATCCTGAACGCTCCACATATTCAATAATGTAGGTGAATTTGGATGGTTGTTGAAAGTGACATTGTTGAGGAATCCTAGGAATATTTTAGTGTTATTACGGAGGAAGGCAATTCAAAGACGAAATTGTCGGCTTACCTCGAAGCACGTTTTCTTTGTTTTTACCAAATCTCATGGATAAGGTGATCGACTGTGAGTACGATGGGGCAGCCTGTGGATAGTAATTTTCAAGGGCGCTTGGGTCCATATCTTGACAGTGGCGACCAGTGTCCTCGAGGTGGTGCATTGATTTTATGTATGTGTCCGTTCCATTTACGTACCGAACTGTACCAATTGCTTTCGGTAGTTCGGGAACCAAAACAACACCTGGTGTATAAAAGCATTGCCTATCCAGCTCTGCTCGCATATAATAATTTTGTGGAGTTTGGTTCGCCTCGACAATAACAGAGTATCGTTGACCAACATGAACAGTAATTCGATCTACTGTGTATTTTTTAAGATCGGTTCCATCGGCCTATGAAACAAGTGTTAGAGACCTTGGTCGAGTCATTGCCCATTATGTGGGTTCCGTTACCTCTATTATAGTTAGGGTATGGTTGTCAATGGAAAATATCGTGTTGGCAAAAGTTCTATCTCAGTAACCATAAATATTAGCATGTTTGTTGGGAAGTCATCCGGAAGAATTCGAGAACCAATAACTCTAAAGAGAATAATATTGCTTACCCTGTATTTAATAGTCTAAGTCGATAACGCTTTCCTGGCTCAAAATTGAGCGACTCAATATTGGTTACGTTCGACTCGCACGTTCTTCCCTCTGGTACATCAAGCAAGTTGCAATTCACATTGTTTTTGCCGTTAATTATGACATTGTCTGGGAAAGACTACAACAAGTCAATTCTCAGTTAGAAAACTCAATCATATTCAGGTGCTAAACAATTGATGGTCCCTACCTCTAGTGCACCTAACTTGCGCAACTCTCTTAGCATTGTAGGGGACTCCACATGGTAACTATATTTGAAAAATTAATGTCGTAAAACATCAGACTGAAGAGTTCATAAATTTTGAATAACTCACTAGTCAGATAGCATAAGTACACGCTCTTCGTCGTAGTCGTTGATATAAGGCTCGGCTTCGGGGTTGTGAATAACTAGCGGCCCATACAATCCTAAAAGAAGCATTTTTAAGTTTTGGAGCAGTGAATAGAGTTTCCTTTGTGCCACTATTTTGGATCATCCCTTGTTCTTTACCATCTGTATATTGTGCACCGCTGTGTGAATGCCTATATAAAATTTATGAGCACGAAATATAAAATCAAAAGTCCAATTGAGAAATTATCTTACCACCAAAATGTTCCCCAGCTTCCCGTAGTATTGAATTCATAAACATATCTACGGCCAGGTGGGATAGGGCAATTGGTGACTCCTACTACGCCATCCTCATACGGCGTATTTCTTTGTGTAATTCCATGCCAATGAATGCTGGTTGGTTCATCCAATAAGTTCGTAACATGCACTCTGATTACATCACCATGGATAGCTTCGATCTTTGGACCAGGAAATTGGTTGTTGACCGTCAGTAGAGTTCGACTCACGCCATCAGGAGACATGGTGCTGTTTCTAACTGTCCAGAAGTATTCACGAATGTGTGCAGCATTGACGTGTGTTGCGCATAACAACAGCGCTACTACGCAAAACGTCAATCTGGCTATGAAGTACATTAATCTCTAGTCAACTAGTGCACCGGAAAATAAAGAAAGAAAGAACAAGAAGAATAAATACTTAAGACAGAGGTATATAATTTAATTGCAAAATATTAAGCAGGCACTTATACCCAGTCTTGTAAAAGCAGCTTTGATTGATATATTTTGAAGTTGCGCTGAAAAATTCCCTATGGCCCGGATATAATTTTTCCATCAGCCCGAGCTGTAGAGAATGTATCAGTGCAAAAAGGCTTCGGTTAAAAACTGCCATCTCTATGCTTCCGCATCAAATATTCTATCTTTCCCAATATCAAAGTACTCGTCGTACTCAAACGAATTTACAGTTTATAATGTCTACGCTCTTATTTTGGTCTGAAATGTCCATCTTGAGCCGACTTGTTTGAGCTTATCCTGGTATATTGCATCCCTTCCTTTAACATTCACAAAAAATTTTAATAAAAAAATGTAAAAGTGCAGGAATAATTAATGTTTTAAAATTGAAAATTGTGTTAAGCTTAGCAAGTTAACAGTGCGATTTATGCGAATATAAGGACACATAAGGTATACTTCAATATAAGTATACTATATGGTTACACAAGAAAATAAGGAGCTATGGCCCAATGGACAAGGCGCTTGACTACGAATCAAGAGATTCCAGGTTCGACCCCTGGTAGCTTCATTTTTGAATTTTTTTCCATAAAAACCGTCTAGTTCAGTCGTTGCTTGTGTGTCAAAACAGCTTTTTTGCGTAAAAGCTATTAATCAAAGTTGACCGTCGAGGTATTTTAGTTTTAAAAACCTATTATAATCTTGATTTATTGTGTGAAGCATTCTCGAGGTTGCCGCTAACCAGCTTCGTCTAAAAAAAAAGGTACCGGAAGCCAATTCGTTTTGGCGGGAAGGGAAAGGTGCGAGTCACAGCCATCAAGCTCGTAAAAATTCGCGCGAGACACCGGCGCGGTCAGGACGCGTGGTTCATAATTTTCTACATCGATGAGCGCACAGCATTTCTTGGACACGCTGAGCAGACATGGACTAGACGAGGTAAAGACATTACAAGCTGATTTTAAATTGTCTCTTCAAGCTGTAGTACTGATTTCGAACTACGTTTAGTTTTATCCAAAGTGAGCTTACCCCTACTTACATCGTTGGAGCGAGCTTTCCCAGCTAACAGCCTTTATAACAGCTTTTCCACAGAAGGCATTACACAGTTAGAGAGTTTCATAGAGGTAGACACAGAAAAGAATTCTAAAATTGCAAAAAACAGTAATGTCTGAAGTGTTCTCTATTAGCTCTCTGTACAGGACTACGCAAACTATGGCATAAAAAGTGCAGACGATAAGAGAAAGTTCGTTGCTCTCGCCCAGACCCTCAAAAAAGAAGGAATTAGGCCAGCAAGCAATGAAAAATCTCCTCTTCCTCAGAAGCGGTCATCTTCTGTAGCACGACTCAATGCTTTCACCCCTCCTGAAAAGCAAGCACGACGCCTTACTTTAGGTGGCGAAAACCTCACACGAAGTCCCATTAAGACACCTCCTTCACGTAGATTGTCGTTTATACCCAAATCTGGAAGCCCCAGAAAGATACTTTCTCCAGCCAAACATTCACCTATATCTCACAAATCACCAAGCAAAGTCAAAACTCCTCCACGTATTGCACGAACAGCCATTCAAATCCAGCAAGCCTTAAAGTCTGTTTCCTTCAGCCCTACAAAGGATAAGCTACTTCAGCATGAGAGTAGCTCAGATGATGAAGAAGAATTGAAGAAGACAGTGGCGGCGCCTATTCTGGATACTTATGGCATCCCGACGGCATCCAGTCGATCTGGAAACTACTCTAAAACCAATGGAAACGTAAATAAGTCGCAAGCATCAATAGCAACATCTGGGTCAAGTGACTTGAATCAACGGATACGAGTGTGCGTACGCAAGAGGCCCCTTAGTCGTCGGGAAGTTGCGGCCGGCGAGAAGGATATTACGCCCGTTGCCGGTTCTCGCAGTATTAACGTCAATGCGCCAAAGTAAGCAATAAAGGGTCTTACAAAACGTACCTTATATGTACCCGTACTCATTGATATCAATTTTAGAGTCAAGCTGGATCTGACTCGATTTACAGAGCAGCACTCTTTTACGTTTGATGAAGTTTTCGATAGCAGTATCACCAACGCTCAGGTATTTGTCTACGTTTAACCTGAATTGAAATGAAATACAGCCATTGATGAGTGCTTTAGATATATCAACGAACAGCAAAACCTCTTGTACAGTATATATTCACAGGCGGCAAGGCAACCTGTTTTGCATAGTAAGTCCAAAATCTGGAATGTTGGTTATATTTCACTGGGTCGAGATTTTTGAACCTTTAATTCCTTGTATCATAGTGGCCAAACCGGTTCGGGAAAAACGTATACTATGTTGGACCAAGGCAGAGGATTATACGTTCAAGCGGCTCAAGATATATTTGCGATGCTTGCACGGGAAGAATACGCACACTTATCCGCTTGGGTCGGCTTCTATGAGATATACCAAGGACATCTATATGATTTGTTAAACGATCGCAAACGACTAATCCCTCGTGATGATGGAAATAATAACGTTGTCATATCCGGGTTGAAAGAATTTGCTATTGCGGACGTTGACCGTTTGTTCAAAGTTTTTGATCATGGAAGTCAAGCTAGGACTACAGGTAAGGACCGATGTAATGGCATGAAGGAAATGTGCAATGATCTAACGTTATTCTTTTGAAAGGCAAAACTGGAGCTAACAATAACTCATCTCGGTCTCATGCGGTACTGCAAATTTTACTGAAGCCAAAAAAGAATAGCTCTGTGATTGCTGGCAAATTGAGCTTTATTGACCTTGCGGGCAGTGAACGCGGTGCGGATCGAGGTGATGCCAACACAAAGACTAGGTAAAAATTGCATACAAAGACACGAGTATAAAGCAGTAATTGTCAGTAGACGAGTGCTAAAAAGAATTGCGTTGCCATAGAATGGAAGGAGCAGAAATCAACAAGAGTCTTCTTGCTCTGAAAGAGTGTATTCGTGCATTGGACCAGGACTCCAGACACACCCCATTTCGTGGTAGCAAACTTACTCAAGTGCTAAGAGACTCTTTTATTGGGAACTCGAGAACTTGTATGATTGCCACTATATCACCAAATGGATCAAACAGTGAACACACTTTGAATACTTTGCGTTATGCTGACAGGTAAACGTTGCCATTGCATTTTCAGAGTATAATAACTTATCTACTTGTTATTGACAATTTGTAATAGGGTGAAAGAGCTGAAAGGCGAGCAAGACGGAGGAGGCTCTTTCATTGAGGATGATCTGCAGGACGATTTCCAAGTCATGGCTGAACAAACTGCAGGATCAACAGAAGCTACAGACGGAACTTCGCTTGAGCAAGACAAGACTGATGCAGAAGAGGATCAGGTACTACAGGCTGACGGGCAAGAAAACATTTTTGACGAAGATTTTCCTCAGGAAGGCACCAAAAACGAGCTACTAGCAACACCTACCTCTCAACGCATACAAACACAAAGCATGGCCACACCACAGCGTCGACAACATTATTTGCGCAGATTGTCTTCTCCAACTGATCAAGTATTGAATGATCTGGCATCGACCACTAACGCCGACTCATCCACCAAGCCGAGCTGGCCATATTCGCACCGCAGTCCACCACTACCATCGGAGCGTCCAAATAATGATCAGATGCTAGACTTTGTTAAACTTCACCGAGCTCAAATACGAGAAATCACAGAATGTAGCAAGAAGGAAACAAAACTTTTGGCAACCTTCTCACTTGGACTATCCAGCACGCAACACTACGCAGAAGATGAGGCAGCTGCAAACAACGAGAAGATACTGGAAGAATTTGAGCAGTACTTGGGTGATTTGGATGAGCTTTTGCAACGCAAGGTAGCGTGCGCTGAAGCACTGCGCGATAAGATGCGCCAATTGCTAGGAGATGATGTACTTTGATGCGATCAGCAAATTGCTTAATTATCATTTTTGGTTTCAATGCAAGACCATCTAAATAATACAAATACAAAAAACTAATATCTATATCGTTAATTGAGCGGAATGAATGAGAGTAGATGTTCTCTATTTAAGTACTGTTTGTGCGTTTTGCTAGATTTGTAGATGGGGAGTCGTCGTCTGTCATGTTGATCAAATCATTTTCTGATGGATGGTTAGACTTGAGGACCTTGAAAAGAGTTTCCAGTTCCTTGATGAATTGCAATAATGCTCTCTGCTCGGTGTGGCCGAAGACGAATCCTACGATGAGAGCGACAGGTGCAATGAGTGCTGAAGCGATCAGCAGTATCTGCCCAAAAATCGTGACGAGAATGATAACAATATCACCACGGTCATTCAGTCTGAGACTGGTCGGCAAGGCAATGATGATCGCAAAAAGAACTATGATGGCAATTAGCGTGATCGCTAGTAGTCGCAAAAGAAATTTCGCGGTTCGCTTGGAATGATATTGATCGCTTCTGAGAGTTGCAAGAATACCATCCAGTGTGTCTTTTGTCAAGTTTGAGTATTGCGAATTATTGCTAACTACTTCATGTGTAACCTTGGCTGATATTTTGAATGTCGAGCAGACACCAAAATGGTCCGAATAGCTCTTTTCAGTACCTGGAATAGTTTCCGTCAAGACGACATTTGATTGGACACATTGCAGTTGAGGACTGCGTTCGTAGAAAATATAATCCAAGCGGTCTCCATACTTCTTTTTATGGGCAGATTTCTTCAAAAAGTGCTTTGACCAACTGTTTAGAGGAGAGTCGCATGTAACACCAAGGACATGAATGGCTGCTTCTGGAGTTAATTGTTCAATTTCAAGACTTGAAGGTATATTTGGCCCGTTCACTTCTTGCCAAGAGTCGCTCATTTTTCCATGCTCCGTTATCAGTCGATACGGATAGCTAGATGGAATAGCGTTAAAATCCCCAAGCTAATTCATAGATTGAAAATTAATAACATATCTTCATGGTCTTATCGTGTGGGAGAATGTCTTACAGCAATAACATGTCGACCAGACGCTGCAGAAGACCTGAATAGCTTGGTAAGTTCCCAGGCTTCCGTAATCCGATGCCCTTCATACTCCTTACGCCTTCCATATCCTGCGTGCAACTAGTAATTCAAATGGAGAGTCAGCACTAATAATTTCCATTATGGGGTTGGCCACTCAGAAAATGGCAAGCTTACATGTGTTGTATAAATATCGATCAAGCCAGCTTCTGGATGGTTTATACAGACAGACCCACATCCTTTACCGACATAAAAGTCTCCATGAAAGACTTTCAGGGGCCGGCCAGATAGAGCGTAGCGAAAGTATGATTGCTCTATGATTGGATATTTCGAAAGAATGGCGAGACCACTGCCCAGTGCTCCACTATGTCGGTGTTAGTTTTTGCGTGCGCTTGCTCCCTCCAAGTATAGGGCTAAGTTCTGCTTCCTACCTGTAGAAAAATTCTATACTTGGGTACTTGTTGGCCGCTACTGTTTTAAGATATTCAAAGTCATCCCACATCCAAAGTTCTTGAAGGGCTACTACATCGTAATTGGTAGATGCTATGTAGTCGGCAATCGCATGTAACCGGAATTCTCTTTCCTTCGAAACCATAAACAAGCCCCTATAACAAAGTCAGTACCAGAGTATAAAGTTCTTCCACACATATAACTATTACCTACCAACAATTTAGAGAAAGTACGGATAGTGTGGACATTGTAAATGTTGAGTCCTGGGACATAAAGGTGTTCAAATTTTGGACCAGCCAAAAATTTTAAAAAAAGAAATTTTGTGTCAGCCCTGAGACCTGCCTCCAGCCATTCTCGCTCTGGTTCTCTTCATTAATTTGAAAGGACCATGAGAAAGCGCAATTCTCAACCTGTTCCCAAAGAAAAAGGGAACAAGAGGAAAAAGGTCATACTGGAAAACAGCCAACGTACGCTAGAGTCATTCTTTCAAAAGCGGCAATTCTCTGAGGAGACCAGTGCTTGTACATCGCCAATCGAAGGTGACGATCATAATGACACGAACAGCACAACGCGCACTCTCGAGATTATTCCAGATGATAGCGAAAGCGACCTTCTGCTACTAGAAAAGCTTGTGAAATCCAATTCGGGTGATCCCTTGGAAAGTCAGTCCAATAGCTCTGTTCCTGGTTCGTCAGTCGTCGACGCCATATCCATTGATGAAATCCAGCCTTTTTTTGCCACCTCAATGTACACTGATGAATTTGATAAAATTATGGAAACTGTGCTGGAGAACGAGAAATATCTCTTCACGGATGAAGAACTCCAAATTGCTGAGAAGCATCGCGTCCTACATATCGAGGCCAAGCATCTGTTTGTGCGCATCTTTTTGCGGAAACACAAGTGGATACGACTGCGTAAAACAGATTATTCTCGTAATATTGCAGATATCAATCATGCCAGCAGCATTCTATGCAGTCGGCAAATAAAGTTTGCACGCGATGAAACCGAGCTCGTCGACCTCGCTCACTTGCTTGATATACTACTCGTGGATGAGCTTAAAGCGCTTATACAAAATTCACGAATCTCAATACCCAGAGGCTCAGCACAAAATGTAGGTATACTTCACAGTCCTTTATTAGTTATAAATTGATCTTAATGAACTTTCTATCTCTGGTTTCAAGCGTTGTAGCCTCATCAATTGCATTCTTGATTATGCTAACGGAAAGCAGCGTCCGAGTCCACTTAAAGACAACTCACAAAGGTTGCTGGCATTTGAGCAAAAGACGAAGGACGATGGTTTTACTGAGAAGGGAGCGCAAGAAAGAGTACAGCTCTTGATATCGGATGTCAAGACTATGATTGGTATGTGACAAATTAAAACCCAATCTCACAATGTTTGAACCAGGACTAATATCTACTTGACGATCAAGGGCCTTGCATAATACTGGAAGAAACTATACGAACATTGTTTGAAAAAATTCAATTTGTATATTATCGAGCAAGCAGTCAATCGAATGTTAGTGCAATGACAGCGGCAATTCTAGTTCGTACTTCTCGGAGAACTTTTCCATCCTATATTGTATGTAGATCAAACAATTTTTGGCCACATCGAGATGACCTACTGGAGTACTATCAAGCTGTAAAAGTATATCAAGGATTCAAAGATATGATCGAGGACTTGTACGCAAATCGTAAGAATGAGAGAGCCCAGAGTGCCGAACAATGGCGATGCAAGGAAGTTGAGGTGCTGACCATAGCTTGGCTGCAATGTGAGAGTACCCTAGAAAATTGGAAAATTATCATCAAGAAACAAGAGGCCAAAGTAACCTCGGACGATGATTGGGATACGGCGCGTCTCTACTTCCGGAAGCGGTTTGAAGCTGGTACGTAATATTCTTGTATGAGACTACTGGTAATGGTTATTGATCCTCGCTCAACAGGTTGGGTTTACACTCATATGATTGAGGATGGCGCTGAGGTGTTAGGCCGGTTACATGAATATGAGAAGGAGGTCCTTATTTTGAAGACTTTGCTTGGTCAAAACGTGTACCGCCTGGGAAAACGAGGAGCTTGGTTCGACAGACTTGCCTTGGTGCAAATGAACCATCTTCGCAGTGGAAATCGCCGAATACATCTCAAAGCCGCTTTGGAAACCTGTACCAAAGCTATTCGAGACCCCAAAGTCCATCTAGGTAATTGTTATGTCTTTGTAGAGGTAAAGTTGCTGCTTATAATGTTTCTGATTATGATACAGTTTATATGTCGTCGTTGCAACGACGAATCATGCGATTGGAAAGCATGTTAAATGTACCAAAGAGAGAACAACACGACTTTTTCTACAACAGACTTACCACTGCTACGGAAAGAATCATCTACGGTAAATATACCATATCAATCTATGAGAGGTTTTTGCTCATCTGACAATGTTATATAGGGGAACGCTTATCTGATGCTGTGGTTGGAGTTAAATCTGTGTTCCGGAATAATGATGGAGGAGAATGTTCAGTCGAGGAGCTGGCTCTTGGCTACTACAATAAGAATGGATACAAGGGGTAAGTGAAGTCAACAACCTTTATCAAAGCTACATATGTCATAACGATGTATCCTCTGTTAGTTTCCATTCTGAAAATGGCATCATCAAAACAATAGTGAGTCTTCTGAGATATCATGCGTTGAACTCGACCAGCAAACTGACTACATTATTGACTATCCACGTATTAGTTTGGGCTATTGTTCTGGGATATTTTATTTGCCCCTTTTCCTGATGTCCTGGAAACGCCATTCCAAACTGCACCATTGGATTTGCCAACTGATGCCTTCTTTATTGGTTAGTCTGACTTCGGTTAATGTAATTGCTTGTACAACGACGTATGTGTTGACAATTTCGCAACAATAGGCAGATCCTATGAGATATATACCAGATTGCGAGAGCTATCCAACGGAAAAGGTCTAGAGATATTGAAAACGGTCTATGATCGCGAAAGCAAAGCCAAAACGTGGTGCATCGGTGTCACATGGGATTATGAATTGGATGATCTTTTGCAGATAACTGAAGTATGTTAAAGTAAACGTGAATGATGAGCCCTGAGATATATACTAAACTTTACTCTGTAGTGTATTGGAGCGAATGCTTTAGCCCAAATTTGCAAGGTTTTTGCGGAGGAGTATGACCATCGAACAGGTGGCATGCCAGACCTATGGTAGGTGGTGAATGCAACAATGGAAATATTTTATGCGGTGTCTAAGCGAAATCATAGCTGTTGGAATTACGAGAAGAGGGAATGCTTGTTTGTTGAAGGTAAGGGATGGAAGCTTTTGCACAGGTCACTTTTTGACAGGGAACTCATGATCCAAATTTTGAAGTCAAAGGTCCAGGCGACATCCTTTCGGAAACACAAAAGGTATAACATAGCAAAGGAACTAATGATGAGATGATCGTACTTATAACCCAAACTCATTGCTTTCTTAAGGTGTGGATCGATTTGTTGATTAACTCCGGAGTAGGCGTAGAACTCTGCCATATTAAGATATGGGACGGGGAAGACGAGTTGCTCAATCATTGATATACATTTCGTTTGCTAATCTCTAACATATGATATAAACCTAATTCAAATGATCATTTAATATGTAAATGGAAGATAGATTTATTTCTTACTCGGAACCATTGATGGTTAGAAAACGTGGTGCTAATATACTGTCATGGGCCAATAAGGCAAAAAAAAAGTTGGACGCCGCTGTCACATGATACGTCAAAAGAGACGGTGCTTGTTGATTCGATCCAGTCACTACTCAATTACAGTAGATATGAGCAACGACGACGAGCTTCGTGAAGCAGTGGCAAACGCTTTAGGAAACCCTGAAGAGGATACCATTGCAGCTGGTGCTGAAGTAGAGACTGTGCCTTCGGGCGAAACGCTTGACGAAATGCTGACACGCCACCGAAAGGAGATCAGACAGCTCAATGCGGAAACGACTGCTCTAAAGAAAACTGCGACAAAAGGTGAAAAGAAGAAGAAGAAAGAAGTTTTAACTCAAATTGCTTTGATGGAAAGCGAAATGAACAAAAGACACGAGGAAGAGCTACGGCAGCACCAGCGTGTGGCAGGAGATCCTGCCAATGTAGAACCAGAACAAGAGGACGAGGTTAGTGAAGAAATGTTTTATATTTGTAGTTAGCGATAAAATCCCATGCTAACTGTGAAAACATTCAGCTCAATGACGGAATATCGTTGGACCGTCTGAACGAGCTCACTATAGAAGAGGGTCTCGCAGCGCCAATCGCAACACCTGAACTCAGCGACAGTAAAAGTCGAAACAAGAAACCTAACAGACAAAAGCAGAGGAAGGAGAGGAAGGAAGCACAGATTCAAAAAATGCGCGACGAAGCGGACAAGGAAGCTGAAGGTCAAGTCGATCGAGGTCAACTTGAAAGCGAAGCTATAAAGGAGCTGCTTGTTCCCATGCGCCTGCGTGTATCCGAGGTATGTCACGTTGATTTTGCTTGGCTTAGCCGTTGATTTGTATGTATCTCACCATTTTCCATATGAAAAAACGTCTACGGAAAGGTGGCTGCTGATGGACACTGGTATGTGCATATCATAATCAAAATGCTTTTGTAAGACACTTGCTTACCCATCCATTGGTTTACCCTTAGCTTGTATAATGCCGTTTCTGATCAACTTGCAGCAAGATATAAGGTCAACGTAAGTAGCTGTACAAGGGACTTTGGTCGTGAGGTACAAGTCGACTAACCCACGGATTCAGGCAACCTATAAAGAACTTCGAAAAGAAGCAGCTGACTATATTCGAGGACATCCTGACGATTTCATTCCGTTCTTGTACAAAGATGATGGAGGCATGTATACCAATGGTAAGTTGATAATTGCTAATGGGCATGGCATGAAGAGCAGGATGAACTGATTTAAATTTGATACTTGCCAGATGATTTGAAACAATATTGTGATGAACTTGAAAATACTGCAGTCTGGGGTGGTCAATTAGAGGTAAGCCAGCCGTAATATATGAACGAATGGCTGATAAAGGTAGTTAACCTAGATATTGCATCTAGATTTTGGCGCTTTCCAAGACTCGAAAGGCACCCTTCCATATTATTCAAATGGGATCGCCTGTACTGAAGATTTCCGATGACGAGTTTCCTTCAAATCAGCCCATCAAGCTTGCGTAAGTACTTGTTTGGAATAGTGAACTCTATTGTGCCTATGAACGCTGACATTTTTCTTCTTCCCATCTTTTCTTTTTCTTAGATATCACAAGTACCTTTACTCACTTGGTGAGCATTACAACTCACTACTAGATGTATAGTATAGTACATATCTTATTTATAACATGTAACCGGCGTATATGGCCAATCGGACAAAACACATTTGAGGTTAACTGGTTGATGTGATGGTTGGACACTGTGAATCACTAGTGTTCGAACAATTTGTGTTGGGCATAGTTGGCTTTATTTGATATATAACGCTGGAGGCATTAAATATCTGAGCTACTGTACTAAAATGTCTTCGCCTCAATCTTGCTTTTTGGCCTTCGCAGCTTCTTCCTTAGCGGCAATGTCAAGCAATTTACTTTCTAGCTTCTTTATACGCTCCTCTAGCTTTTCAATTGTTTCATGACCAACTTTCTCGCCACCTGAAGACGACTCCTGCAGTGATTTGAGCTTGCGATCCAGCCAAGGGTAGTCGTCTTTCGCGATGAGTGCACGGGAGGCGTCAATATCATCGTACGAATTCTTCACTTTCAAATTGACCAACTCTGCCACGGACTGTTTACGAACGTATCCATTATCGTCCCTCAACAACTCCACTATACCAAGAGTATCGGATATTAGTATGATGTCACTTCATTGCAGTTACGGAAGATTTGCATTACCTAGCTTATCAATTGCCATTCGCTTGTAGCGATCCTCTTGCCATTGGGCAGACTCTCTAATCGCTTTGACTAAGGCTTGTCTTGCACGAGGGTTCTCGAGACCGATGTCAGCACGAGAGATAAGATATTTGAAACTTTCCTCGCTGCGGTGATATCCCAAGGCTGTAAGATTGCTAATGTCAGATCTTTCTGAAAGGATATACATATGAAGCATGACTAGAACCAATCAATTACCTTTTAATGCACCACCTCGAATCAAGCCAAATTGTCCAACTTTTGACTCATCCTTAGCAACTTCCAGTAGATAGGGCAAGTCTTTTTCATTGTGCTGATATCCCAACACAGCTAAAGCAGAAGCATGCGCTCTTACAACACAGCGTTAATATAATACATTCAAGGATAAGCATTTCATATTACATATCAGGTGACATACCGGTACGGCAAATTATCACGCTTCAGCACTTTCAAAGCTGCTTCGCGAATGTTCTTGTCGGCTATGAAACAGTTATCGAAGACAGAGTACATGGCATTGGGATCTTGTTCATTAGCGAATAATTCAGCAAGGATCTCCAAGGCAAATGGAGTTTTGAGCTTGGAAAGAGCATCGGAAACTGCATAAGAATGAATTAAAATTGAGGTTTGTGTGAAGGAATAAATAAACAAAAGACTTACCGTGAATGCGAACAGAGTAGAAAGACTCTTCCTTGATAAGTTTACGGACAGTCTTTAAAGAAGCGCGCGTACCAGTTTTGACAAGTTCGTAGTAAGCATGTATTCTGTTCATAATATCCTTTGCGCTTTTCGCAGTGTTCTCGAGAATATCTTCGTCCGCATTCAATTCTAGAGTGAACAGTACTTTTCCATTGGGATCGATGCGTAGAACATGGGGGCTAACATCTTTAGGAAGAGGTATAAAAGCAACGATCTTGTTCTCTCTGTCAAATTCGGCGACGGTGGAGTAAACATTGCCTTTTTCATCAGCGACTTCAATTTCCAACGGAAGGGCAAATAATGGAACGCCATTCTTCTTGTCTACCTGTGTCTGAGACAATGAAATTTTCACCAAGTTTGCTTGCTTATCAAAGCTATAATCAGCTTTAATCTTAGGATAGCCTTTAGAATAGATCCATTCGTCAAAGAACCTCGTTAAATTCAAACCAGATGCTTCTTCGAGCGCAGCTTGGAAATCGCTGGTCTGTACAGTCTTTTGTGCAAATTTGTTGACATACGCTTTCACACCATTCCAAAAAGCATCCTCTCCCAAAAGACATCTCAGCATATGAATACGCCAGGCACCTCCAGGGTAAGTATGCATATCGAAAATGTCCCAGGATGAGTCGTATTTGCGTGTGACTATTGGTCGCTATTAAACATGTCACTCTTTGTTAGCGACGAGCATACAGTATGATCGATCGTTCCGTAGGCCTTACCATGTAGCGATCGCATTCGTCAAAATAGCTATATGCATTTTCGATCATTTCGTTACGGAATACATCTTCGGAATGGTGATCTTGCAGCCAACCTGTAGCGATAGATATTAGAAATTTCATCGCTTTGTATTACCAAATTTGTTAGATGAAAACCTACATGACTCAATGTATGTTGCCCAACTTTCCTGTTAATTGAAAAACGAGATGATATCAGTATCTTCTTGCAATCTTCGTGTAAACCTTCCAATTCAATACCTTGAGCCAGGCATGTTCAAAATGGCGAATAACCAACAAATCGCCAAAATAGGTGTGCGCTAAAACAGTCAAGTTAGAATATACGAATAATCAGATGAAAGCGACCATTGTCACGACGCATACCCATTTCGTGAATGTTGACACAATCAGTCAGTTGTTTTCTTTCAAGTGCGTTCGTTTCGTCAATAGCGAAGGTGTCAACCCATGTGACCTATATATTGATTTAGTCAGAATTAAAATTTGAAGAGGTAAGCCAAGTACAATTATCATTACCAGCGAGATGTTCTCCATAGCTCCAAGAATAGAGGGTAAAGCGATCTGATAATACTTTGGCCATGGAACTATGAGAGTCCATAGAGAAGAAGGTGAGTCATACAATTCATTCAAGAGTGAACAGTAGAGAAATCGGGAATATGGATGCATACAAGGATACCCAACCTTCTTTTGGAGCCACTTGATCATGGATGGAGTCTCATTGAATCCTCTTCTGACATCGTCTTCCTTACGACTTTTGGCAGCAAAGTACTATGTATGCCCATAAATAAACAAATCAATGCTTCATGGCAGTTTGATAAAGAAAGTTTCGCCCCATACCTTTATGGGTTTGCCGTCCACTTCGCCATCATCAACCTCAATAAGATCGCCTACTGCGAAACATGTAAGGTAAGATGGGCTGCAATGATTTTGAGTTAGACATGTAGCTACAGTACAGACATCTGGAATACAACATCTTCTTACCAGCGATGGTCCAGCTTCCAGTGAGTTGTCTTAAAACCGTCCTTCACATCTTCTCCAACGAAAGCTCCATTGGCCATAGAAGTGAATCTCTCGGGAGCAGTGATGTGCCACGACAGAGTGGTACGAACTGTGGGAAAATCGACGGTTGCAAGCCAGTATCGCGCTCTACGGAGAAGGGGAGGGTTTGTTATTGCTTACAGATCTTGCGCACAATAAAGTATTTCTTCACTTACTTTTCAGTCTCATGGTCTGTAATAGCCCATTCATCGGTAGTTCCAGGCATCCAGTCCCTGCGATCAAAGAGTAACCCAGATACAGGGTGATCCACGCCGTATTCGAGGGTTACAGTCCGCTCGCTCTGAGCCTCGAAGGGAGAGTCCCAATAAAGCTTAATTTCCTTCCCATCATAAGAGTGCGAAACACCTTTGCCTTCAACTCGAAGGGCCTCAAAGGCAACACCGTTCAATACTATTTGGGAACGCTCCTTCAATGGGGCAATGCTCGAGCTATTGTTACTGCGGAAGGTATGGGTAACTTTAACTTGAGCAGATTTGGACGATAAGTCCTTGAAATAGACGGATATGTCTATAGGTTTTCATGGAAAGCTTAGCGTCATGCGAGAACGCGTCAGCGTTTCAAATGTGAGTTACCGATTCACGATAACTTACCTAAGTGGACAGGCTCGATCACCAAATGAGGAGCATAATGATTTACAGCACTAGAGGAGACAAATCCAGTAGGACCGGACGACGATTGGCCGTTACGATTGCAGCAGAGATGAGGCATGTAGAGTTAGTTTGCAGACTGTCGAGGTACTAACGAAGGGTTTTTGAACGTACTGCTTTCGCAGAAAATTTCCATAAATGGTCATGTTAGTTTGCCTGAAGCAACTTGTCCGACAGCTGAGCAGCAAAAATTGGCGGACAAACGCAGCAAATACATGCACCTAAAGTTTTTCACACGGAGGAAGCTATGCAACGAAGGAAACAGAATTTCCCTTAGACTAGCATATCAATTTGGGCAAATTCATTAACACGTTGCTGACAATTTCAAAAGCTCACTGGTTGACTAGTGTTCCCAGGGCATATCGCGCAATTTTGTTTTCTCGGCAATCATATTCGAGCGCCGTCGTACCGTATTCTTCAGGAAATGCACCGATTATGCAAAAGGGTTTCATAAACTCAGTAATGGTTGCAGATCATAAAACTGCACACCCTCAGTTGCGTGAAGGCAGCGCTCAAGACAGCTTCATCTTCGTCCAGCACAATTAACGTCATCAAATCCAGGGGTCTCAAAAGTCTGTCACACTGAAGATAAATATCATGACATGCAATCCAATTTGAAGTAATATCCAACAATTCGATTGACGACTACAATGGTTATAGTGGGTTGTCGTTCAAAGCAATGCGTTACAACATAGAGCTTAATACTTCTGATTGTAACCAACAGCTAATAACGTTTATTAACTTGGTTATGTCATGAAGTCAATCAACTATGAATTGACAGGTCCTTTATAATCCTACGGCTTCAACAATTTTTCCTTTGCATTTAGCAAAACGTTCTGCTTGAATACATGAAGTCACATTATTTGCTGCTATCAGCTGCAATTTTTGTGGAATTTTCGCTCTCAAATGCTTCCTCACCATCAATCGACATGAATGCAAACCATAAACGCTTTACAGTTGATAGATTTTGGAAAAGACTTGCTGATAGGAGTCAGGCTCCAAAAGGCGATGATACAAAGCATATGACCAACATCTTGAACAAGATATCCAGTGAATCAGCTCCTGATTCTTTTAAAAAGATTGAACACCCATACACCAGCCCTTATGCAAATGAATCTTTCGATGGCATAATACCGACCAACTCGTGGATAAGTAATCTATTCTATCCCAGCGTAAATAATATTGCACCGACTACATCAGATCCATACATTTTGCGTATGCTAGATGATTATGGAGGAAATCCGGGGCTAAGCATACGGCAGCCTTCCAAGAAAATTTATGGGCAGTACGAAGCCCAAAACAATGTTCCAAAAACTGACGAAGGATTTTTCATCAATCCACAAAACGTCGACCTAAGATTTACAGCCTCTGAGTGGGATAATAGTTCCTCCGTAGAACCAAGTCTAATCAGCTGGGATTTATTTTCCGCAACCCTGAGGCTGCAAACTTCAGGGAATGATCAGCAATACATTGACTTCCCCATCGTGAGAGGAATGGCGTACGTCACTGCTAATTATGTCGATTTGACACCACAATTCTTCAGCCAAAATGCTATTATTGAAATAACAGCCGACAAAAAAGCCAACAACACATATCAAGGGCGCAAATTCAAGCTCAAATTTAATGATAATCCAACATCGTACTTTCTCATTTACGCTCTAGGAGATGAAGACCTTGTGCTAAAAAAAACTGACGATCGCAATTTGGTGGCCCACAAGACATACAACGGAATAATCAGAATAGCAAAAGTTCTAGACGACGAAGCATTTGAAGATCTTTTAGATGACAGAGTGGAGGTCTGGCCAATTGGAGCAAAACTAAGCGCCGAGTCGAACGGGTAAATTATCATCATATTGTGCTAAAATGAAAATGAGAATGTAATGATTGACAGTTGTATGCCTCTGATAGACAGCACTCTTCGTATTCCATAGAATGGAAACTAGAAAACGATGATGGAAAAGGGGTTCTTCAGTATGCATATCCTCATCATATAGACACTATGGAGCGTAAAGGTGTCAAGATCACCAAATTTCAGCTTGCTTCATCTGCCAAAGGGCTCATGACAGGTGTCATTGGCAACAAGTGGTCTTTGACTGAATCAGAGCTTAGTGAGGTAACTTGGCTACCAGAAAATGCAGAACCGGAAAAGAGTACAATCGATGATATTATAGACATCGTAAAAAAAGAGATCGGCGTTGACTATGACAGTGAAACTCTTTTGGCAGACAATTATTTCTCGGGCAAAGCATTGCAAAAATTTGCACTCATTTCTCTGATGCTCAATTCTCCCGAAACCAAATTAAACAAGCCTGAGTTGGCCAAGAAATCTCTTCAGAAACTCCAGTCAGCATTTCTTCCTTACCTAAATAACAAGCAGCGAGATCCATTTTTATACGACACGTTGTACCGCGGTATCGTGGCTCGGAGTGGACTGCCGGTAAAAGAAGGTGGTACTGGTGATCCAAATGCCGCCTTCGGCCACTCCTATTATAACGATCATCATTACCATCAAGGATACTTCGTGGTAGCAGGTACGCAAAAAACGATCGATGACTAGAATAGAGTCCGATTAACATTGTATAGTCAAGCTTATTAAGTTATCAACGTTCCTTAGCTGCCATTATTCGCCACCTTGATCCTGGCTGGAATTCAAAAGAACTTACAAGATGGACAGAAACTCTCATTAGGGACGCTAATAATCCGTCAACCGACGATAAAAAATACCCTCTTTTCAGAACGTGGGATTGGTTTGCGGGGCACAGTTGGGCAGGAGGTATAAAGATTAACGGCGCACTGGACGGTAGAGATCAGGAATCGGTTCCAGAGGTAAAGCTTTTAAGGACCATCTAATGTTTAATGTTAAAGTGGAAACCAATTTCTAATTGTTCCCTTTTTGCGTTTATGTAGTCTATCAACTTTCTCTGGGGAGTCAAACTATGGGGTCTAGCCAACAAAAACGAAAACTTAGTAAATTTAGCCAATTTGCAACTGGCCCTGTCAAAGCGCACAGCATACGACTACTTTTGGCTCAAAGATGATAACAAGATTATGCCCAGCGGTATTGTCAAGAACAAGGTCGTAGGCATATATTTCGAACAAAAAGCTGATTATGTAAGTAACATAAAATTTTGAAGACTATCGTTGACTCTCTATGATCCTAATGGTGATCACAGACAACCTATTTCGGACGTTACCTGGAGTACATCCACGGCATTCAGCAACTTCCTATGACTCCAGAGCTGGGAGAATACATCAAAGATCCCGAATTTGTAAGTATCAAACTTTTGAAATTGGAAAAAGATTCACTGTATAACAATGATCATTATATATAGGTAAAGCAAGAATGGGACCAAAAGCTTGATCGAGTGCTGGATAAGGTACAAGGAGGCTGGAAGGGAGTTCTATTAGCAAATTATGCTATAATCAATCCCACAGCAGCTTATCCTCAACTACGGACAGCTACTATGGATGGAGGCCAGTCCAGGGCTTTCTCTATGTACTTTGCTGCTACTAGGACAAACTTCAAAAAAATAGGTATGTCAAATTTCAAATGATGATTGCATGATGCAACTGTATTAATCGTCAAACCTTTCCAAACATTGATAGGCACGAGTAGATACGCGGGCAATACTAGTCCCAAGGCATCTAAAGAAGACAACTAAATGCAAGGTACATAAATATTGAAGACTATACCACAACGACTCGGAAAACTTGAGAAGGCAACTTAATAAATCCAAAATGGTTGAGAATATGTACAAAAGGGATTAAGTCATGACTACATTTGTTTGTGGCATTTCGATGACATTGAGCAGCAATGACGCTACTGCATACATATTATCGCGATAGCTCTTTAATAAAAGTATAGAGAATTGAAAAAAGTTAATAGTATTACAATAATGAGGAAAGTCGTAATGTTTACGCAAGCGTTCATGGAGCTATCCAATTCTACACTTTATACGAATTTTTGGTCATGCATATTGATTTTATAAGCTCTCTGTCTGCATTCGCGCCATGATCGATGTTCACTAACATCGATAGCTACTGCTTTCCAAGCCTGCTTGAACAGCTTGGCATGCTTCTTCATTGCTATACACAGCAACTGATCTTCTTTATCATGCCATTCTCTTTGGTGTATTTCACTTGTCTGTAACGTTTTAAAACGTCCCCAACAACAGCCTCTTGATCGATGAGGTAAATACCTGGCAGATATCAAGGCCCATGATAGGCCTTGTTCGTAGCCTTGCCGCAACAGATGATCTTCCTCAGGTCGCCAAGGAACTCTAGTTTGAATATATTGTCTGTTTCTCACTCTGGTCGGCGGAGATAGGCTTTCTGACGAACTGATATCACTTGCGGGATCGGCGTGCCTTTGAGAACCTGTCGGGGTATCTGGATTGGCATACAAGCTACTTCGCTTGTCGGTGTCGGTGCGCTGCGGCTTTGTACACAGTAAGTCTTTAATATCCATTCAATGAATTTTTTTTTTTTTTTCAAAAAAAAAAGAAAGAATTCAGAATGTGGAAACGTGGGAGATGGGTACTCTAGTTGTAAGAAAAGAAACAAAGCAAGCAGCTAGATGAATGAGGGAAACGAGATAAAAAAGAAAACAAAAAAGAAAAAGAGAAGAGAATATTGTCAGGAACCTGTTGTCAAACCCTTGTTGTTCTCGAGATACAAATATATTTACTTGACTGGCGTGCTTTCACTACCAAACGGATCGATCATGATGTCCATCCCACCGTAACCTTACAAGCCCTTTCATCTCATCTGTGGCTGTCACCAAATGCACAGCATTCATGTATGGGATTTACGGCTTTTGTTTGTCAATTACGAACGATCGCCAATTTACCGCGTGGACACTCGTGAACTGTGCAACCAACACACATTTTTATTTTGTATCTCCTGATCCATCTACTTTTGCACCACCTTCTTGTCAAGAACTTACGCCGATAGAATAAGTCGGTGACTACACTTTGAGCGCGGGGGTTATGCTAGGAGACATAGGGATACCACTAAACCATTTCGTGTATTCACAATCCCTGCAGTCAATCACAAAATATCCCAAATTAGGGCGTTGTAATGTATCATAGCGAGGATTGCTTTGCCTGTGTAAAATATCAAATGAAGGTATGGGAATTCAAAGATAGATCTTCATGGCATTGATAAGAGTTCGATATAGAAACATCGTCCATTGATTAGACTTTTCAATCTCCATAGATGGTAATTTGCATAGGGATGACAGTATTCCGAAATCTCATTCGAAAGAAGGATAGACAGGCGTACACGTAAGGAGTAGACCATAGATGGAATCTACACCACATGCTACGAAAAAGAATGGTTAACAAGAAATACCGTTTTACACTGTGAAGGAGATTTCTCCAGAATGTTGAATTCCCATGCTGGGATGTTGATCGACAGATCAAATAAACCTCAGCTTGAAGCCTCCTCCTTCAACCCCTCTAGTGCTGTTTTCTTATTTCTACATGCCAGTATTGGAACACTAGCAAATGTGATAAAAATTTTTGGTTTACCACCCCTCGCATACACCCTCATCGTACTAACCAGTCGAGTTAATGACGGCCTACTCATTGTATTGATATCAAACATTACCAATGATGTGGGCTCTTAAGATTATTTACGGTACTCAATCAATCCCTGATAAACAGCGCGACAACAAGAGAACGCTTGAGTCTATTTTATTTTGGTAACACCTTGTGTATTCCCTTCATTACTGTTTGAAGAAGTTGGTAACTATTTTCTCATTTTTCAAGCTGCTTGGAAAGAAATCTGCTCAGAATAATCGTCAGATGATACGCTAAGTAAGCGTGGTTAGCCTATTCTGGCCAGATTGCCAACCTCTGAATGTATGAGGTGGCAATCCTCAATGCTAACATCAACACTCCTTAGTGATGCGGTAGCACATGGATACACTGGCTTCTGAAGGCGATCGAGTCATTCTTGAACATTATCCACCACAGTAAAGCTCCAAATTTCCACATTTCAGTGTTCCCTACAGAATGCCTGCTTGACATTTTTCAGATTTTTGACAAGATTGTTTGCTCTTTCAGGGGTTGCTTAACTTTGTTGCATTAAAATGGGTTAACACTCATAACTGTAAACTATACGGAAGCTACAGTAGTAAGTATCCGGTGACTTTCAGCTACTTCGTTAAAAAATCTTGCATCATAAGCTATGACCGTTGCCGCAACAGCTAATGTCGGCTTTATTAAAAACTACTGCTCAAATATGTTACAAAAGTCGAAGTATAATACTAGGGTGTTCGGGGCTCTCCTGGTTTATTCGTTTTTATTTGATCGATGAGCGCCAACATATACTGGTCTTCCGGACGGTGTAAACTACATGAAATTGAGAAGTGAATGTTAGAAACCTTGGCCCAAGAGCTGTATGTCCGGCATTCTTAGCTTACTTGATAGTTATCGTCAAATATCAATCCACTGGGTATAATTTCACTCCTGTAAAAATCTAGAAGGAAAGCATGTCAACGACAAATTTGCGTCTTCCCTCTCATACGGATGGTGAACATGACATACTGCTACACTGATAGCCGACGCTAATTTACAAGAAAGAGATAATTATTAACTTCCGTCGTACAACTTGTAATCGTATCATGCAGCATCTGGTTTCTGTATTTACCGGTGTGAAATATAACTTGCAAATATGCCCCACTATGATATGAAAATGGTGGGTCAATACAAATGGCCATATTTTGTGTATCGCATTACCATGTCATGATATTGAATGCTAACCTTATCTCCGCATCCATGCTCCTTCGCAAGCTAATTCAAAGTTAGTAGGAGATGATTGAAATCAATTTGACTTGACAGCTTACTTCAAGAAATATAGATTTTTCATCCTCAGTCCAGTCACCAGTCCATTGTTCCTAATGTCATCATAATCAGTTCCTGGACATGCTTGTTTCCACGCACAAACATAACTTACGATTCCTGGTTCATTATGTCGGTAGAAATACATGTTTGGATTCTTTTTCCACATCATCTGCGCTATCGCCTGTAACCAGCGTTAAAGGTATGTCCAAAAAAAAAAGTGCGTCGTGAAACGAACCTTTGCACTTGTTCTTTGCGACCTGCCAGTGGATTTCTTGCCAGTGCCCAGTGGGTCCTTGTAAGAAAATTTGCCACCTCCGTTCTTTTCCCAGCAGTCGGCAGCATTGCCTTCGAATCCATGCTTTTTCATAAGCTCCTCGCTCAACCAACCTGGGTACAAAATGTTACAGAATGCACGAATAACAGATATTAGATATTACCACTGTAATTACCGCGAAAGTGGCCGTCTGTGCGTATTGCATTTTTCTTGACATCTTCATTGAAGTATTCATCCGCCGTCAGTAGTTTACCGTCCCAAAGGTCATCATCAACCTAGAGATTGGCGCAAAGTTGAGATATATTAACGCAGTGGTCTACGTTATGTCTGTACTCCTACCGATTCCTCTTGTTGCGTGATCTCTATATGATTTTCCTTATCAACTTCTACTTGCATGTCCGGTGCCGGCAACCCACGGAGTCGAGTTGATTTTCTTGCTGGTGGCAGTTCAACTTTCAGCTTTTTCGGCTTGCCTTATGATTAACATTTGTAGTCAGCATAAATTTTTATGTCTTGTGCACAGGGTCTATTTCCATGTCTTACCTACGGCTCGCTGTGAGTTTTCAACGATTCTAATTGTATATGCATTTAGTAAAGGTACATCACTGATACACATATTGGTAATTCAATAGTTACTGACCTGCGTTTGGGGAGTGCGGTGGTAGTGGATGGAATGTCAAAAGTATCATCTTTTGCGCGTAATATGTCAAGCTGCTGTAAAAGCTGTCTATTGCGTTCGATGTTTTTTAAACGCTGTTCCTCTGTGAAATTATTCAATATCATGCATTCAGAAGATTGCTATCCAGTGCCATCATGTTACTCTCAAATTACCATATTCATTCATTTTGTTCAGTAACAAGTTGAAGAAGAGGCGCGTCCACAAGCCACAATTTTTCACATTAGGCACAAAATTTGAAAATCAATGAGTGCTTTGTGCTGAACTCTAGTGTAAAATTGTGATCCGGCTCTTCAAACAGCAAACTATAAGATAATGATAAGACAAATCCTGAATTGCTTGCTTGGATAAGGACGGGCTGTATACTTCATGTAACATTAGCTCGGTATCGCTAAAGAAGTGGAGTACAAGCCTGTCTAGCGCTTGACAAACGCGTCTTTCCTTTAAAATGATATTTATCCATAAATATATATATCTCATTTTTTTGCACTAGGTACGGGTGGGAGATGAGCCCTTCCTAATGATGGAGGCTATTCTACAGGTCACTATATACTAAGTGATCTATTCTATTTCATTTACTTATTGAGCTTTCATCAGGTCAGTGAAAATGCAGTCACAAAATTTTGTGTTGTTCCTTTGAATGGCTTTCCACAGCACTGGATATTTCAAAATTTACCTTTTGATTGTTTTGCATCAATGTCATTGCGACCGTGTGTACTCTCAAGGCTCACTGCCCATAAATCAATAGTGACCATAGTAGCGAAGAAAAACTTCACCTCCACTTCTGCTTCGCTTTCCCACATTGGCCGAAAAGTCCTTACATTTCCAAAAGAAGTCAGCGTCGAGCATGACACCACACCCATTACAAACCCTCGCATTCCATCAGAACTGAACAACACAACACTTCATGTTAGTGGTCCTCTCGGCAAGCACAGTTTGCCCATCAAACCATTTGTAAATTTGAATATCAAGACTGGTCAAGCAGAAGGTGAAGACAGTGAGGTGTCAGTGAGCGTTGCCGACCCAGATATCAAAGAACAACGATCAATGTGGGGAACAACCCGAGCATTGATCAACAACCTCATTGTTGGAGTAACAGAAGGTTACAAAGTACCTATAAGACTGGTCGGTGTCGGTTACAGAGCCACCCTTGAAAACAACAACCGCAAGCTCTCCTTGAAGCTCGGCTACTCTCATCCAGTTGAGATGGCATTGCCTGAAGGCGTTACATGCACCATTCCGCAACCCAATAGACTTATTTTGCAAGGAAGCGATCTTCAACAAGTTAAGGAATTGGCAGCGAAAATTCAGAGATGGAGAAAGCCAGAACCATACAATCAAAAGGGTATCTTCATTGCTGATGAAACTATCAAGAAGAAGGAAGGCAAGAAGAAATAGAATAACCCCCTGTAGAATAATATGAACCACTGGTATAGATGGAGGCATTCTTGTATTGAATAAGTTTTTATCTTAAAAAAAGAAAAAAGAAAGAAAATGCAATTATTTTTTTTTAAAGAGTACGCACGCACGTTCGTCATAATGGCTTAAGTGAGATCTTGATCTTTGCGGGAAGCTCATAATTAAACTCCATGTTGTTTGAGCAAGTATGGACATCATAAGTAGATTCCTTGTCGGATACGCACTCACACAAATTTGTTATGAAAGGGTCTTTAATAATGGAACACGGTCAAATACACAATAACACATGGGTACAACATAAGGTAAGTAGTACATCATACAAGTTTTCCAAATGCTTCCTTTTTCCTGTCCAACAACAGTGAATCTCCTCTGACACCACCAAAGTTTCGAATAAGGGATATAAGCAGCTCATTCAACTTCTTTACGCCGGTAAAAATGGGCAATCTATCAGGAAGTTCGAGATCCTTCAATCCGACAGAACTACCAGAGGGAATTGAATGGGGGCGCGCGCTGAGAGGTGGCTGCACAACCGCAGTGGTAGCCATGATGACGAACTGAGAAAAGGTTGTTATTATATAGCGCGGTGATATTGAGTCATGTATCGAGTACAGAAAGGTACTTACACTGGGGAAGAAAATAGCGTAGACGGCGGCAGCACGAAGACTAGACAAGAAGAATGTCAATGTCGTAAGTGGAATACCAAAACCCAAGAAAAAAGCCCAGTGTCGCTCCAACGAGGACATCCTCTGATCCATTGTTAAACCCAGGTTCACCCATTTAAACCTGTAATAAAGGTGCATTAAATTCATTATGCTTGAATAGACACATTGCTTGATGTTAGGGACTTACTCAAAGCAATAATAGGATATGAACCAGCAAGACACAATGAAGGATATCATTGTACCAATATGAGGAATCATTTGCAAGAGAGTTATGAAGACGGCGCAGGATCCATAGAATAGCATTTGATAGATGGCATAAGCAACATTTTGCACCGGTGATGAGGATGTAGCTTGAGTCTGAGCGGCTGACTGAGCGGCTTTTGTGTCATGAGATTTACCGGTACCTTGATTGAGCTGAATTTGGTACGTATGGTCTGCAATACGCTTATTGAAACGTCCGTTCAATGCTATACAAACAAAATATACAGGATATCCTCCAAGTATCTAATAGTAATGATGAAAATGTTACTTGTAAAGATCTTGGCTGATGTTGAATTCATTTGATGCGAAATCCATCTTTAGTATAATAACTCACTCGATATGGACATCCCAGAAAATGATTATGTGGATGATTGTAGAATGTTTCTAGGAGTAAAACAGATCCTAAAAACACGATACCATTCAAAACGAAAGCTTCGATAGCTACTCTACGTAATGTTGATGATCTAGAGGGGTGGATATATCGTCAAATACTTTTCAAACATGCTGCGCGATGTAGCTTTATCCGTGTAAGTAGGCTTACGCATAAAGAAGAATAAACGTTCTTGGCCAAGCGAAGGCCTGTGTCAAACCACTGACAAAGTACTCTATGTGCTGTGTGAGTGGCGTACGGTTCGAGGTGGCCATTTTGAACGGACGATCTGTAGATATACAAAAGGAAAAAGCTAAAGAAGGTATGAATTAGATATTGAGTGAATGTAAGTGACTTTGACTGCAAAGATCGGGGTCTCCGAGAGTAATTACAGCTAGATTTTTTGAGAAGGAACTTCTTGGTGCGGTGAGCAGAGTGGGACAAAAAGTGATGTGAGTGGAGCCGCCTATTTTTTCCTTCTCCGGTTCACAAAATACCGCTTCCCTATTCCTCCGCCACGCATAAACCCTCCCCGAAAGCTGTAATAGCCGCGATTGTAGATGCAGACGCACTTGTTCGTCAGTGACAAACCCAGATCGCTGGCATTACGCCCTACAGTTCTTGAAGAGACACCTTCTGGAGTGCTCATTTTTGAACAGGTCAATACTCAGAACTACTCGTTCGAACCACCAAAATGCAACGTAAAGTTGATCGGATCTGCTGAATTCGACGCTTCCAAGTACTCTATTGTAAATTCTCGCCCAGTTTATGGCTGCCTCGGTCTGATAAATGTTCAAAATGGTATTTACTGTTCTTATCTGAAAATATACGTTACCCTGCAATTATCAATCATTTTCTGTGTATAGAATGTTTCTTAGCTGTGGTCACAGACTGTGTGCCAGTTGGTCGAGTGCGACCAGGTGAAGACGTTTACAAGATCCAGACTGTGAACTTCTACTCATTGGCAAACTCGCAATACGATGATCTTGATACAGCGTACAACAAAGAGACATGGGACGCAGACGATGATACGCAGGCCAATATGATACAGCATCCTTGTGCACAACTACAAAAGCTATTTTCAAATGGATCGTTCTATTTCACACCAGATTTTGACCTGACTCGTACAGTTCAAGCAAGGTGAGCTCCTTTTAATATAGTAATATTCTGTCATTACCATCATGTATTTACTTTTGCTTTTAAAAGAACCTCCACCGCATCGTTCGGAGTACACTCTTTCGACGAGCACTTTATGTGGAATCAGTTTCTCATTAGCGGACTCATGGAATTCCGCTCAAAGTTAGACAAAGAGAAACAGCAAAAATTGGATAGAGGAGGGTTCTTGGTAAGTAACAACAAATTGAGATTACAGCTCAGCACGATCAACAGGTGGCTCATTGGTAAATATAACAGGTCTTTGCTATACAAGGATCCGTAGGAATGGAAGAGGTTGAAATCGGCGGCGAGAAGTTTGAACTCTCTGTTATTTCAAAACTGAGTTGTCAGAGAGCAGGCACCAGATTCAATACTCGTGGAATTGATGACCATGGCCATGTTGCGAACTTCGTAGAGGTATACACTAAATGGGAAAACTGTCATTAGTTATTTGTATACCGTGTTGCTAACTTGGGCATGAATTGTAACAGACGGAAACAATATTATATTCCGACCGTACATGTTTGTCTTTTACCCAAATTCGCGGAAGTGTACCAGGTTCGTAAACAATTTCATTACTATATGGAAACACTTTTATGTTTTCAATTGTTTATGAAATGTCAATACAGTCTTTTGGGAGCAGCAAGGTGTGCAATTGATAAATCACAAGATACAAATAGCTCGAAGTTCAACCGCTACACAACCTGCTGTAAATCGCCACTTTCAAGAGTTATTGGTTCGCTATGACAATGTCCACATATTGAATCTTCTTAGCCATAAAGATAATTCTGGAGAGCAGTTGCTAAGCAACGCCTACGATACAGCTGTCCAAAATTTACCGACACCACCGGGAGCAGTTGTAATGACCGACTTCGATCTACACAATGAATGCAAAGGCGGGAGCTACGAAAACGTCTCTAAACTAATGCAGCGCATTCAAAGTGACTTCAGTGAATATGGTGTCTTTGTCATGGACTCCAATGACAATCGTATTGGATCAAAACAGCGAGGAGTGTTCCGCACAAACTGCCTCGATTGCTTAGACCGTACGAACTTGGTGCAGAATGAATTGTCTCGTTTGGCATTGACCAAATATCTCGTCAATCGTCCGCGATCTGATAAAGGTTACGGCCAGGGATATGACGGTATTCTCAGCCGTCATTCTCATTTATGGGCGGAGAATGGAGATAATTTGTCTAAGCTCTATGCAGGAACTGGTGCCTTGAAATCCGCCTTTACAAGAACAGGCAAGGTCACATTCATGAGTGTGTTGGGGGATGCAACTAAGTCTGTAAATCGGTTCTACATCAACAATTTCCAAGATAAAGCCAAGCAAGAAGTTATCGATCAACTGCTAGTAAGTAGACATCCTCCTCTTCAACCATCATAGATACTATTATTAATGCCATGTATCAGGGAAAGTTAGTTGGCCAAAAAGAGATTGCCATCTATGATCCTATACAAGACTCAGTGTCAGAAATTATGTTAAAGAGGTACATTGCAAATCGCAGAGTACGTGCAAGCAAGTAAACTAGTACTAACATTGTCACATTTCTACAGACTACAAGAATATTCCACGGTTCAAAAAATAACAATTTTTGCTGGAACATATAATTTAAATGGTCAATCTTACCAGGGAGAGTCCCTCGATGCTTGGATCCTGCAACATTTAGATCGTAAGTTATTTGCCAATGTTGAAATTCAGCCGCTTCCCTGTCCTCATCGCATGATTTCAGTTGGTCATGAAGAGCCAGACATCTTTTGTATCGGTTTTCAAGAAATTGTCAAGCTATCACCACAACAGGTATGTTCAATTATGGATCTTGTGTATGTTTGTGTTCTGATTACTCAAAGTATCTTTGCCATAGGTTATGTCAACTGACATAGAGAAACGGTAAGTACGCCACACATGTTTGTTGAACAATAATGACACTTTTGCTGATGCAAGAGTTACAGGAAAGTGTGGGAACGGCAGTTGGAAATTACTTTGAATAAGAGAAGCAAGAAATCTCCTTACATAGCCCTTCGATCCAATCAACTTGTGGGAGCTGCTTTACTGCTGTACGTCAAGCAGGACATTGTGCACAATATTCGGAATGTTGAAAGTGTAGTTAAAAAGGTAGGTATCATATAGATGTGGACGCGGAATATCTCTTTAAAAGCCATTAACCGCCACTTCCTTTGTAGACGGGACTCATGGGAATGGCAGGAAACAAAGGAGCTGTAGCCATTCGTTTGGATTATTGCGACACCAGCTTTTGTTTTGTTTGCGCACATCTTGCTTCAGGTAATTAGTTCGGAAGTAGATCATGTTTTTTTTTTCAGTCAAATGGAGATTAACTGTATTCATCTGTAACTGTATAGGACACTCTAATGTTGAGGAACGAAATGCAGATTTCCTCACTATTGACCAAGGACTGATGTTCCCAAAGGGCCGGGGAATTGAGAGCCATGAGTATGTTTATATGTAATTGCCTTGAAATTCGTTTAGGCAATGTCTCTAACACTTTGTTCAGCAATATTGTATGGGTCAGTGACCTAAACTACAGAATTTCAATGAGTAATGAGGAGGTAGGTAGCTTTCTGGGTTCCTATTTTTCAAATTGCAGTGTATCTAACGACTGTTACGCCATAAGGTGCGATCTTGTATAGACCATGATGACCTTCAGACACTCACTGATGCTGATCAGGTAATTTATGATAATGTTGGTTTGTCACAAGCCGTCAAACATATGCTAACTTGTCATCGATAGCTACTACAACAAATATCAGAAAACAAAACGTTTCCTGGTTATCGAGAAGGCACCATAACGTTCCAACCAACATACAAATATGATTTGGGAACGGATATATATGACACAAGGTAACTTGCATCATTATCATACGGAGTTACTGATGACAATATCTTATTTAACTTTCTGCTAGTGAAAAGCAGAGAGTGCCTGCTTGGACGGATCGTATCTTATTCAAGGGCCCAAGGCTACAATTGTTGCAGTACGCAAGAGCTGAGCTGTATACCTCTGATCACCGTCCAGTTTTAGCTTTGTTTGAAGCAGAAGTAAGTGAATTATCTCTGGAATGCAAAAGTCCTCTAAGGATGGTCCATTTAATAGTCGCTTATGATAGATAACAACTTTGGACCACGCGGCGGAGGCAAAAATGAAGAACGAGTTGTACAAAGAAAAACTGCAATCCGGTGTTGTGACTCAAGTGGAAGTGAAATCGGCTAATAATAAGCCGCCTTTGCCTTTAACTCCACGGCCAATTTACAACAGACCACCTCCACCACCTCCTCCAGCCACAGTTGTGGATACATTAGTTGATATCAATGACGACGACGACGATGATGACTCGGATGATGAAAGCTGTAAGTTACAGCATGAATGTTTGACATTTGCGTGTGGATTATACTAATGGATTGCATCGTTATAGTACCCATGCCAAGCTCGGACGATAATAAATGGTGGGAAGATGGAAAAGGTGATTATTGAGATAAATCAAGCACACAGGTCTCAGAGTTAATGCGTTGTTCACACACAACTAATGACACTTCTCAGATATTCCACAAGCAAATGCATCATTTCCAGACAAACGTAATCCGTTTGAGGCTAATTCTTTGGAAGAATCTGGTTTGTTTTTGGACTCATCCGAAGGTAATAATTTTGCTTGGTATGATAAGAGTTTATTGATTATGTTTATTGAAGAAATACTGTGCGATTTCAGCATTGCTGGATCAGTCTTCTACCTTTGAAGACTCTTGGGTACCGATCCAGCCGTCAGGTTCTTCGTGGACGGCCGATGATGATTTTGTTAAACCAAAGTCGCCATACTCCGCAAAAAAAGTTGGTAGTAGCAACCTAGTGGGCGAAAGCGAGGAGAAGAATGATCAGCCAACTTTCAATGATTCGTTTGCTTTTTGGAATGGAAAAAAATAGCAGAAACTATAGAAACTAGATAACAATTCCAGCTCTCAAAGATCTCCTACCACTACAGATGCCATGTATTTATTACTCTTATGCAAAGACCTACCTTTTGTATCATTACTGTAGAAAAAAAAGATTCACAAAAAGATGTTCTTTACGCTACTCTGAATCCTCTCCATAGCGGCGTTTGAATTTTTCATTTCATTGAACAGCATTGGGGATTTGAATTTTTGCACGCAGGCACCAAGGTCGGACGTGTTACCTGTTCGACATGTTATTGCTTCGGCTCAAGGAAAAATTTGCTCGCAGACGCAAACCACTTAAGCAAAGACTAGAGCAGAGAAGAAAGCTGATTGGACTTCTCAGACATTACATACCCTCAATAAGGTTTTCTGGACATCTTTCATCTTTAATTGAATTGACTGGAAGCTAATCATTCGACACTATCAGCATATTACTATATTTTGTAGGCGTCATATGGCTTCTATTACTTCCTTACAATGGATACAACAAGGAAACATATGTGTCGGAAAATGCTCTGCTGCCCGCGCAAGTATGTATGAATGAATACTTTACCCGCCTGTCAACATCAGTGTCTTTTAACTCAGCCATCAATCAGGTGAACGTTTACTACAGCCAGAACGATGTTAATATCGCCAATGAATTTAGAGATCGAATATTAGAAGTAGTAGATAAGAGCAGAGAAAGGTGAGTGAGAAATGAGCTCTAGATTGAAATTTCATCGCTTACTCAGTCTTGCTGGCTTTCAGTCGAGCTGAATTTATATTCAAGGAACTGCGACAGGCTGGTTTCCACGCAGCAATTCAACATTATACAACAAAAGACGAATCCTTCAATGAAGCTGAGGTTGGAAAATTAGTATATGATTAAATTACGCTCTATGTCATCATTCTGATTGCTCCATGTGCAAATAGGGTGTAAATGCTTTTGGAATCTACCATGCTCCTAGAAGCGACGGCACGGAAGCATTATTATTAAGTGCTCCTTGGGTGTCTAGAACTGGTGAATGTAAGTTCATTTTCTTTGTCTTCATTTCAATGCGTTTCGCCTACTTTTATTAAATTTCACTCAAGATAATGTGAATGGCATAGCCTCAGTATTATCACTTGCCAAGCTGTTCAAGCGTAAGTGCGAAAATATTTAATTTAAATCACTTGCGACATGTTATTGACTAGTAGATATAAAGGAAACACATACTGGTCCAAAGACATCATCATCCTGATTACTGACGAAAGTGTCAGAGGAATGCAAGCATGGCTGAATGCCTATCACGGAGTGGATTTTGGCAGTAAGTTTGTCACATTGCTACGTGTGTTTGCATATCTACCCATGACACAAACTCTGCGAAATCTTCAGTGAGTTACTCTTCTGATATCATGCCTCGGTCTGGAGCTATTCAAGCTGCTATTAACATGGATTTTCCTGGAACTCGGGAGTATGAATCGCTGGCAATCTATTTCGGTCAGTATGGCTATGAACTGAACTCATGCACAGCTATATATGTTAATATAATTGCCGTTTCTAAGAGGGAGCAAACGGCCAGTTGCCTAACCTTGATCTTATCAATACGGTGATAACAGTAGCCAAATACACAGCCCAGGTGCCTTTTACTCTCCATGATAATGATGCCATCAACCGTCCGCAAACTCCCGTAGAGTCATATCTGGCATCCCTCAAGCATCTCACTGATACCATTCGATTCCAAGCTTTGGGCCATCCATCCAGTGATGCTGGTCTTGCTTTGAGGTATTCTTCTTCATTCTTGATTCCGTTAATTAAGAATACTACCATATTCTTATTGACTACAATTCTACAGATACAAAATTGATGCTATCACTATTCATGGAATTACTGCTACAGGCATGCATCAACCATTTGACTTTCACCGCATGGGAATGTAAGTTCTTCAAAATCAGGGTCCCGACCAGTCCTACCGTCGAACAAGATCATTTGCTGACTCCCATTTACAGCCTTGTGGAGTCAACATTCAGAAGTCTGAACAACTTACTTGAACATCTACATCAGTCGTTTTTCTTTTACTTTTTAACCAATGCAGAGCGATATGTGTCTATTGGCATGTACATGCCTCCAGTGATTCTATTTGCTTGCTGCCTGGTTCTTCAAATATCCTTTTTACAAGCAGTTGTAGATGAAATGATCACATGACAACCTCGAGAGTGTTTTAAGCTTTCTTTATTGCAGATGATTTTCCTTGACTTTGATTTCACTTTACTCTTTAGTTCTGTGGTACAGTCCTGCACGCGATGATAACCTAAAGCAGGAGACTGGCGCTAGTCTTGCATACTCCACCAGCAAAAAAAACCTTGGAGCATGCTTTTCAGTACTGGTCACTACACACGCGGCAGGCCTGTTGATATTTTACATTGTGCGACCAGCTTTTGACTTTGGCGGTGCCATTGTGGCCCCAAATACGGAGGTAAGGCAATATTCTGAAGTCTACGGACCAGAAAATCAAAAAAAAAAAAAAAGGTGTCTCCTGATATGTAACAGCGGATATTGTGCAATTCTTATAGCAGGTGACCATAGTCAAATTATCGGTATCGTGTGGTATTGCAGCTACAGCCATCCTTATGGCAGTTTCACTGATCTCATCCAAGCAATCAGAAGTACAAGTTATGGAGAACTGGAGAGTGCTCAAGTCACTATGTCTCGCATTAACGGCACTGATTGTTGCCTCGATATCACTCATCAACTTTAGTTTAGGAGCAGTCATGGGACTTATTGTTGTGATACCTTATAGCTTGATTCAGCCCACTGCCAAAATGCCTCTCAGACTCCTGCAGGCCGTCATGCTTACTGTCCTTAGCCCGGTAGTGACTTTATATTTGGTTGCTACTTTGTCTAGATCGCATGTGGTCAACGCTGTGACTGTTCTCTTAACCGATTATGAGGTAGTGGATGTATGGCTTCTGGCTTTCATGTGTACTGCGTATTGGCCAGTCAACATGGCGTTGTATACTGTAATCTTTGCGTAGTCTTTCCAAAATCATATCATAAAAAGAAGTAAACAATTATTTTCTCGAACATCCATGTCAGGCCCCTGACCTCTATAGTAAAGGACGGGGAAGTTTGGGGCACAGACTTTTACGTGAAAAGTCACAACTGTCTCATCCCAACACGGTGTGATTCCGACCAAGGCCTCCCCATAATTTCGTTATCTATTTTGCCTTTCTTTTTTGCTCTCTGGCATAAATCCTCTTTTCCTTTCTCTATCTTCATTTAGACCCTCCCACTCACAATACCCCACATATACTATACCTGGCGTCCACCACCCATTTTCCTTCTCTTACCTACACATCTTTTCTGATCCTCTTAGAGGTCAGTTGCATGGATTTCCATCCTCTTGTTGTGTCGAGTAGGAGTTTCTATTGTTTGGACACTTGGCAAAAAATATAGCGCAACCAAACCCAAACTTCACCTCGAAAGACTATAAATTGGCACACCACCTCAATGTACTCAAAAGACTGTCAGACTTCCTCCCCGAATAATCCATCTTTCTATCGCCAAAGACGTACTAACAATAACGATAATACACACCGACATCAGGAAGCACAGGCATGTACTACACCGCCTTATGTTCCCCATACATCGTATTTCGCAACACCTCAGGGTACCCAAGAAAAGCTTCATACTCATACATCTTCACAGTCAACGTCGACCAATACCAGCAGAAATGACAGGAAGCAAGATTATATCGTGCAGGTAATCCTCATAGCCATCTATCTCTGCTAAACAACAAGCTGCCCTTTAATCCCCACTTATCCAACCTTTGCTGGTTTAGAATTTTTATTCCAAGGTTGCACAGATTGTGATTCAAAGTAGAATAAGTCTTGAAAAGTCGGTGATCAGACAATCTTCTCAAAAATATTCATCCTCTCCATACTCTGTGACTGACAAGGATGCAGTGCGCAAAAGGGTCAATGGTTGGGTAAGTCTGATATTCCCGTGAATGTTGTATGCATCTATTATTTTCTTACACCACAAGCTGCAGTTTAATCTCATAACCACAGATATTGATGGTTTAAAAGATGAACTTAAATATTGGAGGCACCAAATTGCCAAAGTAGCTGACCGTACGCCATACCCTATGATTATTGATATCTTTCTGGACACCTCAAAAATGGCAGATGATATGACACTAATGTTTGTAAACAACAGAGGGATCCATCGACCAGTCAACACCATCGGTACGCATGGAGGCAAAATTCATAGTGTGCTTCTCGAATCTTGGATACTACAGTTGAAGTATACCTCTACCCAAAAACCTGCAGAGAACTCATGAGTGGCATGTGTTAAGCCAATTTCTTTTTGCAGAAGTACCTTGACTTCCGACACTGTCGATTTACCAAACTTGTACAAAAAATCAATCATCTTTTTCCGATCTCTTCACTCGTTTGTTCGCTTACTACCAACATATCAACTTCGTGATCGTTTAAAGGTATCAGATAGCGGACTGACGCTTGGTTATCGTCTGCGCAAAAACAATGTACAACGATTTGATGAAATTTCATACGGTGAGCCTTGTTATACTAACAAATTCGTATCCAAGCTGGACACTAACATTGTTTATCTTCAATGATAGATACCCCTTTGACCAATATGGCCAGTAGTGAATCAGAGTACTTTGAGTTCGCTGATATTCTAACACCAATAGGGTAAGCGAATATTCTCAGACGCGGGTTACTTGCCGAGTTCACAATGGGATTGCATCCCCATGCTCACATACGATATTCAGGGCACTGAATTTGTGCGTTCGACATAGAAAAGAATGTGCATTTTATGCCAAGCCCGTGGTTAGAGACATAGCCACCCTTGAAACCGCAATAGAAGACTGGCAAGTCTCAAAACAAGCTCGAAGAGGATATGTGAAGACCGATGAACCAGATTGGCCTCTGCCAGTAAGCATATATAGGCCCTTTTTTGTTCATCTCGTACCTCAACGGAGTACCCCTCGTTCTAATACATTGTATAGTCTTTTGTGCCTTCCATTAATTCGCAAAGATACTCGTCATCTCCCACCAGCTCCATCTCATCGTCATTCTCTTACGAGGAGAGCTCGACAACCACCAGCCTAAGCTACAGACGACCATCTACTCCCATCGTCTCACCTTTCAAGTCCAAGTCATTATCATCGTCATACGGTACAGGATCACCGCAAATGAAATTAATGGGTAACGCAACATTGCCTTGACATTATCTACAGCGAATGCCTTTCTAACTTGACGTAGACCCGTACCATGCAGCCGATCCTACTGTTCATAAAACGTTCTCTTCTAGCTTTGAGAGGTACTACAATAACAAGACTGGTAATCGCGAAGATGACGACAATACTAGTCTTTCGGGTAAAAGAGAATCTAGGGTTAGTCTCTTGAGCATTGAGTCAAATCCTAATGTAAGTTAATGATATGTGCGTGCAGACTCAAACCATTAGTACAGCTCATCCTGACTGCTGCTTGTATAGAACTCGGCAACGATATATTCTGATGATGATGATCTAAGTCAATTCATGGGAATTGTAGATAGGAAACATGATTTGAAAATGTTCAGGAGAACTTCACTTAGGTCACCGAGTGGCTATGAAGACGGAGATCAAGACGCATGCTCTGAAAGTGGATCTCTTGGAAAATCAAAGGTCATATTATTACATTCAAATTCACCTATAAGTTGTCACTATCACACTAAGACGTTTCAAAATTACAGGCTGCGTTGTCTCGATTTCAATATATGAAGAGCTCACACATGTCTTTATCTGAATCGCTGTCGTCCAGCAACACGTCCAGTCGACCGTTATCCACTACTCAAAGCACTACAGAGAATAACCTTACTGCGTCCATCTCTTCCATGTCTTCAATTCAAAGTAGAGAACAGTCGCTGAGTAGCTCTGGAGCAAGCCATAATTTTGGTACAGATGCCAAATTGCCTACGCCAACCCGAACGCAAACCGAAGCAAAAAGAGCATCATTTGCTAACATACAATCGAAGTCTTCAGTAGCTGATGAAGGAACTAATTTGCTTTCAGATTCATCTAATAGGACTCGCCGGATGCAAGTGTCTCCCCCACTTGTCGACAGATACCCTTTTAAGCAGCCCCGGCAGGCCTCACGGCAACCGACACAAAACCAGGCTGCATCTGCGTTTAGAGGAAATCCAAGAGGCGTCATCAGCGGCCAATACGCGGAATCATTAGGTCACTTTATGGCGACTCATGATGACGATGATCCATTGATATTCACAATGAACGATATGGAGCATAATTGAATTGAGTGTTCTAACTCTGTACCCGTCAGCATACCCTCTTTAGCGCTTTTGCATATAACATATTGTTGCATTTATACATATCAAGCATTTTATTGTAAAACATGATCAATAGCCTCTACAATACTATCAAACACTTTACTCTTTCCTTCAGACGTCTTATCAAAGGAGTTCAATTTATCGTCGTCTCCTTCCTTGTATTTACCTGTTTTTACTGTACGATAGATGTTAGGTGAGGTTCTCCGACGTGCCGTATCAATGAGCTGGGTCATGCTTACCGAGATATCTATAGAATCCCATTTCTATAGCACCTTCTCCTAAATCTGCCGATACGTCGTCACCAATCATAGCTACATTTTGTGGCATGCTCGACATTCCGCTGTTGTATCTGAGTATGTTAGACTGAGTCGATACACTGTACTTTTACAAAGGATTTACCCCACTTACAGTTCTGCTACAGCGAGTTCGAAGAAGCTCTTGGTCGGCTTTCCTACCACAGTGGCTGTTGTGCCAGTGGCATATTCAAGAGCTGAAAAAAGAGCAAGGTATTAAAAATAAATGATTGCATTGTCAATTGATTATTTGCGTATGGAGGTTACCCTTAACAAATCCTCCTGGACCCAATGAAAGCTCTTCATCCTTATCTGCAAAATATCTGGCCTTGTGCACTGCAATCAAAGGAGCCCCGGTATCCATGATGAGTCTGAACGCAGTATTTAACTGAGGGAGGAATAGATTTGAGCTTCAATGAGATTAAATTGTGTCAACCAAAGGAAACGGACGTACAGTAGCATAATCAAATTTCGAGGGAGCAAGTCCGATAACTACGGCATTTGGAGAAGAGCAATCGATACCTTCGAAAGCCTCCAAAGCCGCGTTCTCCATAAGTAACATGGGTCTCAGGTTTTTCGATACAACGAGATCGCGACAGGCAGACAATGATGTGAATATCTGAAGATACAGAAATGCAGTTATGGAGAGAAAATCAAAATGGACTTTGATCAGCTAAGCACAAGTCAGGGCAGCGTGCACATAATCCAGCTTACTTCGTGGTCTTGCACTTGGAATCCAAGTGCATCCAATTTGCTCCGTAATCGCTGTGGAGATTCTTTAGTGGTATTGGTTGCGAAGCTGTGCGAAGAGGAATGAGCATGCTGGCGACATCGACAGACTGAATGGAACGGACGAGGTACCTACCGAAAGGGAAGTCCACTTTCTCGAAGCTTGCGAATAGCGTCTACGGCACCGGGAATCTCCTTTTTGTCAATATGGAGCGTTCCACTAAGGTCTATGAGAACGCCTTTTATAATGTCTCGTCTCATTTTGCTGTTAGGAGTTGTAGAACGTGTACCAAGAAAATGGAACGTGGGGCCTGATGCCGCCGAATTATCGCAAATTTTCAGCAATACCCTCGGTCGCCCTTCTATTTTCTCATTTGAATTTATTGTCCCATTATTATGAAATGATTGAATGCGTAGAAACTTTGTATTGAAAAATAAGCTTTTTACATCTCTAAAGCGAGGCGGGCCATTTCTGTAGCACCATGTCGGGTCTTGTTTCCTGTCAATGAGAAGAAGAATGCGTCAGTACCAACATACAAAACCTCCAATAAACTATATAAAGCTTGCTGACCTCCGATAAATCCACCAGCATGAACAAAGATACAGTCAGGAATACGGCTGATCTCACTCAAATCCGCATCGCGGTGACCACGCCATCTATTTGAAAAATGAAAGAAAAAAATCAGTACATTCAAACGACCGCTCTCGTTAGTTTCAGTTACTTACACCTCGGGCAAGGACTTTCTGTTCTCGAAACCTTCAGGCTTGACAGGAACACATTGGATTCTCCAGTTGTTGGATTCATCAGGATACAAAACATAGAGAATGTTGGTTTCACCATTGAGGCCAATTTCACGCTCCAAGTCAAGCAAATGCTCCTTCCATGGGCAAGAGCGTTCTAGGGCAATGACGCGACCGGAGGGGTGAACTTCGGATCGCTTTTGGAAAGCCGATTTGACCAACTCGCGAGCAGGAAGCCAAGCATTTGCGGTGTACAACAGTTTATCACGTAGTTCTGATCCAGCCAATTGTGAAGCTTGTTCAAATCGGGCATCAATATCAGCTTCGGTTACGCTCTGATTCCACCAGGGATTGAAAGCTCCAACTCGAGATGGCAAGCTTGTTGATTCTCTGTAGGCTGGTGTGATGTCGGTGGGATATTGTGCGATTCCGTTGTCATTTCCGTCCAAAGCTTCGATGAAGTCCTGCATATTCATTTCTTGCAGTTTAGAGATCGTTCAAAGCAAATCAAAAGTAAATTATATAACAGTTATTGCGAAACATACATCGTAGATCTTGGGGAATAAAACATCGATTTTGGGATCCTGCTCGTCAACATCAAGAAGAGAAGCAATAACATCGCGACCAAAATGTCTAATCATTATCAATTTAGTCAACTAATGAAAGATAGTAGGCTTGCGGGTTTAAGTAGGATGAGTACACTTACTTGTAGACGAGTCCAGCCGAGCTGAGTTTTGTCTTGTGCTTGTCGTCAAAGGTTTCAAAGAAGCCTCTTTGATGGTGATCATACCTATGAGCATCGCTGTCGTATACACCACCGACGTCAACAACTACATCAGCTTCAGCTAGCTTCGCTGGGTCGCGAGAGCGAACGAGACCGGCGTCTTTAAAAGTGGCGGTTTGGCGAAGCATATATACGGCAAGTGCCTCATCGCTATGGTTGAGAGCGTGTGGGTATTAATAAACGTTAACCATATTGAACTAAATACAGATCTTTTTTTACCAGTGGAAATGGCCGCTGTGTGTACCAATTAGCTTTCTGACCATCTTTGCTGCCATGTAAGTTGAAAAGAAACTTTTTATTGTAAGCGGCGCGACAACGACCACAATTTTAAAAGGTGAAGTCGGGCTAAGCCACCAACTAATTCATGTCTCCATTTTTATGATGTGAGTAGCCTCAGTTTCTAAAAGTTTCATAAATCGTCGAGTCATATGCAGATAGTTTGATTCTGTGGCACCTGCTGGATCCATCTTTCCTTTCGAACCTTCGTTTTTATCTCCTGTCTGCTGTGTCGGCTCTACTGAGATGACAACGAACTTGCGGTCTGATTTTTCAGGAAAGCAAATATCGAGAAATTCCTTGGTATCTCTAAAGTCAGCCGTTGGTTCGTCGATGAGTGTAGCTGCTACTCCCCAAAACTTTAATACTTCGTTGAAAATTAAAGTTGCTTCATCATGATCCATTAGCGGTCGCTCATTGAGAGCTTCGCAGAGGAGATGTGTCGATTTGGTTAGCCAACAAAATGCATCTTCTATATCAGTTCCTCTGCGTATGGCCATGCGGACATCCCGCATATGCATATCAACGCATTGAAGTATTGCGATGTAATGGAAGTTGTGCCAAAATAGCCATTCCCTGTCACCTTCAACATACAACTGACAAATCCCGTGAGCGGCGAGTATACATTGTTCGTACAAGAACAAAATGTCATCTTCAATGAGAACAGGGTCGGTTCGAAATTTCTCGGCGAGCATCTGATATGTTATGAGTTTGATGAAAAAAAAGTTGACATGCAATCTCATACAATCTATAGACCGCTTAGCCCCGCCGCGGTATTGTAAATCAGGAGGCAGTTCTTGAAGCCAAGCTGTCATTTGCCGTTCTAGCTCTACAACGTCGTTCAGCTTGATTTTTCTTAGTTGTCCATCGTTTTTGGGGATCTCCCAAAACTGTCGAGCGATCATGATAAGCTTACTTATCGATTGCAGCCATTCATATGCTCTCTTTTCTCTTCCAACTTCAGTGACTTCTATCATGGGCACCGAGCACTGCGAGAGGTCCACTTTGTATGGAGTGTGAAGATTCAGTGAGGATTCCACATCTCTCATGTTGCACATCCAAAATAAGACCTGGCGCTCCTTTATCTCTAAAGGCGAGAGATTGGAGTCGACCGGTGGTTTGTGCAAGCCCAGCTTGTACATACTCCCGACGGCCATGCCTGCAAACATGAAGTTTCGAAATCGCTTGGGTCCATTTTGTTCATAGCTGCACATTTCCAATAACGCTTGTATAAGATTAATAGAAGGTGTATGCTCACATTTCGCCAGTAATGTGTGCGCAACCTGTGCGAAGCAGCCACCTTGTTCCAAAAAACTATTCTGGCTTGTACAGAACTCCCTATTAGCCGTCGTTCTTGCGGCCCTAGCGAGAATCATAAACAGTAAAACTTGAAAATCAATCCAGTCGCTGTGGCCTAGAGGAGGCGAAACCTGGTCATGTTGAGCTAGTTTATTGTTGAATAACCGGGGGACAACCACTGCATTCATATTCCAGCAATGCTGAAAATACAAATCTATCAAGGATGTTCGTAAGGATAACGGTGGGAATCCGAGCTTGATTGGATCTTGACCACTTCCAATAGGATATTCTGGAGGTATATCCAGTATCACACTGTTTGGAGGTGAGGTACTCATTGAAAGTTTTGTCAGCTGGCTATCAAAACGATGCAATGCTGGCTTTATCATCTTGGTATAATGACGATTTTGTGATAGACTGGTATGGAGATGAGCCGTATATTGACGAATACCATCAAAGGTAATTTTTGATAACTTGTCGTTATCGTATGTACATGTTTCGTTTCTTCGTTTGCACCGAGGACAAGGGCACCCACCATGGCATCGAACTATTACAAAGTTTTAGATAGGAGTCAAAGACGGCGTGTGAACTCAGAGGCTCGGTTTCTAGTCATGTTCATACCTTTTGCTGATCGACAACTATGACAAGAACTTCCACCAGGTTTCTTTAATACTGAACGAGGCTTCATTCTCTTGGCTGGTGGTGGTTGTTCTGACATTGCAAGCGATTAAATGGGCCACTATCAATTTGCCAGTTTGCGAACAAGGCACACACTGAAATCCAAGATCTCGGGAAACGTGACTGCTACATCGAGGGCTTGAGATCCCGCTAGCCACCGATGTTGACCAGCTGGAACTTTCTCCCTTTTCACCTAAACTCTTTACTTATGCCCGACAAATATTATGAAGAACGTCTAGAGGATATGGAGAGGATGCGCTTTGCTCTAGATCAGGAGACTGGAGCACAGAGAATGAAGAGAAAATTCAGAGAGGAACCCTTCGTACCCGCAGGTCAGCCTGACACATACGCTATGATGTTTAGTAACAATAGAAAAGGAAGTTGAACTAACAAGCTTTGTGCCAAGCAGGTGTCGCGCTCACCTGCTTTGCACTGGTTGCAGCGACAGTAGGTATAAAACAAGGACGGAGGCAGTACGCTAACAATATGATGCGTTTGCGAGGTACGAGGCTATGGAAATGTATATCAGACAACTGTACTCTTATACTGACGTTCAATATGATGATGAATTTGTGATGCGGATATTTTGATATCATAAAGTGGCAGCGCAAGGTCAGTACATGAGTTAGCCCGCTACACATTCAAAACAAGTCCAACTCAATTATTGTACCCTTTTCGTTATAGGTTTGACAGTTGGTGCGATGGTCATAGGTTCTATTGTATATAGTAGGCAGCAGCAGGAAGAGAAGTTTGCGCGCGAGAGAGAGGCGAGGAGGGTTCGAAATTTGTGAAAACGATACACGAGAGAAAATAATTTGCATTTGTACAACTTGCTTAAAAGAAATTGTATTATCGTCACTAAAATGGTAACTGTGTAAAAAGGTATGGTGTCTAGTGTACAGCCATACACGTTGGATGTAAAGCGTTGAATCGATAATGATGCTGTGTTGCAATTGAAGTCATGGTTCGTTGATATAAGATATAGCTGCGAAGTGCTATGCCTGTCAGCATAAGTAAGGAAGGCAGCTTCCCAAACGGCCTGGGCACCTTGCCTTATATCGACGGAAATATAAAAGCGGTAAACTGACCACGACGAAAAGCTTCAGGTTTTCTTCTTTGCTGACATCTTCGCACAATGCCAATCTCATCCAGCAGACGAATTCCGCTGAGCCCTGAATCTTCATTGAATACCAGACGAGCTTCAACACCGTCGTCAGCCTCATCCAACTCTGCCATGAGTTCCGCTGGCACTAAAACGATCTTCTCTGAACGTCTCCCAAAGTACGAAGTCAAGAGTAAGGTTGGAAGCAAAGACAATATCAGGCACAAGCCTCAAGGAGGTAGATTATCTTTTAATGGCTTCAAGTTTGTCTGAGCAGCTAATATGCATGAACCGCATAAAAACTGTAAAAATGGTGAAGTTGGTCCGAACGCAGTTAACTCACTACGGTTCTTTGATATATTGTATTTGCATAGGAAATATCCAGATACATAATGAGATGCCCAAGTGGAATGCCCAGGCCAAAATCCCTACCAAAGCCGAAGCTATTGCCGCCAAAGCTGCTGCTGCTGCTAAGAAGAAGGACGGAATGTCTCCGCCGGACGCGAAAAGGCGTGTCACCAGCACCAAATTGGACTTGAGGTGAGAGACACATTAAAGATATACTTCCACTGTCGAACATGATTATCTTAATTTTTCTTTGGGTTACGAAATTCGTTTAGTAAGGTAACATCAAGAGTAGGCAGTTTGGATAACGTTCGCAAAGTATCCAGGGCGGGCGCCGAGGACAGCAAAAGCCCAACTTCCAGTCAAATGAATGGATCCAAAAAACCAACCAGACCTGTTTCGCAAAATGTCATTCCCACTCAAAAGTACGTGCAATATCTAACTGTCCCCCCCCAAGCAAGCTTTAATAGATTGTTCTGCGCGACTAATCAATCCCTCTGGTGAATTTGTTGTGTTTTGGTAGGCTGGACTTTAGTAAGGTGACTAGCAAAGTTGGCTCAAAGGATAATATTCGCCATAAACCTGGAGGTAAGTCCGCGTATCGTGTCGTTTAGAAACAATTAAATTGTATACTGAACTACTATTAAAACAATCAGGCGGTCAAAATAAGATCTTTGACCAGAAGCTGCAATGGCAAGCGGAAGCCAAAATTCCAAAACCGGATCGAATGTCTTCTCTCACACGCAAGCTTGCTGAAGTGAGTGTCAAAGATAAACCAGCGGTCACTGAAGAGCTTGAAGAGGATGCAGATGCCAACCCTTTCTTGACAAATGAACCTGAGAGCCTAACCATCGCTGACCAGTCTGACGAGAAGGTGACTCCAGCTGAAGGACTGTTGATACAGGAACGAGAACAAAACGAAACGACCGTTGCTGATCCGTTGGAGTCCTTTGGCACAGAATATGACACCAATCCCCAAAATGAGGACATTGAAGTACTTTAATACCTGCCTCCAATTCTTCTTTCCCTTCCCTCTCGTTAACTTATCTATGAGTCTCTAATGCTCGAGGTTCATCATGCCGTAGCATGCTCTCTTTGCTTCAGTATTCTTATCCTCCTACTATAGCTTACATCGTAATACATATGTATATCACCAACATTTCACATCGTATATTGGTGTTTTTGGCCATTTTCATTTACATAATCTCTCAAGAAGTAAGGTTCTCACGATAAGAAGATAGGACAGGTGAATTGGAATTGTAACGCAAATTTTTTTGAAAAGAAAAAAAGAGGGAAAAAAAATGAGACAAATTGCTACGGTGAAATACCTCTCTATTCTTGAGCTTCCTCGCCTTCCTCAGAGGTATCAAAGACGCCCTTTGAGCGCTTGGTCTTACGTTCGCGCTGGTAAAACTCGGCCAAGATATTTTGTGGAATACGGTTAAGAAGTTCCTTGGGGAAGATTCTAAGTAACGACCAAGCGAGATCGAGAGACTCGTAGATGGTTCTGGACTCATAAGGTCCTTGAGAGATAAAAGTTCTCTCAAACTTCTCCAAGAATTCCAATGACAATTTATCTTCTTGCGTCAATGCTTCTTCACCGACGACAGCCTTCATGGCTGCAGCATCACGTCCAATAGCGTACTTGGCATACTGTTATAACGCAAATGAAGAGAGTAACGCTTAGTGAATTGGCTGCAACTATTACAGTGTATATAAATTTATACTTACCAATTGATTGGATACGTCACCGTGATCCTTTCTAGTCATACCTTCACCAATAGCCGACTTCATAAGACGGGACAAGGATGGCAAAACGTTGATTGGTGGGTAGATCTGACGGTTATAGAGTTGACGATCGACATAAATTTGGCCTTCGGTAATGTAACCAGTCAAATCAGGGATAGGATGTGTGATATCATCGTTAGGCATGGTAAGAATAGGAATTTGCGTAATAGAACCATTGCGTCCTTCAACACGACCAGCACGCTCATAAATGGTAGACAAATCAGTGTACATGTAACCGGGGTAACCTCGACGACCAGGAACTTCTTCACGTGCAGCGGAAACTTCACGAAGGGCATCAGCATATGAAGACATGTCGGTAAGAATGACAAGAACGTGCTTCTCAAGCTGATAAGCAAAGTATTCGGCAGTAGTAAGGGCCAATCGAGGAGTGATGATACGTTCGATTCTATAGAATAGTAGGAGCAAGCAAAAAATTAGCACCTTATGAGATATCTGGTAAAGACATAAATTGCAAAGCAACCGTACGTGGGGTCGTTGGCCAAGTTGAGGAAGAGAGTGACACGCTCCATGGAACCGTTCTCCTCAAAATCTTGCTTGAAGAATCTAGCTGTTTCCATGTTGACACCCATAGCACCGAAAACAATAGAGAAGTTATCTTCGTGACCATCGTGAACGTCCTTAGTAGGAGCAAGCTTTTGGACCAAGCCAGCTTGACGACAGATTTGAGCGGCAATCTATGAAAAAACGTCATGTCAGTATCGCTTAACATCGGCAATCTGAGTGAATGATGGAGCATACCTCGTTATGTGGCAAACCAGCAGCGGAGAAAATAGGAATCTTCTGTCCACGAGCAATAGAGTTCATGGTATCAATGGGAGAGATACCAGTTTGAATCATCTCTTCAGGATAAATACGAGAGAAGGGGTTGATGGGAGAACCTAAGAGAACATCATTTAGTAACGTGCTGAATTTGACTGTAGTCAGGAAGTTTGTATCGTACCATTAACGTCCAGATAATCGTCAGCGAAAACCTTAGGTCCTTTATCAATAGGCTTTCCAGATCCACTGAACACGCGACCAAGCATGTCTTCAGAAACAGGAATGTTTAGGGTGTTTCCAGTGAACTCAACACGTGTCTTCTTAGCATCGATGCCTGAGGTACCCTCAAAGACCTTCATATTGAAGATTGTTAACCAAAATCTTTCAGAAAGGAAGATGCATCACAGATCATAACAAAAACTCACCTGAACAACGGCCTTTTTTCCTTGGACTTCAAGAACTTGACCAGCACGCTTACTACCATCAGGCAAGGTAAGTTCAACGATTTCAGAGAACTTGGGGTACTGTAAGAGAAGGGAAAAGGTCAGCCAAAGTAATAGAATACTAGAGGTTGCATTCCGACTATCAACAAGGGGGGTTTCACGAATCAAGTGGCAAATAAAGCAACATTGAGACATGAAATTGATTGACCAAGTAACTACTTTCTCATTAAAGGTCACTTAGAGTTGCGGAAAATACATGCCTTAACGTTGTCCAAGATAACTAAAGGGCCATTAACGCCAGACACAGTATTGTAGTCTATAGCAACAAAGAAGGTTAATAGGTGTTCAAGTCATCTTTGCTCCATGCAAAGGAGTAAAACAATCACACTGACGCTTTACCTAGACGTGGCTTGGCAACGAAATCTCTGGTAACAGCGGCTTTGTGGATCTCAAAGACCTCCTGAGCACTCAATCGTGGGTCAATTGGCATTTGTGGCAGGTGGTGAAAGATGGGTAGCAGTTTTTGTCAGTACCGCACGCAATTTGAGATCCCGTGGAGGATTGAGCGGAGTGCAGACGTCAGCAAGCTTTTCACCCTTTCATGCAGCGACATACACATATTCAACAAATAAACCATGCAGAATCCGTTCTATGTCCTGTAAATAAGTGTTCTTGATAACGCTAGATGATGCTCCATGATTAATTGATAATCATATAATAAAAGAACTTCACTCAAAGACGATGTGCCTGTGGCAGCCTGGTGATAAGGTCAGAGATGGCCTCGATAGTGACGGTGGGCCACGTGAACACCACAATCATTTGTGGTTTTAAAAAATTACGGCTGCCCAAGGATTCTTGAGTGGTTACAAGCCCCTAGTCCTACAATGTCTTTATACCGTTCAATCAATATGGTTGATGGTGGTGGATATGGCGAAGGCGGTTCTGGAGAGAAGCTAGGAGGTGTAGCTATCTTTCTTGCTGGCACTTTTGTACTGATAGGCACAGGAATATCTCTGATATCGATATGGTCCCACCTCAAAAACTACAGGAAGCCAGTATGTTCATGCTCACAGAATCCTGTACATCAATTCTTTCACACTCATTCGTCAAAATCTCCTACAGAATCTACAGAGACAGGTCATCCGCATTCTATGGATGTAAGTTTGCATCGAGTTGACTGCTCCGATCCTTTGTTGCTATCGCTAACCAGTTGACACCACCACTGCTTATGTCAGGGTTCCAATTTACGGCATATCATCCATCATATCACTCGTTTCGCTCAATCTCGCATTCTATGTTGATACATTTCGAGATATCTATGAAGCATTTGTCATCTACGCCTTCTTCAACTTGTTATTGAACCGATTAGGAGGAGAACGAGCTTTGATTATCATGCTACACTCACGACCTCCGTCTGAAAATTTCTTCCCGGGCACTCTGTATTCTCGCGAGATATACGTTGGCGATCCTTATACGTTCCTTTTCGTCAAGCGCGGTATCTTACAGTTTGTTTATGTCAAGCCTTTCTTGGCTGTGCTTACCATGATACTGAAGGCTACGGACAATTATCATGACGGAGAAATCAGTTGGACAAGTGCATACTTTTATCTTACATTCTTCTACAACCTCAGTGTATGTTTGAGCTTGTGGTGCTTGGTGGTGTTCTTCTATGCCACAAAGAAGGATCTGAAGGACTTTCGGTAAGGGTGTAATTTTAGCCAAGCTTTGACCAAGACATTTTCTAACACGTTACATAATTATTATTTTTTGATGTCTGATTATAGCCCTCTGCCTAAATTCCTTTGCGTCAAAGCTATCATCTTCTTTTCATTTTGGCAAAGTGTTGTCATTGCTCTCTTAGTTGCTGCGGGAACTATCCGTGATGGTAACATACTTTTATACATAAGTTGTATGGACAATGATGACGACACTTACCACATACTTCATTGCAGATGGTCCGGAACATATCGCAGTAGCTATTCAGGATCTGTTGATTTGTTTGGAGATGGTACCTGCCTCCATTGCTCATAGGTTAGTCATCATCTGTTTAAAGCCGCAGCTTATCATTTCAACCAATAACTTACAACGTTGATAGCTTTGCTTTTTCGTATGAGGATTATTTGGAGCCAAATGTGCACTCCGCAAGAATGCCCCTTCGTTATGCTGTAAGGGATTCTGTTGGTATCAAAGATGTTATTATGGACTCCCTTGATACATTACGAGGAGACAACTTCAATTATCGTGCATTTGAGCCTTCAGAAGGCGTACCCCATATTGGATCCAGCAGAACGTCCCGTATCATGGCTGGCCTTCGCTACTCCACAAGCACAGCCAAAAAACATTGGCTTGAACCAGCTCCTCCATCACATTACATTGCTAGCTCTGTCCGAGGTGCACCTAATTCTGATGGAACTCATATGTGGGAAGAACAGGAAGAGTTAGAGTTCGAAGACCCTGACCCTAATGAAGAAATTGAAAAACTTTACACGTCAAGTCGCAAAATGTTATTTGGAGACTATAACTTTCCTGTGATTGATTTCACTGCCCCATTATATCGAAGAGGAGGTTCCTATGGCGCTGTTGGGCAATCTAACCTTGCATCAAACCCACTCCTCCGCCCGTCAATTTCCGACATGAACAAATACAGGAGCAGTATGGAGACTGTGTTAGCACAGCGAGAGGGATGTGTTGACGTTGTAGTCGAAAGAGGAAGAGGAAATTACGTGTTGAACTACCAAGGCAAAAACCAACGCTCATTAGATAAGACAATGTCGCCCAGCAAGATGAAAGCACTAGCGGAAGCCAAGCGAAAATCGATAGATGCTCCGAGTACGCCACGCCTTCGCGATAGTCGACCACTCACAGTAGCCCCGCAAACTAGAGCTACATCTTCACAGCTTGTGCAAAATGTTGATCTTGTTGAAAACAGCCAGTCTGACAACCGAAACAATCGTCATCCAGGAAGTGGGGCAGCATCACCTGATCCGTTCGATACCGCTAGCGGCAACGGCTCCGTGAACTTTGGGGAAACCAGCCCGTTTCTAGATAACAATGAAGAAAACCAAAATGTATGGAGAAACGGATGGAGTTAATATGTTTTAGTCTAGCCCTGCTGCCTTGTAATATTGTAATATACATGTAAGAAATGATGATACCTCCAATTCTTATTTAATTATTCATTCCATTTGATTAAATAAGCTTTCTAAGGAAGCTTGGATAATCGATTGGTAACAACAGCTTTTAATGGCTAAGCAGGTATGGTACGTGTTTTTGAGATCAGGTCCGACAAACTACGGTATTTCAATGTGCGCAAAGACGGCTCAGGCAATTTTCGTTTTAACTCGCCACATGATGACCAATTAGCCAAATCTGATGCTGTCTGTGACTAGACGTTGACTCTGTCTTCCAGAACGGTACAATACCACGCTATTCGGTATCGGGTTTCTTGTAACCGCACTACTGATGTAGTAGCTGTGTTGCGATGAAACTCTGCATCCGGTAGACATTTGTAACGCTGGAATCTCAGATCACACGTTGCAAGTCAACAGAAACAGTGTTGAAGTAACCACGCTGCTCTGAGATTCTATAGTCTGATGGCCATACTTTTCATTCATCCATTCTTTTTTACAAATTTAATTTATTACAGATTTGTACAGAAACAGCAATAAAAACGATACAAAGTTTGAGTGTCAAAGAGAAATAAAAAATGAGAGGATGTGTTGTTTACGCCAAACTGAGATCAAAAAGCTCCATAACGACCATAACATCGATGTTGGAGGTTTCAGCAATTCCGTCAGTCAGGACTACGTTGGTGGTGTAGCTTTTTCCAGGCACCCTTTCAGCAGCCATCCACTTGTCGTCACTTTCTTCCGACATCTCACATTTTGATACAGGCATGAACGCTCGGTGCTCACGCTCCACAGGTGCCGAGACAATGCCATCCGCATCAGCAACCATGTGACGGTTGAGACAGTATAAGGAATACGTAACTTTTCTGTCTTTCATCTGTTTCGTACTCTTTCCTCCAGCACCCTCCAATTCTTTCAAAAGGGCAATGGAAGGCTTGGGCGGCGTGGATGATGCGCGACGTCGACTAGACTTGATTTTTTCTTGTTTTGTTTGGTCTTGATGATAGTTGGGCGGAGATGCATGTGAGTATGGAAAACGAGATGGTGTTGGTTGTCGCGTCGCTTGGCGTTTGGACATGGGCTGAGGAGAAAAAGTCTCAAAGGTGGATTTGCTTCGAACCGTCGACACAGTAGAGCTAGAGTCGTTTTGTGAGATGGCTAATGCCTCAAGGGACTCCCTGGCGGTCCTTCGTATTTGATAACGGCGAAAATCGATTTTCCCTTTGCTTCTTTGTAACTCAAAATTGCAGACTAGTTTCTTTGGCAAGTTTTCAAAGGATAAGACGAAAGCTTCGACTCTGACACGGTAACGAGTACCTAGGATTGTCTTTGGTGCTGAGTAAAATGTATTGCGCAAAGCCTTCACATACTTGCTTGGATAATCATTGGATGTTTGTGCCACAAGTTGAGCCAGTGCTCGCTTGGATGATAGCTTACTAGCCACCATGCTGCCGGGGTCTCTACCTTGCCAGTGCTCACCTAGAAGAGGTTCGTTTTCTTGGTCATTCTCATCGTCGCTGGAGTAGCCTTGACAACTTGCAAGATCACCATTCGGATCACTAAGCATTCTCTCAATAGCGTCTGCCTCTTCTTCATCGTCTTGTCCCAGGAATATCATATCTTCTTTCCATTCGCTCTTTCTCATGGATGTCAGCTGAATGCTAGTTCCAAATCGAAACTTTGGGGTTCCTAGTAGCATACGCTTTTTCTTTGCAATACTGGTTTGGTTGAGACCGCTGTTTGCACCCACATCAAAGTATTCACTAAGAGCATCATGTCGATCTGGTATCAATTCCGTGCTGCCGTCTTCATGAGATTTGTCAGCTTTCAAATCGACAGTTGGGAATACCAGCCGTTCTAGGGCTTCCCTCTGCCAAAGCGCGCGGAATACAGTGCCTTCTTCTACAAGACCATCTGCTCGAACTAGACTCAGTTGCGAGAAGGTCATGTTGCTATAAATTATGCTGTCATTCAGCAAGGATCGAAGCGCGTTGATCTTGTCACTGTATGGCGAACCGGCTGGCAAGTGGCTGTAATTTTTAAGTGAACTAACTTTGCTCGAATAATCAAACTTGTATCGCGAGGGTCTGGTGGCCAAAAATCGTGTTTCAGCCTGCTGGCTATCATCGTTCTGCCTCTTCCTCTTTCGCGACATAATTTCCTCTGCAGTGATGTCAGCTCCAGGCTGGTCAACATCGATGCTGTCTGATGAAGTAAAGCTTGAAAGTCGTTGCTTATTTCGTTCAATGGCTTCAGAGTCGTTCATTCGCATTGTGTTTTCAACTTCGTCTATCAAGGTTTGCAGTATGCGTTTCAAAATCATATACCGCTCAAACTCGCCTTGGACGAACAAAAGTTCAGCACTCAAAATGTCTTGCATCCAATCCAAGGGTAATTCGCAAAGACTTTCGGCGTTTTCAGCACCATTGCGAAACAGAATCAATAAGGCAGCGTCTCGAAGTTCATGGTAGTAAGTGGAAGAATGAGGAAGCTGACCAATCAAGTGAAGGTCGGAAACAATGGTGTCTACAGCTAGACGTTTCGACATGTATAGACGTAAGCATTGCTGAGTCAGATCATTGATATCAAATAAAATGGAAATTATCAGCACTCGAATAATGTCGTCTGGTTGCAAAGTATCCAAAAGAGCTTGCTTATCCGTCTCGTACAGCCAGCATAGGTTGAACGCGATATGGGATCCAAGAATACGGTAGGTCAAACGACGTTCTGGGTTTGGAGGGCCAGCCAATAGTGTTGGAAGAAAGCCTTTATAGGCCAGTGCTCGTTGCAAATCGATTGTGAACTGCAAGCGACGGTCCTTTTGCGAGCCTTGTTCCAGCAAAAGATCGTGAAGAAAGGGTGATTGCATGAGAATGACTTTGTGCAGGTCATAGGTCAGCGAGAATGGCAACGCGCCATAAGCAAACGTTATGGAAACATCCGAGAACACGGCTTTTTCAAAAGCACTACGCCTCAAATGAGTCGCTAATGAGCCATCCATATTGCATATCTTGTGGCGACCGTGATCGCGCGTTCTTTTCTGGTGATACAGTAATTTTCGGATTTTTCACCGTCACAAGCTTCCACGCAAATACTGGCTATGGAACCAGGTCAGCACAATCCCGAAGTCCAAAATATAGCGCTGACGATGGTCAACTGTAGATCAACGCCGTGGTATAAGCGTCCCACAGAAATGCAATGTAACTACGCCTTCTGACTTGTGTTCCGGTACACCATTTATGACCTTCAAAAAATATTATTTTTTACTGTTCTCGTAATCGCTCATTGATGAATCACTATCCCAAAAAGGCACAGTCAACACGTTTGGCGAATTCTCCTACTCAAAAACTCAGCTAACGTCTTGAGAATTTCATCACACCAAGGCCAAAAAAGGATGATGAAGATTCCATTTTGCCGCCAGATAGTCTACAAAAGAGCAAAAGAACAGAAACACGGAAAAATGAACAGCTGGCGATACACAAATAGTGTTAGGTCAGGCATAATTCAGTGTAAGTCAGCGTGAAGACGATCCCTTCTCGAGTTTCCAGGAACATATGAGCGGAATCCTAATTGATCAATTGTCCAACATCAAGGAGATTTTTAGGTGCTTCTTGTAATGATCTAATTTACTTCTTACTTCTTCGTTATGCTTTTGTCATTTTTGACTCCTCGACATATTATATTATTATTGTCATCCCTAACAGTTTTTCTATGGATCATATGGTCAGGGAGGGTCTCAGACCTACAAACGTCAATCACTAATTACGTCCGACCAGAGGAAGAAGAGACTTCGCTCATTATAAACAACAACGCTGTTGACCCTAGTCAGCTTTGCACGCCAGCCATGTTCAATGACGGTCAGTGGGTAGCTACACACCTGCTTGATCCTTACAATGCTACAGTAGAGGATGTCCAGCGAGTTGGCCAATATACATGCAAAGAGGGATTTCAGCATAAATGCTATATGCGACCTGGTAAAGAGTTTCTGCGAAGTGCAAAAATGTACGTCTTTCGATACATCGTGACTAGTAAAACCCGCTACTAATTTCTCACACCTAATCATTCGGATCACCAGGGTGAACTACAAGTGGCAACCCAATTGCCATCTTTTGAACTTCCACTCGCATCTGTTTTCATCCCAGCTTCTTGCCAATCCAATGCTGTTTGTAGGAGATTCCATAACTGAACTTCAATTTGAAAGCCTGAAATGTCTGCTGGGCGAACATTTCGATACAGCAAAACGTATAAAGAACACCAAGCATCATACAAAAACGCTCGGCCTACAAAATAAAACAGCTGTTGAATATATTCGAAGCGACTATCTCCTACGTCTCGATACTTGGAAAGTGCAACAGGAAGGAGAAGAACCAGGCCCATTACTCGGTATAGGATATAATGTCCCATGGTCAGTCATTTACGAACCCAGACAGGATCACTTAATTTCGGAAATTGCCACTAACAAAAATTATGGTTACTCCATTGTAGGGTGCATTTGCTTCCCCGATATCGTTATCTTGTAGTCAATACGGCAGCTCATTGGCACAAATCCACATTGTTCGGTGAAGCAGAATCTACAGATGAAATGCTGCAAGCTTACGAGCTTACTGTGAATGAAATATTGGATACCGTCCAACAATACCAACATCTCACAACTTACTTTCGAAGTTCACCATATGGACATGGCAATTGTTCACAGTATACCGAACCCATGGTCAAACCTAACCCGCCTAATGGTACCGTACCTTGGGAACATCAGTGGCATCTATTCCCACAAATGAGCAACATGTGGAAGGTATGTGATGATTTTGCATGCATTAAGGTACCTTCTTGTCGGGTGTATAAATTAACCGATCTTCAATGCTTCAGACTGCTATCGAAAAACGAAATGACCCAAAGATCAAATATTTGGATGTATCTCGATTGTCTGAGCTGCGCGGAGACGTCCATTCTAAGCCAGATAAAGACTGTCTTCATATGTGTATCCCAGGTAAATAGAGAGAACTAGAGAGGGAGGGGGGAGTGAAGCTGGCAATAGAAAGAGAGGAGAAGAGAAAAAGAAGAGAAAGTGGAAGACTAAGTTTATCTTTGTTTTCAAATAACAGGCCCTGTTGACGAGTGGAACAAGCTCCTATATCATGAAATTATGAGAGATCTTCTTGGCTAAAAGCTGCCAATCAACCGCGCCAGCTCAGGCCACGCAAGCCATGGGCCGCGTCAGGCCCGGATAAATTTCTATTTCGGCAACAATTTGGCCGTTAATTTTGAGTCAAAGTATAAAAATCGATAGAAAAAAAAACCAACTTGTAATTCATAGACCATGACAGATATTAAACACGATACCACTCCAACGCTGCCTGCAGTGATTCCACCTACTTCGCACTTAAACTTCCTTCGCACTTGGTGGCAGCGCTCGGACAAAACTTCTGAAATTGCAGAGTCCCGACTTCTCAACCATTACCTCACTAAGAATGTCATCGCTAGAGTGGACCGTGTCGACATTGGTGGCGAAAATCGCTTCATCAACACTCTTGTTGTCGAAAAGGCCAATAATAAGAATCTCAGTAGAGGAGAAGTCGAACATGGCTCGAACGACGGCCCTGTCGATGATAAGAAAGCCCTTGTGATGTGCCATGGTTATGGAGCAGGTACTTTGTCAATGCTTCTTTGTGCTTATATTACACTTGAAAGATTAACCAAGTAGCAATTGCACAGGTCTTGGTTTCTTTTACAAGAATTATAACGATATTGCTCAAGCCAGCCCTGGCTACCGCATTTTCTCGATTGGTAAGTTGAATGATGGGAAACTCCACAACTAGGAACTACTCTGACATTCCACGCTTCTGTTAATTCCAGATTGGTTGGGTATGGGTAGAAGCTCACGTCCAAAGTGGCAGATATTGAAAAAGAGAAATCAATCATGGGACGATGTTGTTGAAGAGGTACTGATCATTGCATAATCCTTTGCGAGAAGTGACATTTTTGCCAAGACTAACTCTATTATGATTTCAGACCGAATCTCACTTTATACAATGCTTGGAAGATTGGAGAAAGGCTCAGAAACTCGAGAAAATGACCTTGATGGGGCACTCACTAGGAGGCTATATGGCAACCTGCTACGCACTCAAGCACCCTGAGCGTGTTGAAAAACTCATTCTCGTGTCACCTGTTGGTCTTCCTGTCAGTCCCTTTGATCAGACGGAAGAAGATAAACCAGAAGTGGCTTTACCAAAGGAAGCTGAACAGCTCGGAAAAGCTATGGAGGCCGAAGTGACGGAACGTGAATTTCAAAATTCACCCAACGGAACACCTAGACGTATCCCAAGCTGGGCAGCTTATCTCTGGGATAAAAATGTGACTCCTATGAGTGTGGTGCGACTCGGTGGTCCACTAGGCGCTAGGTGAGTACTATCAACTGCAAGCCATGTGCTTAACAGAGTGCTGACTCTCTTCTTGCGTTAAACAGACTGGTAAACCAATATACCAGCCGTCGATTTGCGCACCTAAACACTGAAGAGCAACATTCTTTGTACGACTATCTGTAAGTTATAATCTTCAAATTGCATCGTTCGATGATACACGATGGCCGTCTAACATATAACATATAGATACCACATCACATCCTCCACTGGCTCTGGAGAATACGCATTAGCTTCCGTTTTGTCTCCTGGAGCTTATGCTCGCAAACCCCTAATCCACCGACTTCCGGAACTAAAGATGCCAACAGTGTTTATCTACGGCACTATTGACTGGATGGATTACAAGTCTGCAGAAGAGGCTGGCAAGAAGATGAGTGTATATACAAAGATCTACCGTATTAGCGCAGGAGGACACCATATGTACTTGGACAACCATAAGGAATTTAACGATGTGGTCACAGAAGTGCTTGGTGCATAATGAACCGTTCGTTTATGAAAGTAAACTTGAAACTCCAGCTAGACTACTACACAAAATTGTAATTTTACGTAAACATAAAACACTCCCAATTAATTTGAAGCTGATGGATATAGATGGAATACGATTGCTATGAAGTCATATGGAGTGGATATAAGCACTGAGCTTTGAGAATGAGCTATAACCATGACATTTCGTAACGCTTCCGCCCTATACACCGGTACGAGCAGCAGTAGAGACGGCAGACAAATAATAATAGATTGTGGTATAGATTAACTCATACTGTCTTGTCGAAATTTACAATGCGAGATGCCAAATAATTTGTACTGTAGTATTACAAGTAAAGAGTATGTCTAGCTGGTATAAATGTATAGCCAAACATTCACTTCGGGCCAACCAAAGTGTCGGATGATTTTTCTCGCACAGTATCATTCTCAATTCCTAAATTAAACACATTCATGTCCTTGTTGAGCATATCTCTAAGTCCTTGATTCTCCACAACTAACTGCTGGATGACCGTATCTTGCTCTGATTCTGTGCCCAAAGAATATAATTCTCGCAGCATCCGGGCGATCTTGGATATATTTAGCTGCAACATCTTGTTCTCCCAAACCAAAGCCGACGTTGTTTGCTATTATTCCCGTAGAAGGTCTGTTAAATCCCTCGTCGCATGTGTACACTACGTAATGGAGAGCTTCTTCTACCCTCTGAGGACTTACCCGTTCAGCCGATAAAAGGCTGTCATATTCTCGCTGTAATCGCAACACCGCATCATTGTGTGAATTCTATGGAAGCAACGTTAGCACACTGATCACATGTAGCTAGTCGCTATAATGACATATCCCTTACAACTTGTAACCGCATACTACTTGTAGCTGACTCCATGCCCGACTCATAATCTTTGAGCAAGCGCTTTAATTGCGCACACTCTGCTTCTAATTGCTGATTCTTGTTGGTCATAGTTCGCAACTGACGCTTCAGCTCATCTTGTTTAGCGCTTGTTTCGTCTGATTCCTCTAATGTTTCAGGAGAGTTTTGACTTGCGCTTGCTGGCTCTGCATTGCGCTGTTGCGAATCATTATAATTATCTGGTGCCGTTGTCCAGTTGCTATTGTTAGCTAAGAATGATACTAGTTTCAGTCGCCAAGAACATTTGCAAGCTTTTCTTGTGATATACGCTTACTCACATAGTTCCCCATTGTGATTAAAGACGCCTGACGTAAGTAAAGCCGAAGATCGTTGCTACAATTTAAGATGTTGGTCTACGACCCCCCATCAAGCTAGGACTCAAATGCATAACTGTTGCTCAGCTTACCTTCACGTCGGACATTTGCTGAGTGATGCCATTGATTGCTTCTTTGTTTGCTGATTGCTGCTGTGCTAGTTCATTGGTTAGGCGCCATATTTGTTGAAGCGTATTTTCCTCAACCATTACTGGCAAGAAAAGTATAAAGAAGCGCGCCAAATGTTTAGCTGAAAAAATTCCTTGTCGGCTGACCTACACGAGCCAACTCGACAGACACAACTAGCCAGGTATTCTTGAAGAAAATCCCTTCAGTGCTCTATGTCCTCAACTCAAAAAAAATAAAACATAGTGCAAGCAGGTGCTTCAATAGATCCCTGAAGTGCATGAATTTACACATAACATGTCAGACAAGCATTTTGGATATTGATGTTTTCATCGTTATCAAGCTACAGCAGCTATATTACATTTATTTACACATATAAGATTATATATCTGCTATGATTCCACTGCTATCGCTGAGAAGCTCTACAGCCTGTACACAAAATTAGGATCTTGACGATCCGTAATGTCATTGTCAACACTAGTCAACTTTTCTCCGCCAAGGGCAGCTCTTCGCTTGTTCTCATGAGCCATGGAGAAACGTAAGTATACCATGAGGAGGATCATTACAAAGTTAGCTGAGATACAGCCCACCATGCCTCCCACATACTTTGGACCGTCAATCATGATCACAGGCCCAATGATGTTACCAACAGTGTAACCTATGATCATCATTGCATTCGTAACCAATTTCTTCGTATACCCGTTGGTGTTTGCGGCAACAGAACTGATCACAAGCACATAAGCAGCGGCATATCCATAGGTAAGGTAGAGTCCACAGAGTTTTCCTCCGACACTTGGTACAGCAACCAGAAGGATCAAGCCTACTTCAGCAACTAACATCAGGCCAACGCAAGTGAATAATCGGTCTCCGGTGCGACTATGTATCCAGGCACCAACAAGAATGAGGAGAACATCAAAGATACCAGAGGGCATTTGTAATAGGATGGAATTGAGACCCTGAGATTCAATAAATGCATTAGCGGGACAAGACTATATTGCTTGGAAGGCCGCGAGATTAAACTTACCGAGAATCCAAACCCTTGGGTGATCAAAGTAGAAAACGTTGTGAGAGCCCCGTTGGTCATGTTGTTAAGTAAAGCACAGAAGAAGAAAATCCAAGTTTTCTGATCCTTCAATGCTTCAATCACCTGGTCTCTTTTGAATTCGTGTGTTCGGTAGACACCATTGTCCGCCAAGCGATCTGCCACAATGAGCTTCTCATCTTCAGTAAGATGAAGTCTTGCTGAGTAAGGATCATCAATTAATACGAAGAATACAACGATGCCAACAAGACAGGTAATAGACCCCAGTATAATCATAATCCTATTAATACAACAAGTATTAACATAGTGTCTACGATGATTTCAAGAATGGATGGTATAATCAAGATGCTTACCATTGCCAGGCCCACAAAGATCGAACCCCATCCATTTGGCCAATGCCATAGCCGACAAGTCCTCCAAGGGAAGATGCAAAACCATTGAAAAGCCACCAGGCTCCAATTCGGGTCACTTGTTCTTGTTTTCGGTAAAAGGTATTGGTGAGCATGATGAAGATGGGATTAACACAGGCTTCAAAAAAACCGAGTAAGAAGCGTAGGCCAGCTAGCTCCGAGAAATTTTTTCCAAGCGAAGTGCATGCCAGAACGATGCCCCATAAAAACACAATAGTTCCAACTAGCCTGCCTAGTGGAAACCGCTGCATCAAGTAACTGTTGGGGAGCTGATATAGAAATTGTTTTTCAGTATCGATCAAGATGTGACCTGGAACGTATGGATCATTAACGTACCTGCATAGTCAAATAACCAATGTAGAACAGCGATCCCAGAAGTGCATACTCAGATCCATGCAAGTTAGTGTCTACGATGATTCCAAGCACTGACGCATAGGATAAAGATGTCTTGTCCAAAAACTGAAGAAATCCAACTGCGCACATGATCGGCAGTATTTTTGTATCAATCTTTCGAACAAGCTTTTTCTCTTCATCGGATAATATCACTCTGGCGTTAGGATTGTGGGCATCTGCTGGGTTTGGCAATGCCTCCAGATACGTAACATCCACTTGTTTAGATTCAGATTTCTGATCTACGTCAGGAGTGGACATTTGGAAAATATGAAGACCGAGAAAAAGATTCGTCGAGTTGCTTTATACTCATCAATCTATTTCTTAATCCGGCAACCAAATTCTGAAGAATGGTCATTTGCTATCTAATCGGCATCCAAAACGATTTCTACTGATTGGTGCCCCGAGATAGGGTTTATGATCGGCTGCAAGCGAACTGACTTGCATAAACCTAAACTCCCGCAGAGTTTGTTGGTTACAGATATAAGCGAAATATCTTTGTTCAAGTCAAAGAAGTTGAATTGCATAGTAGCGCCTCTTTGGAAGTAATACCGAGAGGCAGCCGATGATGGTCGCCACATTGGAAGATAGACTGTAAGAGGGACACAAGATTGAAAGATGTTTCGTTATCAGACCACACCCAGCTACCGCTCTTATCTAAGATTTACAAACGAAAACCAGTAACTCTAATGAACAGGATGCTCTTCATTTAGCTTAAAAAAACCGACCCTGTCATGTACCGGCGTGAATTAGATTAAGTTGTTACCTATCATCAAACTTCCTAACTCGTCCTTAGCTTCCCCTGCCTAAATAATCCCTATAGTGCTTTTCAACAGAACAGAGCTCTATGAGGAAGAAGCGATCGGCTGTAAGCTATGATTTACCCCTTTCGCCATTTTTCTCGCGGTCATCTGTTTTTGGAACATTTTTGGAACATTTACTTAAACGCGGAGATGCATTTGGCTCCCACCAGGCACACCTATGCAACCGGACGACCGAGAAGGTTCAAAGGTACATTTTACAATCAAACGACTGCCCAAGTCAGTGTGTCACTGGGAAATTTCCATAAACACTGAAATTGACGTTCGTTACAACACCACAGTAATTACCAGTTTGAAATGAACGACTTCTCAAAGATAAAAGTTTCAGTATTCCAGAAACAATTGTGATCTTACCCTCCATATGAGCTTCGTGTAGTTTGCTGAGAAGCTAGCATGACTTATTTCAGAGTTACCTGTCCAATATATATACGCGTTTGTACATGTAGTGCCATCAAGTAGCCAACTGTCAAATCATTAATACTACCATACTTGTACTATGGGTCTACTAGTCATCTGAAACATTTACAAATGGTATCATTTAGCCATCTTTGATAAATTTCTACCTCGGTACTTTGCTTATAACCGTGCACAGTTCAAAACCTCAGCTGCTGTTTCCGCTACGTTTTCGTAAAATTTGTTGGCAATTGAGGTCCGCTGCCGTATGCCCTGGGAATTCACTCACCACAACACTTGATGGAATCCCAAGGCTAACCTATTCTTCCGAGTGACGGCGTGCGGAAGACCTGGAAGCTGAGTATGGATATAAGTTTGGATGCCTTGTAGTAGGCATACACCCCACGAATGGTTCCAACTCATGTACCATCGCTAAAAGAACATAATTTAAATATGAAGAAAAATCTTCATTGATCACCTTTTTTCTTGCAGCGAAGTTCAATCGTTCGAATCGACTACGATAGACGGTGCGAAGATTTTCCTGATTGGAATGTGGAGTAAAGCATAACTCAATTACTGAACACAAAGAGTTTGACAAGCCGCTGGTTCGGACAACACTTTAGGCTTGGTGCAATAGTCTTGTGAATATTTTAACTGTGCTTGCAATTCTAGCACTCGCTTGAAAGCAAAGGGAAAGTCAAAAACAAAAGTCGCACGCCAACCCCCTGATTTCAAAGTCATTTCAGTGTTGGATATTCTCTCCTTCGCCTTAGTAAACTGTCGTTTTTGGTCTTGCCTGCCGATTTCGGATGTTGAAGCGTTGATCACAAAGACTGTCAAAACTACTCTCTACAAGTTCATGAAGGGGTTCACGATGATTTTTATTGGGAATTGATGTGCTGGTATATCACTGCAGCAGCATGTTTTATTGTTTACTGTACTGTCCGGATCAGTATTTCAGGGTATTTCTTGCGACGAGTGTCTACGCCTATCATAATCAGGTATAATTACTACTACTTAAGCGGTTTGCCAAAGTGAATGGGCCGCATCCGGCATCCATGTGGGGTTAGAGCTATGCCCTTGCAAGCAAACGTATGCTCGACCATGGTATTCCACACGATCACCAGCTGCATAGGTGCCAACGGGGTCCCAGTCTCGACCGTGGTGACCATGCTTTTCATGGTGCCCACGGTTTTCATGGTCACGACCATGATCATGGTGGCAGTTCTCTCCGTGTTGATGTTCATGCTGATATGAATGCTCAGATTGTTGTCGTTCAAATCTTGCTCTTTCCTCGTCAAAGTTGTGCTTCTCACGCTCATATCGTTCGCGTTCTTCATGCATGGATGCTGCTTCATGCTTACGAGCCTCCTCCTCCTTATGTTGGTTGCCCAAGTACCTTGCTCCCAATAGACCAGCACCGACAGCGAGGGCTCCTCCGAGAGTGGCGATACCTACATCGGTAGCAATGGCCTTATTACGAAGTGTCTTGATTCGCTTGGCGTGATTTTCATTGATATAAGACTGTCCGCGAGTTGGTTGCTGCTGCTGCTGGTATCCAAAACCTGAACCGGGGCTTGAGGGTGAATTAGGAAGACCTTGCACTGTGAGTACAAGATGGACTTCGCCGGCTCCCTTGCCGTTAATTTGATAAATGTCGAATGAGCCATTGAAGGAACCGCCAGGAGCGTACACAACTTGATTAATGGGAATAGCAGCAAATCCGATAACCTCGTCAGCGGTAGGGTCTTCATCAAATACTTCCACGTAAAGATCAGGTTCACCATGGAGAGGGAGTACGAAGCTTTGATTCCATGTTGCGTTTTTACCAGCGTCTTTATGCGTGAAAGTCTTTTGGAAAGCCTTGGGGTTGTGTGGATCAAGTGAGAACTGGGCGTAAGGGTCTTGTTTGCCGACCATGTCCTTGTTTAACAAGTTGATGCCGGCAACGGCTGTAATGGAAAGAGTTGGACCTTGATTTGCGTTGAGCATGATGATAGAGTACTGGTATAAGAATCACAAGAGAAAAGGGAGCGATAGAAGGCTTTAAATACCCATTTAATGCCAAGGCGTCATGGCTGACGCTAAATTTGACTTGTTAACCCTGGCTCTCATAGTATTGACTGTCGAATATTAAGAAGTCCTAAGTTTATTTTCGGAGGTGTTAGCCGAGATGCAAAGGTAAGCTCCGTATGGCCCCAAATGGCAATGAGCTTCGAAGCGTCCAAACTTTGGATACAAATAAATCAGCCAAGTAACCTTCATTGAAGTTTTTGGACGCCGTAAACTGAAGTAGAGGCGTGCATGCTCAGAAACAGTGTTGTATGGCTTTGTAGCGAGATCCTAACCTCATCAAGAGCCCCATACTTGGTACCACTTGAAGCGAAGATTCTAGCAAACCGAGTAGAAGTGCATATATAACTTTGAGCGCCGAAATGTATACTTTCACGCTTAACCGAAAGCAGTAGGCAATGATATACTACAGAGCTCAAAACGAATTTTCGCAGTGAGCTTTTTACAGTGAGATTCTACGGTAATGGACCATTCTGGTTACCAGATAACCATGAGCCTTCCTTGTCGATGGCTTATTCCTTTTGATAACGAGAAGTGCTCAGGAAAGCTTTTTAGATTCTTGGCAAAAGTAGCGCCGCCATAAGTATTTAGTCTTCAATCTCCGGCACTTTACAGTAGCCACCGCTAGGATCACATTGGTGCGCTACATAGCCCTTCGCCCAATTACATGCACTTCAATATGTATATGTCGTAGCACTAGCATTTGCTCAATTCAGACTGAAAAGTACATACCGCTAGGAGCCTTACTATGAAACGATCCCCTTAAGTGACTGGACGGATGTACAATTGAGTTTTGGCCTCTGTTTGTCGCTTGGTAGGAGAAATACAGAACTAAGGGGTTGGCAGTCATCGCTCTCAGTAATTTGGTTTACGACAGCTTGTCAACTAATCAACTGTATATGATGACGTCGACTGAAAATGCGGCGAAGCATAGAAGGATTCGGGCATAACGGTACCTGCTTTGCCCTTGCCTGTACGATAGATGAGCTAAAAATAGTATATTTGCAATGAGATAGCCACAGTGGCAAACCGTCGCCACTGGGCTGGTTGGTCATGCCAAGCCAAACCAAACAAGCCAAAGTCATACCGATACCCTTCCAATAAGCAGCTTCCCCTGGTAGAAACAAATTTGAAAAAATAAAAAAAATGGAATTTGATTATTTACCAAACACCGTCTTCTCCAAATCAGTGTGGAAATGCCTTTGTTTGCAGGTGGCTGCTGATCATCAATCACTACACCCCTCCTTTTTTTTTTGGGAGGAAATACTTCATCACCTTCAGTATGTAACGTGATGTTAAATTGAAAACATATCCTTTTACTCAGCTACGATTTCGATTGTCGATACCAGTATTCTTCATTGCTTCGAAGATTTAATGATATCCCCACAAAAGGAGTAACGTAATTCTTGCTGTGTACGCAAAGTCAGACCAAATGAGTTTACTGTTTTCACTATCCCACTTCTATCATTTATAGCAGTTAAATGCATAGTAAACGCTTTCATCTACAAAGTAAATACACGAAGGATAATAGGTGAGATACATCAGAAATATTGACTCAGAGTCTATATACAAAATTGGGATCCTGCAAGTCGGTCAAATCTTCACCGTCTTCAGCCTTTCGCGTCGGGTTTGCAGCCTTCTTCTTGTTCATGCGAGACATCCATGTACGGATTGCGATGAAGACCACCATGGCAACAACATTCGCAGATATACAACCGACTACACCTCCGACATAAAGAGGAGCTTGGTTAGATGTCATGATTAGGGGCCCAATGATGTTGCCAATTGTATAGCCAATTAAGACGACTGCGTTGGTGAGCAGTTTCTTTGTGTACCCGCTAGTATTGGCAGCCACTGAACTAAGGAACAGAATATATGCAGCAACGTATGAGTAGACCAGATAAAGACCCGCTAATTTGGCGACAGTTGGCAGCACGATTAAGAAGATAAGACCGACGATAGTAACGAAGATGAATACGGCAGCTGTATACAAGGAGTCTCCAGTACGGCCGTGTATCCATCCTGCAAAAACGATGAATGCGATGTCCATAAATCCCGAAGGAATACCAAGTAAAATTGCATTGAGACCCTAAGAACAAATTGAAAGAAATGGAAAAACATGGCTAGTTAAAATTTTTTGTCCTTATCAAAAAAATCGATACGTCAAGCATACATACAGAAAACCCAAGTCCTACAGTAATGAGTCCTGAAAATGTGGTTAAAGCACCGTTGGAAATGTTGACCAGCAGGGAAATTAAGAACCATGCATAGGTCTTGGGATCCTTGAAGCATTCTCTAACTTGGTCCCATTCAATTTTATTTGACCTCTTGATACCAGTATCTTTCAGGCGTTCCTCCATTATGACTTTTTGTTCATCTGTCAAATGAAGTTTTGGCGATCTAGGGTCATCAATCAAGAAGAAGAAGACAAAGATACCGAGAAGACTGGTAACTGATCCTAGGATAATCATAATCCATTGCCATGAGTGCAGCCCTTGAATTCCTTCCATATGGCCAATACCATATCCGACCTGTTGAAAGACATCAGGTTATTTAGAGCCGTAATTTTGATAGTATTCAACAATTGAGCACTTACAAGACCACCGAAGGAGGAGCATAGTCCGTTAACCAACCACCAAGCACCAAGCCTAGAAGCAACTTCTTGCTTACGGTAGAATATGCTTGTCAAAAGCATAAAATTTGGATTGACACAGGCTTCGAATAAACCAAGCAGAAATCGAAGTCCAGCCAGCTGTGAGAAATTCTTTCCTAGCGAGGTTAATGCTATAATAGCTCCCCATACGAAGACAATGGCTCCAACCAGTTTTCCTAAAGGTAAGCGTTGCATCATATAACTGTTTGGAATCTGCATTTAAAAAATGTTAAGAATCTCTTGCTGTAATTTCTTGAGTATTGGCATGAATGTCCATCCTCTTTTTAATTTTTCAATTCGCTTTACCTGCATTGCGAGATATCCAACATAAAATATAGAACCAAGTGCACCATAGTCTGATCCAACAAGGTGAGTATCAGCAATGATTCCCAGAACAGAAGCATAAGCTAGAGATGTTTTGTCCAAGAACTGGAAAAAGCCGACTGCACATAACCAAGGAAGGATTTTCCGATCAATCTTGCGAATAAGTACTTTCTCCTCGGCAGAGATTGTGACTCGCCGGTTTGGATCGTCAGCGGTTGGTTGGTTACTGATTCCCTCTACGTGGACAATATCCTCTTTATCAGTATAATCCAGATCGGTTTCTTTGGAGCTGTTGGACATGGAAGGAAAGTGTGTTCACTGGCAGAAGAAGGCAACGGTTCTCTCTCAACCAGCATATATACTGTTTTTACACTTGTTATCGTCACAAATAAAAAGTCCGCTTAACAAACTTTGTCTCTTATCACCGGTGATTGTCATTCCCACACAATTGATAGACTTTCTCACTGCTTTAGCCAATTAAAACGTATAACATCTTCTATTACAGGAAAACCTTCATTCCAAAACGGGAACACAGGTCCGAACTTTGCTGCGAAGCGTCTTCTATACTTATTCAATTGTAAGCGCTTCTCCATAAGGTAAATGGCTGCATGTGACCCATTTACCGTGCACGCCAAAAAAACTGAACAAGGTTTACCATTACTGGTATGTCAGCGACATTAGCTTTGCGTTACTTCTCACAACGAAGAAAGGTTTTGTCCCACAAGCATACCAACACAATATTTTGAGTACAAAGATTTCACACACGCATACTGATCTTCCAAGGTTTCAGCTACACAAATTAATGTAATGACAGGTGAATCATTTGATATGATATGATCAAATCTGTGATATGGCGTTAAGGTAGTACAGCCCAGTTCGGTCTCACGCTGATGGCCAGACTGTTTTCGGAACCCCGACCGTCCGGACAAGACCCATTCACTCTCACTATGCCATAACTTTAATGTAATAATTTTATCTAGCAGTTTGTCTTACGTTCTCATTTTTCATCAACGGCTATGTGTTCATACTCTAGTGCAGTCTAGACTACGGCTAGATCCTCTAAAACTGACGAAAAGATCAGTTAGTAGTATTTACCGGCCATTGCAGTAATATTTAGCAGTCCGGTCTAATGCGTTTATTAAAAAGCATATTACAAGATTAGTATGTAGCAGCTATAACTTGCATTCATATATCATATAAGTGGATAGCTAGTGCAACAATGCGTTGTTGTCATAATATTTTGGGATTAAATATACTTTGATGGTCCAAATTTCAACAAAAGGTCGATATGTCCGAGTGGTTAAGGAGTGTGACTAGAAATCACATGGGCTCTGCCCGCACAGGTTCAAATCCTGTTGTCGACGCAACATTCTTTTTGCATTTTTTTGCTTTCGATATTTTTTTTAAATCTCAGTCTCTTTAAAATGATTTGAAAAATGAAAACTTTTTTTTTCATTCTGCATACTAGGCTATCCAACTGTATTATCATGTTGTTTTCACTTGCCAGTCTCATAGATTCAACTAATTTTATCTTTTTTTTTCTGGAAACCTCTGATCTTCAAACTTGACTACAAACTTGACTACATGTATAAGTTTGGCCATTGAATGTTAAGTGCAGAATTGAAGGACAATCATTGAATCAGATACAGAAGTGATGCTTTAATTGAACAACTGCCGTATTTTATTTTTTTAAAAAAAAGAGAATGTTTGATGCATAATTTAGTTCACACTATTTAAATACGTGCTAGATTTATGAACGGCTTTGTCATAATGAACTATGTTGCATGTTCCATTTAGACTTATTGCGACAAAATTGAACAAAATAAAGAACAGGTGTGACATAATACAATATTCAATTCAATACACATTGAAGATAATGCTGAGAAAAAGAAGTGAAGAAAATAGGGAGTATATACTGCTCACGCTGGTTGCAGATGATATGGTTCCTGAGCTAGTGCTTGTAGAAGCATTAGCTGAATACGCAATTAGATTTCCTCCGTTCTGCAAAGAATACGTTTTGCCTCCCAACCAGGTATTGTTACTGGAAAGATAGTAGACATTGTGACCATTACCATATATATTGGAAAAGGAAGTATCATCAGCGGCGATACTTGATATATAAGATGTGCCAGTGACGTTCCATGTGCTAGAGGTATCCAGAGTAAAGTATATATAGCTTGCATTATTATTTGAGTTGATAGCTCCGGTTATAATGGACGACTGATTCAATGAAATGGAGATGCTGCTTATATTTCCGCATGATATGTTTCCTGACAAAACTTGATTGAAGGCAACAAATGTCAACTTGCCGCCATTTGAGCCAGAACTGCCCCACTGATCATCTGATGCCTCAATCAACGAGCCAGTCGAAAAATTCATAGTTACATTCCTAAGGTAAGCCTCAGAGACAGTATTGGTGATATAAAATAACGGTCCTGAGTTTCCAGTGTAATTTAGGCTTCCTCCCGTCATATTGAGTATTGCGGTTCCGTCTTGAGCATCCCCGGAAGTGCTTTGGTACAGCATGACACCATACGGCTGTACTTGGTTGCCTTCACCACTGACGTTGCAATTAGTCAATGTTACATTATTGGCACCTTCCACCACAATTGCAGACGAGCCATGAGCAGTTCCAATGACATCAGATGCAGTTATATTACCAGTAGAGTAAACGACAGGTGATCCTGACCCATAAGTGTTGACTGTAGCGCCATCTACTACGACAATTCCCGTACCTCGATCGTTCGCAAAGGCTCCACAGTGGTCACCATAAGTTGTGATAGTAGCATTTTTAGCGTAAATATATCCCATTTGAGTTGCATCAAGGCCACGGGATGAATTCATTGTTGTATTTAGTGTGACATTGTATGCGTAAATGGTGGTCCCAGTTCCAGTGGAGTAAATCGCGTTGGAGCCGTCAGAGTTGGAAGAAATATAAGAGTTTGAAATTGTAAGTGAACTTCCATTTTGGGCGACTACAGCAGCGTTCAAACCGTAGAAATTACTGTCGTCCTCGGAGGTGGTATTACCACTTTTCGAGATGAATGCGTCAGAGAGCGTCAATTGGCCACTGTTGGTGATCAATATGACAGATGTGTTTGAGGAAGTAGCAGCCACAGTTATAGTAGAGTTAGTTACAGTCTCATTGGAAACGGTATACGATCCAGTCAAAAACATGGAGGTTGCGCTATTGCCATTCCCGCCACCTCCACCAGGAGCTGAACCTCCAGCACTACCCATCGCCGTAGGTGGCTGTCCTGATGGCATCGTTCCAGTAGCACTGCTGGAATCATCAGCAAGGGTGTAAGAGGCAAAAAATAATATGAATGTAAGGGAGAATGATATCCTCATGTAGTAAGAGTAATTGAACAGGGAAGTGGGAGCTAAATAATGGAAGATTTCTCGAGACTTAAATATGCGGTGAGTTTTGTGTGAGTTGGATAAGCGCCAAGCAATTTGATTTAACAAAGTAGCTCTTGGCAAAGTCAATTAAATCGTCGTATGAAGTAGCGACATATTGTTCTGACTCGTAAAATCCGAATCACAGTGGGGACCATCGGGTGCAATTGAGAAAAAGTTTGGATTTGGAAATTCGGGAAGTAAAATCGGTTTTAGTTATGTTAATAAAAATTTGTCAGGCGTGACGACAGCAACTCTTAATTCCTGGATTTTTGGAAGGACTTCGCCATTTTGACGATTTTATTTTAGCTAATCGGTCAATCATGGAGGACCTACAGCAGCTAGAAAAGCTGTCCTTGGTAAACAAGATTGTCAGCGAACTCAACAATCACGTTGGGTTGAACGACAAAGGCGTCGGTAAGTTGAACTCATCAGTAATAACGCAAACCAATATGACAGGAGGTACTGACTGGCATCTTCTGCAGCTGAATACATTTTGCACTTGCACGATCAAGCAAAAGGATCTTTCGAAACATTCAAGAAATCACTCAATGATTCAGGAGCAGACTTTCCGGCATCACTAGTCGAAAGTTTGAACCGAGTGATCAACACCATGAAGCCAAAAAAGGGAAGCAATCAATCCCAGGAAGAACCAACAATGTCAGCGGACGAAAAAGCGTTACGATTTCCAGGACTTGCAATGGCTGACGATCCAGAATGGGAGCATAAGCGAAAGGAGGATATGGCTGTCGCTGACGATTTGATGTCTCAATTAGAAGGCTTACATCAAAAAGCTGCTGACACTAACGGCGCAGATCGCAAACGGGCGCGCAGCCCAGATGAACGATCATACGAACGAAGCAGAGACAGATCCAGAAGTCCAAGAAGACGCAGATCAAGAAGCCCCAGACGTGGTCGCAGCCCCGATCGAAGAGACAGAGAATTCAAGCGACCAGTCATGGATGAAGACCCGGTAATCTATAAAATCTATAGCGGTAAAATCACCAACCTCAAGCCATTTGGAGCATTTGTACAACTTGAAGGGATTCAAGGACGACGAGAAGGTCTCATTCATATTGGTATGCTTGCATCTGGCGGGCGAATCAATGACCCTTCAGAGGTGGTTCAGCGTGGTGACAGAGTCAAAGTCAAAGTCATGTCAGTGGCAGGAACCAGAATCAGTCTGAGTCTTCGAGATGTCGACCAAAGGACTGGGCAAGACCTCTCCCCACATCTCAAAGTCAGGAGTGCTGGAGAGTACGAGGAAGAAACTACCAGAAATCCCGACCGACCTTCTGCGTCAAGGGCAAGAATCGTAGAAGACGACGATTCCGGTCGGTCAAGAAAGCGGTTATCGTCTCCAGAGCGATGGGAAATCAAACAGTTAATTGCTTCTGGTGTCCTTGATCCCTCTGAATATCCCAACTTCGATGACGAGAATGGAATGCTCAACGATGTAGAGACAGAGGAAGATATGGATGTCGAAATCAGAGAAGAAGAACCACCATTTTTGCATGGACAAACTAAGAAGACGTTGCAACTTTCACCAGTCAAGGTTGTGAAAGTACCAGATGGTTCAATGAATCGTGCCGCTATGGAAGGTGCAGCCCTGACGAAGGAAAGACGAGAATTGCGACAACAGCAACTAAACGAGGAGCAAGATGCGGTGCCAACAGATTTGAATCAATCGTGGCAAGATCCCATGCCTGAACCAGGCGGTAGGCAATTTGCTCAAGACCTGCGTGGTGCCGCCATGAGTACGAAGAATACACAATCCGAATGGAAGAAAGCAACATTCAACAACGCTACGAGCTTTGGTAGAATCACGAGTCTCACTATACAAGAGCAAAGAGAGAGTCTACCCATCTACAAATTGAGGAATGCTTTGGTTCAAGCTATTGCAGAGGTATGTTATCATAATGAAAATTTGACGTGGGATCCTGCAACATCATTATTGAACAACAGCTTTTTAGAATCAAATGTTAGTCGTGGTTGGTGATACTGGCTCCGGCAAGACTACACAAATGACGCAATATTTAGCGGAAGAAGGCTTTGCTAACCGTGGTAAGATTGGATGCACTCAACCACGTCGTGTAGCTGCCATGTCTGTAGCCAAACGTGTCGCAGAAGAAGTTGGATGCCGCGTTGGACAAGAAGTTGGTTATACCATTCGTTTCGAAGACTGCACCAGTCCTGACACTAGAATCAAATACATGACGGATGGTATGTTGCTTCGAGAGTGCCTTATCGACCCTAAGGTATCGCAATACTCGGTCATCATTTTGGACGAAGCTCACGAGAGAACAATTTCGACTGATGTGCTATTCGGTCTTTTAAAGAGTAAGTGTGCCATTTCGCTATGGTTATTTCAAGGTCATTTCCATGCATCAGGCTGTTAACATTGTTTCGTGTAATAGGAGCTACAAAAGCTCGACCGGATTTGAAGCTCATCATCACATCTGCTACGTTGGACGCTGACAAGTTTGCTACCTACTTTGACAACTGCCCAATTTTCACCATTCCAGGTCGCACATATCCAGTTGAAATTCTGTACACCAAGGAACCAGAAGCAGATTATATGGATGCTGCGCTTATTACTGTCATGCAAATTCATCTTTCTGAACCCCCTGGTGACGTTCTTCTCTTTCTCACTGGCCAAGAAGAGATCGACACAGCAGCAGAGATTTTGTACGAAAGAATGAAGGCTCTAGGTCCAGATGTACCGGAATTGATCATCTTGCCAGTGTATAGTGCCTTACCTAGTGAAATGCAATCTCGTATTTTCGAACCTACACCCCCTGGAAGCCGTAAAGTTGTCATTGCTACCAATATTGCTGAGACTTCTATTACCATCGATGGAATTTACTACGTCGTAGACCCTGGATTTGTCAAGCAAAACAAGTGGGACGCTAAACTTGGCATGGACTCCCTTGTCGTCGTACCTATTTCCCAAGCTGCTGCTAGACAACGTTCTGGGCGCGCCGGACGCACTGGCCCAGGAAAGTGCTACCGTCTTTACACGGAGGCGGCCTATCGCAATGAAATGTTACCTAACTCTATACCTGAAATTCAAATGCTCAATTTGTCCATGACGGTTCTCAACATGAAAGCGATGGGTATCAATGATCTTTTAAACTTCGATTTTATGGATCCTCCGCCTGAAACGAATTTGATTACTGCTTTGGAACAGTTGTATGCGCTGCAAGCTTTGGATGACGAAGGTTTATTGACAAGACTGGGACGAAAGATGGCTGAATTCCCTCTCGAGCCACCGTTATCGAAAATGTTGATCGAATCTGTGGACCTTGGTTGTTCTGAAGAGATTCTGACTATTGTTGCCATGTTGACGGCGCAAAACGTGTTTTATCGACCAAAGGAAAAGCAAGCCGCCGCGGACTCCAAAAAGGCCAAATTCCATCAACCAGAGGGTGATCATTTAACCTTGCTCACAGTGTACAACGGCTGGAAGGCAAGCAAGTTCTCTGCGCCTTGGTGTTTTGAGAACTTCATTCAAGCTCGAAGTATGAAACGTGCACAAGATGTTCGCAAGCAGTTGTTGGGCATTATGGATCGGTAAGTGGATCATCCCCGGATTGCATGGTTTAATGTCGTACGATAGTGCTAATATCTATTTACAGTTATAAGCACGATATTGTGTCTTGCGGTCGCAACTATAAGAAAGCCTGTCGTGCTTTGGTAGGTGGATATTTCCGCAACGCTGCCAAGAAGGATCCCCAAGAAGGATACAAGACTCTTCTCGAAGGAACCCCTGTATATATTCATCCGTCCAGTGCGCTATTCAACCAAAATCCAGAATGGTATGTCAATAATATATATTGAATAGGAGTTTTATAAGGCAGCTTGTCTAATGTTTCTATTTAGGGTCATATACCATGAAATTGTATTTACTACCAAGGAATACATGCGCGAGGTCACTGCGATTGAGCCAAAATGGCTAACAGAGGCAGCCCCAACGTTCTACAAGGTGGCTGATGCGAATAAAATTAGTAAACGCAAGCGACAAGAGAAAATCGAGGTATGTGGTGGTGGCTGTTCATAGCCTATTCGTGAATGTATTTGCTAAACATCTTCTATTATAGCCCTTGTTCAATCGCTACGAGCAGCCCAACGAATGGAGACTCAGTAGACTCAAGCGAGGTGGAAGAATCAGTCAAACATTTGGATAGATTTGCTAGTGCTTTATATTTGTCAATGAAACGTCAACATGTAGAAGAATGCACGTATTACAGTAATGGAAATAATAAAAAAAGAAAAAAAACGAGCAAAACAACAGTTTATATTTTGATAACAGGTTTATCTGGTGTTGTTAAGGCGATGGGTTGTCATAGTAAGACGATCGCTAAGGGGGTCAACCTTGCGACCGACTTTATCAAGAACCTTATTCTGAGCCTCTACTTCCTCTCCCATGGTGAGAGCATTGTTCTTCAACCGGCCGACAGCATCGCTTAGGAAATCCAAGTTTGAGTCGATTTCATTTTCAACTTCATCATCTTCTTCATCAGCTTCAAATTGATAGCGCTGACGATCACTTTGAGAGCGGCCACGGAATCCAGCGTTAGCGGATTGTCGACCGCTGGCACGTTGGCTTCTTTCCATGCGTTCCTTACTCTCATACTCATATTGACGAATGGCGTTTCTCTCCTGCATATGCTCAGAGTGGTCTTGGCGCACAGCCTCAAGTTCCTTGCGTTCGCGTGAGGCTTTGTTAAATGGATTTTTGATGACAGGAATGAAGATGGACCGGTTGAGTTGCTTCAGTTCGCTAGCCTTGGCAGATGCTCGGTCAGAATGAGCCTTTGCGAGATCGAGATTTCTGTCAACACTTGCAATTTGTGCTATGACATTATGTTAGTCCGGGACTCATGAAAAATATTTTCAACCATGAGAAAACATAGAGTAGCTTACATGATTGTTCGCCAAGCATATTCATAGTGTTGCCAGAGGCTTCTTCAGCCTCTCTGATTTTCTGCACAGCGTTACGACTACTGGCTAGGGTATCTTGTTTGACGTTGCGAATCTGCTGCTTAAGACCAGAAACTTCTTGATCTGCTTCATCTTCACCCCATTTGCTGGAGCCGTAAGCATCTTGCTGACCTTGCTCATCATAGCCAGCACCATACTGGCTAGAGCCGTTGTAACGGCTACGTCCACCATAGCGGTCAGAAGTTGGCACAGATTCGCTCGAGTTGTACTGGTTTCTGGCTTGGAATCGAGAGCGTGATGGAGCATCTCCAAATAACTGCTCTCGGTTTGAAAGGTCACTCTGTGAATTAGATCGATACGATGGCGGGGGAGAGTGCGTTTGCGAGGCGGAGCTAGGATAACGCTGCGTATAGGCACTAGATTTCTCTTGGTTCTGATATTGAGATGAAGGCGGAGGAGGGGCACTGGGCTCTTCTTCAAAGGGATTTGTGGACTTTTTCTTACGGCCAAACATGATGAGAGTAGATGAAAAAGAAGAATAGCGGGGATGTTCTCGCACTTTAATAGATTTGGCCTGTCACGTTTTGATTTTTATGGGAGAAAAAAGTTGTTCTACAAAAAAAAAAATGCTAAGCTAATGGAATCACTCATCCTCCTCCATGTAGTCTGGGTTTCGCTTGAGAATGACAAAGCCTTCCAGAACATGAGCCAGTGAGATATCTAGTGAAGTTTAAAAATACGTTAAATAAAACATGGCATTTCTCCTTCATAACTTTGTCGCTACTTACATTTCTCTGTGGCAAGTTCAGCACGCTCTGAGTGAGCAAGCAAAACTGGTGTTGAATGCGTCTGGAAACCAGTGATAGTTTTTGGACGACCAGCTTGTCCAACTACGTCGACCGCCTATGGTAGTGATTATACAATATGATTGAATATATGTTGCTCATCTATACCAATTAGTTGTTAAATCTTGTCTTACCTGTCCAACGCGAACTGTTGCAGCAACAGGTTCGAGATTTTCGTCCAATGTGATCAAGAATCGAGGATACATGGCGGTGGCAATAGAATACAACAACCAGTGATTCTTGCCCAGAATAACTAGGAAATCATGCATCGTTAGTTTCATGTTATATATTGTGATTCATTGTAGTCCGAAAACCCCACGTACATGTCTTTGCATCCGTAAATGCGATGATACTCGTCAAGAGACCAGCAACAGCAGCCGGTGACATGAGCTGTCGGTCGGTATGATATGGGTTGATCGTCATTGTTCCCTTGCCCATGTGTAGCAAGCCTTGAGCAATTCTGACCAAAAACAAACTGTTTGGTTCTTTGTGATAGTAGGAGGCCAATTGTCGGAGCATTTGTGCCAGTCGTGCATTATTGGTACCAGCACCGACAAGACCCATTGCGAATATAGCGCTGATGGCAACATCAGAGTCGTTGTCGTGTGAATATTTACTCAAAGTATCAAGAACAGGGAGTAGTGGGTTAGATGTGCACATAAGACCGAGGGCAAGAGGTACCGCTCGGCGAATGACGGGTTCTCCATAGTGCATCTATTAAGCAGCCGATTAGTTCCATTTCTTAATGAATGATATAATAGTACAAAAACAACAACATACCAGATGATTGAACGTTCGCAAGGACATCTCAGTACCTATGTCGTCTCCCATTGCGATCAATGCGACACCAAGAACGGCATATGCTTGGTGCAAATCATCATCTTTTTCCTTATTGAGGTGGTCATTGCAGTGATGAAGCATGGTTTGAACCTTGAGAACATTGCCAGTACCTAATAGGAAAACAATTAGATACACATCTGTAATGTACCATACATTTTGTTGCTACATACCAGCATATGCCAACACTTCAAGCAATACTTCAGTTTGCTTGCCGATAGGATGTTCAATAGTCTTCACGGTCTCAACTGTTGCATCTGCTGCGTCTTGCTTGCCTGCAGTGGTGCGAAATACATTTAATCATCACATAAAATCCAACATCTTCCTTCGCTCAATATGCTAATAGAACGTACCAAGATAAAGCAATGCAAGGCCAAGACTGAGGTATCTCGACCAAGGATCATTCAGTTGTGAGTCTTCACGTTCCATCATAGTTTGGATGATGGTGCTTGGAACATCATTTTCGTATGAGCCAACGAAGATCAAACCAAGAGCAAGTGCTGCAATAGCGGAGAGATCCATGGACAAGGAGGTATCACTGACAATGGGTAGCAAGTGTTCGGCGAGGTCTTCACGAGCGGAGCCGGCATTAGCCAAACCAATACTGTTTGAAATGATTGATAATTGACATTGAGTATGAAGCAAAGAATTATGCGCTATAGCCGCCACAAAAATCTTACCCAAAGATGGAAGCGATGCGGCATGTGTCGTTGCCTTCATCGACGGAGTCCTTGAGCAGTGCGTAAGCGTAGTCTCCATCGCCGCGCACTCCGGAGTTCAACATTCCGATGGCGAGTAGTGCACCGGCTTTGATATTATCTTCGTTGGAGTACAAATATTTATCTACAGCAGTCAAACCGTTCTCAACATCCCAAAGGTGAATCAAGCCAAGTGAAGCAGTCGCGCTCAACATTCCTGTGAATATAGCCATGTTAGAAAATCAAGCAAAGCATGACAGCACAGCATGTAATCATTTTAACGTACCATGATCCTTGTTCTTGTAAATCCAGGAAGCGTTTGAGTTACTGTCATCCTCTGTGGTCATAAGTTTGTCTTTACCAAATCCTCCGTTGACAAAAGCGTTGACAAATGTGGATGCAAGATTTTGGCGAGCAGAATCTACACTGCCGCTTGAATATCCTGTTCCTATGAGGTGATCCAGGAGTTAGCATCGATAGTCAATCTGAAATATGAAATATTAGCATGGATCGATCGACCACTTACTGATATTTTCCAAGTGACTTTTATAGATATCTTCTGGCGTTTTGGGTTCCAAAACATCTAGCTCACGGGCGAGTGAAATAAAGTGTTCTGAAAGATGTGTGTTGTTCAAACAATCAGCAAGTCCAGCATCTTCAACTTCGATATATATCTGCTGTCTTGCCAATAAGAACGCAAGTTGCTTCTTCAACAGTCTGCAGTTTCAAAGTTAGCAGATATTTGATGTAAGTGCCATGGTCACCTAGTACTTACGGATCTGTGCATGATTCAAAGTCGTCATCAATCATTTCCCGGTCACCTAGCTTGATAGCTAGCGTGAGAGCTTCAGGGAACTTGTCCAATTTTCTATATATGGTATGGGCAGTTCTCAAGAAGGCAGAATCATCCGGAGGAACAAGTAGAGGGACACAGCTAGATCAGTAAGCACACAGCATAATGGTTAGACAGGCATTACAGTGATGCGCTAACCCACTCATCAATTACATACCTGACCATGTATAAGCATACTCGAGCGTATGTGTCCTTGTCAATGAATTGTGGGAGTTGGTCAATGGCTTCTAGTTCCAAAAGCAAATCAACAGCATCTGCCTCAGCATTATGTTTCAAGAAGAATGGTACAATTTCAAGGGCCAGCTTCAAGAGGTCATCGGTAGATTGCTCTTGTTCAATACGTTGAGCATAAACTTGTCCAATTTCAGTTGACAAATGTCGAACGTATTCGTGACCCCATAAGCCAGCTTCCTCGTTTGTGCCTATCAATCTGTATTTCAAGGACTCGTTCTTTCCTTCATCTGAATAAGTCATTGCAAGTACGGATAGAATATCTGCCAAAAAATGCTGAAAAGTTTGCACACAGTCAGCATTAAAGTCATCAAATAGAGATGCAACTACGCTGAGACAAAAGTTTATACCTTGTTATCTGACTCAGGCCAGGATTCGTGGACTTCTTCTAATGCGTGATAATGAGGTCTCAAGAATTTGAGGGGCTTTGGTACAGAGGTCATGGAACTTGTTGATGTCCGGATAAGAGTACATAAGCTGTCCAATGCAGGTCGGTGAAGATCTGTGTTGTCCTCCTGTTATTCAAACGTTGGTTAGTACCTAAAATTGTCGCGTTTGGGCTATATAATTGTAGGCGGTAACTGAACCTTGAGTCTTTCCACAAGCATCTCCAGTTCACTTTTCAACTGTAAATCTTCTTCGGACTACGATAATAAAGTGTAAGTAAGATCTAATAACAGTGGCGGCAATGATCTCAAAACTAATAACTATCGTACCAATTCATCCTCTGGCTTGTCCTTCTTGTCGTTTTTATTCTTAGCAGCTTTGGTTTCGTTTGCTTGATCCTTTTCGGATAGTTCGGGATCTTTTGCTGGAGCTGTTGTTTTAACGTCTTCCTTCGCCATCGTTCTAAGAGCTGTTGCGTAAAGAGTTATGGGGAGTCCGTCAGTCAACTGGTTTGCGCGAGTGAATTGAGGACGCGCAACCTGTGAGAGCAGTGAAAGATGACGTAGGCATGTGACGGCTCTTTTCATGCTTGATCAAGTCATGGCTGAGTTCAGCTGAGTTGAATGCACGAGGAAGAGACTTAGATATACCATGGAAGCTGACGATACCGGTGGCCAACGACAGCCACCCGCAGAACGGAACATCTTAACAGAAGCAGTTACTGATAAAAAAGAGCTCAAGGATATTATAAGCGCAAAGAAAGAGAAAGATGCTACCAAAGGTGTTGTCATGTTCCTGAGCCTTGTTCCAACCTAAGGCTGCGCAGCTACTAATTCAACAAATGTAGTCATTGTACAATTCCGAGCTATAGGGAATGCTCCAATTTTGAAACAAAAGCTTTTCAAGATAACGGCATCTCAAAAATTTCAAGCTGTCAACCTGTTTTTACGAAGAGAACTGAATTATGCTCCGTCCGAGGCTTTGGTAAGTGCTCGATGTGATTTGATCCCAGTTACTATAGACTACGATAATCTTATGGACGACATTATTTTCAGTTCCTCTATATTAATAGTGCATTCGCTCCAGCCCCAGATGAGATAATATCGAATCTATACAAGGTATAATTCGAACGTCAATATTCACAACGAAACGTACGTAAATGGCTGAAATAAGCAATCTAATTTTTTATTTTTCTTCAATAGAGTTTCGGAACTGAAGGATTTTTGGTTGTGAACTACTGCACAACGGCTGCTTGGGGTTAAGCATCGACCAAATAGACGTAATAGTGGGGTGTGGTACATGCCACATGGAATTATACAAGGAAAACTATGAAAAGGAATGGTATGTCTAAAAAAACAATTGAAAGGAAGTGCAATTTACGATTTTGTACAATGAAAGGAATTCTAATGCTTATTGGCCATTTTGCTTCGAAGGCCCCGCCAAAAGCCACTCCTACTCCTTGTCACTTCAGGATGTGTATCTCCTTCTTCCTTATTATGTAAATCGGCTTGATAGTTGTTCAAAGAGCTCCTTGATTTCTCCCATTCGGATGATGAATATGTTGTAGGAGATGAAATACTAAAAGATTGTACACTAGATGACGATGTTCTTGCTGATGAAGAGGTATATGATTCTCGAAGTGGTAGTGGAGGTAGCGGCTCACGAGGAGGTGGCGTAGCAGGAGGTATGGAACGGCTCTTTCTGCCAGAAAGGGCAGAGGATGCCGAAGTTCTTCGAGATGTGACCGTAGAATGGTCTGCTTTAGCTATAGGTGTTGAAATGACCGTTGAACCTGCTACGGATGTGTGTACTTGCAGTGAGGAATATCCATCTTGATCATGACCGCCATGTAATGTTTGGAATTGCTTCCTTTGATGAATAGCTTGTATAGACTCTCGACGTAAGTCTCTTTCCATATCTTCTAGTAGTAGTAAGTTACTGGAGTTGGATCGTTTTGGCTTAATTGTACGTTGTTGGTTCGCCAGCTTTTCTTCCAATTTTTGTATTAGTATATCTTGATGTTCTACAATAAGCGCAAGGTTATGAATTTCTCGCTTGTAGGTAGCAGATTCTCTTGCAGACAGCGCAACGGCCATTTGTACGGCTTGTTCGTATTCATGATCATCATTTTGGTTACTGGCCCCTTCATGAACGCTTCTTCGATTATAGGCGTCCACAATGAAGTTATAAGAATCATCTTCATCCAAATACGAGAGGCGAACGGCCTGCGCTGCATCCACTTTCTGTAATGAAGCATTTTCCTCTCGAAGTTCAGCGACCTGAGAGCGTAATTGATCGCTGCCCGTCGTCAGCTCTTTGATTTGTCGCTCCAAGTCTGATATTTTTTGCTGGTCACTCATGTTTTGTGTTTCAAACTTGTGACATTCAGCTTCCATCTCCAGTTTTTGTTGCATCAGTTGATCACGTTCAACCAGTACTTGCTCATGCATCTGGACAAGCTCTCCTGCAATGGCATCTGCTGTTGTAATAGGAGCCTTATTCCATAGTCTGTTGTTTACAATGGGTTTCAGACTTCGGCGAGGTTGTAGTTGACTCATGAGGGATGATGCGAAAAGTCTGATAATTTGGGAAACAGGTCTTTGTAACTCAGGAACAAATTTTCCCTCTTTTCCGTCTTACCCAGAACGTGCGATCGTCATTAATGGATGATAACCTGGAGGTTAATAGCTGGATTGGCGTTGTCATCTCCATCGTTGGCAATGTAAGGACCTGACTATAATATTGTGTATGATGGGGATGCTGGAAAGCTTTAGTAATTTCGTCATTTCAACAGGTTTTAATATCAGTGGCTCTTAATGTCCAGAAACTTGCGGTAAGACTAAAGGAATGTGCTTTCATCCTCACAATCTGTACAAAATTCTCACCTGTTCAATCTGAATAGCATAACAAAATTCAGAATGAATATACTGCTATAGCATTGGATGGAAATGACTCTGTGGATGACCCAAGTGGGCAAGTCTTCTTTCCAGACGATGGATATCCAACACCTCGAAATTCTGAAGACTCGTTAACCCAAGATGGGTTTCAAGACCCTACCCAAGTTATTGAAGCAACGATGAAAGGGAGTTCTTCGAACCGTACTCAATCCAACAATTATCTCCATAACCCGTTATGGTGGCTGGGCATCATCTTAATGATATTCGGCGAATTGGGCAATTTCATTGGTAAGTGTCTCAGTTCAACCACAAACAAATTATTGCCATGTAGGTAAACACCGCTATTTCTTAGCATATGGATTTGCTCCTGCATCTACGATTGCACCTCTTGGAACCACCACTTTGATATCCAATGTCGTTATGGCTCCGCTCATTTTGCGAGAAAAATTCCGCCTGCAAGGCCTTGTGGGTGTTCTTTTTGCCGTGTTTGGAGCGTCCATCGTAGTCTTCAGTTCCAAGAGCGAAGAAGTTGCGGTAAGTACCTTGTGCTTGTCGTTACTGACATATCCATCATTATTAATATTGCGTAAAGCTCTCACCGGAATTGATTGTGGAAGCTTTGACCCAAATACGTGCGATAGTCTATTTCGCCATCACTGGTGCTGCCATTATCGCTTTGACTATACTATCACCTCGCTATGGTGCTCAAAGCATTACAATCGACCTTGGTCTGGTTGCAATCTATGGTAAGTGCTGATGACTGCTCACACAATTACCATGGCATAACTAAGATTTTTTAATTCAATAATTATTAGGTGGCTACACTGTACTAGCTACGAAGAGTATCTCCTCTTTGTTAAGCATGTCTTTTACCAAGATGTTCACGTATGTACTACTCATCCTTTGCGGATTCCATCGATACCCATTTGATTAACACGCCGATAAAGCTTTTCTGTATCATATCTACTGGTGTTTGTATTAGTTTTCACGGCTATCATTCAAATCAAATACTTGAACCGAGCACTTCAGCGCTTTGATTCCACTGAGGTTATTCCTACACAATTTGTGCTTTTCACCATCTCCGCTATCATAGGTAGTGCTGTTCTGTATCACGATTTTGATAACCTGGAGCCTCACCAGATGCTTTCGTAAGTACTCTTGCGCATTTCCTTCATTCGATGCTTCTCATTGTCTAACCCAGCTTTCCTTTAGATTCGTCATTGGGTGCGCTATCGAGTTCTTTGGCGTTTTAATGATTACATCTAGCCGACAAAAGCGACCAGAGTCACTGTCCATTCAGGCAGATAGTACCCTTGATAACTATTTATTGAACCAAGACGCTGCCGTGCGTGGATTTCAGACCGAAACTTCCAACCCGTCTGACGAGATTGATCCCAACAAGATTTATCCTATGCCAAGTTCACCTATTCATTCGTCGTTCCCATCGTTTCAACCTGTTCTCTCACGTGTTGCCGAAGATGACTTTGCAGAGCGGGAGAATGAGAATAATGTATACGAGGTTTCTGAACATGCTACTCAGCCGGAACGGCAACCAGAACCATCTGTTAGCAAGACACTGCAAAAGTCACTTTCTATGCCATGGCATTTTGATGACTGGCAAGCTGCATTCAATCAAAATGTTCAGGGTACATCAAAACGTTCAAACAAAGCTGGTCAGCATAAGCGTCGAAGCTCGTTATTTGCGGGTATCTCGCTTACATCTCAACTTGTTGAACGCATGAACGAGGATACTATTACTAAAAGCAACCAACCCATTCGGTTGACGAATTCCACCAGCACGCCTAATACATCTTTGCATAGAAGGACTGGAAGTCATTTAGTCTCAATGTTCAACGGCTTGACCAATTTACAGTCAGATAGCGGCAGATCGCATGCCACTGCAGAAGATGCCGTTGCCATCAATATACCCACATTGTTCTCCATTGCCAAAACCGACAAACCTCACAGAGGCGGTACGACCTCGGATCATCCATAGCTAGATTATGAAAAGCGTCACACCGGGAATGATCGACTGTTTTATTAGCGAACTTCTTTGATGTCTGATTCATCATTTTTCCATCTCACACCTGAATGCTGTATTGTCTATTCGAATGACCGTTCACACTAACGGTGGCCAATCATTTACTGCAACATACCTATGAATCTATCGATCTAAACGCGATTTTCAATTTTTCGATACCCTTTTAAGCTATGGAACTAAAATCATAGCTATTTTTGCAAAAATTGCAGAAACATCTCAATAAAATTGATAGTAAACTGCAAATCAATTCATCATGAAAAAACAAGACTGCTAATTATGCAACTGTCGTTGTGGGCAAACATCATTAATCCAATTTTATTATCGCAGTATCTAGAATTGCAATCTTCGGCACTGTATCCAATCTATTTGCTTTCCATCTTTCTCTTCTTCTTTGGTGAAATGTGTGAAGGTCGTTGTTCTCTATCGAGAGAGAGGTCGGTTGCATACTCAATGTATTTTCGAAGACTAAAAACAGTGTAGTAGTCAGGTTTGGACGCCACTTGATACCAGAGTAAGCAATAAGTTAGCAAAGTGGAAAAAAGAATATCTATAGGACAATTATAGCCTTACGTTCAGGAGTTTCGGCGGCGTTGATGTCATTAGTATATTTGCCGTCGGAATCAGCAGGTACAAACTACAAGTGATATAAGAGAGTAAACCTTTAGATATCAATTCTTCGATTACATCAGCAGTAACACAAAGCTCTACTTACCGATCCATCCTTTCGCAAGTATACAGCGACTCTGGTCTCGTCGTCCAGAGCAGTCCAAATGTTACCTTCAATGTCAAAGCCAAAGCTCAGCACAGGCGCTGAAGTTTCCACGATGCTGCTAAATTCGAAACTAGATTTGCTCGCATCCCATTTAAGTACAAGTAAAATGGGCGCCCTAATAACGTGTTTTGCCTAGTTAGTGTGCCAGCACTTTACTCTTGATATATGTAGACTTCCACAAAAACTTACTTTGCAAATGACAATACTGCGATATTGTCTTTCATGTTCAATTCCATTTTCATGACTATAGGATCCATTGAGTTGGCATCCACACCTTCGGGAACATACTTCTCCACATACGATTTATATTGAAGAGAGTGCAACTCTTTGCCAACCACAAAATCCCAGATTCTGAACGTACAATCTCCTCCAACAGTGGCCAGGATGTTTGGTGCCCAAGGAAGAAGTTGGATATTGGTGATGACACTATTTTGCATTCAATTAGCAAGGGCATCGAACGGAAACCGATGCTATGTAAGTGGACTTACTCTGTATGGCCCATACAATAGGACTCAATATTATACCCATTGGGAAATCTACTGACTCGGACGTGCTCGTCACGATCAGCTGTGATAATGTATTTCTCGTCATCAGAGAGAGTCATATCGGTCAACATAGAAACATGTCCAACTATCGGCTTGTTCTTTTTCATCTCTTCCTGTTTTTCGGCGGCTGTTGTCTCACTGACCTCAGTTGGAAAGCTGTTCGAGTATAAGTTATTAGTCGCTTGATTTCAGAATCCCCGAAAATCACATAATATATGCAGCTTACACATAAACATCTCCAAACTTGTCTGCTTCCACAATTTGACTGCCGTCCTTTGTAAATTGCATGGCATTGATGCGCTTTAAAACTGGTCGCGCACTTTGTTGTTCCCAGTTCGTGGTATCCCAAACCCTGATCTCTTTATCGTCTCCTGTAGTAGCTAGATACTTTCCATCCTTACTGAATGTGGTCGTGCGAAAGTGTTCAAGTCCAGAAGTCTTGTTCTCTTCGCTAGGTTGAACTTGCTTAATGATCTCGCCAGTGCTGTCGTTATGAATTTAGTAGTGGTCCACTTTGTACATTCAAACCTAAAAAAAAAACATACCTGGTTTTAACTACATAATAACCTTGTCCGTAGCTAAACACCATAAGCTCCTGGCTTGGGTGTTGCACGACGTCTGTATACCGAGCCTTCATTTTTGATCTGATTGTTACTCAATGTCAAAACCAATTTTTTTCAAAGCCGCCGGGTTTTGCAGACAGAAAGTTGTGACTGCCAATATGCTTGGAGAGTCGCGTTCAATTTGGTGGGCAGACTACTCAAAAGAAAGTTTTGTAACGCGCAAGGGCGCGTTTCAGACCATAGCTCATGCCGGAATACAACTTGAGAGGCATCACAGTTCATTTTCCGCATGAAGCCTATAATGTATGTGGCGATGAAGAATAGCGTCTAATGTGGTTAAATGCTGACAGCTGACCTGTTAACAGGTTCAAAAAGCCTTTATGCAATCTGTCCTACAGGCATTGCACGAGGGTTCAAACGCACTGTTAGAGGTAGACGCAATTCTCATTCTCTTCATTATTTTTTGAGCTGAAGAGAGCTAAATCTCTTTATATGAAAAAGTCTCCAACAGGGACAGGGAAAACGTTGACGCTGCTGTGTGCTGCGCTTGCTTGGCGTCAAGTCTTTGATACTCGACATCGAATGGAAAATTTGAAGGAACAAAATGTATACCAAGACGAAAATCTGAAGAAAAAAATGGAGGAAGCAATCTCCAGTCATCCTGAATTAGGTACTGGGATGTTCTTACTCAAACTACAACAATGTATACAACATGCTAATTAATCACTGCAGAAAATTGGCAAGCTGGTGCCCCCAAAATATATTATGCTTCTCGAACACATTCACAGCTGACACAAGTAGTCAAAGAACTAAAGAATACAATTTACAAGTAAGACTATAGGGTATATTCAACTCCTTGGAGAAAGAATCGAGCTGACCTGAATTTCTCCCACAGACCAAAGGTCTGCATTTTGGGATCACGAGAACAGCTATGTAGTAAGTGTATTAGTAAAGTAGCCGAGTTTATCAACAGGTATTGATAATCGAATTAACTTGCATTATAGTTCACGAAGATGTTAAGCTAGCATCTTCTAATGCTACAAGAACAGCCATGTGTAGGCGCAAGGTTGCCAGTAAAGCCTGTTCTTACCATTCAGGTACAAAAGGTAATAACATTCACCTCGACTTTTTTCATACAGACTGTTATTAATGTAACACTCTGACAAAGAGGCGAAGAGCTTTTTTCAAGGAGAAGGTGAAATTATGGATATCGAGGACATTGTATCGTTCGGGACAAAGCACAAGTAAGAGGAGCTAACCCTAGTGCACTTCCCGTTATGTTGTATTCAAATTTATGGTCATTACAGGGCATGCCCATTCTACCTTACAAAGGACTCGCAATTAGACGCAGATATAATTCTTTTACCGTACAACTATATTGTGGATTCCACAGCCAGAAAGGCGATGAACATTGATCTGTACAACAGTATAGTCATCTTTGATGAAGCTCACAACTTGGTAGGTGTACACAACCTTCTTTACCTTTTCGGATGTCCCAGTATAACGATAGAAATGTCACAGGAATCTTGCTGTGGAGAGGCTACCTCATTTGAACTACCTATGTCGACATTGCGCAAGTGCGTACAAGAATTGAAAGCATGCCAGAGTGCTGTGGTTCCAAATATGAGTGATTCTGGATTAATGAGCCAGAGTTTTGGCGCCTTAGCAGGTAAGCCACCTCACTTCGTGGGTTAGCTCGCAACTCAATCTCACCACGTATACAGATCTGCTAGACAGACTCCGAACTACCATCGACCAAATTGAACTATCTTACAGCGACGAGCTTATCAAACCGGGGATTTTCATATACGAGCTTTTAAACATGGTGGAAATCAATAGTTCAACTGTCGGTTATCTACAGCAGGGAATCGATAGTGCTGTACAAGTACTGACGTCGCTCGGTATGTTTTTTGACATACCACTTTTCGATTTGATGCGGCGAGTAACTAATTATGTACGATTTTTTAGACTCATCCAATCAGTCGACCTTCTCATTGAGTAATCTCAGCAATGCCCTCAGGATGATATTTAGAACAGAGTATCTAGTTGACGATGACCAAACATTCTCAATGGCCCATACTAAATTTTACAAGGTTCACATTCAAAATATCAAAACGGCGGCAGGCGTATCGGAAAGGCAACTCAATTACTGGTGCTTCAGTCCAGGATTAGCAATGACGGATCTTGTCAACCTCAGAGTGCGCTGCGTCATCTTAGCTAGTGGAACACTCGCACCTTTGTCCTCATTTGCTTCCGAACTACTATTGTAAGCGTTTAAAAACCGCTTCTTTTGCTATGATTTTTGATATCTGAACTACATAATTTATCTTGCAGAAAGTTTCCTGTACGGCTTGAAAATGCTCACGTTATTAATGCAAATCAGGTATATAATGCCTCTACAGTCAATGCAGTAGAGGCGGTCCATGGCTAACAACATTTTATTTGAAGGCATTTATCGCCGTGTTGCCAAAAGGTCCGGCAGGTACCACACTATCATCTACATACGAACAGCGAAGGAAACCTGCCTATAAAAATGAACTGGGGAACACCATTGGTAAGCAAAGATATTTCTATTAGAATATATAGTAGTTGAGTGATGCTTACATTTTCCTCGAAAGTCAACTTCAGTAAAGTGGTACCTGAAGGGCTTCTGGTTTTCTTTCCGTCTTATGCGGTCATGGCCGATTGTATAAGTACATGGCGTTCTACTGTAGGTCCTTTACTTTATTAGATGTAATCTCAGCCTGTACTAATCTTCAGAAGCAGAATGGACAGAACAAGTCTGTTTGGGACCGGCTTACTGAGCAAAAGCAGGTCTTTGTAGAACCCAAAACGAAATATGAATTTTCGCAAGCCATCAATGGGTATTACAGCAGAATCAAAGATCCAGCTTTCGATGGGGCTATCTTTATGGCCGTTTGCCGCGGAAAGGTCTCCGAAGGCGTAGATTTTGCAGATGGCCGAGGTCGAGCCGTCGTGGTCACAGGTATACCATTTGCTCACTCTAAGGATCCAAAAGTAAGTTACCATATTGTATTCACTAATAGCGTGTTTACACTATTTTATAAGCTGACATCTATGCACGATTTAGATTGTGCAAAAGAAGAATTTTCTAGATGATATCCGATCCACTTGTACCGACCTGTCTCAGGTAACATTTGAAATTCCTAACATTGAGATATGAAAAGCTAAAGCTATCGGTTTTCTTGGCTAACCATTGAAATCTTTCAAACATTAAGACTATTTCAGGCAATGAATGGTATCAGCAACAAGCTCTTCGAGCCGTCAATCAAGCTATAGGAAGAGTTATTCGTCATCGAAATGATTACGGAGCTATTCTATTATGTGACGAACGGTTTGGGAACCCATCAATTATTTCGCAGCTGTCAGCGTGGATCCGAGACTACGTCAAGGTATATCAAAACTTTGGAGAGGTCCAGACGAAATTGACCAAATTTTTCAGGGATATGAAGCATGATGGCGTGAGTATAGAAGCACTGATATATCTTTGTATGTACATATTAGTAACCATCACTCTTGATAGCCCTCATCGACATCTGATGCTACAAGACTAGAGAGACACAGTTCAGCACATACCAGAGAAGCCGCTTTTGCAAGAAGACCCATTAATCTTGGAGGCGATGATAGTGAAGGGAGCGGGCCTGTCACGATACGAAATTATAACCCGCGAACGACCATCATGGCGTTGAATGAGTACTCCATATTACGTGATAATCAAATTCCCAAAACACAACGTGAACACTCGGGTTCTGATGCTAAGAGAGGTGTTACAGCAACGCTTGAAGAAGCACAGGCTTACTCTACAGAAATCGCAACACTTGGTCACGATAAGCACCGGCAATATAAACAAATCGTGCGACAATTTAAGCGGAAGGAGATTGGGATTGAACCATTTATTGATGGCCTCATCGATATATTCATTGGAGAGAATCGGCTGGATTTGCTACGAAGATTTCGCATATTTCTGCCACATAAGCACATCCAGCTGTTTGATCGTGTATTAAGAGCACAAGGTGAGTAACTATTCGGTTACGTTCTTGCGAGATTCGACCACTAATTTATCATCAGAGCTAATACCAGATAATACTGACGTCGCCGAGATTAGTCATGATGAATTTCAGGCTAAGAAGCGACGTATTGAATAAGCAACATAGCACCTTAATGTGTATCATAGAGTACTAATATTTCAATCTGTAAAAACAATCATAGGATAGCATTTAACAAAATTCACATTTAATGATAGCGCAATGAGATGGAGTATTGAATAGGGTATCCTATTTTATTCCAGACTGTCAAAAGCAATAGAATTACCTTTCAGCAACGGACTTGAAGAATGGGACTGAACATGAAAATTCGTTTGTCAAAAATTGCCACGTGACTGCGACGATTGCCGTTTTAGTCAGTGCTCAGCGAGAAACGATGAACTCCCTCTTTAACTGCAGGTGCGTATGGGTGTAGATGCTATTTGGATGATGATGGGGGTAGATCCACGAAAATGGATGCAGCGAGTCTATACTGATTGGATGGATGACTGTACTGGATCGATGGATTGATATGCATCAACTTGGTATCGACCTGAATTTCGCAAAATGTTCGACCATAATCAGAAATGAATATTTTTACATGCACACAATTTCGAAATTGATCGTTGCATATCACAAAAGCAGCACAATCTTCGAGAATTGAGTGACACCGTCGAGGATACATTGATTAATACTTTGATTGAATTGTTGAATTAACCTATTTTCCTTTTTTCAAACTATCATTCATAGGTCTTGACATGGGTGGTACGTTCGACGTTTCTTTTTTGAACCTTTGTGACGAGAATTGATCATTAACCCGCACTTTTGCCTATTATCATAGCTTACAAGTATCTCGAGGAACTTTACAAGAAGAAGCAGTCGGATGTCTTCCGTTTCTTGCTTCGCGTTAGATGCTGGGAATACAGGTATGCAAATCATACTTTTAGCAGGTTTTGCTCAATATACCTAATGTAACGACGATAACTAATTCGATTTTACCGCTAGACAATTGAATGTCATTCACCGTGCTTCCCGCCCCTCTCGCCCTGACAAGGCTCGTCGTCTCGGCTACAAGGCCAAGCAGGGCTATGTTATCTACCGTATCCGCGTCCGTCGCGGTAACCGTAAGAGAACCGCCCCCAAGGGTGCCACCTTCGGTAAGCCCGTCAACCAGGGTATCAACCACCTCAAGTACCAGCGCTCTCTTCAAGCCACCGCTGAGGAGCGTGTTGGTCGCAAGTGCGCTAACTTGCGCGTCTTGAACTCCTACTGGGTTAACCAAGATGCTACTTACAAGTACTTCGAGGTTATCCTTGTTGATCCCAACCACAAGGCCATCCGTCGTGATGCTCGCATCAACTGGATCGTCAACCCCGTTCACAAGCACCGTGAAGCTCGTGGTCTTACCGCCATTGGCAAGAAGAACCGCGGTCACGGAAAGGGTCACGGTTTCAACAAGACCATCGGATCTGGTCGTCGCGCCAACTGGAAGAGACGCAACACTCTCTCTCTCCGCCGCTACCGTTAAAGCACTCGTGTGGTTTACTAACTACACGACTTGTTTCTTTGTCAAGCTGCAGAATGCCAATGTTACTCCGGTTGGAAATATTGGTTTGGCTTTACAACTCTTAAAATAAACATGTTTCAAAAGAACATTCATTAATTGTCGTTACATATTTGTGCAAAATGTTTTATCTGGTTGTCAGTATGAAACGTACAAACGGGGCATGAGAGATAGCCAAGGCTGTATCTATCTCAGCCATTCGTTGATAATGTCAATGGATACAAGCAAATCGGGTAATTACTGTGTGGCAATCACAAATGTCATTGATTTGCATAAGATGGGGAAAGGAAAAAAATGATGAATGAATGTGAGGATGCTTTGATTTTACAAATTGGCAGTACGGTACGGTTCGGTGTGGTAAAGTGAAGGGGGTGTAGAGAATGTCATCACGGTAAAGGTTAGGCTATATGCAGGACTGTGACATAAATCTACAGTCTCAGAAGAAGCGGCAAAGAAGATGTATGCAATGATTTGTCTATCATGATAGAATGCAGGGTCTCATGCATCATTTCAATCCTCTAGTGAGTGACCATGTTTATAGATCTTGGCTTTGCACTGGTCCTTAGGAATAGCAAGACCAACACGTTCACCACCAAGGTCAAAGATAGTATAGAAACTGTTGGAAAAGGCTCCTCCTAGAATCCAGTTCTTGTCACTAGAACTACGACGAATAAGTGTATTACACTGATCGCCCTTGCGGGTTGTCCATTCAGAAGAAGGCAACTTGACAGTGTATCCACTAAATGTAAATATGAGATCAGGAAGATCGTCAATCTTGTCGCAATCGATCTTATACACATTGGAGCTAGGGTCATATTGTGCATCAATGGCATCATGAATCTTATCAGCTTGTTTGATGGGAGCTGAAAGGAAGCTAGTGCCGGTACTGATGGCAGCATTGGAGTTCGGGTGTAGCTTGATGTCGGTATCACCAAACTTGACACAGGTCAAGGGGATCTTCCAGAATCGACTGGATTGATCATCGCAACTATCGACCAACGGGAAATAGGCAATCTTGCCTTTGTAGACACTATGGTCGACTCCACCGAATACAAAGTGACCTTTGGTGTGCCATCTTTTACCAAAGCCTGTAGGCGCGCTTGTAACATACGTCCCGAATTGTGGTGAAGTATATCCATTATTAGTCATAAAGGCATTTGAGGCATAGCTTGCGCTACCTGGAGCTGTTTGTCGACGTCGGATTTCTGTAAAATAGAAAAGCTGTTACATCATGTCGGAAGGAATTTCCTATAATGGTACAGCGTTCATACCTTGGGAACCAATGGTGTTCGGTTTTCCAGTGGCATTAAGATAATAGTCTCCGTTCGATGAAAAGTCACCAAGACCAAATACTCCCACTAAAAAAAGGATAAGTGTCAGAATCAACATTGTACCTGCGTTCCTTTAGCATAGATAAAAATGATAACGTACAAAAGGATGGTTTATCAAAGCCGGACACTCGAGTTGCAGCTCCAAATTGTTGATCAATTACCGTAAAGCCGCCGATACTAACAGTGTCCTTGTATATCTTGGCATCAATGCATTGGCCTTGTCCATAAGACAATTTATAAGTTTGGCCGGTGTTGACAGAGGTTGATGATTGATCGGCCTTATAGCCTTCACGGTTTTTACAATTTCCGCTCTTGCATTCCGATGATGGAACCCAAGTAAGGCCAGAGCCTGTATCGAATAAAATCTCGAATTGTTGAGGCGGGTTACCTGAAGTATACAAAAACGTCTAGGATCAGCAATCTACATAAGGGTGGTGCAAGGTGAGGCACGCCATAGAAGGCAATGACCACGAAGATGGATCTGGCTGTTTACGTAGCAATAAACAAAGGAAAATTTCATTGGGGGGGGCCAGAGAGGGGTGCAAAAATTACTTACCAACCAAGGCTGTTCCAACAAGCTGATAAATTAAACTAGTCATTAGACAAAATGTTTATATTATGCTGATGTCGAATGATGTGACAATATCTTACCAAACCATCATCGTAATTAAGGTCTGTGTTTTTGAAACTGGTATCCGAAGAGCGTTTGTGCAAAGGAATCGTGACGAGTGACGTTTCAGCCATCTGAATCAAAACTGCCGTAGCAGCAGCCAGCAACATGAATGTGCGCATGTTTAACAATATAGAAAGGTTGTATGGCGCTTTCCACTCTTTGTATATATGTTTCGTTTCAAAAATGTATTTTTGAACAAAAGGGAACGACAAGGTATGCGAGAGAAATATGTAGTTAGGGGAAGAAAGGCGGTTACTCAAGGAGAAGGTTGAACATTTATATTCTACATTTGCTGAGTTGAGATACCAAAATACCAAAAATCTGCTTTGATAATAATGACCTTCATCGAAAAGTTATTGTAGCTTGGTAAGACGTAGAGTTAACCCGGTCCACTCCCCTTTCCCTCACTTTGGCCTGGACCCTTCCGAACTATCTAGCATAATGGTAACGCTCGTGCCCTAATTCTTTTTGAAACCTTTCCATTACAATATCAAGGATCGACATATGCAGCATGTTACTCTCTTAGTGATTACATATTTCTTTCATAACCTAGGATTTGATTGATGGGCATATTTTTTCTCTTGACCGGAAATACCGGCACGACGAACTTGTTTTATTTTTGGAAAGAATTTCGCCACAACCATCACAGCAGTGAGCATCAGTTTAGTTGTCCGACCCACGAATCTATTTATTGCCAATGTGTTTGGCTGTTGGATGATCAGATGAAGGGGGTTCGGCAACGAGGTTATAATAATATCTTGCTTGAGAATATCTTTTTCCGTCACCAAACAGGGCCAGGCTCTCAGCTCGTCTTCCAAAGCTTCCATTATAAAAGTCCTAAGCCATGTCAAATCCGGCGCGGGATCCGAGCTTGAAGTCCGATATTTAGCCATCCATGACGCTGCTTGGTCTCGATGCATCGCCAGTGTGTGTCAGTAGAAGATATTATCACTCTCTACAGTTCAACTATTGATGGATTTTCTTTCATACCCTTGTGACCACTTGATTTTGCCCCTTAGCATCGATATTGTGCAGCATGTCACAAATAAGGGAATATCATCAAATGTCTTCTTTGACCAGTCATGGACAATAACTTTTCTCCGCATTGACGGTGTCACACTGAGTACCGTTATATGTATCTTTGAACCTCACTACAACCTATATGTAAGCTCCCAGCATTGTCAAGGGCAGATGCTGCTTATCGAATCGTGATCTATATTTGTACAGCAAACGTCACGACTGAGCCTTATACGATGGTCGTCGAGCATAAAATGTGTACAACGACCTTTCTGAATCGATTCGTCGTAATTCTAACAATAACAATCAGTACTTGCGCGATAGGATACTGAAATAGCTGAAGAAAACAAAGGAATCAACTTACGAATCCACAGAAAGCTCCTTTCGTTGTCTATACCCATATGGCAATGCTTGAATGATAGCACAGTCTTTGTAAATCGTGACATAATATACGGTACACTATCTTTGACCACAGTCATAAGTCAACCATCAAAAATTATACCCTGATGATGCGAAGGGGATATACCTTACTACTTATACTTAGTAAAGAAGCAGGGACTTCGAGATTATATTTTTATTTCATGCAAATATCGCGATATCAGTATTTGGTAGCAAAGCGGTAGTTAGATTTTCTTTCAACTTGATAACATCCGTGGCCCAACTGTAAACTATGGAATAATTCAATAGAATTTATATCTCACAGAATGAAGTAAAGAACAGATGATGTAAGGAGGACGATAGCAATTCCGCTGGAGACAGCATGGGTACCTTCCGATTTGGTATTAGCAGGAGGAGTCGATGGTATGGTTGCAGATGGATTGGCCTTTATAGATCCACTACTGGTGCCATTGCTTCCCGAGCTAGTTAACGGAAGATTGCTGCTGGATGGACCTGCAGCCATAGTTTGACTCGGCACACTGGCAGATGTTTGGCTGACGTTGGTGGCCGGAGGTACTGCTATGGAACTGATGCATTGATTGATTAGCTCCCTACCTATGGCAAAAGATGTACAAGGTATCCTTCTAAAAACTAACACTTACGCTGCACCGCAAATGCTTGTAACCACTCCTTGTTGTATGGCAGCCTGGTTAGCAGATGCTGTATCAGTACAGACATTGTAGCAGGTAAGAATTGCTTTCTGCCATTGGCATAGACAATTATAGTCTATTTCACCAGATTATAAGAAGTCAATTAGATTCTGTGGGTGCACTCATATACAATCTATTGTAGTAAACCGTACCAACTGGGCCGCAGGAATTCAGATTTGATTGTTGTGTCTTGATACACAAGTTGAACCTTGAAGGGAAAAATATGGATTAGTGCATATATCCGAATATATAGCGCTAGAGCTCCTAATGATTGCCTACACAGCTGCATCCAGACAAGTGCTGCTAGCTTGAGCGTTAGCATACGCTAGCATATATGCAATGATAAGTAGAAAGGTAGACTTCATAGTAGACGATCAAGAAGTTGTGCGGAGACTAAACTGTCCTTTGTATCGGTACCCTTTTATACTTTTACATCAATTCTGTTTTTATAACTGGATGAGCAGAAACAATTCTGAGTTCTCAAACCTTTGGGCTAAGACAGAGTTCCTGCTATCTTACCACAATTTACAGAAAAATCGCCTTAAATGAATGATTAAGGTACCGAACAATGGATCATACATATGATAGCTTTATTACGCGACAAAGTAGATGTATAATTTACAATTTAGAAGCGCTTTTCAATTTCTGCTGCTTCTTCTTCTGAGCAAGTTCTGTATTGAACGCCAATGTCAGATTTCATGCTAGTGTCATATAGATATACAAAGTATGAAACTTACCAACAAATTCCAAAAGTCTCTGTATGCAATCATCGCTTGCCATTCTTTCAGCAAGTCTCTGGATTTCAACCTCGTTCACCTTCAACAACGATTCCCTATCTGCATCTCGAACAAGCTTCTTGGTGGTCTTCAATGCCTCCAATGAGAATTTGGCAGCATCGGTTGCAAGCTTCAAAACGTGGTCATGGAAGCCTTCTGCTGGCAAAATTCGACCGATGAAACCAGTTTGTTCCAATTCTTGGGCGGTAAATTGGCGATTCATCAACTTTTCAGATAAAGATAATGAGACTGTTCAGTATTGCATATAGTTCTATGTATAGAAAAATGGAGAATTCAAGATCGCTTACAAGCATCTCGTTAGCTCGGGATGGACCCATGATACGAGGAAATAAAAGTGAAGAACATCCTTCGGCACAGAATCCCAGTTGCATGAAGGGTGTCTTGAAAGTAGCATGAGGTACAGAGTAAACAACATCACAAAGAGCTAAAGTTGTGACACCAAATCCGATAGCAGGACCTAGACATGTTTGATTTAGTAAGCACGTAATCATGAACAGAATATAAAGGTAAACGAGTGGGTGGACCACAAAATTTTTAACTTGGGCCCCATTCAGGCACAGGCTATTTCACATACCGTTGACGGCAGCAATGAGTAACTTGGGAAAATTAATCATCTCATCAATAAGCGCCCTAATCAAGGATATAAGTTAATATTGTAAAGGCATAGACTGCCACTGATCATTGAAGTTTAAAACATACTTTGTATTAGCGGAGCCCTTCTTAGCAATGGCAACCATATCGTCGGAATCGTTCGACTCAGTAACTGGTTCAGGCATGGTCAGCTCCTGGCCACTGGTATAATACTTTCCATTACCAGTAATGATGGTAACCTTGGCTTCGTCGCAGCGGGCAGCCCATCTTATAGCAGCAAGCCATTCCTACATTTGCAATTGTGGGGTAAGTGTGAGATATAACGGTTCTTATTGAAAAGTAGTCTAACATACGGCATACGCCAAGCGAGACAAGGCATTGTAACGTTGTGGTCTGTTGAATATAATCTCTGCAACACCGGTAGCGTGCAATTTGAGTTCAAATGTCTCGAGTTTGGGGATGTCAACTGCCATGTTAAAGGATAAAGAACAAGGGCACACGTGAAAGGAAAAAAGCGTAAATTGAATTTGTAAGGTCAATTCAATTGACAATGAAATTTTATGTACAGCTCCTACTGCTACTGCTACAGCAATTATTTCTACATTTTCAGCTTTTTACTTTTTCCCAAGCTTAACAATGCTCGCTTCCTGGAGACTGGCGGATCAAGAATGATTGTATTTGTATCGACCTCTATCCGATTGCTGATACTAGTATCATTTGGGTCATCCTTTATGGCAGAAACGTTTGGGTTTGCCGTGGGAGGAGGTTGTGGGGTGGTGGTACAGATTGAATTTGGCGAGTGTATAGTGTACAAATTATCTACGCTGCATACTTCGTCTGAAGAGTGATTCAAAGCCTGAGGTTGATTAGGGTTCGGAGTGTTGCAATCCTGCACTAGTACATTTCTTGGTGCGATATGATGGGTTGCAAGTCGGTTATCTGATTGATTATTGTAGGGTATTGTGTTATTTGTGGTTACTGGCTGTAGAGTTTCTCCATCGCTATTCAGGGATTTGTTGACTATTTCAAGGTTATTGGAGGATGTTATTGTTACTGCTTTGGATGTACTCTCGAAGTATTTCGACGTAGTGGGTGTGGTCTTTTGATCCTTAATGTTCACCGTACTGCCCTTCGTCTCTTTCAGGTCCCTTTCAGAGATAGGAATTCCATTATCCTCAGTTTTCCGTTTAGACAAAGAAAGCTTTCCCAATTTCTTGGAACGGATGACAGGAAGATTTGCTGGTTCCAAGATACTGTCTTGACCTATCGAAGGTGGCGTAATTGATGTCGTTGTTGCGTGTGAAATTTTGGAGGATGCTGAATCAGTTGCTTGTAAACTAGATGTCTGGCAACTTGATGAAGCAGGCGTGTTATTTGATCCTTTTATTGCATACTTTAGAGTCATCTCCTGAGCCTTTAATCGAAACAAAGCGATATTTTCCTTGTATTCAGCAGCCTGCAATTTCATGTAAGACACTTGTATATCACTATGTTAGAACGGATGTAATACTCACTATATCCATCTCTAAAGGGTCTTCAGGATTAGGTTCACTCATCAGCCCCGATAACGCCAATAAAACGGTTGAAAGATTCAATGCTGGTACCCAGTTACCTGCCGGAGGCATCTTCAATATATCTGCACAAATACGACCGGCTTCATCAATATTCGGATGGTAAATTGGTGTTATGAAACGCATTTGCGGCGGATCAAAGGGATATCGCTGTGGAATTTGGATATCCAACTTGAACGTTCCTTTCTCAAATGGACTCTCGGCAGGGCCATTAATGTCTTATATACCAAAAAAAAATGGTTATGAGAAGTTAAAGAGTAACGAAAACGTCAATTCAACAGATTTCTTACGAGCTTCCAAATGGGTGCAATCGTCGTCAATTGGGTAGCATACAATGCCTGGAGGAGGTTCATGTTCAAGTATGGCTGTATAGGGGTGAGATATGGTATAGTGGCACCAAGGCAGTGTGTTCAAAAGCTTACCAAGCTCCCGCTTTAGACGATTCAATAATTGGCTAGACAGCATTGCATATGGCGACCAGAGCAAAAGCTGAAGAAATGAAATCGTGGTATTATTAAAACTTTTTTTTCTTTCTAATTTACCCAAAATATTTCGTCGCGCTTCCACGCGACTTGCAGGTCTTGAAAAAAAAAAAAAGATCATCAAAACTTTTTGTTTTAAACTTTAGCTAACTTCCACCCAGCTCGCTGAACGCGCAATATTCCAGCAAGTAAACCTCCAGCTATTACAGTTGATCCTGCCCAGGCAGCAGCGTATGCATAATTGTCTGTGTCTGCCAAGATTCTACTGGCAATCGGCGTGCCAAAGAGATATCCAAAGAAATTGGTGGCATATAACAAGCCAACGGCGGGTGATATGTTCTCAAGTCCAACCACTTGGGGCTGCACAGTTGGGAACAGAGCGACATAGCCACCACCAAAGAAGCCGTACAAAATAGCAAATACCCAAACACCAGCTTCATTCTTGGCAGGGATCCATACGACCAGACACATAATTCCACACAGCATAGTACATATGAAGAGTGAATTGAATCTCCCAAGCTTGTCTCCCATGTAACCAGTGAAAATGCGCGCCACGGCATTCACTCCTGACATGATAGCCGAAAGATTGGCACCAACCCATGGATCCAATCCAAGGTAAGTTGCATAACCTGTAATGAAACGCAGGTAGGTTAGCCGACCGGGGTATCTACATTACCGAGTGTAAAAATGAAGGCTTACTAGGAAGAAGAAAGAATGGTGTCTTTTGGGATGGAATAATAGCAAAATTAATATGGTAAAGTTTGTTTTCCTTCCGATGATGGTAGCTTACCATATAGCCAAAAGTAGTGATTAAACCATGAAGGAAGATGACACAAAATTGGGGGTTCTTGAACAGATACCAAGCAATTATTTTTTCTTTTCCGCCAGTTTGATTGATATTACCGAGAGGTCGGACAGTAAAGGTGGTGATGATCAATAGTACGAAGGCCATTATGCCTATGATCCGAAGAGCCCATCTATACCCAACACTTGATATCGCTGCTTGTGCAATGTTGGATACCACCAAGCCTCCAATACCTGAGCCCGACATAGCTAGGCCAATGGCCAATCCGCGCCGTTCTGAAAACCATTGCTGACTAGCTCCAATACAGGGAAACCAAATGAACGATGCTCCAAGGCCAAAAAGGACACCCTGTGTCAGAAAAACATGCCATACTTGAGTAGCAAAGCTAGCTAAAATCAGGGCAATGGGGCAGGCAATATTGCCAACTATTAACATATTTCTATATCCCATTATTCGTATGACATGTTTGTTGATTGGTCCGAGGAAGAAGAAGAGAGATACACATATTGATCCGATCCATGATAGTGTCGGCAGTTGACCAACATATACGTACTTATTGTAGTAATTTAAGAAGACACCCCAGGAGTAATTGTATCCGAAGCTAAAAAGATCACATGTTGTTGGAACAGGTTTCATTGACATGAAATAATGACGAAAATCGTAACTTACATGGAGAACAAACCCTGGAAACAACAGGGATTTTGAGTGTATGAGTATAGAATGCCAGGGAGATAAAAGGGGGTCCACCTTCTTCAATAACTGTGTATGCAGCTTACCAGAAATGAACCGAACACCACTAGCCAGCCTCGTCCTCCATCCGGTGGCTGCAGCGGTTGATTATCTGAATCATCTTTCTCGAAGCCCGGCTGAGCAATTGTAGTGGAGGATTTTGAATCGTTGTCATCGTATAGAGGCTCCTCTATAGGAATTTGTCCTGACATTGATCTGGCAAGGTTGAGTTAACGGAAGAAGTTAAAGTTATAAAATTTTTTAGATGCGCCGATCTCGGTTATTTGTTTGTGCTGAGTGAGTTGCCAACTCTGTTTTTTCTGCTTCATCAAAAATTTGTCAGCTCCAACTTGACTGGTTTGCGTGACAAAGCGCTCAATTTTAATAAATAGGAGGCCGCACAACCAGTCGTTATTTATTTTCAAAGCAACATCCCCGGACGCATTTAAATCCAACATTCCAGAAATTCTGAATACCATGCAACAAAGATACGATGCAGAGATTAAGTTTGACTCTATAGAAGATGCTCTCGAAGACTTTGGTATGTTTGGTTCGTTTTGACTTGGCACTCCAAGTGTGGGTTTACTCACCCTTTGCATCATACATTAGCTCAAGGCAAATTTGTTTTGGTTTTGGACGACGAAGACCGAGAGAACGAAGGAGATTTGATAATTGCTGCGGAAAAGACTAGCACAGAAGATATGGCATTTCTCGTTCGCTATTCTAGGTAAGGTTGAATCCGAGGTGAACGTCGAATATAACAACAAGGACGCTGACATGTTCTCGGAACGGTTTCAGTGGGTACATTTGTGCCCCTACCACAGTTGAGCGATTGGAGCAATTGAATCTACCTTTAATGGTGCCAAAGAACACTGAATTGATGAGAACAGCTTATAGTATTTCAGTAGACTATCTTAAAGGTATGTCAAGTCGAATTTGTGTTACCCACGGATTCATACTTCACATGTCAGAGTAAACGTGCTTATTGTTCATTGTAATTTAGGTACAACCACTGGTATATCGGCACATGACCGAGCTCTGACTGTCAGAAAATTAGCGGACGCCAGCAGCAAGCCCGAAGACTTCTCCAGACCAGGGCATATTTTGCCACTACGTGCAGTTCCCGGTGGCACCTTGAAGCGATTTGGCCACACAGAAGCCGGTGTCGACCTTTGTCGATTGGCTGGGCTTGCACCTGTCGCCGTAATTGGAGAGCTACTCAAGGAAGATGATGCAATGGGTGATGTAGCTCGACGAGATGATTGTGCTTTATTCGCCAAAAAGCATGGACTGAAGATGATCACCATTGCTGATTTGATCAAGTATCGCCAACAACACAAGTTTGAAGGCGATGATGAATTGTAAATGAACAAATTTCCACATTACTTCATTCTCCCAGTGTTTTCTTGCAAATCCTCTATTTTCCCTCCTCCCTGCGTGCTGCTGCATTACTGCCGGCGCATTTTGCAGCTAGACCTTATATATATGAACATTCCTTGTAGAGCAACCCATATATTTTTCAATATCTCGAATTATCTTGTTTATTGCCTTTGAAAAAATAGATACTGTCATAGTAGCAACCAACCCTGTCGGATTATTTTTTCATTTTGGAGACTTTTTCATAATAATTTGTTGCATAAGTCATGAGGTCATTCAACAAACCATCGTCTTCCCTAGGTTCTTTGACGAAGACTGGAGGTTGACCTATGGGAGCATCTACGGATAGTCTACTACCGTTGGCTTGATAGTATTTACCGGTCCAGATGTGCCGCCAGGTGACCCCTTCTTCTTGCGGGAAGTAGACTTTAACGTATGTAGTCGACGGCGACTGAACAGGCGCTACTAATAAGGAGTTGCCCAAATAATACTGCTGGAACGTCATCGAACGAGCTTTCTTGTCGTTGGAATGGAGTAAGACAGGATGTCGCATGACTGGATAGCCTTTGTTCTGTGCTTCTTCCAAAAGTCGTTGACGATAAGGTGAAACAGATGCAAAGAGCTTTGCCGTGTGGCCAAAATGTATATAGGTGTCTGTTGATATGGTAATTCTTAGTATGTAAGCAGCAAATGCCATTAGCTTCAAAGGCATACTAACCCTCATCATCGTAAAATTGTGCATTTACATCAGGATTGATTCCTAAATAAGGTGTAAAAGGTTTTAGCAAACTTACAGAGTATCAAACGTGAGTACTGGTAGCATACCTTCGTGAGTCCTGAATGCACAAGTGAATGCAGAAAGCTCCATCCATCTTAGAAGCAACTCTTTTTCTCTCTAAAAAAGTGTATTCAGGCGTTAGACGCAGAAACTGATTCAGTCACATAGAGTAGTTACTATACCTTGATTGTCACGCCAGGAATAACACCAGCGAAAGTGGTATAGCCACCAATGTCACTGTGAGTGATGGATAATCCAGAGAATCCACCAGAGAGCATACCAGTTACCTAGATCTCAATCATTTAATGCTTTGTCTTCATACCTCCATCGAAAATCTTGGTTGAAGGACTTACAGCACTTCTCATCCCGTCATGCTCATCCCAGGCAGTGTTCTGGTCACCAGCCCACATCAAGTTCATGTACCCTGCATTCTAAATGTAAGAAGATAATCAAGGAAAGTCACACGTAGCTGTTACCTCTACTCACCGGGAGACTTCGTGAAGGCTGAACGATGGAACATGACAGCTTCATCCTCAAGTCCGAGTTCTTGGACAACTTCAAAAGCCAATTTAGCCCATTCTTGAGGATACTGATTATGGAATTCCTCAGCAGGTACTCCGGAGTGGAACTTGGCGACAGCAGAATCGTACGGTGTGTATTCTCCAAAGTCCGTCATCATACCTGTTTGAATACATGGCAAAAACCCCATGCGTTAATATTTACATTTCAGAAGTAGTGTAGATAGATGGAAACAGACATACCTGATACACCATACTGGAAAACTGACTCTTTCATAAGTGTTTTGAACCATGTTCTACACTCAGGATTAGTGATGTCGAGAAGGCCAGCCTCCCATTCCGGGCCACTACTGACAATGAGATTTCCACCGGTTTTAGCATCCTTAACGAGAAGATTTTTTTCGCTCGCTTCTTGGTACAGATTGCGCTTAGCAGACGGCTTGCTTTGCACATCGGCAAGGAAGGTATTGACATAGTTAAGCGTACGGACATTTTCAGCCTTCAGGTCAGTTACCAGCTCCCCCCAGTGAGGGTACAAGACATTGTCGTTCTCCCAGTTCCACCAAAGGCGCTTAAACTCGACATTTCCAACTTTTTGTATGCGCTTTCCGCACCAATCTTGCAGCCAAAAGGCAGCCACGGGCACATCGTACTCCTTGAGTCGTCCATAAACAGCGCGAACCTTTTCTTCACCGCCTTGCATACCTGCAATGGCGCCTTTTCCTGCCCATTCGGGGAGAGCACGCATACGTCCACAATATTCTGTGTAGTTCGAAATAAGTTCCAGCATGCTATCTCCGTCTACAATGCGTCCTACAGCCAAGGGAGTGTTGACGCGGATCACAACTCGGTCCGGCTTTCGAAGATCGAAGGACGAATATTCGTTATTTTCCAAGAATACGCAACGGTTGTCAGTTGTGATATACTGGGGAATAGGTGCATATGTCGTGAAGCTATCGCCACCCGCAAATTGGCCTAATGTAGAAAGACGGGTTAATTTGTAGCTGTGAGTCTGACGCACCTTGCGGAATAAAACAAACCAAAAATTTCTGGTCTAGCATTTAGAATAGCAGTAATCTGTGTTAAACCAAAAAACGTCAATACTTCCATACTTTCCATTCCTTCAACATAGAAATAATACCTACCGGTTGCGCTCCACGACCAACACCTTGTTCTCTGTCAACAACTTGGAATTTTAGACTCATCGCCTGTCTTTCTCAGCCTCTGCACTCCCACTTACCGAACAAGAATAGGAATCTTCTGGCCCTTAAGAGTTCCAAACGAAAATTGTTCACCAAACCCATAAAAGTCTTCATCTTTGTGACTACTGTAGGTAAGTATGACTCGTCTATAACTGTTGGCTTGAAGCGGAACGCCTTCCTTGCCCACTCGGACTTGGAATTGAAGGTGCTTCGGAGTTAGTTCGGTGAAGGTGAATGTATAGTCCGTATGTGTTGGCGGAACGAGCTTATGGCCGATGCCGCCGTGAATGGTGACAGAATTATCCGTGTGCGTCACGCTGGTAATAGTTTGTAAGACCGTAAAGTGTTCGTCATGTTCTTCAATCTTGAAAGATCCTCCCTCGCCGTCACCAATATAATCTTGGCCAAGAGTACTTTGCACAAAAGGATAGTTATGAATTGCTATATTGGAGTCGATAACGCGAAGTTCTTTAGTAAAGGACCGAATTTAGGTATATAGATTGTAAAGCTTACACTGCCAGGCGACTCTTCCTGTGCTATTCTTAACGACTACCATCAAATTTTGTGCGTCGATAGCAATACTGAAGTTACCAGTATTGTATTCTGCTTCAGCGACAGCGTTACCCACAGACAAACGGCATTCCACAGTTTCTTCCCATTTCAGTCCCAAAAATTTGAGAACAGATTCCGCCATTCCAAATAAACTTGGTTAAAAGACGATATAGGAATTGGGAACAAAACTCTGAGACCTTTAAAGCAGAGAAAATATTGACAGTCCTAAAACTCAAAATTGTGTAATAATGCGAAATAATGCGAGCTATTTGCGCAAAGCGGAATTGTGATGACCGCATCCGTTCATTATCTCACACTATTGATACTTGCCTATAGCCACAAGTGATCCTAAACTAGATGGTGTACTATCACTCTTTGTCAATTAATCATATCGGAAGTGTCAAACTTTACCCATGTTGCCAAGTCGTGGTTCTGCAGCTTCTGCGTTTCAGAATCGGCCATCGAAGCTGAGATTTCTGCTTGCCTTCTTTGTCACCGTTTGCTCGGCCAATAGCGAAAATACGGCTTACACTTGCAACTTTAAGACAGGCAAGCGTGCCCTCATCTATCTATCCTCTTATTCCACATGGATGAATCTATCATAGCTCCATATTGTCACCAACTGCCTCCAGTAGCCAAACTTGCATTTTATTTAGTATCTATTTTATTCGTTCTTGGGTTGCTTGCCCTCCTTTTCAGGTGCGGTGGCAGAATTATCTGCTTTTCTCTTTTTCACCAGTGATGAGAGATCATTGACATTGGTAGGAATAGGTACTGCAGGCAAACCAGTTGAACCTTTCAGACCGAGCATTTCCTTAAGCATATCCACCTGGGCCTCTAGCTGCTTTGGATTCTTCAGTTCTTCTATCTTGACCTCCATGTCGGGAATCAATTCTTGTATTTCATCGATCTCCTTTTGTATGTCGGATGTACGTCCTGAATCGATAACCACGTTACTTTCCTTTCCTTTGCCTTTGACATCTCCGGATTCGGCAAGTTGCTTTTCTTTCAAAGTAGACAGTCGATTGCGAAGAACCTTTACAGCATTTCGTGTTTCTTCAATAGCTTGGTGTTGTTCTGAAGTTGAATACTCGAATGCAAGTGCTAGTTTATAATGAAGCTCGGCAAGCTCTCGATTGTCTTCATCCAAAATGCTTTGTTTGATGCTGAGAGCGGACTGAAAGTCAGGTATGGCTTGGTCGAACTTCTCAGTTTCTAAAGACACGTCGCCAAGGCATGAGTATACATCTGCAAGCTTCAATCTCGCCTCCTGACTAGAATCTTTTCCGTAAATAACGCGCGCAATGTCCAGTACATCCCATGCATCGTTGAACATATCACTCTCGCCTTCTTCTTCTTGGTCTTCTTGACCTTCCTCATCATCAGCCTCATCGTCGCCTTCAGCTTCCACTTCTCTTAAATCAGGTTCTCCTTCAAAATGGAATCGAGGATTGGAAACTGTAACATTTTCTGTTATAGCCAGGGAGTTGAAGATTAGACTGCAAGCATATGAAACACCACTCAAAGGAGGGGGTTTTTTTTAAAAGAAAAAAGTGTACTTACGCGTTTCCGTGTCTTCGACAGCGGCGCTGTCTTCAGCAGCAGCATTTCCAAGGACTGAATTTTGCTGTATCGCATTCTGCAGTAGAGCTTTTCCATACATGAAGTAAGCATCAGCACATTGTGGCGCTAGTTCTCCAAATTGATTATCACTTCAGATAGGATTAGCGTTTTGCTTCGCGTTAAAACCGAAAGTGAGGTTGTATGTACTTACAGCAGTTCACAAGCTTGACCAAACTTGTCTGTTGCGTTTTCGTAGTCATGGAGTGAAAATGCTCGAGAGCCTTCATGTATGATTGCCAGGATTTCCTGGCTAGGCTGCTGTGAATCTTTTTCTTTACTGGACGTCATGAGCGTTATTGTGTGATTCAGTAACTACCACCGAAATTTCAACTAATGTGGAATTTTTGGCAGTAGCAGTCATACGGCCGTAGACCGCGATTTTGCCACTTCCAACCTTCCAAACATCACCAAGTATATCTGTATATCTGAGAGATAGATATCATCCCTTCTTCCTTTAATTTTTTTAAAACTAATGGTTGATAAAATTTTACTACTCGTTCTTTTATCTTTATCCACGAACCAGGCGTCTGAGGCTTTGTATAACTTTCATGCTTCACCAGGCTATTTCTCAACATTTTCCAACTTACTTTAAAATACATTGACCACTACAATGCTATACGCACACATTTCTATATTTTACTTTGATGCTACATAACAGCTGAAAAATTGACAGGATTAGATTCCATATTAATATATTCTTCCTAACCAGAGTCGTGTAGGAAAGCTGAGCAGACCAATTTGTACGTTGCTGTATTGAAAAGAGACATACTACGTGGACGATTATCTATAGTTTATAAATAACGTTTATAGATGGGTGAAGCCATTTTTCAAGAGTGTGCATGAACTACAGGTTATGCTATGAAGCAGATTAAGATCAAAGACTTTCCTTTGTACAGGCACGAGTACTGTGGACGAGATACTGCTTTTCATGCGTTTACTGTTGCTTTGTCGCAAAAATGTAAGTATAATGGCCTTGACTTGATTTAAGCCTCTACAATTCGCGTATTGGGTGTAAGCGAAACGACGATATGGTCATGTAAAGATCAATCGCCATAGCGTGATTGACTTGTACATTTTGTTATATTAAGTCAGCCCACATGATCAAGAACAATAGCTCACAACACAGCGTAGCTCGTCAAGAGTGTCTTCTTGCGTCTCTCACTATAAATATCAATAAAAACTGGAAGGAAAACATTTGCAATTTTCCATTGTCTTATATTGAATTTTTCCACTTTATTATTACTGTTTCTAAAATGGACTAACAATTTTAAATACTCGCCATAGGGGCTTATGCACTGATTCTTTTCCCCTTTTCTATCTTCGCTACCTCTGGTAAAGCAACGGTATACCAGCGCGCCCCACTTTTACACGTCTCACACCGAAAGTATCCTCAAGCTCCGGTTTTGATCAACCTCCAAATTGTGATCCAATGCCAGTGTGTTGCAATGCTACTCCAAGGCTGCCCAGGTTGACTCAATTTTGCCATTGCATGTCTATCAGGACAGGTGCCATCCTATTGACCTCCATGTGCTTAGTATGTCTAGGTTTATAAACTTGCTAATAGATATGGAGAACACTAACCATCATCATTGAACATTTGCCCATAGTGCAGAGGATTTGTTGGAGCATATAACAACATAATAGCTTTAACTGGTAATGGAGTAGGCTCGTTTTTAGCTACAGCCTTCTTTCTACATATGTCGTTAGGATTTGCTACTATTGTTATATCTGCCATTGGTCTATTAGGTCTTTACACGGTGAGTTATATAATTAAGTTGATATCTTTTCAATTGGCTGGGAACTAAGAATATCGGTTGTTATGATTGTCCTATCATGGTGTTAGAACCACAAACGCATCATCAGCTGTTTTGTGCCTCTCGCTTTTCTCATTATCGTTCTCGTTCTTGTCGACGATGTTGCGTCTCTGCTAGAAATCGGTATGCGAAAAAAGATATTCATTAATGCATGTATAAGCAATGCAAGCCATCGGCATAGAGCGCACCAAAATAGTGCTGCTCAGCATCAGACATGCGAAGATCACTGGAGTGCATTACTATGGATAAGGCTGATTATATTGCTTGTTAATATATGCGGAAATGTAAGTTGATTTGATGACCATGATAAACACTTTAATAATTGATTCATTAATTTTTTCATTACATTGCATCAGGCGTTTTATGCTCTCCTTGTCAACTCTGTTCGCCTGGATTTGGAGCAGTACCCTGTCGAGGAAGCTATGTCCCTACCAGCGTACCGAGCTGAGCCAGAAAGACAAGCATGCCTACAACCTGGTGTTTTGGCCGCTACAATGCCAGAGTATATCATGACACCACCTCCAGCCTATGCCCCTGCAAAACCTGTCCCTATTAATATTTCATCAATGCAATGACCTGTCATTTCTGCAAACATCTTGATAATAAAATCATCAAATTTCATTTTTGACAAGTTCAGACATGATGAAGCGGCTTCTACAAATACATTGGGCGCATTACTTTATTACACACCAGGTCATGTACAGTAGTGGGCTTAAAAATTTACAGATGGGGTTTGTTTACCGATACCTACGTCGATCATCGCCTCTTTCTCGGTCACGGTCTCTGCCATGATTGCTGCCCCGACTTCTGTCGCTGTCCCTGGTTCGATGTCGATCTCCATCACGCCTTCTGTCTTTGTCCCTGTCGTTTTCTCGGCCACGAGAACGGTCATCATCCCTACCGCGATCTCTATGACTGCCTCTGTCTCTATTTCTGTCCTTCTCTCTGTCATGGTCCTTTTCTCGACCTCTGTCCCGGTCTTTCGATCGTTTGGAGGATGGCTCAAATACTAGGTCATAGTCGTCTCCTCGTTCATGTGCGTTTTCTTCGCGATATCGTTTGCGTTTTTCTAGACCTTCTACACCGCCGATTGTGGCTGATTGGTTATTCAATCGTTTGGAGATCCAGTCGGTGTGGAGTTTAGAGACAGACTGTGAAAAGTCAACATGTATACGGCGATCGTCAATCAACACAGATTGCATCTTGAAGAAAGCCTGAAGCATAGACACACAACCGTTGTTAGAGCACTGGGAATTTCTATAGACATTTCAGACAAAGTCCAAAAAAACACATACCTCTTCACAATCTTCCTTATTGTCAAATTCGATAAATGCATAACCAAGAGAGTCTCCCGTTTTCCGATCTCTGATGACTTCACAGCTGTTGATATGGCCAAAACGAGAAAAAATCATTTCCAAGTCTTCGTCTCTAGTGACAGGGTTCAGTTTGCAAACAAAGAGGACGTTTTCTGGAGGTTTCACTTCGGCGAAAGGAAGGTCTCCAACCATTTCCAGAGTCAATGCCTGTGCTTTTGCTTCGTGCTCTCTACGTCGCTTCTCGAGTTCTTCGGGATCACCATGCTCTTCAATATCCTCGTCTTCCCCAATTCGCATTGACTCTATTTGCTCTTTGGATGGTAAGGGCGATTCGTCAGGGACTTGAAGACCTTCTGGATCCGGGAATGGGTCATCTAAAACGATAGTGTGTCGAATTCGAATATCGCGATAAGGCCGGCCGTTCTCATCACAATAGGTCGAGTTGATTTTATCAAGGATATCAAATCCTTCAGCTACTTCTCCAAATATGGTGTATTTACCATCCAGATAGTCGAGATCATCGGCGAGCGTAATAAAGAACTGACTTCCACTGACGCCACCGGCAGCAACTGATGCATCGGTTGCCACAGCCATGGAGACTGTGCCACGTTTTTTGTGCTTTAGCTTTGGGTGAATTTCTGCTGGAAAGTATTTTTGACTTGGTCCGTTGAGCAAACCGAAAACGGACTCTCCTCCTACACCAGTTCCAAGAGGATCTCCTGTCTGTGCCATGAAATCCTTCTGTACATTATGAAATGGTGAAAAGTTATAGTATTTGATCTTGCACAATTTCAAAAAATTCAAGGTTGTTCTTGGGCATTGCTTGATGTGTAGATCGATGACGATGTCCCCTACAGATGTCTCCAGGAGAACCGACTGAGCGTGTGTTTAGTGTATGCTGATTTCTTATGGTCGTTTTCAATATACCCATATAAATCTTACCATAATTTGTGTAATGAATTAAGGCGCGCCAAATAGCATTCACCAACGAGCCAAAGCGACATTTATGAAGTTCCGCAACCTTGAAAATTTCAGCCAATGACATGCGACCGTACCTTTTCATTGAGCTCCCCATGAAAGTCAGAAATATGACTTTGACAATAATAACCATGGAACAACGACAATCGCAGCTTTGATATGTATGTGCTTAGAAACGTCAGAAACAGATGATTATGAAGTGACGCCTTGCAAGTCCTTGAAAGAAGACTTCAATCGCCATTGTTACTGACATTGGTAGCTTTTCATATATTTGAGTTTATCAATTACGTAGGCGAATGTGTGATCAAGACAATTTTAAGAGTAATTAAACCTTCCCTTATGCCAATGCCGTCCTCGTCTTGTAAATGTCAATTTTGCCGTTATTGTACGATTACGGTAGTCACCCCTCTAAGCCTTTGTACAATGCCAAATGAGAATCCTATATCAATTTACCTCATGCTGCCATGAGTTGAAAGTTACACGTAGCGACATGATAACTTTATTAAGAAGATGATATTGATTCAAAACATAGTAGACAGAGCCGGATTCATGATCATCGCATCTTGATTTTACAGCAGTCACAATTTTTCAGAAAAGTTAACCCAGTTTGAGTCAACAAATTCGGGATCAAAGCAGTTTCTCTCCCTCGCTTGAAATGTCTCAGAAGATTGGTACGCAGAAGCTTTCCACAAGGATAACTAGTGCACAACGTCCCTGTACTTATATTACATCTCAACAGCTATCCTCTCCGTTTACGACAAGACTGGTCTTGTTGACTTTGCCAAGAACCTTCACAACTTGAACGTTCGTTTGCTTGGTTCTGGTGGTACTGCTAAGCTTGTCCGCGAAGCAGGTATTCCTATCGGGTAAGTTAACAGTTTCACGAAAGTTTAACCTATATGCGGAAGCCTTTGCTCGAATATATACGTATTTAATGCACACATTGTATGCTAACGTGTTGATATCTATAGTGATGTGTCAGAAATCACCAAGGCTCCTGAAATGCTTGGTGGACGTGTCAAGACATTGCACCCTGCCGTTCATGGAGGTTAGTACTATGATCCAAACCAATGCATGTTGTGAAATGTACTGGGACAGATCGGGTAATCTTGCAAAACAGGCATTCTTGCTCGCAACATTGACAGCGACGAGAAGGATCTTGCTGACCAGCACATTGACAAGATTGATATTGTCGTCTGCAACTTGTATCCTTTCAAGGAGACTGTCGCCAAGGAAGATGTTACCATCCCTCAAGCTGTCGAAGAGATCGATATTGGTGGTGTTACCCTCTTGCGTGCTGCTGCCAAGAACCATAGCCGCGTCACTATCATCTCAGACCCCAAGGATTATGCTACCGTCATTTCTGAGCTTACCAATGGTGAGGTCTCCCAGGATACCCGTAATGTGCTCGCTTTGAAGGTAAATATACCATGAATCAAATGACTATTTACATATTGATCGGCACTCGAATCTGACCCATGCATGCTTGTAGGCTTTCAACCACACCTCCGATTATGACGAAGCTATTTCCAACTACTTCCGTCAGCAATACAGCAAGGATGTTGCTATGATGCCTCTCCGATATGGTGCCAACCCTCACCAGAAGCCTGCTCAAGTGTACGTCAAGGAAGGCGAACTTCCTATCAAGGTCCTCAGCGGATCCCCCGGTTATATCAACCTTCTTGATGCCCTCAACTCTTGGCCTTTGGTCAAGGAGCTCAAGCAAGCCACTGGACTCGCTGCTGCTGCTTCATTCAAGCACGTCTCCCCTGCTGGTGCTGCTGTCGCTACTCCTTTGACTGACGTCGAGAAGCAAGTTTTCCAAGTTGAAGATTTGAAGGAGCTTACCCCACTTGCCACTGCCTACGCTCGTGCTCGTGGTGCTGACCGTATGTCTTCTTTCGGTGACTGGATTGCTCTATCTGACAAGGTTGATGTTGCCACTGCCAAGATCATTTCCCGTGAAGTGTCTGATGGTGTCATTGCCCCCGCTTATGATGATGCTGCTCTTGAGATTCTTCGCAAGAAGAAGGCTGGCAAGTACTGCGTTCTCCAAATGGACCCCAACTACGAGCCTGCTGAATTGGAGACTCGTCAAGTTTATGGTCTCTCTCTGCAACAGAAGCGCAACAACGTCCAAATTGATGAATCTTTGTTCACCAACTTGGTCACTAAGGATAAGAACGTAAGTGCTCCAAGCAATTCCCTTTGCTTTTATTGATTCATTGCGAAAGAGGAAAATGTGATATACTCATTTTTTGTTACATTAGATGCCCAAGGAGGCTCTTACCGATTTGATTGTCGCCACCATCGCTCTCAAGTACACTCAATCCAACTCTGTATGCTATGCTAAGAATGGTATGGTCGCTGGTCTTGGTGCTGGTCAACAATCTCGCATCCACTGCACTCGTCTTGCTGGCGATAAGGCCGATAACTTGTGGTTGAGACACCACCCCAAGGTTCTTGCCTTTGACTTTAAGAAGTCTGTCAAGCGTGCCGACAAGTCCAACGCCATTGACTTGTATGTTATTGAGCAAATCGGTGAAGGGGCTGAACGTGAGGCTTGGGAGAGCTTTTTCAACACTATTCCCGAACCTTTGACTGCTGCTGAGCGCAAGGAATGGATGGCCAAGCAAGACAACGTTGTTGTTTCTTCCGACGCCTTCTTCCCCTTCAGCGACAACATCCACCGTGCTCGTCGATCCGGTGTCAAGTACGTCGCTGCCCCCAACGGATCCGTCATGGATCAAGTTGTCATCGATGCTGCTGATTCCCACAACATGGTATTCGCTCACACCAACCTTCGTCTCTTCCATCATTAAGAAATACACTATGTGTCAAGTCTTGAAGCTGTATACAGACATTTTTTTTGTACCATAGAAAAATAAAAAAACATAGTACAGCTGTCTCGCATTCCAATTTCAGACTGCACGTCACGCTTGCATTTTTGTGCTGCGTTCTCCGCTCAAAGTCTACCGTTATTTTTTACTCTTTTTCCTTTGCAAAACGTTGAATATCTAGAATGGGACAGACTGGCTCTCAGCTGGAGGACATGGTCAACTCCTCAAATTGTAAGTTTTATTTTAATGGCAAGATGCTTTGCAGATTGTTGGGTTTATGCATAGATCAAAACTAATCCTATTGCTCGCATGCGGTTTCCCCACAGTCTCCGCCGAAGAGATCCAGCGTCTGTATAAACGCTTTATGAAGCTTGATAAAGATAATAACGGCTCTATAGATCGCGAAGAATTCCTTTCCATTCCACAGATCGCAAACAATCCATTAGCGTCTCGCATGATTGCCATTTTCGATGAAGATGGCGGTGGTGATGTAGACTTCAAAGAATTCATCAAAGGTCTTAGTGCTTTCAGCGCCAAGGGAAACCAACGAGAAAAGTTAGAATGTAAGTATGGACAGCTACCTTTGCGCCGATTCAAAATCTGTTGGCTAATAACATCATGCTTTCATAGTTGCTTTCAAAGTGTACGACATGGATCGTGATGGTTTTATCTCCAATGGAGAACTGTTCCTTGTCCTTAAGATGATGGTCGGTAACAATCTCAAAGATAATCAGCTACAGCAGATCGTTGATAAGACTATCATGGAGGCCGATAAGGATCTAGACGGCAAGATCAGCTTTGATGAATTCTTGGTCATGGTGGAGACTACAGACGTCGCTAAGCAGATGACGTTGGAAAACTTTTAATTTAAGGCTATCTCGGTTTCGTCCCACTCAATCTATCCACCTTATATGAGACTCCATTGCAGCGAGGAAACGTTTTCGTGTTCTCCCAATCTAGTTTGATCATCCCATTGGGTTGTATAAAATATTCACCACCCTATTATTGCAGTTTAAGCTTGCAGTTCATTCAATGCCTGTATTTTCTTCTTTTATTTTCTGCTACTCGATAACACATGGTTTGATATTGTTGACTAATAGCTGATGGTATAAGAAGTACATAAAGTTTTTCCATTCGTGAATTTAAACATGCTCGTTGAACTTATAGCTTGGAAGGAAGCGACGTCCATTCTCCTCCATTGTCTTCTTTATGGAATGCCTCCCAGTTGCCAGCGATAGGAGCGAACAGCAAGCGGGGATCGACACCGAGTGCGTCCACTACTTGATGGCTCACAGGGATCAATTTATGAACCAGATCGCGAACCATGGATGGAACTTTCTGGCCAGTCTTGATGCTGATCAAACCATTAAGAAGATACGATGCGAGATGACCCTCGATAGTAGCCAATGCATAAAGTTGGAACAGAGCCCCTAAGACTGCTGCTGATTCGCCACTTGCGCTATTCACAACTCCTTTGAATTGTTCCAAGATGATGCGCTCACCATGCGCTCGTGCTAGTGCTTGAATAGTATCGGATTCTTGTTTCATCCAGACTTCAAACAATGGCTGGCCTTCCTTTGCCATCTTGAGTTGCATTGATGAAGACAGCTATAATAAAAAGTAGTTAGTGTCATCTGACAACACAAGTTCCAGATTAGAATACATCATACTTCTTTGACCAAAATTTGTTCTCGGAGGCGGAATAATTTGAGCAGTGTTTCGGTGTCGCCTAACGACCACGATGCTGCATTTCTGGCGTCCGGTACATTTGGTAAAGTTGCTTTCTTAGACTCCAAAGCAGTTAAAAGCTCTTTTGAAACTATAAATGCAAACAGAATGTTTGGTCAAAGCGTCATGGGGCTCCGGCATTGAAGGACAAAAAGTCGTACCTTTGGCCATCAAAACGCAGTTATCACCTTCGGCGGTCATTCCTAAAGATCAATCGCGTGCGGTATTAGAATTTGTAAGTTATGGTTTCGTATCCCATAATGCCTTAAAGTGCGTAGTACCTGCATGGGAGAAACCTGCCAATGGAAAATAATTAATGAGAGTATTGAAAAAAGCATTCGTCATCAAAATATCAATAACTTACCGATGAAATTGCCAAGTCGATTAACTGACAAGTAACCTTGACCGCCGCAGCGTTCTCGGCATGTGGTTGCAGTGTCCTCAAAATTCCAGGTGACAAGAGGCTTGATAACACAACAAAGACGAATGACTTCATCGACATCGGCTGCCGATTGCTTAGCCCATCTCACCTTACAATAGTTCAAACCGATGTTCAGCGCAACAGTTTTGGCAACTAGAGGCATCAAAGCTCGTTGCTGAAGTTGATAGTTGAGAATCGGTGTGTCACTATATTATATCAAAAAGTAATATAAGGTAAGAAGGGGGACAGACATTTAGATAGATGTAGCAGATTGCTCTACCTCTTTCCCGTAGGTCCAACTGAAAGTCGGCTTGAAGCATAGCGAAAAGCAATTGACAAGCATGCTAGCAAAATAGATTGTGAATTACCTCATCACTGTGACTGCAAGCTTTTAATTAAAGTACTTACTTTTTGTACCACCTAAACACATAGACGCGATGGCCAATCTTCCAGACAGCAGTTGGTCTGCGACTTTGAGGAAGCGCCTATCAGATAAAAACTGGTTGAATAAATCGGATAGTGCGGTTAAGGAAAGGTATAATGAGATACATTACCCTCTTCTTGAAGCGATTTGCGAGTGGTACTTTCCATTGCTGTCGATGTCAGAATACTTGTTGAGCAAATTCTCTGCGGGGACTCGCACCTAATTGATATTTGATGAGCAAGGAGCGGTAAACGATCATTTTAAAATGGGTAATATTCATACATTTTTAAACCAGAGTTTGGCATTGTCGACACCATTGCATCCAAACTTTACTCCCATTTCTTCAATGCGTACGCCCTCACTAGGCGTCATGCTGCAAGTAAAACGTGGGGTCAAAACAAAAGATCTTGTGACCTAAACAATTTCACTTGAAACTTACTCTTCTTCACGAATGCGCGTGAGAATAGCATGTACTCCTTCGTTTTTACCATCTACGAATAATTGAGCAAAAACAACGGCAAATTTTGCGTGCAAACTACCATTGGTAATCCAATGCTTTTGTGCCAGTGTGGTTGGCGTGTTGATCACGAGCTCATGTTTCGCTTTATCCTACACTGATGTTTTAGTGGTCGTGACCAAGGCTGTACGTCTATAGCGAATGCTTACATAGGTAGCGGTGGTTTCCATCTCAACTGCATTGTTTCCATAGCCTAATTCAGTCAGAGCGAAACAACCAATACCGGTCATGTTGTCAGACAACGGTAGGTAGTGCCTGTGACGTTCTGTTCCCAATTTGATGACAGTTCTGTAGCAAGAATAACCCAAGGTTGGAGTTCATGATGTTGGTATATATTTGTAATAAGCAACCTTACGTACCCTCCATACAGGTTCAAGTTAACAGTCAGCTTAGTTGCCAAAGAGCCTTCACACATGCCAGCAACTTCATGAACTGCGATAATATCGATGTTTAGGCGGACGGCAGACAACAGAAAGTGGACAAAGCGTCAGCTGTACCTGCAAATACATTGAGCGGATTCTTTTCAAAGTCGAAGACAGACCAGAAGCCATGCTTAGCCAGTTTGACTAAACGGTTCAAGGCCAGTTCGCGTTCGGTGGCGAGCGGTATATTATAACGGGGAATATACAATGGGTCTTTGGCCATGAACTCAGCCATGGCATCTCTGTTTGTATGGTTATCATACTGCAGAACTTTCCGAATGTAGTCGGCTTGAGTAGCATCAAGAGATAGAGAAGAAGTCATGGTAAGGAAACCGATTTGTGAAAGAAAAAAGAAGAGAAAAGCGAAAAGAAAAAAGTCAGAGTCAGATATTGGCTGATCACTGTCACAGGCCAAGCAGATCCTGGAAATTGAATTCCGACATTGTGCCTTAAAATAATAAAGAACGGATATTCTTCAAAACCCCATGTTGCAAAAGTGGGTAAATAACATGTACGAATAAAATACGTCAATATATTGTCAGGCCATTACAGGTTGCTTGGGGCTATTATCAGTAGGGGAGTTATGAATACTATCGATATCAATTTCTTCATCTTCTTCGTCCTCATCTGCCAAGGCTAGGGCAATAGCGAGTTGATCTTCATCAGATGTACCATCACTTTCCAAGATGAATTCTTCATCAGCTCCATAGCGGTCGACTAAATTTTCAAACCACTTTTCCAAGCAGCGTTCGCTTTCGTCCATGATCTCACGCGCTTTGGTATTGGATTCATCAGCGCAATTTTCTTCAATCTGTTGCATGAGCGATTTGAGAGTGCCCAGGTATAAAGCAGGGATTTCGGTGGAGCAGTCATTGATCTGGTCCAAGATGGCAGCTAACTGAGTCAGGATGTCAGGTTGCTCGACAGCTTGCTTCTTGTTACTGGATAATTCCAGTTCAGGTGGTTCGTCCGAGTGTTTCCGTTTGCCAGTAGTAGCCTCCGTCATGGCGGGTGATACAGGAACAAAAGAGATATGAGTGGAGTCGGGTAGAGTAGATGCAGCAAACTGGATAATACAGGAGGTGGCCGAACGATTACTTTCTTGTGCTAAGAGGCGAAAAAGTAAGCGTACGGGAGAACTTGGTCAAGAAAAGGTCAAAAGTAAAGAAGACCCTTGCAAAAAAAAAATTTGGGTGCTGAAAAACTTTCAATTCCCACTTTTAACTTCGGAACCAATGATCGAGAAGCACTGTGGTTTGCCAAGTCGGAAAAGCGAATTCAATATTGCATATTTTATGAAACAATCAAGAGCGACGTTCATGTATTGCATATAAAATTATTTCCACAGAGTATAGAGTTTGTCATATTGGACGGAATAAGTCCCTTGGAATGTCTGACATCGGTCAAGCCATCTCAGGACGCTGTGAAAGTTGCATTGAGTTGGATAATCATGGTCAAACGATGACTTTACCATCATCACTGGAGAATCTCATATTCTTTTCATGAACTTCTTTTCCTCTAAATATTCATTATTTTTATTCGATAACATTATTGTGGGGCAAGCCCTTGTCTCCGAGACATGCAATTGCTGCAGTTGTGAGACACAGGCATTTTAATGACAGTCATTCTTATCAACTTGAGTGATGAAACAGACCTTTTTTTTTTTTGGTCAGTCACCTTTCTCCTCTTATTCTGATACTTTTGTACGTCTTTGAACGGAGTATCGTGTATAGTATCATGGCCTCTCAGTACATAAGTATACCATCTGAGCTGGTTGGAACCTGGTCAACAAACAATAACATCACATGTGGACCAGCCTTCATCGACCCCGTTCTAGGAAACTTTTCTGTGCCGAGTAATCCTGGTTCCAGCTTTTCATTTTCTTCAGATGGTTATTTTGAGGAAGCGTATTACACGATCAATGGAAACGGTAAGCGTGGTTTTAATAACGAATACGACAGGCGTGAAAGAACGACAAGCTTAATCTGACCGCTTTGGAAATTTTCCAGCGTCGTATCCTCAGTGTGTCACCAGTGTTCTACAGTGGCAACATGGTTCCTTTAATGTGACGACAAACCATACTCTTAATACAAATCCAATTGAAGCCGATGGTCGAATGAATTTAACGAACCCGTGTATGACTGGCGGGCATTGGGATGGAACGGCACAGTACTATTACCAACCAGAGACTTATGCGGGCTACACTATAGATGACTCTGGAAAGCTTACCCTAATTCGATTTGATGGTCAGCCATTGCGACCGATGACTTTGATGTCGAAAGATCCTATCATGTGGCCGTTGACGTTGGACACGTCGAAGGCTTCCAGCAGCAGCATCTCGATGAGTCCATACCCGACATTGTTGTTGTTGTTGTTCGTATTTTCGGTATTGTTGTTTATGTAATTAAATTCTAGCGAATATATCACCAGCGTATAGTACAGTTGTTTCTACTTTTTATTCCTTTCAAAAACTCTTTCGTATGAATCATTCAAGTACATCGATGTCATCGTCATCATCGTCATCCTCATTATTGTGAGTTCGAATAGTTTCTAAAGACACCACTGGTTGGCGTATTTCCTCGTCTTGTTGCCATGTGATTTGCTCTTCTTCCCCTTCATCCTCATCTGTGCTGTCACCTAATAAATCCTCTACAACACTCATACTTTGTAACGCTGCCAATCTTTTTGGTCGTGAACCTGCTATACTGCCTTCTCCAGTTTGAACAACCTTCGCTGAGAATGATCTGGAGGTTGATTTCTTCGTAACTTTCTTTCGCTGGATTGGCGCCACAACTGGTTTAGTATCTAAATTCGTTTCACTTGCAGATACGAAGTCGGCCAGCGATATCGGTCCACTGCGTTCGACGGAAGTCGACATTTCCTTAGATACATTGGTAATCACCTGTGTTGTAAGCGATTCTTCATCACCTTCGGATGCTGCGTCGATGGTCTCGGTTAAATTTTGTTCAACCACGGGCTTAACTGGAGGAAGTAAGTCGATTAATGATTTCTTGGTTTTCCTTCGGTTCCTAGTGGTCTGCTTTGTTGCTCGCTTCCTTTTTGGTGCAACATAATCGTTTTGATCTGACGTTCTCCTCTCCCTTCTTCTTTTCGATGCATTCGGTGTTGATTCGTCGGATACATTTCCTTCGACTTTATAACTGTTCGTTTCTCTGTTCGCTTCTTGTAAGATGTACGAGTTGACGTCCACTTTCGGTCCTCCTTGTTGTTCTTTCATGCACGCTTCAACATATGCCAAAACGTTGCGTAATCTCGGCGGCGTTAATGATGAAAGGTCAATTTCTACGGATCCTTTACGATTCTCGCCATTATTCATTTGTATTATAGCGAGTATGCCGGGCAATTTATCTCCTGTCAAATGATTTGTTATTCGATCGAGAATCAGCTCTTCAGCTTCGCGGCGCTCCGTAAAGGACATTGGATTATGAAGGTCACCGTACCGCTTCTTTGGCGGCATGTAGTCCTGTTCGTCGTCGTCATCAGACGACGAGTGCTGGTCGTAGGCGCGATCAAACTTCCGCCGACGTTCGTCAGTATCATCGGCTTCTTCTTCAGAATCCGAATAACCACTTGAGAATGCACTCGGGCGTCTGTCACTTGGAATATTGCCATCGCCAAAATCCTCTATGTCTAGATCGCCTGTATCGTCGTTAACGTGAAGCATAGGTTCTAGGTCTGCATTGGCTGTCATTCGAAAATAGTCATTTGACAAAAGTATTTTGCGTCAAACCGCAACTGGTCCGTCGAAAGAAAAAGTTGCCGAGAGAGAAAATTTTTTGGCTGACGGGTACCAGTGCTGTTGTAGCAAGCTAACAGGTTTCTGTACTTCGTGTGTAATATAACTTTCTTCTGTCAGGTATGGGATTGATATAAAGTAAGTATCTATTGGTGGAATAAAATATACATTCGTTCATGGGGTGGGGGAAAATCTTGAAGGAATAGTCTTCAGATGATGTGCTTTACAAAAAGGAAGAAATATAAAGTGAATGGGACAGGAAACGTATATTGTACTTTACAAAATCATAGATTGTAGTTAGGTATCATAGATTTAAAAGACTCGAGCAGCCGACATCTTTTTTAATTCCTTTTGTTTAAAAAGAAAGGCATGGTTAACGAGTGCCATGGAGTCGTCTGAGAGAGTGGCAATCTTCCTTACCTTTTCTAACTCATCAAGTTTGGAATATTGAGGTCCAGTTAAAGATTCTTTGGACTGGTTAGTTTGGGATAATTCGGTAATGGGGTGCGATATATGCTTATTGTTGGATCCGGTTTCTCTTTGCATGTTCGATGGAGTTTCATCCCACTGAGTTTGTTCTTTTGATTCCAGATAGCTGATGCCATTGTTGACAAGAAACATCATTTCTTGCAAGTCAAAGATATCCGACAACGAGCTTTCAGATATAGGAGATGAACTTAGTGAAAGAGGTGAGGGGCTAAATGATAGTGAAGGTGTGGAATCTGAAATTTTGGTGAGTTTCGCTATTGGTTGTGGTTTTTTCAGCAGCTCTTCGACGCTGCCATCGTTGTACAATCCGGGAGGTGAATCAGACAGCATTTTGGGGTCGCTGCCAGTGCTTGATAGAGGCCGCCGTTGCTGCTTTTGATAGATGGGGAACGTTGGATTTCGTAGTAGCTGGCTATTCTTTAGCCTTCCAGAGGCAGTTTCCAATCGATCTCTTTCAAGATTCGTGAGAGCAACGTCCAGCTTGCTCATAACGTGTTTGGTGTGGTCGTTAAAATCTGTTTCTCCAATTTCTGGCTGGTTATGTAAAATGGCTGTGGTTCCATCATTGTTGATGGAGAGACGACGGTTGGATAGGTTGATAGGAGAATGCATGTCTTTTACAGGTGATTGTGGTGATATTGGTGCTGGCGCGATACGTCCAGATGGTCGATGAGAAGGCTTGGAATGGCGAGATCCAACCTTTCCGGTTTTCTTCAAAACAAATCGAAGATCGGATGTATCGGAAGATCCTTTTACTTGGTTCGTCACTGACTGTATCTCCAATACATCTACTACTAAATCCGTAGGGTTTAGAAGTGTTTCTGATTGAATTAAAAGAAAGAGTTAGACCAAGGTATAACAATAGCAGAATTGAAGGGAGGGGTTTTCATTGGAACTTACCATGAGAACGTCTTACAACCATTAGACGATAGTGATCAAGGTCTTTGCTGAAGCTCGTGATGAGTGCTCGATCATCTTCATCGTCCTCAACGCCATCTACGACTCCATTTAGTATGTGAAACTTTTCCAGCGCAATGAGAGTCACTTCCGCCACTGTAGCGTTTGAACCAATGGCGATTAGCTTGTCAATACGCTCACGATATTTGCCGCTCGAATGATCCGAAGTTTTCTTTTTGCTCTTCATTATGGAGGACCTGTTGGAGGACTTCTTATTTTGTGGAGTTGAATTGTTTTCATCATCAGCGTAAACAGATATTTTGATGTACACCTGGCCCTCGCGTTCATGTACTCGCTTGATTCGTTTGTGCAGATAGAAGCGTATGACTGAGTCTTCTCCAAAATTGCCTTTCACTTTGTTCTGAGCTCGAGACACTCCAAGTCTAGTGACTTCAACAGTTGAAGCTTTTTCGCGGAGCTGCTTTACATGCGTTAAAGATGGTAATGGTGTAGTGAGATGGGCGGTCAAAGATTGGAATATAGATAATGGTTTGTCTTGTGACGTGAGAGTGAGTTCGTCTGCAAAATGTGAGCCTTTAACATCAAGCAATCCTCATGCACATTCGATTATTCGTGATTCAATACCTCCATCCATGGTTTTTACACTAAGGTAATACTCTACGCGGCTATTGGGCGAGTCCACACTATTTCCTTCAATTTGCTGAATATGAAACCGTGATACTGCACGCTTTATCAAGTCTTCGGCATTCGTGTTTGAATCAACAACCACGGTCTTGTAGTTGGTGCCTAGATTTACATTACCAGCAAACACACGCAAGACTGTAACTTGCGTACTATTCTCTGAAACAAGGCTAGTTTGCCTAGATGAGCTTATAGACGTATCATCCTGCTGCAATTCGTCAATTGAGGAAGATACTGAAGTCGACCAGTTAGTTTCCAAATCATCGTCCCGAATCGAGATGGTTGCACTTCGTCTCAATGGAAGTTCAGCTTTGGGTTTCTTTCCTAATGAGAAGAGTCGCTTCAGGCCGTTTTTCTTTTCTGCCGTCTGTAGAATGGTAGATGGTATGTCGACATTTGAAGGTAGTTGTGCCAGTTTGATTGGGGTAATCTTTGTATTTACGTAACCCCCAGTTGATCGCTGTTGATCATTTAAGACCAAGTCAGAAGACTTGTGCTCTTGATTTCGCAAGGATGCAGCATCATCTACACTCTTGTCCAGTATACCATGGGATGAGTCAAGTAGATGACGCCTTAATTCTGTACGTTTTTCAAATACAGGAGTGCTATCTCCTCTCGTTGGCTCAGCTAGAACGGACCTGCGTTCATCGGTATCACTATCAGCGTCGTTTTCCATCTCTTCAACCCAAACTTGGAATTCTTCTTCGTCGATATCGTCTGCATCCTTTCCAACAATGATAATATGTGACTGGTATGCTATACCCTTGGACATAGTCACAGACTTTCCTCGCGTATTTCTTGGCGGAATATCGTTAATGATATGCATATTTGCCTGGAGCGAAGTTAACTGTGGAGATTGAAATTGAGTTATTATTCGTTGTTCCTGGATAAAAAGTCAAAGAGACAAAAAACCAACCTCAACATTTCGGTGCTTATTGAGCCTGGCCAATCGTTCAAATGGCGTCTATATCATCAAAACAGCATTAGAATGACCTTCGGTTGACTGATCGATTTTCAAGATGTTCGATCTACCTCTATGTTTTCCGCGGGTATGTAGCCGATTTCTCCAGTTTTAAGAACTTTGACTAACCACCAGTACGAATTGGAATCATCCAGAAGAGTCAAAGCATCTCCTTTCACGACAGATGCCTGTCCATCAACTGTAGCCACAAAAGTATGTAGAGCATAGACAAGGTCAAAGTCAATATCTGAATCCGGAATGCTAGGCGAGGAAGTCATGCTTGACCGTAAATCGTCGTCTAGTTCCACGATGCGATCGTCCTCATCATCATCGTCGTCGTCGTCTTCAAAATCAAATTCATCCTCTTCGATAATATCATCGCTCGATTGTAATCTCCATTGCTGAACTCGGTCTGTTTGAGAGTCAATGCCCGCTCTTCGGGACATTGTTTTGGTAGCGGTTTAGGAAGTGAAATGCCGAAAAAGGGTGAATGGTATATTAGAGAAGTCCAAGTTCGCTAGAAATAGTGGAAGCCCGAAAAGAAAGCCGTGTACAAGTGAAAGTGTGTCAAATGCTTATAAGTTGTAGGTCGCAAGTGAAAAACAGGTTGTCAAGTCCACTGGGGGAAAAAAAAAAGGATTTCGACGTGGGTGCACAAGGACTTACCTATTTTGCTGCAAAGACGATGTGGGCTGAGGCTTTGAACTGAACAGTACGGAAAAGTAGACGTCAGTTTTCTCACTTCAGCTCATTTAAATAGATCACGCACACGTACCAAAAAAAATAAAAAAAAAATTCTCGTAAGAGGCAAGGGAGGCAGGGGAAGATTCACTTTGGCTTGCAGGGAGACGTGAAATGAGTAGAAGAACACAAAATTAAGGCAAAAAAAATACAAAATCCGTGAGGGAACAGGCGTCAACTTTGTCATCTTTGTCCATTCCCTTATTCAATGGAGCCTGTTAGTCCTCTTCAAGAACTTATAAGTCCATTGGAATGTCAATTTTGCTGGATCTACGATCACCTCCTAAATTTTCAATGATTGTCGCGATTCTCAAATCGCCATACTTTGTTAGCTAATCCGAATAAAGGGTTCGACCCCTTTTGCACAAAATTTGACAACTGTATTGCATACCACAATGCGTCGCTACATATTTCTGCCTTTTATCAATTTCTGGACCAAAAAACGTGCTAGATCCCGCCAGTACTGCCAAAATCTTTCGGTACGAAACATGACATTTAGCAGGGCAGTCAATTTAATAAACATAACCGTACCGTCAGCCTTTCAACATTGCCCCTTTACATTCCAGGCCAATTGAATTTGGAAAAAAGCGATGCCGGCAGAGCAATATAATGTTTGCATTTGATATGTATTTGTGTGGATATTACGCAAATCAGCCAATTTGGTGTTTTTTTTTAACTCCATCTGTGGCTACAATATACCCAGGCTTGATCGAGCCTTTATGATGAAAACGCTGGTACCGTTGTCTCCGAATCTTGCATTTCATGTATCGATTCCCATGATTTGTAAATTACGGCTCCAATATGAAGCATACTGTTCTTAAAATAGAATACGATGCATTGAACGGATTCTGAACCATGACAATATATAACTATCACAACGCAATATACTCAGCTCTTCGCAGTACTGGTGTGGTAATTTGTGCATGAGAATGTAACAATACACCATGTATCCTTGGTACAACTGATGACGATCGCAAGTGATAACCTTGCAAAATACGAGTTGCTTGCCCATTTCACGGCCAAGCGACTGAACTTCCAATATTTTAAACACCATTAGTAATTTATTTGCCAAGGCTTCTCTCGTTTATTGAAAAGCATGAATATCATCTCAAATGACACTTTTCATGATATGAGTTATTGAAATCAATTTTTGATGCAATATGGCGGTGTCAATCGAACTTTGTTTTTTGACTGGCTAGGTTGTCATATCGAGTTATTGATATTAGCCTACAAAGATAATCTAGATTTTATCCTTTCGAATATAGAGTGAGAGCTTTTGGCGCACAGAAAGTAGGAATCGAACGAAGCGACGGCATGTAATCCATATCCTTGCACGTGACCTAGCCTTTTTGGCAACAAATTCGGGACTGCTAAATCATCAAGTTACACTTTTTGTTGAACTGCGCCTGCACACTTCATTTCAGTAGGATTGCTAGGACACATGTTCAGTACAACGAAGGATTTCATAGGGAAACCCGCTCCGGCAAACTATGTTGCTGGTCTCGGAAGAGGAGCCACAGGATTCACTACGCGTTCTGATATTGGTCCAGCTAGAGAACCACAGGAGCCAACGTAAGTAACGCTTTTGTTTCCATTTAAATGGTTAAAGGCACGATTGCTGATGCTGACGCATTTTTCATTGAATCTAATAGAGAAGCACAGAAAGCCGCGGCAATAAAAAAGGCAGAAGAGGATGACGACGATGAACGGTTTCAAGATCCCGACAATGAAGTGGGTCTGTTCTCCGGAGCTCCCTACGAAGAAGATGACGAAGAAGCCGACAAGGTTTGGGAAATGATTGACGCAAAAATGGATGAACGCAGAAAAGCAAGAAGAGAAGCTAGAGAGAAGGAGGAATTAGAAAAGTATCGATCCGAACGTCCAAAGATTTCACAGCAATTTGCAGACATCAAGCGAACGTTGTCTACAGTTAACGAAGACGCATGGAACGCTATTCCTGAAGCTGGAAATTTGACCGGCAAGGCAAAACGAAAACAACCAAAAATGGATCGATTTACTCCCGTCCCTGATTCTGTTTTAGCGGCTTCGAAGGAGAAAAACCAGCTTGCCAACACAATCGATGCCACGGACCAGTCACTCGGAGGCATTGCTACTCCTAGCCTCGATAGTGGTATGATGACGGATTTTAAGCAGATTGGTGAAGCACGCGACAAAGTTCTAGGATTGAAACTAGATCAACTTTCTGACTCTGTTTCTGGCAAGACCAATATTGATCCCAAGGGATATCTCACTGACCTGAACAGCGTTGTGTTAAAGAGTGATGCAGAAATTGGAGATCTCAAGAAAGCTAGACTACTACTCAATTCTGTCATCACCACCAATCCAAAACACGCACCAGGATGGATTGCCGCCGCAAGACTGGAGGAAGTTGCCGGTAAAATAGGCACAGCGAGAACGATCATCGCCAAGGGTTGTGACGAGTGTCCTAAGAATGAGGATATTTGGCTTGAAGCCGCAAGATTGAACACAAAAGATAATGCTAAGATCATTCTTGCTAACGCAGTTCGACATATACCACACTCCGTCAAAATATGGCTCAAGGCAGTGGATTTGGAAACTGAACCCAATGCTCAAAAGCGGGTACTACGACGTGCACTCGAATTCATACCTAATTCACTCAAACTTTGGAGAGCAGCGGTCAATATGGAAGATAATCCGGCCGATGCCAAGGTGTTATTGTCACGAGCTGTCGAACTTGTTCCCCTGAGTGTTGAACTCTGGTTGGCGCTAGCTCGATTGGAATCTTACGCAAATGCTAAAAAAGTACTCAACAACGCACGCAAGAGCATCCCCACATCACATGAAATATGGATCGCAGCTGCGCGACTAGAAGAACAGCAAGGTAACGAAAAGATGGTGGAAACCATCATACAACGTGCTGTCAGTGTCCTTAGTGAAAGTGGAACGGTCATGGATCGAGACCAATGGTTAGTGGAAGCTGAATCCTGTGAGAAGACAGGCGCTATCGGCACTTGTCAAATAATTATTCGCGCAACCATCGGTCTCGGTATTGAAGATGAAGATAGGAAGAAGACATGGATGGACGATGCTGAAAGCTGCATTGCTCATGGGTCTATTGAATGCGCAAGGGCGATCTATGCCCACGCCCTCAAGGTATTTCCAGAGAAGAAGTCAATTTGGAGACGTGCAGCGTACCTCGAAAAGGGACATGGCACCAAAGAATCGTTGGAGGAGTTGCTTCAACGCGCTGTCAAGTATTGTCCTCAAGCTGAAGTTCTATGGCTCATGGGCGCAAAAGAAAGATGGCTATTTGGAGATGTGGAGGGCGCTCGCGCCATTATCCATCAAGCATTTACAGCCAACCCCAACAGTGAGCAGATATGGCTGGCGGCTGTCAAACTGGAAAGTGAAAACGACGAGCCTGAACGTGCACAAACTCTTCTTAAAAACGCCCGAGAAAAGTCTGGAACAGAGCGTGTTTGGATGAAATCAGCGGTGTTTGAGCGTCAATTGAGAAACTTTGAAACAGCTCTCTCTCTCCTCGATGAAGCATTGGCTAAGTATCCCACATTCGATAAACTATGGATGATCAAATCCCAAATTGAGGACATGGATCTCAACAATCAAGCAAAAGCCCGTGAAACTCTCAACAAAGGTGTGAAAGCTTGCCCCAAGAGCGTGACCCTTTGGATACTGCTTGCTCGATTGGAAGAAAAGTCAGGCATGCTTGTCAAATCAAGATCTACTCTAGAAAAAGCTCGATACACCAATCCCAAAACGGCCGAGCTGTGGGTTGAAGCAATACGCATCGAAAACCGTGCCAACAATGTCAACGCTGCTAGAAACCTCGCCGCCAAGGCGTTGCAAGAATGCCCAACGTCAAGCCTGTTGTGGTCTGAGATTATTTACATGGAACCACGTGCTCAGCGAAAATCAAAGAGCGTAGATGCTTTGAAAAAGTGCGAACAAGACCCATTGATTGTAACTGCAGTGGCTCGATTATTCTGGACAGAGAGGAAGATTGACAAGGCTCGAGACTGGTTTCAAAAGGCTGCCAAGATTGACTCTGATCAAGGCGATGTGTATGCATGGTGGTATCGCTTTGAGTTGCAGCATGGCTCAGAGGTGAGGAGTTTGTTTTGATTATGTAGCTCTTAATTTTCCCAGATTACCCATTCGCTCACTGAAATTTATCTCCTAAAAATAGGAACAACAAAAATTTGTCGTCGAGAAGTGCATTGCAGCAGAACCACATCATGGTGAACGATGGCAAGCTGTGGCCAAGAATATATATAATTTTGGAAAAAAAACAGACGAAATCTTGAAATTAGTAGCAGGTAGTTTAGAGGGCCAGTAGGATTTGACAAAATAAACATCAGGCTATAATTACCTATTGATAGAGTACAATGTAAACAGCAACTGGGATCCGAAGTTATTGGGGTGTGATAGAAGAAAAAAGGTGCGAACATTTAATGCGGTTTGTAATTTACTAAATTGAGAAAACTATTAGGAACATCAAGAACCATGAAGTCTTTATCGCGAGATTCCAAATGTCGGAGTAGTGGATACCTTTCATTTGAAAATTGCAAATATGCAATGTCAGCAACGATTAGGCGTCACAGCTTTCTCGTTAATGCAAGGACCTTGCGGTAAAATATTACCGCCGTTGAGCTGATGTGTGGTGAATATGACCAAATAAGGCAAGCTGAAACAGCCGACATGGTTCAGTCAGCATTAATGGTCGGGAAAATCGGTAACTTCGTTCCAGTCGTTTTTTCCGCTCTAAAACATTTTCTGAACTATATAAACACAAACCGGGGCCACATTATGCGTTTCGTTATATAGAATTGCAAACGATTAAACTCTTTTTTATATGTCAACAACATCACTCATCGTAGCCATCAAAGGCACCGATAATGTTGAAAACGATGGTGTCATTGTTCGATTTGGTACTGGCGCAAGCATGGACACACTGCGTAGCCTTATTGCCGACAAATTGGGCATTGCCACTGGTTATCAAGATTTGATACTAGAGGATGGCGATGGAAAGCTTCTTTCTGGAATAGATCATGTTCGACAACAACAAGTCGTCTATGTCAATTTGAAGGATCAAGTCAAATTACCTGCTGTTCCCAAACACACGCTTCCATACTTTGGCAACTTGTACGACATGCTACCAGACATGTAAGTGATAGATAACTATGCTATAATCGATATACAATGGAATATGCACCTTTCTTCTTGTACAAGTGCTTATAATTTATCATAGGTTGGCAAGCTGGAGACGACTTTTTGAAGAGTATGGTCCCGTCGTGAAAGTTAATTTGCTCGGAAGCGAAATTATTGGAACAAATGATCCGGCCGTTGCAGAGCTTTTCGTAAAGGAAAATGAGTACTTCACAAAGAAAATTTACGGTGGTCTCTCTGAAGTTAAAGCATTCGGTGGACAAGGTCTATTCACTACAGACAGTGATGAAATGGACTGGAAGCTTGCTCACAAGCTTCTTATGCCGGCATTCTCTCCTAGAGCTATCAAGGTAACCCTTTGAAGATTACATCAATCTCATTAGATTATCTCATATTCATTTCAATGCAGGCGTACCAACTAGAGATGAGCTTGATTGGTCAAACTACCATCAAGTTGTTGGAGCAATTTTCTTCCGATGAATCTGTCGAAATTCTTCACTGGACCACCAATCTTACATTCGAGACTATTGGAAAAGTTGGATTCGGATATGGTATGCTGATGAGAAAATAATTCTATACTCATTTCATATACAGTAACTGACATTGTAAAATTTCTTAGACTTCCATCTACTGGATGACCGCAATGCCGAGAATCACCCATTTATCGAAGCTATGGGATATTGTATGAAACAATCTTTTACCAGAACGACTCAAGCAAAAGTTATGAAGCATTTACCTTTGGAGAGCAATCGCCGCTTTGATGAATCTCTCAAGCTTATGCATACGACAGTTGATGATGTTATTCAGCAGCGCAAGAATGGTCCTGAGGCTAAAGACAAGGATAAGGACTTGCTCGGCTTCATGTTGAATGCTCGAGATGAGAATGATCTAGGTCTTACGGACGAAAACATCCGTGATCAAGTTATCACGTTCTTGATTGCTGGGCACGAAACAACCAGCAACACGCTGGCTTGGACATTGTACGAACTCTCTCGTCATCCTGAAATTGAAGAAAAGATTTTACAAGAGATTGTCAACCTTGAAATCACTCATGATGGTCTCCCAACCTCTAAACAATCATCCAACATGAAATATACTCACCAAGTACTTAAGGAGACTCTTCGTATGTACTCTCCTCTTCGTGCACTTGGCAAACATTGCAAAAAAGGTACGTCTTAAAAGATTATATTTATTTCAAACATGAAATTTGTCTCGTGTCCACCTTTTCTTGATTGCTTACCCTATTCACATAGATATCATTGTTCCTGGAGGCTATCAAATCAAAGCTGGGTCTGAAGTCATTGTCCATTTGGGCTCTATGCACTACAATGAAGCCATTTATCCCAATCCTGATGAATATGATCCTAGTCGATGGACGCCTGAAGAAGAACAAAAAAGATCTCGCTTCGCTTGGCTCCCTTTCAGTACCGGACCACGCTCATGCATTGGTATGGCACTTGCTCTCCAAGAAGCCAAGACGATCCTTGGCATGCTCCTTCATCGATTCCGTTTCGTTTATGACGGACCTCCGATAACACATGATCCCAAGTCTCCTACCACGAAACCACTGAATTTGTTCATGAAAATTCTTCCTCGTGAACACCTTCCTAGTCCCACTGCTGATAATAGACTCACACCGCCCGGATCTCCAGCTCAAACAAAGATGCCTCGAGCCACTCTACCGACAGCCGCTGTAAATGCTGGCACTGTACCTCTTCCTCCCGTAACCTTCCTCTTTGGTACTCAGACCGGTACTGCTCAAGACTATGCTTCACAGCTCGCAGGCCAAGCTAAAAACTTTGGCTTCAAGAACGTTAAAGTCTGTGATATGGACAAGTGGGAGGTTTTGGAAAAGGGAAAGTATAATGTTCCTAAAGGATCCAGTGACCGTCGTGAACTTGTCATCATCTGTACCGCTACCTACAATGGTTCCCCTCCAGATTCTGCCGAAAAATTCGATAAATTCATTTCCGACGATTCGAATGACAAAGATCGACCAATGGAAGGTCTTCTCTATTCAGTATTCGGATTGGGTAACAAGAATTGGAGAACATATCAACAATTCCCTACCAAGTGTGACAATCGCCTCGACGAACTTGGCGCAGAGCGCTTCTTCTATCTTGGATCAGGTGATGCTGACAAGGATATGGATGCAGATTTTCATGAATGGTAAGACTTCGAAGCAATGCATATAGCATTATGATGTGTAGCTTTTGACCTTTATTGATAGGTGCGCTCATTTCTGGTCCCATACTCTCATCTATTTTGGTATTGGAACAAACCCCGAAACCACTTCTCTGGTACCTACACCATCCAAGTACGAGGATCCTGCTGATAAGCTTGAGGTCCAAATTATTGAAAAATCAGAAGATGCCAAATGCATCAGCGCAAGCAAGAATGTTAATGGAGAGTACAATGCCGAGATTAATGTCAACACCGAACTCCAGAATGTTGAGCTATCCAAGCGCAGCACTCGTCATATCGAAATCGACATCTCTAAACTCCAATCTCCTAACACTGACAAGCACAGATATCTTGCTGGAGATCATCTTGAGGTTCTCCCAGAGAATTCAGACATGGATATCGAAAAGGTTGCACTTGGATTTGGTCTTATCCTCGACTCTGTTTTCGAAATCACCAACGTCGATGTCACAACCGTTTCATCTCGCAGTCTAGCCGTCGCTATTAAGGGACCATGCACAGTGAGAAATGCACTCAAGTACTATGCAGATATTTACTCTGCTCCTTCAAGGTATATGCTTGCTTACTTTGCAGCTCGCTTGCAAAAGACACATCCTGATGTTGCTGCTACGTTCTCTGATGTGATTGTCCCAGGAGATAAAGGTCAAGCGGCATACATCGAGTTTATCAAAGAGTGTCGCAATCTTTTGGACTTGCAAAGAAAGTATCCTCTCAAGGAACTCAGCCTTAAGGAATTCCTTTGTGCTGTCACAGTTATGCAGCCCCGTCGCTATTCCATTGCCTCATCTCCACTGAAGAACAAGGACTCTGCTCATCTTGCTGTCGGTGTTGTCGACGATGTTATGAACAACCGCCACTATCCTGGTCTCACATCTGGATACCTTGCAAACGTTCAACCACCATGCCCATTGCGTGCTCGTATCAAGTCCAGCAAGAGCAGTTTCTGCTTGCCATCGGATGAGAAGACACCTATCATCATGATTGCTGCTGGCACTGGCGTATCACCATTTGTTGGATTTTTGCAAGAACGAGAAGTGCTTAAATCTGATGCCGAGGCCTATCTCTTCTTTGGCTGCAGACATCCAGACCAGGACTTCATCTACCGCGATGTGTTTGAAGGATATGAAAAATCTGGAGTGATTACCAAGCTTTATCCAGCATTCTCTCGATATGGCGAGGATAACCCTAGAAAGTATGTGCAACATCAGATCATGGCCAATGCTGGAGTAATTTGGAAACTCCTCAGTCAAGGAGCTGTCATCTATGTCTGTGGAGCTGGCACAATGAGCAGAGACGTTCGCCGTACGTTTGAGCTTATGGCGAAGAGCTTTGGTGGAGCTAAGACGGACGAAGAAGCAACCGAGCTTCTTACCGGCCTTATGACTAGTGGTCGATACAACGAAGACGTTTGGGGTTAATTTTCTTGATGCCAAACCACTATCGTAGAAGATTTTATGTAAACATGCTTAACAACATTTCGGTAATAAAATTTATGTTCTTTTCTGGCTGTCTTTAAGAAATTACGCACATGATGGTCAAGTTTGGAGAATGCAGGCAGGGCATCATGTTAGATAACGGACATAGTTTAAGCTAATAAACACCGGACTATGGGAAGAAGCCTGAATGTCATGTAGTTTTCTCCTATGCGAGCAATATCGAATCGGTTAAAATTGTAATGAGTCTATCGCTTCGTTTTGATAGATATATATATTATGTGCATCCAAGGCAGCAGATGAAGTATAATGTCTCGTCATTCCCTGCCTTTCACTAAACAGTCGCCCAGTTTACATTCCCTTTCCCATGCACACTGATTATGCTGCTAAACCTGGTAAATGATTTTTTATTATTATTTCGGTTTATAGCAGTAAATCAGTAGAGACGGCTTGGTGTCTGTTTTCAATCAGATGCCACGGTTGTTTTATGGAACCTTTCGTCTTTATTCGTTATATCGAACACATGATTCTTTTCATTGAGAACTTTAACACAAGGTCAATCCACCTGTGTATCTAAGTAGCTTACAAATCAAGTCGCATCATTCTACATTTCCGCATGCTGCTATAACTCGCAATCAATCTTGTTAAACCCACTAAAGTATTACTACAACATCATTAAAAGCACCAAACTAGCTTGTTAAATCGTGTATATTCGGCTCATACGATAAAATTCTTTTTAATTTTTTTACCACAAGAATGCTTTCGAAAAAACTGCTGGAGCTGGTGTGGAAATTCCAAATGGTTTATGGCATAGTTTATTAGTGGATACGGCAAAATTAAGGGCGGCGTACAGGGATAAAAGCCGTGAAAATATTGACAAGAGTCTTGTGGCACTCAATCCGGACAATGCTCGCAAAAGATATCTTCGTCTCATTTGATACAACAAAGGATACTTGACAATACGTGATTTAACTGAATGATCTCTTTCATTGCTAGCTCAAGAATTGGTAACATAACAAATGACCGTTAACAAGAGCTGAAATATGATATGTTGAGTGTCTTATTATCAATAAGTTTGATGAATCTCATAAGATGAGGCTTGCAATACTATTAATGACAGTCAAGATTACGTACAATATCGACGGACACGTTTCCGCGACCATTGAAAATCTGGTACGGTTAACAGGAAATACATATACGACTCATAAAACCGCCTCATTAGATTGCACCATTGCCTCGCGAATATGCATCTACGGATGAGTATCGCTCAAGCACCATATCTAATGCAAAAAACTTATCAAATACGTTGATTCTATCTATAGGGATCTCGCTTACTTGCTTTGCGAACCAACATTGATGAATACCAATGTGAAAAAGTAGTGGTGGTAAAGTTTACCGCCAGTCAGCTTACGAGCGCTGAAAATGACCAAAAATGGCAGGTAAAATGAAGTTGGTCAGATATAACTGGTCGGGAGTATGGTAATCACACTCCGGCCATTGCTTGCGCGTCCAAATTAGTTCAGAAATTATAAAAAAGTGCTTTGGGTCAACGCTTTATTCTTTTCAATACTAATAGTTTTCATCACTCGCTGAGCTTTCTATTTTTATGTCAAAGACGGAAATCATTGCAGCTATCAAAGGCTGCGACAACACAGAAAGCAATGGTGCGACTGTAACATTTGATAATAACGCAAGCATGGACAAGCTGCGTAGCCTTGTAGCCGATAAACTAGGCATTGCCAGCGGTCACCAAAATCTGATATTGGAAGATGGTGACGGGGAGATGCTCTCTGAAATAGATCAAGTTCGACAACAAAAATTTATCTATGTAAACATGAAGGATCAAATCAAATTACCTGCTGTTCCCAAACGCTCGCTTCCATACTTTGGCAACTTGTACGAAATGCTACCAGACTTGTAAGTAATCCATAGCTAAGGCGTCGGAGGTGAAACAATGGGGGGGGGGGTTTATTTCTTTGGCTCAAGAGCTAATAATTTATCATTAGGCAGGCAAGCTGGAGACGGCTTTTTGAAGAGCATGGTTCCGTAGTGAAGATTAACTTGATCGGAAACGAGATCATTGGAACAAATGATCCAGCCGTTGCAGAGCTTTTTGTAAAGGAAAGTGAGTACTTTACAAAGAAAATCAATGGCGGTCTTTCTGAAATCAAGGCATTTGGTGGACAAGGTCTATTCACTACAGACAGTGATGAAATGGACTGGAGGCTTGCTCATAAGCTCCTTATGCCAGCATTCTCTCCTAGAGCTATCAAGGTAAATACATAAAGAATTTTAAGAGCTGGTATGAATAGATCATCTTATATACATGTCAATGTGTAGGCATACCAATTGGAAATGAGTTTGATTGGTCAACAAACCATTAGGCTGCTGGAACAATTTACTCCGGATGAACCTGTAGAAATTCTTAACTGGACAACCAATCTCACATTTGAAACTATTGGAAAAGTTGGATTTGGTTATGGTAAGCCGATGAAAAAATTAGACCATCACCAATTCACACAGCATGACTGATTATGTAAAATTGCTCAGATTTCCACTTACTGGATGATCGCTACGCGGAGAATCATCCATTTATCGAAGCTATGGGATATTGCATGAAACAAGCATTTAAAAGAATGCTTCAGCCAAAAGTTTTAAAGCGTCTGCCGTTCGAGAGCAATCGCCGCTTTGATCGATCTATCAAACTTATGCACTCGACGGTTGATGATGTTATTCAGCAGCGCAAGAATGGTCCTGAGGCTAAAGACATGAATAAGGATGTGCTCGGCTTCATGTTGAATGCTCGAGATGAGAATGATCTAGGTCTTACGGACGAAAACATTCGTGATCAAGTTATCACGTTCTTGATTGCTGGGCACGAAACAACCAGCAACACGCTGGCTTGGACATTGTACGAACTCTCTCGTCATCCTGAAATTGAAGAAAAGGTTCTACAAGAGATTGTCAACCTTGAAATCACTCATGATGGTCTCCCAACCTCTAAACAATCATCCAACATGAAATATACTCACCAAGTACTTAAGGAGACTCTTCGTATGTACTCTCCTCTTCGTGCACTTGGCAAACATTGCAAAAAAGGTACGTCTTAAAAGATTATATTTATTTCAAACATGAAATTTGTCTCGTGTCCACCTTTTCTTGATTGCTTACCCTATTCACATAGATATCATTGTTCCTGGAGGCTATCAAATCAAAGCTGGGTCTGAAGTCATTGTCCATTTGGGCTCTATGCACTACAATGAAGCCATTTATCCCAATCCTGATGAATATGATCCTAGTCGATGGACGCCTGAAGAAGAACAAAAAAGATCTCGCTTCGCTTGGCTCCCTTTCAGTACCGGACCACGCTCATGCATCGGTATGGCACTTGCTCTCCAAGAAGCCAAGACGATCCTTGGCATGCTCCTTCACCGATTCCGTTTCGTTTATGACGGACCTCCGATAACACATGATCCCAAGTCTCCTACCACGAAACCACTGAATTTGTTCATGAAAATTCTTCCTCGTGAACACCTTCCTAGTCCCACTGCTGATAATAGACTCACACCGCCCGGATCTCCAGCTCAAACAAAGATGCCTCGAGCCACTCTACCGACAGCCGCTGTAAATGCTGGCACTGTACCTCTTCCTCCCGTAACCTTCCTCTTTGGTACTCAGACCGGTACTGCTCAAGACTATGCTTCACAGCTCGCAGGCCAAGCTAAAAACTTTGGCTTCAAGAACGTTAAAGTCTGTGATATGGACAAGTGGGAGGTTTTGGAAAAGGGAAAGTATAATGTTCCTAAAGGATCCAGTGACCGTCGTGAACTTGTCATCATCTGTACCGCTACCTACAATGGTTCCCCTCCAGATTCTGCCGAAAAATTCGATAAATTCATTTCCGACGATTCGAATGACAAAGATCGACCAATGGAAGGTCTTCTCTATTCAGTATTCGGATTGGGTAACAAGAATTGGAGAACATATCAACAATTCCCTACCAAGTGTGACAATCGCCTCGACGAACTTGGCGCAGAGCGCTTCTTCTATCTTGGATCAGGTGATGCTGACAAGGATATGGATGCAGATTTTCATGAATGGTAAGACTTCGAAGCAATGCATATAGCATTATGATGTGTAGCTTTTGACCTTTATTGATAGGTGCGCTCATTTCTGGTCCCATACTCTCATCTATTTTGGTATTGGAACAAACCCCGAAACCACTTCTCTGGTACCTACACCATCCAAGTACGAGGATCCTGCTGATAAGCTTGAGGTCCAAATTATTGAAAAATCAGAAGATGCCAAATGCATCAGCGCAAGCAAGAATGTTAATGGAGAGTACAATGCCGAGATTAATGTCAACACCGAACTCCAGAATGTTGAGCTATCCAAGCGCAGCACTCGTCATATCGAAATCGACATCTCTAAACTCCAATCTCCTAACACTGACAAGCACAGATATCTTGCTGGAGATCATCTTGAGGTTCTCCCAGAGAATTCAGACATGGATATCGAAAAGGTTGCACTTGGATTTGGTCTTATCCTCGACTCTGTTTTCGAAATCACCAACGTCGATGTCACAACCGTTTCATCTCGCAGTCTAGCCGTCGCTATTAAGGGACCATGCACAGTGAGAAATGCACTCAAGTACTATGCAGATATTTACTCTGCTCCTTCAAGGTATATGCTTGCTTACTTTGCAGCTCGCTTGCAAAAGACACATCCTGATGTTGCTGCTACGTTCTCTGATGTGATTGTCCCAGGAGATAAAGGTCAAGCGGCATACATCGAGTTTATCAAAGAGCATCGTAATCTCTTGGACTTGCAAAGGAATTACCCTCTTACAGAACTCAGCCTCAAGGAATTTCTCTGTGCTGTCACAGTTATGCAGCCCCGTCGCTATTCCATTGCTTCATCTCCACTAAAGAACAAGGACTCTGTTCATCTCGCTGTCGGTGTTGTCGATGATGTTATGAACAACCGTCACTATCCTGGTCTCACATCTGGATACCTTGCAAACGTTCAACCACCATGTCCATTGCGTGCTCGTATCAAGTCCAGCAAGAGCAGTTTCTGCTTGCCATCGGATGAGAAGACACCTATCATCATGATTGCTGCTGGCACTGGCGTGTCACCATTTGTTGGATTTTTGCAAGAACGAGAAGTGCTTAAATCTGATGCCGAGGCACATCTCTTCTTTGGCTGCAGACATCCAGACCAGGACTTCATTTACCGCGATGTGTTTGAAGGGTATGAAAAATCTGGGTTGCTCACTAAGCTTTATCCAGCATTCTCTCGATATGGCGAGGACAACCCTAGAAAGTATGTACAACATCAGATCATGGCCAATGCTGGAGTAATTTGGAAACTTCTCAGTCAAGGAGCTGTTATCTATGTATGTGGAGCTGGTGCGATGAGCAGAGACGTTCGCCGTACGTTTGAGCTTATGGCGAAGAGCTTTGGTGGAGCTTCGACGGACGAAGAAGCAACCGAGCTTCTTAACGGGCTTATTTCTAGTAGTCGATATAATGAAGATGTATGGGGTTGAGTGCTTCAACGCCAAAGTAAATGATAACTTATTTTATTAAATTAAAACCATTATAATCTATTATACTATTTTTTCACTTCTCAGTACAAGTGGCTCTTTGCGATGCTACAATCTATTGATTACTGTCGCGTTTACAGCAGCGGTTCATCATTCAAGACCTTGAAGTTTAATAAACGATAACGTTACACAAAGTGTAGTTAGCGATCGCTCGTATTGCGCTCATTGTTGCTTTGAATATCCATGTCAGAATTTATATAATTCAGCCTCTCTCTGAAAGATTTGAGTGATATATTCAAAACAAGTTGTTGAACCCGTTTAAGGCTTGGAGAAGAATGATATTTGCTGCCATATGCACCGTGTCGTATGCGATAGCATGGTATGGTTAATCGGACTTCTAACCCGGCGGTTGAGATCAACCGAATTCCGGTTTGAGGTGCAGCAGTAAAATTCCCCCCACCTTTCGTTCCTTCCTATCAGTTTGCATCACATCATTGAAAATGGCGGAAGACTCAGAACAGGATCGAACGAGCAACGCTGGTGCAGCTTGCTACAGATGTAGAGGCTTTCGGTATGCATTATCATTTATGCTGAATGATTTATTTTTGTCAAATGTCTCCTACTCAAACTAATACTATTTCAGCCACTCATGCGATCGCGAAAAGCCGGCATGTTCAAGATGTAAACGACGAGGAATCAAGTGCATATATCCAGAAGCTGCACCCTCTCTGAAGCAATTACAGCTGTCGGCTGATGTATTAGGAAACCGGATAACCACACTCAACGAGAAGCTAAAGCAGCGACCCAAAAGCGAAAAAAGTATAGCTAAACAACCTCAGTCTGTAGCTGAAGAAATCCCAACAGATGCCTTGGTTGGCAACTTTTCAGTTTATCCGTGTTCAAAATGCTATAGAGATTTACAGCAATGCGATCTCACATTTCCCAGTTGCTCAAGATGTGTTCGAAACAAGTTTGAGTGCGTATACACAAAAACTGAGCCAAAGGCCAATCATGTCTCCACCGTACTGAACGCCATGAATCGTGCAGTTGATCAATGGAATGATTTTTTTGATGGTAAAAGCAAATGGCTGGCGAAGCGAACACAACGAGACATACTACCTAAAAAGAAGCCTCGACCACCGTTCACCTGGGCGATACACAACAAGTATAACCAAGGCTTATCCATGGAAAGCAACGTATCGTCATTCACCGACTTGCACAAATTAATTGCTCAATTTGCATACTCGTTTCTTCCAACGCCAAGGTCAATACAAGATTCGCCTGATGCTATGTCGGATTCCGATTTCGAATCAGTCGAAGAAGGTATGATATCTGATTTAAACCAGATGGCAACCGCAGATTTACGGCAGGATATGTTTCCGTTCGCAATATGGAACGCGTGGTCTGTTTCTATGCATTCTTTACCTCAAGGATACCCCATCGACACATCCGAGCAGCTTACAAATCAACTTGTCGAACTATTTTGTACCTCACCATGCTGCTCTACGTCAAGACTTCCCTTCATCGAACCTGCCGATGTATTGCAACGGTACCAGAAAAACGAGAACCCGCCTTCCAAACTGTATATATATGCCTTATGTGCAATGTCAGCTCGTAATGCTTTTCAAGTTCACTGCTGGAGCGGTGATTCTGGATTTTCAGCGGCACAGTTTACTATGGGCAAGGCGATATCGACGGCGTATTGTGTTCAAGCAAGAGAAATCTTCGCCGACTGCTTTGATAGCCCAAGTTTAGACAATGTCCAAGGAACATTTTTGTTGTCATATGCTATGCATCAAAATGGATACTTCAACGGAATCTACTTATACGAATGGATATCGTTTGCCCTGGCTCAAGACCTGGGACTTTATGACGCTAAGCGGCCATTAACTAGGGCTGAAAACATGACGTTATGGATGATTTATTATTACAACGCTTGGTACAAAGTTTTGCAAGGTGGAGCTTGTGACGCTGTTCATCTTAATCAATACTACCCTGCAGCTCAGCCGATCATGCCTCCGCCACCATTGGAAAAACCGATCAATTCACAAGATCTCATATACACCATGTGGTACCACCTCGTTAAGCTACAAGTCCTACGGCATGACCTGATGTCAAGGATGGTCATCGCTCAAGAGGCATATCGGAGACAGGCACCCTTTCGCATAGATCTTTTTGAGCTGCAGCAAACGCTGTTCGATTGTTATGCGACAGTCCCTCTGGATTGGCAGAATCCAGATTCTGAAATGCTACTAAATGCCTCTGGACGACCGACGTTGGAAGCAAACAGCAGCAGTGGAAAACTCAATGTCAAAACCGACGACGTCAACAGCTTTTGTATCATAAACTTGCATGTGCATTACAACATCAATAAGATTTTGCTGTATCAAACATTCTTACCAACGAACAGTCCACCTACCACGCCCATCGCTGTCCAGTGCTTGAGTGCTTGCATCCAAGCTGCCAATAGTATCACGGAATGTTTGGATATAATGATCAACAAACGCAAAGACTGCAACTTACCTATACTAGCGCTTGTATTCGCCAATACGATTTACATGAAGCTATTAACCTACACTGATGTTCGATTCAAGAGGTTCGCACGACGAAACTTGGAACGATCTGTAAGTCTGTCCAAATCGTCAATGACTTACGCTTACGATTTCGAAAACTGTAAGAGATTGGTCTCCATCATGGAATCCACCGTGAACGAGGCAATAAGCCGGCTTGAGAACGAACCTTCGCCTTCAGGCTCAGAATGTAGCTTGGATGGCGGGATCAACAAAGGCATTCCGCCTGGCCAAGTCCGTAGCATCATAAAATCCAATGCCGTTACTTCATCATCGACGGATATGGATCAACAGCTCGCGAGCTCTTATAGCTCCAACTCTTCGGCGCCGGAATTGGAAATACCCGTAAAACGGGAACATGGTAGCAGAGACTCTTACTCGGTTGCTTCCTCAGTCACATATCAGGACGATACCCCTGCAAGCTTGGAGAAAAGCTGGCCTGAAGATGACTTGGACTTTAACAAATATCCAATGGACGTAGATAAGGAGCCGAGGATTAAATTGGAACATCATGAGGATGGGTTTTCGGGAGATAATTCATTAATCAAAGATGTCTGGCGAGCTGTAGATGATGCCAGATGCTCAGTTTAGCTTTATATATTCTACCGTTTAATATCTGTACAGGATTCGTTTTTAGAATAATTAGTTTTTCTTGTTAAAAGGTTTTTAATTTTTCTGCAAAATAGTTGATTATAAAGACAGTCGTTATATCTTTCATGTATATTGCCTGCTTCAGCAAATTGGCAGCGACATGGAATAAGATAATTTGGCAGCTTTACTCATTCAGAAAATTGGCACCCACGTGACTGTTTCTTGATGACAGACACTATGACAATTTCTCGAAAATCTTCCAGGCCTTGTAACTCAAGTAACTAAATACCACTATCAGAATTATGAACTTCTTCCGCGCAGCTACACGAACAGTAAGTAGCCTTTACCGAGTTTTATTGACTTTTCTTAGTTCGAGTGAATGGAAGCTTGTGGCGATCCACAAATACATTTTGAGTGAGCTATGACTAATCCATGATCGATAATCGCATTTGCAGTCAACTCTCATTCGACCAACGAACTATTCTCGTTTTGCTGCTCCTGTCTCAGCCAGATGGATTTCAGATAGCTTGAAGTCCAAGTTAGATCAGGTATTTTTTGGACAATAGACTAAGAGTTATGATCGGCATAGCTGAACCTTTCAATCTTGCAGGCCGTCAAGGACAATGAAGTTGTTCTCTTCATGAAGGGTACACCAGAGGAGCCAATGGTAATTGTCATATTTCGATCAGTTTCTAGTCGTCTCATCAACAAATAGCTAATTCTATGTATTGCCGGACTATAGTGTGGTTTCAGCCGTGCTGCTGTTCAAATCATGCAAGTTCAGGGTGTTGATTTCGGCAAGGTCAAAACTTTCAATGTCCTCGAGGACGCCGAGCTCAGAGACGGTGTTAAGGAGTACTCCGAATGGCCTACGATTCCTCAAGTTTACATCAAGGGAGACTTTGTTGGTGGCTGTGACATTCTTCTCAACATGCATCAATCTGGCGATCTTGAAGATCTCTTGATCAAAGAAGGCATTGTCTCCGATGTCGAAGCTGAGGAGCCTAAGCAATAAGTAAACCGATATCAACATTATTTTCGTCGCTTAATAACAAGCAAAAATAAAAAAAGGCTGACTCTGCTAGTAGAGGAATCACGCAAAACTGTAGTTTGTTTTAAATTGCTAGCCACGGCAAGGAACGGACCAGATGTGATCGAACTTTTCAACGGGATATGCCCCTTGCTTGCAGCCATCTATATAAATAGATCCCGATATCAATATGCCAATGGTCCGTTCGGACACAGAACATCTCTTGATGAGTCTACCCATGTGTAAATACTAGTCATTGCACAGGACTAGCATTGTCCACGGAGAACTGAAAGACTCCGGAATTCGAGACATATGAGAATGGTGATAAGTTCTTTCATCATTAATTTAAGTAGATAGTACGTTAGTAGCATGGTCAATTTTATGGCATCTCGGATGTAGGAACCAGCGGCTCGGTTTCTATGGAGTGTCTATGTAATGCATCGCACTGGATTAAAAAGTTGAGAATTAACTGCTTATAGACAACTGGTTTGAAGCTTGATATGACCCCGGTTATAACTAATAGTCTATTGCTAAGCGAACCAAACACAATTTTTAGAGTGCGATTTTAGCCATTTTGCAATTGTGAGACGAGATATTCAATGACAAGCCTCAAAGAATCGTTAAAAGGTAACATTTGTTCATTTATAGGATAGCACATAACGAGCCATGATGTATATGAAACGTATATTCATATAGAATCAACTAGCCTTTCTAATATCTTTATAGAAATGTAGCTTTCATACACAATTTTTCTTTTCTTCTTGATGTAAATCACGAATAAAGAAAATTGAGTGAAGACCAAGGAGAAAAGAGCCTTGTGGAATGTTTGACAGCTGTGTCTGCTTTGCAAAAGGCTAAGTTGAAGTTGATTTCAAATATTAGTATGTTCTAGCATGTTTATCGGTTCATTATAGCGACAGATCAATCTACATGCTTCTAGCTTCTTCCGGTTTCTTGGAGATGACCATTACAAATTTGCATGACAGTACATGACCGCTAATTGTCAAGATTAGGCATTTGCAGGTCCAAGATTACCAAGACGGACTTACAAATCATTTTGGACTCCGATCGTTGGTCAGAACTTGGTAAGCAGGCAAATAAGTATATAAGGCGACGATCAAATTCGTTCCCAGTTTTAACTTCACTTCAAGTTTTGAACTCTCAAACAACAAGCCCCACTCTCCTACAACCAAATCCCATTAACAAAAAAATGACTTCAAAAGTTGCTCGTAAAATTGCTCAATCTGTTCTATCAAGAGAACAAGCTGAAGGAGCTGGTGCCCGCGTTCGTCGTAGCATTGGCACTCGTTCCCTTCGCAATCTCGACCCTTTCCTAATGCTCGACGAATTCAGTGTTCAAGCACCCGCTGGCTTTCCTGAGTAAGTTTAACTTCTATTGATTATCACTATATGAAGCCGTGATCTAACGTTTCGCGTCAATAGTCATCCTCACCGTGGCTTCCAAACTGTTACCTATATGTTGGAAGGTGAGTTCTGGCATGAAGACTTTAAGGGTCACAAGGGCCGCATTGGACCTGGCGATCTGCAGTGGATGTCTGCTGGAAAAGGTATTATGCATTCCGAAATTCCCGCTACCAACAACAAGGCACACGGTCTTCAGCTTTGGGTCAACCTTTCTGCGAAGGACAAGCTCAGCGAGCCCAACTACCAAGAGTATCCTGCCACCAACATCAAGGCTGTTTCACCTGAGGAGGGTATCGATATCAAAGTCATTGCCGGCGAATCATACGGTGTGCAGTCTCCTGTAATGACCATGACCCCTACCATGTATATCGACATCAGCCTCAAGAAGGGCAAGAAGGTTGAACAGATTATTCCAAAGTCCTTCCGAGGTTTTGTGTACACCTTGTCCGGAACGGCCATGTTTGGTGGAGATAAACACAAAGCAGAAGCGCACCATACTCTAGTGTTGAGTGATAACGGCGGAACTTATCTTCCTGTCGAATCTTTGTCTGATGACTGTCGATTTGTCGTCATTGCTGGAGAACCAATCAATGAACCCATCATCCAATATGGACCATTTGTTATGGTAAGTCGGCCCAACGGTTGACGAGTTACACGAACTCCTTTTTATTTTTTCTCAACACGTACTTACTTTTATTCTTGTCTTTACAGAATACCGAGCAGGAAATCTACCAAGCATTTGCTGATTACGAGCAAGGCAAGAATGGATTTGAAGGTGCTCCCGGATGGCATTCCTCCATCAGAGATCTTTGGTCTTAAATTACTCTCAACTCCTCAGTTTGCACTAAATGGTGCCATATCTCTATCACTGTATTTCTAGTTATTCAAGCTTTTGTTATTTGTGCTTACTCTAGCATTAAATTTGTATAGATTATTCGTGACCTTTATACTTATTAAAAGACTTCACGACGTTCATTATAAACGGATAATACTTTTTTTTATTTTAAGTTGTTGGGTGGTGGGAAAAAGGTGGTGTTTATCTAATGAGACCATCAGTGACACTGGCGGCCTTGACCTTGACGTCTTCACCAGAGGAGGATTTGATCAAGAAGGGCTTATCTTGGAAGAAGGCGAAAGTCTCGCCGTTAGTCTTGAAGTCGGGTTGAACGGTTTCCCAGTATTTTTTCTTGGGGTTCAAAACAGCCTCGGGTGTGCCTAGTTTAGATGGATAAGATTTTTAGGGACATTGTGCATGATTATCGCAATGTGAGCATAGCTTATTTTTGTTTGATTCTTTACCTTCCATACCCTCGAAGTAGACTCTGTCACCGGGCTTGACCTTGGTGAGATCAACAGGTGCCAAAAGTTCAACCTTGGTACCATCAGCGGGCGATGCACAAAGAACCATACCCTGAGACTTGACGCCGCGCATGTTTGCGGGCTTCAAATTACACAAGACCAACACTGTGCGGTTCTGTCAAGTTTAGATCGTAGAGTGTCAAGTTATGATATCGTTTGAATGTGGGGTGTATATGATGAATAAGTTTTACCTGCATTTCTTCTACGGGATACCACTTGACGAGGCCGGAAACAATAGTACGCGGGGTACCTTCGGGATCACCAACATCAATCTGTTCAACATAGAGAGCGTCAGCATCATCATGCTTCTTGCAGGAGACGATATGGCCAACACGGATATCGAGTCTAGAGACAACTGGTTGCTCAGGTGCAGCGGGAGCTGGTGGGGCCTTCTCCTTCTTCTCTTTCTTTGCCTTCTTCTCCTTCTTCTCTGGGACTACTGCCTCAGTAACAGCGGCAGCGGCGCCCTTAACAGCGGCCTCAACCTTTCCTTCGCCCTTCTTCTCCTTTTTCTATAGGACAAAGTGTTTACTAAAATTAGCGAATGTTTTGTTAATAGCCATAGTGTGAGGTTTGTAAAACTTACAGCGACAGTGATGACTGGTTCGGGGACGTTATCAAGATCAACTGTAACAAGGGAGAATTGCTTCTCAGCAGCAAGGTTGCCTTTGACGACAGTATTCTGGATCAAATCGAACCAACGAAGGACATTGGGTGCGGTGGCTACATTGATGCTTTGAGCGTGAGAGTGCAATTCACCAAAAGCCACAAGGTCAGCAACGGTGAGATGGTTGCCAGCGATATAAGTGGAGTCGCGCAGTTGATCGTTAAGTTTCTGTGTAATATACGCGCCTCAGCATAAGTATTCAAGACACCCAAAAAAAAAAAATGCGAAAAATCAAAACAAAGCAAGTCAAAAAGAGACTATAACTCACAGCAAGAGATCCCTCAACATTACTTCCAGCTGAAGCGACATTCTTCTCGGACCAGGCCAACCAAGTATCAACCTTAACACAATAACGGAAGGTTACTCACAACTGCTGTGATTATATTTGACCTTGTCGTACTTGGCAATGGCACAAACAGAAACTTACTTGTTTCTTTTCTTCATCGGATTGGCCAAGAAGCTCGGGCTTACCGGATGCAATTAATTTGACATCATTGGATGCGTCGGTCGAAGCGTTACCAACGACTGCTTTAACTAGTTGGATGGCTGTCTCGGATGCTGGCATTGTATAAGTTGTTGTGGTTTCGTGACAGACTGAGCTTGCACAAACTTGAAAAACTGAAAAAGCAGTCATGATCCATCGGAGCAATGCCGTTCGCAATGCGCGTAGCACCACTGCTACCTTCTACGAGCGCTGGCTAATATTCATTTTTGCTTCCAGTAAATATAGAAAGCTGAGCAACATGTTGGAACATTATACATCAAATTCCATCATGAAAAATCGCGGTATAAAATGTAAGAACGACACAATGTCAAATAGAAATAGTTTCGTGTTTAACCTAGCCATAACTAATAGCGATGCTATTATAATTGATCACTAGGGACGAGTACATTTGAGATCTCTGTATTCATGATTTAAGTCTATCTTTTGTAGTCATTTTCTGAAAATTTACGTCTGACGCTATCTGAAAATCATTCTCATAGCTATGGAGACTACCGAACTTTCTTCAATATCTCAAACAACCCTTTTTTAGTACTTGTATACGGATAAAAACATCGCTGACTCAATTGCAAACATGCGAAAAACGGCAAGTATTGGGTCTGTGTCCATATTCAACTTGTTATTTTTGTTTCTAACGCGTGGGACCAGTCCTTCTTGAAAACCCACTGTAAAGCGATAAGCAAATGGGTTATCGATAATCTCGGCTCCATATCAGTCAACAAATGCAATAGTTCAACGGTTATACTTTTTAGCAAAGTTGTTGAGAACAGGCAGTAAGCTCGTACGTTGACCAAAGATTAGGTGCTGTGAAATAATGTGGGGGTTTTTTAAAGTACCGCTTCTGAACAGCGCAGAAGGGTCACGCTGTACTTTACATATTTGCAAGCAAAGTTACATGGAACTGGCGAAGTCTACCGAGTCTCGGTTTTCAGTGATTTAGTAAAAGAAAGCTTTTCTTTTACTTCATTTTCAACGATATGCAAAGCAATTCATCAATTGTTCCCACTTTGACATAAGGTCCCGTCGTAAGTGTCCATTAATTTACTCGTTTGGGCGTCCCATCACTTGGAGCCGCTTCTTCCCGTGGAACCGCGGTAAAGGTTAAGCCACGCCACGTGTCGCGTGGTTTCAAAATCGCAGAGAACTCTAGGTTCAACACGCGTGGCCAACTATCATTGTAACACCTCGTGAGGAAGTATCCTTATTTAACATATACAAATCGTTCGATAAGAGGTAGTCAGCTAGTTTAAAGTTGTGGGAAAGTATAAACACGTTGTTCGGATCATTGCATGCAGCAAGAACGAGAATGCTGGTCGAGGCTGACATGGCTTTGACAGCTTCTTTATTCAATTGTACTTTGTCATGGAAGTGGTGCATTCTTTTACTGAATTTTGGTTACATAGTCTGAATTTCATATTGCTAATAGTAAATGAATTGATAAAGTCCACACACATGATATCAGGGATAATGATTATACGTGCCACGCGGGCTAGACGCCGCACTTTACAAACATGGTGAAGTACCTTCTCACTATAGTGAATGAAACGTGGGCTACTTTACTTCAGGCGTGAGCACAATGCATATGTGTTACCATTCCCACCGACACTAACCCCACATAAGGTGCTTAAGGAACCCCACAAAACTTGAGATTTCGGTGCGTTTATGTAATACAATGCCCCCATTTTTCGCTGTCCTTCGAAGGTGAACTTTGTACAAGTGACACTGGTAACGAACGCCATGACCATGAACGAGCCTTTTTTTTTTTTTTGGTAACAAACTCTATTAGAGCATCTATGCTCCTCTCCGTCTCCAAACATTATAAAAAGGTGGTGTTACGATTCAAATATGCGACTCACCCTTTGCAACACATTTTACTTTTCTCCAGTCCCTTTACTCTACTTGTCTCGAGATGCCTAATGATGCTACTAACAAGGGTATGATACAGCTGTACTTTTTGTGCGCTGTAGCCATTACCAACTCTGCTGTTAATGGTTATGATGGTTCTATGATGAACGGTTTGACGGCCGGTCCTAACTGGAACGGATGTATGTAGAAATTATGAGACCGCCTTGCCATCTAGAAATCAAAAATATTTACATTTGCACTTTAGATTTCGGTCATCCTTTGGATAACCCTTCATTGCTTGGACTTATCAACGCTATTATGTCCGTTGGTTCCTTCATTGGTGTTTGGGTTGCTCCTTATCTCAGCGATAACTACGGTCGTAAGAAGGCTATCATCGTCGGTTCCGTTATTAATTTGGTTGGTGTTGCTCTCCAATCTGCCGCTGTCCATGGTTTGTATATTATTATTTTCAAGGAAATCTCAAAGCATAAAATTAATGATTTTAATTTTTTTTATCATAGTTGGCATGTTCATTGCTGCTCGTTTTATTCTTGGTTTCGGTATCGCTATTACTGGTAACGCTGCTCCCACACTTGTCGTCGAAATTGCCCATCCCAAATACCGTGGTACTATTACTGGTCTTTACAACACCACTTGGTATGTTGGTTCTATCATTGCTGCCTGGGTCACATTCGGTACTGTCAACATCGACAGCACTTGGTCCTGGAGAATTCCCTCTATGCTTCAAGCTTTGCCTTCCTTGCTTCAAGTTAGTGCCATTTTCTTCATGACCGAATCTCCTCGTTGGTTGATTGGTCGCGGCCGTGACGAAGAAGCCAAGGACATTCTTATCAGACTTCACGGTAACGGTGACCCCAATGACGAGGTTGTTCGCGTTGAATTCGCTGAAATCAAGGAGGCCATCGCCATGGAACAGGCTGTCTCTAAGCGTGAATGGAAGGAATTGATCGAAACCCCCGGAAACCGCATGCGTACTTTCATTTGTATCTGTGTTGGTCTCTTCTCTCAATGGTCCGGAAATGGTATCACCTCTTACTACTTGACTCCTATGATGATCAACATTGGTATAACAGATCCTTACAAAATCACTCTCAGTAAGTGTTGATACGTCCAAGACGCTATTATTCAAACCTTTACTTCTTTACTACAACGAATCAAACCCGCTTACCATGTTTTCCTTTTTTTTATGTTACAGTTAACGGTATCAAGAACATCGTTGATTGGATCTTCGCTGTTGGTGGTACTTTGATGCTTGATCGCGTTGGTCGCCGCCCAATGTTCATGATTTCCATGGCTGGTATGATTCTCGGTTACGTACTCGTCACCGGTATGTCTGCTGCCTATAACAACGATCCTACTGGTCCTAGCGCCAACGCATACGGCCAAGCTTCCGTTGGTTTCATTTTCATCTACTCTGCCTTCTATGATATTGCATGGACCCCTATGACAGTTTTGTATCCAGTCGAAATTTTACCCTTCACCATTCGTGCTAAGGGTATGGCCATCCAGGGTGCTGCTGTCGCTATCGCTCTATTCTTCAACCAGTATGTCAACCCAGTTGCTCTTGCCGCCATCGGATGGAAATACTACATTGTGTACGATATCTGGCTTGTCGTTGAATTTTTCATCGTCTGGAGATTCTTTAAGGAGACTCGTAACAAGACTCTTGAAGCTCTTGCTGAAGTCTTCGATGGTCCCAACGCCGCTCTTGTTGTTGCTGAGCAACATAAACTTGAAGAATTGGCCAGCTTTGACAACCTCGAAAAGGTTTAAAAGTGTTATCATAATAGCAGCCTTATCGTAGAACCAACGTAATTAGTATACAATTTATTCTATTTTGTTAAGCCTGACCGAAGTGGTCCACATTCTTACTTATCATATTCGGAGCCAATAACGCTATTTAACTATTCAAGTGTATCATGCTTTCCTTATGATTCACTAAGTGAAATAAAGTAGATAGTGTAATGACTTTGATCAGTTTGTAGAGGTATGCAGTTAGGGCTCGAGTAGAAAGTGTTCAAATGCCTGGCGTTCATTGTTCAGAAAATTTAATCCATGATTATAATTTTGATGCTATAATTAATGATTTCTAAATGTTTTGACGTCACCGCCTGCCGACCGAAAGTGAACAGCAGCAAAAACACTCGTTGGAGAAGTGGTGTAAGCCTTCTCATAGCAAGCAAAATGTTTCGGTCAGGCGTCGACATGACAGATTTTCCCGCGCTTGGCAGTGTAAACTCATCGCTGAATCAGAACGTTTCTGCAACTTCTCCACGAAACACATTACTGTCAAATCGATTCGGAAGCTATGCGTCAACTGCTGGCACCTCTGCCGGGTCAACGGCACCAGTACAATCTAGCAATCGTCAGTTCGAAGATCAATTCGGCGGATATTCACCACAAGGGTCAGCGGCACTTGGTAACTACAGCATGAGCCTTCACTCACTCCCAGCGCATCATGCCGGAAATGATCAGTCACCGTCAACGACGCAACGATTGTCATCGCGAACGTTTACGGCTGACGAATTTCCAGCACTAAAAGGTTCATTACAGAGTTTCTCAGAATGTGGCTAATTGGACACTATTCCGATCTAACTAAATCGTAACTCATTGGCCAGACCATAGCGGCATGTCAAGGCCCGATGGACCATTATCTTCAGGAATGTCAATAATGAACGGATTCGCCCAGAGTATGTTGTCACTCCTAAACCAACTAACATTGTTCTTTATCGTGGCATTTAAATCACATATATTTACATACAATACTTTCAAAAACTAGGCAACAAGCAGCACGATCTTGGTATATCAAGTTCAGCAGCATCATGGGTAAGGACAACACAACCTCTTTTATCAACCACCAGTTATTATCACTGAGCGGTATATTGATAAATTCTGATATAAAGAATCGTGAACAGCTCGGTGTTGATACACCAAATCAGCAGAGTCTGCATTTGGCAGCACCAGGGTCGCGGAAAACGGACGTTCCATTGTCAGGCAGCGAAAGCATAGACAAGCTATCTCGAGATGTTGCGGCAGTTAATCTAGACGGTTCAGGTGGTAATCAGCAAGATAACGCCCCAGATCCATATGGTTTATTAGGTCTATTAGGAGTTATACGAATGACAGACCCCGATTTGAGCATGCTGGCATTAGGAAGTGATTTGACTACGTTGGGATTGGACCTTAACACACCAGAGTGAGTAAAACACTCCCACCAAATACTCACCATGCCAATTATTAACCAACGTCCTCATTGCCCTCAAAAAATCTAGCTCAATATATTCAACATTCATTTCACCTTGGTCAGATAACCAGACCCCTGCAGGGCTCAACATAGAGCCAGAATTCCATCTCCCTGCCTGCTATCGAAGCGTACAGGCAACGCCACCGGCACAGCAGCGAATGAGGACGTTCTCAGATGAAATTCTGTTCTATGTTTTTTACTGTTTGCCAAGGGATGTTGCTCAAGAGGCTGCGGCACAAGAACTGTAAGTCACATTGTTACTCACGCATAGCGTAAAAAGGTATATAGTTGCTAAATTAGTTGTCTGTAGGTATGCTCGTAATTGGCGATATCACAAAGAGTTAGGTCTTTGGCTCACGAAAGAGCCAGATGAAAATGGCCGGCCTGTCCCATTCCGAAGAACGTCACCCAATGCCTACGAACGTGATGTTTTCGTTTTCTTTGATCCAAGTACGTGGCAGAAAATCAAGCGGGAGTACACTCTGCTGTGGGATTCAATCGAAGATAGGTCGCAGCAGTTACCAGCAATGGGACTCAATAATCCAGGCATCTCACCTGGAGTTTCAAATCGAGGTGTAATGATATAATTTTTTTGGCCCCCTTTCCTCACACTGCTTGGTGTGATGTTCAATGTCAGATATTAAAGGCTCAATTAGTTGAAACCGAAGCAAAATTTATTGGTGATCAAGCAAATGTGTGTGTATGGTGGTGTGGAATTACAATTGTAGTAAATAGCAACAGGATGATGATTTCTGATCTATGCTTTGATCATATGTAATAATACAGATGATAAGGACTTAACGTAACTTGACAGCTTTGATTTCGTCTACTTGCTTTCGATGAAGAGTGAACGCAGGTGTGACCCATCTTCCACATGAACATTGCGCGCCTGACCAGCAATAGGAACCTAATTTCGTGTGACATCTTGGGCAGTCTAACCTTCCTTCAATGTTCCACTGGTCTAATCCATTAATCCACTCCATTGGCTCGATGAAATACGATGAACAGTTGTTCTTCGAAGTTGCCAATGATGCAAGAAGAGGGTTGAGAGAAGTATTGACTTGTGCAACTGTATTGACTTCGCCGTGATCGGAGGACGCAGTCTCAGAAATATGAAGAGACGAGTCTCGTTTGTGGTACGAGAATGCTTGCTGGCCTTTGCCTGGCTCGTGTTCGATAATATTATCCTTGTCAACTAGGACTCGACTAAAGCATAAAATTTCATTAGCTTAAAGTCTCTGCACTAAATATATGCTACAGATACTCACCGACACTTTTTGCATCTGAGAGATGCTCTACCCTGCTTAGCGGCATTTTCTGGATCGGCCGCTAATGTCATTTCAGCAACATAACCGTGCACTGAGAGAGGAACGATTGAGTATTTCATAAGTAGATCAATATCATGGAAATAAATTCAACATACTTTCACGTTCTTCGGCCATATTTGCCATAAGGAATCGTCTATACTCGGTTCGCTGTTGATCGACGGTATAATCAATTTCTTCATAAATTCCAAGTTGCATAAAAAATCCACTGTTTGGGCTAGCACTTGGCCATTCTGCTTTGATGATTGAAATAGCTTTCTTGGCGGTGATCTTTCTAGACCACATTAAATATGCTGTCACTATCGTAACACTGCGAGACATGCCGGCTTCACAATGAACAAGGATATTCTCCTCCTTGTCGATTGAAGACTGGATGAACTGATTGGTTTCAGGAAAATGCTTCATAATGTTTTCTTCCGCCACATCGAGAATGGAAACAACCTATATATTTCGTTAGAAAATTATGGGCCTAATGCTCACTACTACGCATTGAGTCTTGTGCACATTACCAGCTGGTTGTAGCCTGTCAAAGTGTCTTCACAAGGACACACCGATATCACATTTTTGATGTCGTTCTTTTCCAAAAAACCGGGAGTCGTTATGGCTGCATATCGTCCGACCCATATCCTGGGTATGATCTGCTGTGCAGGTTCGTCGCTCATTGCTACGTTAACTTCAATTCCTTGTCGCCACTTTTTTTTTTTCTTGAGGAGACCGCCCTTTCAAATTTCCAAGGACTGAGAAAAAAAAGTCACAGAGCGCGAAGCTGCTTGCCTGCCTTGGTTTCGCGCACGAAATCGACATGGAACGCGCAAAGTCGCCAATCGGCCGCATTAGAGGAGAGTCGAACAAAAAGCCTCTATTTGAAGGTGTAAAGTTTTCCCTGAAACCTTTACTAGATGACTCGTTAAAAACTTCGGTGGGTCTCCCTTACAGCTCCATGTACCTACTTGAGTTCCAAACTTACATTTGTCCACCAGATTACGCAGGTGCTCATAGAGAACGGTGCAATCAATGCTGACGGGAATAAGGAACAGGATCTTCTTGATGAAAGCGATATGAATACAATAACGCATATCATATCTAAAGATACAACGTTTGCTGGGTACAAGAAAGCTCTTGAAAACAAAATAGCTGTAGTGACCGTAAGAATCCTCCACTCCTTGAAAGTATATTACGAATACTATCTTGAGCCTCTAATGTATACGATAATTTTTAGCCTGATTGGATTAATTCTGCAATAAGGAATGGTCATGTCCACAGGTAAGCATGGGGTTACTTTAGCTTATACACAATGCTCTCACCCAATGACGACCGCTAAATATTCTGTTAAAAGGACACAATTCTATTCGCCAGATCCCGCAAAGTTTTTCTCCGGATTGGTGATATGTACTTCTGGTGTAAGTAGGTTTGCAAGATAACGAGAACAACTTCGGACTTGTATCTCACACACCTTCAATAGCTTACCAAACAGGATCGAGAGGCAATTCTCGGTGGTGCATTGGCTTTCGGCGGAGACTACCGAAATGACTTGACTGTGGACGTAACCCACTTGATCACCATGGTCCCTGAGGGGGTATGTTTCAACCTCGCAGCATAACTTTATTTAATGGTCTAGTGTACTAATCCTTCACCAGAAAAAATACGAAACAGTTATGGCGAAAAATGAATTAGGCATACGGACTATATTACCACAGTGGTTTTACGATTGCGTTAAATTCCAGAAAAAAGTCGACGAGGTGAGTGAACTTGGAATATACGCAACACGACTCTTACAGTCATTGACACCTATCTTCAGAGCGAATATTTATTTCCAGAGCCGAAGCTTTTTGAATACCGATCCTCTGCATATAATGAGGACAATAGCAGTAGGACATCTAACAAGCTTAAGGAGAGCACCGCTAATGGGTATATACATCCTTATCCGATGAATGTAGATAGTCTTGCATCATGTATTCCTAGTTCTGAATTCATGAGTGGCATGAAAATCTATATCCATCCTGACACTGGTCTGTCTGAGACATTGTTATCGTCTTTGAAGGAATGTGTAGCAGCAGCAGGCGCAAGTATCCTAGAAGAGCATATCGCATATTCCAAAGAGATTGTCGACATATATATCGGACGATGGAGACAAGGCGAAGATTACAAGCAGGCTAGCAAAGATGGAAAAATTGTCGGTAGTGTTTGGTGGTTGACCAACACTCTCGCTCGAAATTGCGTGGCACCACCTACTGGCACACTATTAGATTATCCAATGCCCAAGTCAGGAATCAAAGATATGCACCATATGGTATGTATCCAACCCATCCACGAAGCAATATACCATTTTTACTAATCGAATATATCATCCAACAAGGTGATGACGATAACAAATTACAACGGTGTTGCAAGAGATTATGTGCGGCGTCTGATTCATGCACTGGGTGCAACATATACCCCAAATCTTACTCAAGAGAACACACATGTGATTAGCTCCAGGTAAGATTGGATGCTGGCCAATATCATAACTACCATGTATCAGTCAGTAACACCCTTTTCAGCCAACATGGCCAAAAGTACATAGCCGGAAAGCAGTGGAATCTTCATGTCGTTAATCATTTATGGTTGGAAGATTGCTTTCAACAATGGACGTGTAAATCCGTAGCCGAAGAGAAATATGTTTACTTCCCTGATACACATGTCCTGGAAGATCTCGTTGGAACAACAGCCTTGCAGGCCGACGAAATTACTAGATGGTGGAACCCAGAAATGGCAAGTCCGATGGAGAGCGCGCTGATGAACGAAAATACGATTGATCGACACTCCGTCATCCAAACTCCATCCTCTACCACTGGACATGTAAAAATCGTCAGTAAGACTGCAAGACAAGCAGCTATTACTGCCTCCAATGTGCTACATGAAGTAATGGTTCCGGATATGAATGCATATCAATTGGAAAAACGGTCTAGTCCTAAGCGATCAAGGCAAGGCTCCTACGACATCAAACCAGATAACGAAACTCCATCAACGCCTTCAAAGAAAAAGCGACAAGTTAGCGATGTAACTCCTAATGGAAATGTCTCAGAAGCAGATCAGTTACAAGATGCAACTGATTCACAACCCATCCATGGTAATAACAGGAAGTCTAGCCAAAGCCTACATCGTACTGCTACATCAGAGAGCAAAAATTCAGATAGTCAAGGCGTTCCCACAACACCGTCCAAACGAAAACGGCAATCATCCTCTCAAAACGTTGACTCACCCCATCGTAACATAAGATATGTCAGTTCTGGAAAAAACGCTGATATTACTGAGAGCCAGAAGAAGGTAATGGTGCTTATGTGTCATGAGATTTTTCAAGCCGGATCTAATCTAATACCGAACTTGAATCTAACTTTAGCAAATGAACAAATTGGGAGCCCACTGGACTGAGGATATAAGAGATTGCACACACTTGATTGTAGACAGAGTGAATAGGACCCAAAAGTTCATGTGTGCCATGAATATGGGACTACATATTGTCACTCCCGACTGGGTAAAAGATTCAGTCAAATCTGGCAACCTACAAGAAGAATCGGATTATCAAGTCGATGACTCTGAATCAGAAGCAAAATGGGGGTTCAGCGTTCTAGATAGCCTGAGCTTAGCTCGCAAATTTACCATCGTAGGAAATAAGAATCGTCAGCAAGGCACTCTACTACAAGGTTATGAAGTCTTCATCACCAAAAATACAGGACCTTCAAAATCTGTCCTGAAAGATATCATTGAAAGCGCAGGAGGAAAGGTAAGCCTAACAATTCAAAGGAAGCTATCAAATTGAAAAGCATCAAACTAACATCCCTACCTCAATCATAGCTTCTTGCTACGCTTCCGCCAAGAAAGCTGCGAGATGCAAGCTCACAGAGTGACACAAAATTGATTGTGCTGTCATGCGAAGCTGACAAGGACAAGTGCAAAGACTTCATACACCATGGCATCGGTGTTTATGACACCGAACTCATCTTGACCGGTTGTTTGCGTCAAAGTTTAGACTTTGGAGACACATTTAGGCTACCAATAGATGAATGAAACTGCTTCACATGTATACAGCTCTAAAGTATAAATTTGGCTGAAAAACTCTTTAATATATTATTTTGTAGGTATTGTGTAAAAAAATAGGGGAATAGGGTGCTCTATGGAAATATAAGAAAGTTAAACGTTTACATGGTATGTTGGTTCTAAAAAAGATAGTTCGAAGTCGATAGGTCCGAAAGCAGGAAGGGCCATGTTGTCGCTATCCACAACGTTGCAGATAGGGTTTCGTCCGTAACCGTACCAGAGCTGAAGTTGGGAGCCATCATACTTCTTGTAAAGCTCAGTCAAATGTAAGCGTATGGAAGACTTTTCTTCAAACGTGACTTTGTGTATCAGCTGTACATCGTGCTCGTCCTTGTCTCTTATGCTGAACCCAAATGCGCGCTGGTCCAGCCATTGAGACACATTTTCAAACGCTAACAAAAGATACGCGCGAGTTGAACCGGCAGCGCTGGGATCATGCTCAAATTGAAATAACTGAGGAGTGATGCGAGTTAATATGGGGCAGTTCTGGGATCCTACACCTAGTTTCCAAGCTCTGGCGATGCGAAACATGCGTTGGCCGATCACCTCGACGCCAGATGAAGCTACATGAATAAAATCGTCCAACTCTGTGTCTATTGCTGAAACCATCGCAAGGTTTTGAGCTCCAGACGCAGCAATTTGTCGTTGTGCTTCCCGCACAATGTTCCAGCCAGTCGGCGAATCGCTGGATACACATCGTCCAACTTGACAATATATCATTGGTAGAACTGGATTTCCTAAATCGCGTCGAACAGTCTCGATGAACTGGACCATTTTCTCTTTGTATCGATTTGCGTCTTCAAGCACCATTGCGTCCGACTCGCCTTGGTACCAGAGCAATCCGGCAATACTTCCTCCTACAGCATTAAATCGTTCTAACATAGCGCCGTATAGTGAGTCTCCCTCTTGCTCTTTCATTTCCGGGGACCACTGATCCATGCTTGTACCTCCATGTGCACAAGGCACCAAACCGACGGGAACATTAAATTCTTTTCCGTATTCGACAGCAAACGTTAACCCTGGACCTGCCCCTTTATTTGGGATCCAGTGACTATCGCCACTGGGTGGTGGTCGTGGCGTGTTGGGGCCACCGTTAGAAGGATCGCGTAGACTCTTATGAATAGATCTTATGGATTCCGCAAGATTGTGGATGGGCTCTTTAGCCGGTGCCCAAGATTCGCAGGATTGAAATGAATGTACCATGGGATGAGGTTTGGCCATTACGGTAGAAGCACCGGGAACGTCCCTGAAGTTACCCCACCCACGCATGTTGCTTTGCCCCGATAAAAACCAGATATCACCTACGTAGACGTCGTGAGCGTCACCAATGGTGTAAGGACCACCAACACTGTATGGTATAGCAGTATCATTAACATATACATAGGCAACATTGTCTTCGTTCCTTTGTAATAATTGAAAACTGGTAATATGAGTGTATATCATAAGTAGTGGTTAAAGGGGGGGGTGGGATGATGTGGGATATTGGGATGCTGCAAGAAGAAAAAATAAAACTAGAATTTACACAAATTTTCTGTTCTTTCAAACACGCTATGATCAACTCCGTGAAAGCTTCTTTTTCGGCAAATATATGGAACACGGTGCTTTGCTTTTGGAAGAATTCCTGATAGCTGGAGTGCTCATGGAGGAATGATTTGGATATGACGGAAACGGTGATTGGGTCATCATGGGCTCTGACTCGGTGGATATGGCAGTAATGTTGGGGTAGGGCATGTAAGTCGTTGGGACGGTAGCCGTTACCGAGCTAGACGATACCTCAATTAAGTCTGAGGGATGAACCGGTGCATGGGCAGACTCCTGACCTTGAAGAATTTCGCTAGGTCTGATTGCACTTGAAATGACCGTTGGTGGTACGTTGCCATTATGCTTTGAAGGCTGATTGTCCATTGGCAGTGACGGAAGCTGGAGGAACGGAAACGCATTATTCTCGGAACCTATCGGTGATGGCAGTTGCGCAGTCGTGGTTGGTTGATAAGGAGTATAGATGCTGCCGGCTTGCTGACTAACGATTGCACGATCATTTTGGATTAGCTGTTCCATAAGACTATTGGTTTTGGGCCGCTTAGCCGAAGCATTGATTTCTGCATCGTCGCCTTCGTCATCACTAATAAGATTGACTAGACCTTGGCAAGATTTTCGTTTGTCTGTTACCGATAGCGACTGTAATGAATTGACTTTAGGCTGTGGTGGCTCATCACCATCACTACCATCATCATCGTCATCATCTGTAGCAAACGAGACCGGCTTCCACGACCTTGACGTCCTGCTATACTCTGTCTCGGTAATGTTATCATCCATATCCTTCAGAAGCTGAGCAAAGTATTCGTCGTAGATTATGGATGCAGACGTAGTATATTTGCTACACACAGGACACTTCCATGTCGATAGGCCCTGATTTATACATAGGTAGGAGACCAGATCGAAGCACTTTTGAAGAAACATAAGTAACAATCGTTGTGTGATGGACAAGGTGTCACTGGCTAGCTTACCTCTACATGACTGCAATTGACGCCTTTCACCGGTTCTTTGATGCGCAACAAGCTGATAGGACATCGGAGACTGACCTTTATGGAGTCTTGCATGCACTCAATTTCATCGTCCTCGCCGCTTTGTACTGACGATTCAACAGATTCAGATACTGCGCATTGAGACCTTGATGGTTGTCCAGATACAGCTTGAGGCGATTTAGGAATATTTTCTTTTATACCAATTAGCTTATTTACAAGTTGCTGCCCCTGTGCAATGGTCTTTCTTCTGCCCATAACTCGTGTTCTGATTAGCTGTTCAGATTCACGTACATAGAGTGTAATCCCGAAAGCATAGCTCTGTTTTACCAAGCGTTAGGCTTTCGATTGTATCATGATTTGTATTTGAAAACTCAAAACTTACACAAGCGCATGCATTCTGTTTGATGGTGATGGAATTTGCGCCAGGCATTAGCATAGACGTAAGATCCAGTGGTCGATCTTTTCCAACCATCATATGCATATTTTGCGATTTGTTTGGAATCTGCACTTTTCGTTTCTGAGCGTAAAATCATACATTATGGCAATTAATAAACATTGAATATACGTATACTGTAGATGTAGGAGTTACTCACTCGTAATGGTACAATGGCTGCACCGTTAACTGCAAGGTCCACTTTCTCGGGCCAGTCGCATTTGCTTTCCGTTCCCTTCGCTTTCCATGAATTTAAAACGAAGCTGATTGGAAGAAGCTTATCATCTACCTGGGCAGGTGGAAGTTTGAACATAGTCCTCATCCACAGTCTCTGGAAAATATCACCGTTGATATTAATGTTTACATTGGCGATAGGGTGGTCATGCTGCGGTTGGAATGGTGCTATAGCACGACAAAGTGGTCGCATATAGCCATTGCTGATGGTCTCAGATGATGCAGTTATTGTGGGCGATGCTGTAATGGAATGCCTGGGTCCTGGAACGTTGACAGCAGGCTGGTTCAACATAGGTAAAATTTGACTGACTGATGGACCTATATTGTTGGAGCTGTTGCATGCTGAAGTTTGATGATGGGGTATCGAAAGGTATGGTAGAGCTGATTGTCTGTTCGGCTGGTTAAGTGATACTGACTGTCTATTCAATGGATTAAGAGGGGTAGGAATGGGTAGGGTAGTAGGCATTGTCCTCTTTTGCTGCTGCATATTAAACCAAAGATGTTGCCACTGCAATAGCTGTTGTTGATACTGTTGTGAAAATACTAGAGGATTAACATTATTTACAGACTCTTTCGATCGCCCTGGAACATTTGTTTGTCGTAGCTGTGATATAGCGGACGTAGAAGGATATGATTGTGGATTCGAACTTGCTATAGGTGGCGATGGGTAGGAGCTCGAGTGTCTATAATTTATGCCTTTATAAATATACAACTTTTATAGTTTACACTTCGAAAAATACAACCCCAACTCACCTTTGTTGTTGACTATGATGTATCTGCTGCGGCGAACTAGTATACTGTGGCGGCGCCAATTGGATAGGAGCGGCATCCCCAGCACTTATTGGACTCAAGGGTTGATCATTTGAATGTGCTGTAGTGAATTTCGCTATGGGCGTGCTTCCACCTTCACCTTTCAGTTGGCTATACCATTCGGCAAGGATAGCTATTTGAAAATGTTTAAGTGTTATAGTTGAGGTCATACAATATGAAAAAGAACATATTTCACATACCTGAGAACTGACTAGAAAGCCGATCTCTATACTTCATTGCAACAGTGAATACACGCAGAGCTGACCACATACCCCAATCAGGGGCTCTTTTCTTGATTATCTAGCGAGTAGTTAACATTAATAACGACTTTGTTATATACATCTCGAATGGTTTGGACAGTTACTTACTTCAAGACACTTTAATATTGCTTGCTCATTCAAGGGATGGTATGCTCTTTCGTCCTTGCACCATTGATAAAACTCATCAATTGCTAAGCCATACGTCGTGAAGTTGTCGAGTTGCTGACATGTTCTATCAAGTATCCGGTTATTCCTGGTGGCAACTTCTTCGGCAACATTGACAGCGGTAGGTTGCGATGGATTTCTTTGACCCAAGTCAGAATACCCGGTTGAAGACAGCTGCGACGATATGAGTGATGGCTGTATGGTATTGCTTGAATGTGCGCCTTCTCCGGAGTTATCGCCAGGAATGCTCGAAGACGGTTGAGCCGTTAGCATGTAGGATGCAACTGCCGGTCAAATAATATATGGTGCCGGCTCTGCAATTTACCGCTATATTCAAAGACGTAGCAATTGCGAGTTTGGTATTACAAGGGGTATGTCGCACGCAATGTTGTGGCAGGACGACTTGGAAACAGTGAATTGACCTTATTTCTCGAAAGCTGAGCCGCTCGTTTTGCTGGTACTTCGATGGGTTTTTTTTTCTAGGTTGGCGCTGTTCTCAGCAAACAAAATTGAGCTTTTGCAGTGGGAAATTAGGTGACGCAGCCCCGCTTACCACAGCAGTACGTGCCAATATTAAAAAATTCGAACGTGCAAGTTATAGGATTCAATTCGGTACTTCCTTAACACTCTTCAAAATGGTAAAGCAAGACATAATTTTATATATAGTGAAGTGGAAATGTTGTCTAACCAACGCGAATATGTAATCTGCTACTACAGAAACTTACGTTTAAAACACTGCAACAAAAGCAGTTCCAACTGGACGTCGACGAAGCAAGCAGTGTAAGGCACCCAGATCACAATGTGGTCTCGTCCCATCAATTCAGTACTGAGACATCTATACAATGCAGGTTGCCGATGTTAAAAAGAAAATAGAGGAAAGCCAAGGACATCCCGTTGCCACACAGAAGCTGATATTCTCAGGTAGATATTCAGGAGCATGATAAAATTATGCACATACCCTATACCTAACAACTGCCTCATATTTCAGGCAAAATTCTTGCTGATGAGAACACTGTTGCAAGCTATAATATTGGCGAGAAAGACTTTTTAGTTGTAATGGTCTCAAAGGTAATGCATTAGCTACAACAGTCAGAATAATGTGGTGGTGCCAATGCGATATTAAACATAACAACGTACTGGAACTTTAGCCCAAGGTTTCAAAGACGAGCGCATCTTCGGCTCCAGCAACACCTTCTAAAGCAGAGACTCCGGAGCAGTCAAAGACCAGTGAGCCTGAAAAGGTTGTGACGACGGAAATCCCTCCAGCCACAGGAGCTTCTTCTACCGCAGCAGCCGCCACAGCTGAGACAACCACCACCACGACTACCACTGAAGAAAGCAAATCATTGAATGCTTCAGATGCACTAGGTACATTTTAGAGATTACCAAGATTAGGAAAAATGAATACAGTGTACTAATATGCATGTTGTGGTTCAGTCACCGGCCAACAATATGAAGAAGCCATCCGAAATATGATGGAAATGGGTTTCCCACGAGATCAGGTCATTAAAGCAATGAGAGCTAGCTTCAACAATCCCGACAGAGCTGTTGATTATCTTTTCAGTGTAGGTTCTCGTTTGCAACCTTTTTTCCATTCCTCAGAAATGGTCTTATTCATCGATTATTATGCCCATTGTTCTATTTACAGGGTATCCCAGAACATCTTCTCCAGGAACAGTCCAGTGCTGAGCATGAATCAGCAGAGCAAGAGGGAGACAATAATCCACCAGAAGCTGACACCGAGATGGGAGGTAATGGCCAGAAAAGTAAAATGAATGTGGTTTGTGAGGAATCGTTTACTGACTTTTTGAATCACCTTATTTTTCGGTGGATGCGCAACAAAAGATGATACCCCTCAAAATCTTTTCGCTGCTGCTGCTCAGCAATCTCAACAACAAGGGGGAAGTGGCTCAGACCTATCTTTCTTGCGATCGAATGAGCAGTTCCAACAGTTACGACAATTGGTACAAGCTAACCCTAACTTACTGCAACCTCTTCTGCAGCAAGTCGGTCAAACCAACCCAGAGCTGCTCCGTATCATTAACAACGATCCTCAAGCATTCCTTCAAATGCTTGCTGAAGGAGGAGATGACGACGACGAAGGCACGACGGCTCCTGCTGGTTCACAAGTCATTCAAGTAACGCAGGAAGAGAAAGAAGCCATCGATCGAGTAAGTCTTTGTTGCCATAAAGTATACACGATGTGCGCAAGTCGAAGTACTCATATCTATCTTTACAGTTGGAAGGTCTTGGATTTGATCGTGCGTCAGTTATTGAAGCATACTTTGCATGCGACAAGAATGAAGGTAACGCGATTTCAAAAATGATGTGATTTCTCCAGAGCGTGTTAGCTGACGGACAACTTTTTTTTTTTAAACATAGAACTGGCCGCCAATTTCCTATTTGATCAAGGGAATGATGATTACTAGAAAACTCCCTGCATGTAACCCTCATATTATGCGAAATTTGAAATAAACGAGCACCCGTAAAACATTATGATTGTTATTCAACAAATTACCAGTTGGTCCGGATTCGGGGATTTCACCCCCAACGTTTGGCGGGGGGATCGGGAAATATACTTGCTTCCTTTGATATCTGACACGTAGTGATTGATTGTAGCAAAATAAATGATATGAAAATATGAATTTTTCTGCATTCTTTGACGTCCATGCATATGATAAAAGTTCATTTTGTATTGAGCAAATCAATCCAGTTTTACTGAGTGAAACGTGGGTCTAATCATCTTCTGGTTGGCTTGTAGCTTTGCCCCAATCAAGTGGAGTGAAGCGGCGAAAAACAGTCACATAGTGTGTGGTCAGCAATTCAGGCTTTTCAGCTATCTGACAAAATTTTTGCTTTGATTTTTTTGCCCCAAAAAGCTTTGGTCTTTTTTAAGCGCAAAGCACTTCGTCCTCCTTCCTTCCTTCTGATGGATCAGCAGCAATCAGGTAACACTCGGCTCAAGTCCCCATATTTATAGCTCTTATCTCTCTTCTCACCCTTCTTTCCTTCACTTCATCTTTTGCTATCAATTGACCCATCCTTAGGTGTTGAAATCAAGAACAAGAAGCTCGAACAATTTACCGCTCCCACACCTCAAAACACACCAAGCAATCCAGCCCCTATTACCTCAACTTATCGCCCAACCGTAGAGTCTATTTCTGAAGATATGGAAACTATTAATACTGGTGCGTGACAGACAGACATTTCACTTATGCTCGGCTTTTTTGCATATTCTTTACGTATATGGGTGACTAAATAAGCTCTGAAAAAAAATTTCTCACTCTTATTTTTTGGTTTCGGCTATATGTAGGTTCTGCTGCCCAAGGTGCTGCAGGTGCATTCTCTGCCAATCCCGCTCTTTTGAGCATGCTCCAAGGAAGACTTGGTAGCCTTATTGGTCGTTCTTCCGGCTATATCGAATCTCTCCCCTCAGATGTCAAGCGCCGTCTTAATGGTCTTAAGTACCTCCAAACCAAGCACGCTGAACTTGAGACTCAATTCCAAGAAGAAATCTTGGTACTTGAGAAGAAATACCTTGAGTTGTATCGTCCTTTGTATGAGAAGCGTACTTCCATCGTTGTTGGAAAGCTCGAGCCCACTGACGATGAGGTTGCCATTGGCGAAAAGGTCGACGCCGATGAGAATGAGGAAGCCGCTGCCGAGGAAGACAAGAAGGAGAAAGAGGATGAAGAGAAGGTTAACGGTATTCCCGAGTTCTGGCTTACCGCCCTCAAGAACCACCCACAATTCTCAGAGATCATCACCGAAAAGGATGAGGAGGTTCTCAAGCACCTCATTGATGTCCGCATGTCATACATTGAAAAGCCTGGTTTCCGATTGGAATTCGACTTTGAAGAAAATGAGTACTTCACAAACACCACTTTGAGCAAGACCTACTTCTACCAAGATCAAGCTGGCTATGGTGGTGACTTTGTTTACGATCATGCTGAAGGAAGCGAAATCAACTGGAAGGAGGGCAAGGACCTTACTGTCACTGTTGAAACCAAGAAGCAACGACACAAGGGTAAGCGTGAAATTTACAAATTTTATTAATTAACCATCGTTCAACTAACTCAAATGTCATTCGCCTATGTTTTGCCACAGATACCAACAAGACACGCGTTGTCAAGCGCACTGTCCCTGCTGATACTTTCTTCCTTTTCTTCAGCCCACCAGCTGTCCCCGCTGACGGTGAAGTCATTGACGAAGAAGAGGCTGAAGGTCTTGATGAGAAGTTGGAACAAGATTATGATTTGGGTAAGTGACCGTCAACGTTCTTTTTTTTTGCAGATTACCCATTGGTCAGCAAATTGATAACTAAGCTGACTACCATTTTCGGTGTTTTAGGCGAGGAATTCAAAGAGAAGATCATCCCCCATGCCGTTGACTATTTCACCGGCAAAGCTTTGGAATATGGCGATTATGACGAAGGTGATGACGATTTTGAAGATGACTTCTATGATGATGAGGATGATGAAGATGAGGATGACGACGATGATGATGATGAAGACGACGATGACGATGAAACTGTAAGCCCATTCTCTTGATATGATTGTTTTACCTGTGGTCGCTTCTCACACCACTTCTTCCTATTTTAGCGACCTGCTAGAGGCGAAAATGCACCCGAGTGCAAGCAATCTTAAAGCTTTTATTCGTTTTCATCATCTGTTTCTACACATTCAACCTACAGTTTGTCGTTTTTCTCCTATAAATGCAGCAGAATATCTTCCCCCCATTCAATATAGTGTTCAACTTAAATCATTTAAAAACCAAAAACAATGCTTCATATATTACTGTTCGCTATTTCAATCACGGTTTGGTAATACACGAGTTCAGTCAATGGGCAGCATAGATTTAACAAAACTGTATTTTTGAGTGTGAAGACTGTTAGTTGGCGGAATGAGGACGAGGATGTGGTGGCCTCCCTCCCAAACAAAAGAAAGATCACAAAAAATTAAGTTAGAAGTTGACCCTCCCAGGCCACAAAGGCGAACATGCTGGCGTGGCATAGAGATCTGGGATACATTAGATAGAAAATTTTTATATTTATATGACTGAGAATAAAAGCGTGGCTCTAGAGCCTATAACCACATCCTCGTCCTCATTCCGCCAACTAACAGTATCACGTCAAATCAAAAAAGTGGCATCCAAATTTTATTATAAAAATAATGTTTTGAAAATCTAGTACGTCACCTTTTTTTTTTTGGGAGCTTCCCATTTTTTTGGGAATTCCCATTGGGTTCCGTCGCTAAGTCGTCCTTCCCAGAAATGCATCACAATTTTCAGGCCATTGTCAACACATTTGCCGACGTGAAACCACTTTGCTTGGGTTTTAATCCAGATGGCAATGCGACTATCAGCGATTTGAAGTCTCGTCTGCAATCTATCACAAGCATTCAGTTGGCGGACCAAAGAGTCACAACCCTCGGAGGGAAGGACCTTGACGACTCGGCCCCGATTTTCAACGAAAATGACACCTGCGGACCCATTGTCTACAACTTATCCATTCGTATGATTGGAGGAAAGGGAGGTTTTGGCTCTATGCTTCGTGCTCAGGGTGGCCGCATGAACGCGCAGAAGAGTACGAATTTCGACGCGTGCCGAGATCTTCAAGGTCGTCGAGTCAAAGATGTTAACGACGCTAAAAAGTATGTTATTATCTTCCCAACTTTCGCATTTACTACGCGTGCTCGATAGATTTACTAAACTTCGTTTTATAGACTAGCGGAATATTTGGAATCACTGCCCGAGCGCGAAAAAGAACAGGCCGAGAAACTGAAGCAAAAGATTGAGAAGGCTCTGGAAGCCCCTCCTACCAAGAAGTATCGGTTTGACGATAACAAGTTTATGGAAGATCGCGAACAGGTCATTGAAGATGTTAAATCAGCTGTTAGTGAACTCATGAAAAGCGCAGCTTCAAGTACATCTCGACAAAAAGCACCAAAGGCCACTGTTGCTGTTATGTCTGTCTTTGATGAAGATGAAGATGAAGATGAAGATGAAGATGAAGACGAAGAAACTATGGGTGAACCAAGCAGCGCCTCTTCTTCGGAGAATGTTGCCGAACAGCCTTCAAAGGACTTTAAAGGAAAAGGCAAGGCTAAGGAAAGCACTGATGTCGCTGATGCTGAAGAAGCAGACAAGGACGAAAAGACTGACCTAGCAGCCTTCATGGAAGCTGACTTGGATGATTATGACAGCGAAGACGATGAAGAATTTGAGGCTGCCTCCAATGAGAGCGAATCAAGCGACGATATTGACGATGAAGACCTTGTTGACGAGGATGACATTAGCGATGATGAAGTTCCCCAACCAAAGTCAAAGGCTCAGTCGTCTTCTAGTGCTACCAAGGGCAAAGGAAAGGAGACTCGTAAACGCAAGGAAAGAGACGATTAACTGTTCCAGCTGATCAATCTCATTTCAATTCTAACGTTGATACCTCAAAATTTTTGACTTTTACTTTATCCGAAGTCTCGTAACGTGCGATGTTTCAACTGCATCACACTCCATTTCTTTTTATTCATTCATGTACATTGCTCTTCTCATATTTCAGTTCTACACCTATACTGTATCCCGCATCACTACTAGCTTTAGTAAAAATTTTAAATTTTTTTTTTCAAATCACAGATACTGACCTTGAGGATGATGAGATGAAGGTTTCCATAGAGATAAGTTCATTGGAGTTTGGTGATCAATTACAACTTAGGTACAAAAAGTACATATGGCAATGTGGATTTCAGTTTGCAATTCTGCCTTGTTTTGGTGATAATCACCACCACTATCTTCGTATGGCTTATGATGAAGATAGTAGATTGAAATTCCGAATAGACTTTTTCGCGCGTTCGACTGAAGGCAAGGAGTAGACAAAGCTGCTTCGTTAAACCTATGATGTTAGACCCAGTATATTGAAATTTATACTGCCGCCACTCTAAAAACCGTGGGAGCTACTAAGCGCAAGGGTTCGTTTTGACTTTCACTAACCTTGAGCAACCTCATGAAAGTTTGATACAAGTGTGTGATTTGGGATTCATATGATATCTATGGGTAAATTTTTGTTGCTGTGTGACAAAAGCGGTCATCTCATTTCAGTATTTACCATCGTTGGCTACTATTGCCCCTCAATGGTGGATTATTTATGTTGCCGCATTCGCAATTACGGTTGGGCTGGCTTAAGAAGCACTCCATATTGGGAATGCCTTTCTCTACTTGGAGGTGAAGTTGCGCTTCAGAGTTGAGAAAACATGTCTTATTGTAGCGAATTCCATCCGCAAAGAAATCAATCGAACGTGCTCGCAAACTAAGTTAAATGCAATGCAAAGAATGACAATGTGTGCCAACCTCCCTCTCACATTTACTTCAATTCTATAATTGGCATGTTGGGCACAACACGCCATTTATAGAAGCACTTCCGAAGACAAGCGGCCATGCTCTCTGTTTGAGCAGCGATGTATATTGTTGGTTTTCGATGGTAAAGATTTGCAGGACACCACTTCAGTTACGTTTACATTCCAACGTTATTGCGATTCAAAATCGTTGCGGGAAGGATAGAGATTCGTCGAAGTTTACTACCAAATAGACATCACGCAGACTACTGCACAAAAACATGATAGTATATTCGCACGTACATTTACACACAACGAGATAAGGTAAAATGTCTTGCCAGGTACGTGCGTGCGTTGCAACTGAGCAAGCATCTCGCCACTACAGCTTTGGTAATATCACCTGATGTGACATACTGTTATCACCAGCAAAAACTGTGGTTAGTTTAGTAGATGGTAAAGTGGTATCCACATCCAAGAAACAGCAACAGAGTGAAAAATTTGACTACATCTAACTTCTATCTTCACGCCAACATCACATATCGAATGGCCATCGGGAAATCAGAATGCTAACTCCATTTTTGTATTCGTAAAATGTCGGATGGGAAAGGGTATAAGAAGTGTTTCTCTCAGCTTCTCCACAGCATGGAATAGTATTTGTCGTACAGTAGTGGCGAACTAATGCACCGTATATGGTATAAAATCGGGACACCTTTTTATAACCATCTTCTCTACAAGATTGATTGAGTTTTCTGAAGACAGCTCAGGAAAACGAGTCAAACTGACCTGTTTAATATCTATTTCAATAATCATTGAAAAGTATATTGACTTGTTAATGGTTTGGTAATGGGGGAGGTGATCCGATCCTCGGCATCCATGGTACACGCAGAGAAGCTAAATGTTAAATTGATGCCATTTAGGTCTTGTGTCCTCCACATGGCGTAGTAAGAAGCTTCCCCTTTTACTGGCTTGCACAACGCACCTGAGCGCACAGCCATTTCCATTCGCTGGGCGATCATTGATTTTAGCGCAGGTACACAGACTTGCAAATTAGAGACTGTCCCGTGCTCGCAGAAATTTTCTTTTATTTGCCACATTTATTGAAGATAAATATAATTCTGAGTACAACTTTCTCTCTAGTTCCTCTTACCTTGGCTCTTCGCCATCCGGAAATGCCAAAAACATTGGCCATTGATGGGGTTCGAAGCAAGCCTGATGAAGATTTGACAAAAGTGCCATCAAAAAGCGGCGTGAAACTGACTAGGCATGGTCATGAAATCCCGCGGCCAAAAAATTGCTTCATGTCTTATCGCAATGAAGTAGCGTCGAAACTGGTCGAATGCGGCATCGATAATAATAGCAGAAATATCTCCAAGTTAGTGGCTGATCTATGGCGAAACGAATCAGAAGATGTAAAGCAACATTATCGAGATTTGGCTGAGCAGGAAAAGCTGAAGCATAAAAAACTGTAAGTAAGAACGCTTTTTTTATCCGTCTGAAATTAATGATGGTAACACGTAGCCTCTTCTGTCTCAAGGTACCCAGATTATAAGTTCATGCCTAGAAGAAAGCTCCCGGCTGATTTGCGTCTTCTTTTGTCATCTTCTACTACAGAGTTCACCTCTGATAATCCACCCCGGAAAAAGATACGGAGGAATTTGCCACCAGTGAGCGACAGGGTTGAGCCAGTTAAAGTCGCCCGCACTAAACGGAAGTACAAGCGGTCTGCTGTCAAAAACCCCCCACAAAAAAAAGAAGAAAGTACTCGTAACAAACGAATCAGCAAGATATCTGTAGAGAAATGTACGTCATTACAGTCATTGTCTAAGTATACTACAGAGCCCCTGTTTGCAAAGTACATTATGGCAGTCATACGCGGTGATGGAAACTTACCGACAGCAGAAAATGCGAAATCGCAAACCCCTGGTGGCTCATTGGCGCACATGGATGAACAAGCTCTTGCATATGTTGTTTTGGACGACATACCTGGCTGTACGGATGTTCAAGACTGTGACTCCCTCGGTCCGAAATCTCCTGATATCAAAATTGAATCTGAGCAATTTCTGGAACAAGCTGCATTGTCGGTGGACAGCAATCTATTTGTGAATCACGAGGGGAATGCAAATGACTGCGCATGGACCGAGAAAGCTTCAAGCAATGTATCCATTACGCCCGAGAGTATCTCGTATCTTTCCTTTGATACAGACTATGAAGAGAAAAGGCCATTTTTGTTCGATCCTACGCATAGCATCAAGAACGAAGTGCTTGATGTTTCACTTAAGGACTGCCTAATGGACGAAGGAGCAAATACTCTTGATCTGTCCTCGTTAACTGCGTCACCATCAAACGCCTCATATAGCTCTGAGGCTAGTGATGAATCAATAGATAAAGTCTTGGACAAGTTGTCCACCGTCCCTTTCATCCAAGAACTTATCAAGATTCTTCATGATGAGCAAGGATTACAAGATTATTTTAAGAAATTATCTTCCAGAGAAGGAAATGCCTTGATACCAGAGGTGTCAACCCGACTTTGCGAACTAGCACTGTGTCTTCCACCCGCGTGGTCCTCTGACTGGTACGAAACCGATCTGTCCCCCAATCATACACTTAACATCATACCAAACTGTGATATAAAAATTGAACACGACTCGACTATATCGCTGGACGAATATATCAATGTGGACCACAATTAATCCTTTCTAATCCTGTATCTCTATGCTAGAAATAAGATCAGTCTTGTCAAATACTCGAAATCGGAACTGTAACACCTGCGTTTCTCAAATACCTGGAGTATCTGGACTTTGTTGCTTCTCAACTTACATAATCATTATTATAATTAGTACTATTTCTCATTCTTCGTTCCAATCTTTATGCTTTATTATATTTTCTTCAATTCACAATTGTATGTATTAGGCTGGCGTGTCTTTATTGTAGAATCTGAAATACTTAAAAAATGGATGTTGGTATCACTTTCTTTTTATGGATTTATTTTATTGGTATTAAAGAGAATGTGTCGTCTGTATCTACTTAAGACGGTCTGTAGTATATTGGTTCGTTGTTGGGAGTAACATGGAATCGGTGATTACGGATTCCTTCACCTTTGAAAATCTCAGGATAACGAAGCGCTTGTGGAACATTGGCTTCGTCTTCACGCTCATAGGAAGGTTTCCATTGATCTAAGTTATCATTTTCTAGAATAAATTTACCGGTTTGTATTTCGGTGTCGGTAATACCGCCATGTGTAATCCTTGCATAGCCAACTCTGTTCAGCTTGCGGTAGCCAATGTATTCACACCAGCGATCATCATCCGATGGTTCTATATCATTGATTCGCCCACCATCATAGAGCATGTTGTATATTTGTTGGAAAGGCTTGGTCACCACATAGCCCAGGAACACGAACGGATTCTGGCTCTCACGCATAATTCGGGCTAATTCTGCGGTTTGCTGTTGACGATCCAAGAGGTTCTCCTCTTGGCCATTATGTGAGACAATGAAGTCGACATCTTGCCCATACACATCCAATGTGGCATGGATGGCACAAGCTAATTCACCGATAGGAGAAGGAAGAAGGTGGTGCACAGACTTTTTGATGGGGAACTTCGAAAGCATAAGACACCCCCATGTATGCGTCATGGTAGCCGGACCATAGTCAATGTAGTATCCCAGATCTTCAGCAATGTACTGCGCCCAATCACGATTGCCCATGATGATACGCATAGTGTCCGACTCCAAAAAGCCTATAATGACAGATGGGATCAGTGATCAATGCCTTCAGAACTAATTCTAAGCCAAGCCTCTGCGCATACCTATTACATCGAGTTCCAGATCCCGAACAGCGTCTCTCATTCTTCTTTCGCTGGCCCACATATCATTATCTAGAGCAAAATGAATGGTCCAAATGCCAGCTGTGAACATCTTCTGCTCAGGGTGGTAGGGAACAATCGATCCAGCGGTAAGAACTCGTCCGACGGATATGATGGCAGAAAATGCAATGATAGCGGCCAAGAGAACACCAATGTGGCTGCGCACTTCCTGGAGAAGGTTTCGGTAGGGGGATTTTTCCGGTCTATTGGGTTGGAGAGCTAATTTGGCATTGTAGACACCGAGGCCGATAAAAGCCATGGTGCAGGACAAGACCCAATTGGTACGTTCGCGAGCGTATACGCCACCTGGAACAAATTCGTAGGCAACAACCCAAACGTGAGCTAAGCACAAGAAATTGTACACCATGAAAGCAAGTAGCATGGTCTTCATGGGTGAATAAATTGCCATAGCTTTTGGAAGGACGAGGATCAATGACATTAGGTATAGTCCCAAAAGAAGCCCACCAATGTAGCCTAACCATCCTGAACATCCATAGAATATCAAGCAGGAAGTGCAGCCGAAGACAAACCAAAGAATATTCAAAACCAGTTGTTGGTTGAATGACAGTACCAAGCCAACCGCAAGAACGAAAATAGTCAAAACACCCCAAGGGACCGGCGAAGGGCCATAATGAGGATATCCTGTAACTGTCCATCGCATGATGAGGGAAGAATCCGTATACATGGAATGCAATGCGAACAACAGGGACCCAAATCCAGTTGCAGCATATGCCCATGAACCATCTTTGGATGCTGATTTCAGAAGAGGAGAAGACAGCGACCTTCCCATATACTGGTTATCCTTCTTGTTATTTAATATGCCACTAACAACAGCAGCAATACCAAGCAACAAGCCGGTGCCATTCCATCCTTAGCATACAGAAAGGTGACGTTAAAAAAAACCACATTGTCTATAATAGTGACTGATTGCTTTACTTACCGCCAGTGGAAGCTTTCATAGTCGGCCAAATGGGTGACTCAGTTGCCCAAGCCAGCTTCACCAAATTGAAAAAAGTGAGACCGGTTCCCCATACCAAGACATTTCTCTCGAACTGCACTGGATCGGCACTAGACCCGATGAAGGTTGACATCCAAGTGAGGATACTGACGGAAACGCCAAAGGCAGTGATGATAAGTCTTCGTGACGGAGTTTCAACCAAATAGGAAGCAACACCCGTCAACGACAGTAAATGGAACAGATAGCGGTTCTTGTATACAGTGGTTTGAACGGAACGATTGCCCAATAAGCAAGGAGAGATCGTAACAAATAGCAATACTTCATATCCAGAGATGCCCATATTGAACAATGGGAAATACCTAGCGATAAACAAAGTCATTAGCAAATCCACCTTGCAAGGCAGCTATCATTGATGAGCTCATTGCTAATCCTACCAAATAAGTAAACCGAGTGAAGTAAGCATAGACCAGAAGACGAAGGCTACATTTGATTGAGAGCGACGATTATTGATAGAGTTGATGTAAATATGACAATATCACACAAGGGCATACCAAGATATATTTCTCCTATGTAGCCTTGAAGCTTCTTCCAAGCTTTTGGATTTTTAGGCAAAGCCATTTGTTCTCTATCAAGTACGCATTTTCAGGCACAAAAAAAATCAGCCATAGAGAACAAAGTGTCAGTAGAAATGGCCATCCAAAAACAAGATTGAATAGATATTAATTTATTCCACAAACCCATGCTTATCGTCATCAATATCGCCGTGACCGTGTACAGCAGAGAGATCCTGAATTGTGAATTCAAACCGTTGGAAATCCAGTGCAGTAACAGCATCAAAAGCGACATCATAAATGATCAACGACCATTCAAAGAAGGCATATATCGTGTAGGCTAGCGGATGAGGGTTGAGTCCGAGGATGGAAATGGTGTCAGCTTGTTATCCCTTCCCTTTTATTTTTCATCATTCAAGATTTTTTCTTACCTCCTGAAACTCGATGGACTTTGTGCTGTATGAAATAGTAGATCATGGGTGGAAGGGTGCCGAAGAACAATGCAGTAAATATTTTTCGCCACTTTGCAGCATTATGACTAGATCTAGGTGTAGTCTTCCATACGCCGTATTGCCACGGTAAGGTACACAATAGGTACAAAATCATGGCGATATCGTGAGTGTCGTGGTCGTCGGAGGATGTAATATAGACCCAGCCACCGCAAGATACAGTGCGAATTAGGCCAACAGTGAGCAAAAACTTCCCAAAGCCTTTAGAAGCTGTACGCGCAGACTTAGTTATAAGCAAATACCACAAGAAGACTAAAGCGAAACGTGGTCCTGATGTCAAAGCGATGAAAATTTGAAAGATGGCTCGTGCTGGGTACCGATCACCAGTGGTTGCACTAACACTGGGAAACCATTCCTACGTACAATAAATATGAATTGTGTTCAGACCAATATTAAAACAGATTCCTACCACTTGATATATTATACAGTCCGAATCACCCTACCTCTGGATAACCATAATGCTCATTTTGAACAATCTTGTAATAAGAGAAATAGCACCCAAAAATGAGCGCCAAGAAAAAGGCACCTAAAGATGGATATTGACCTTGAATAAAAACGCGCTTCAACGCAGCAACAATCAGTTTACTTACAGTAGGCAAAGATGGTATGAGTGATAGATATCAGCCTAGCTGGGAACTGAATGGCGAAAGTAACAAGATGGTTGGTGCTTGAGCGTGTCAATATTCCAGGTATGCTATGCAGTGTCTAACCTTGTATAAAACTTTGGCACCGCCATTCCTACTGAAAGAATGGAGTTCCTCTTCCTGGTCGAGAATGCTAGGCGGCATGCTGTAAAGCTCCACAGTGCATGCAAGAAAAATGAATTGAGTTCCTGAATGGAAAAAATAAAATAGTTTCGGGGATTGAGGGCAATTTATTCATCCGAAAGTGACCAGGGATCCCGCAACACCGCTTTGTCCAAGGCATCATCATTAATATCTATATCTTGGCTATGACTAACGCGGCACTCTCCATTGCCGTTAAATGTAACAAATGTATCAAATAGATTGCGTGTAGAGGAGTTATGGCTGACACATATCATGGTACTGCCACTTTCGTGCACCATCTGGAGAAGGTGGCTTTGAGTGCTTTCGTCAATGGCACTGGTGGCCTCATCCATAACTATTACAATCAGTTGAATATTTGGCGCGGTCAAAAGAATATGATGATTGATAGATCACTTACTTAAGAAAGTTGGTTTCCAATAAAAGGCTCTACAAAAGGCGAGTCTTTGTTGCTCACCAGGAGAGAGCATTTTGTACCACTCGTTGCCATACTGTGTATCGAACGAGTCCACAAGATCCTCAACATGAGAAAGACGAGTCTTCTTGAGAAGAGCTCGAATATCTTCGTCTGAAACTAATGCAGAGGGATATGAGAAACTGCTATATTAAATAGGATATGAGCACTGTCTTCAAGTCGACTTACTTTCAGTGTTAGATGCTAAATTTGGGTAGGTAATTTGGTCACGTAAGGAGCCGAAAGTGAGGTATGATGATTGAGGTAAGAAGTACATGCTCTTCTGCCCATTATGGTTGCTTGGAAGCTGAATGTGACCTAGAGTAAAGGTGTGAGAAAAAGCTACGAGTCGACTAAAGTTCACACGACTTATTACCGTACCTTTAGTGCATGGCCATAATCCCGCAATGACTCTTAACATTGAAGATTTTCCAGAACCTTCAAAAGGGATTAACTTTATCAGATATCCAGCGAGCGAAAAGGATCATACATAAATGGAGAAGAAATTAGCTTACCATTTGGACCAGTAATCAATACATGGTTTCCAGTATAGAAACGCGCAGTGAAGTCGCTTATGAGAATCTTCTTAGACGGAGATGCAATGGTGACCTTGTCAAAAGCAATGAAAGGCTCGCTAAAGAAATGAAGAGCCGAGTAAGGACATGTTTAACATTCAGCTACAGGCTAAAGGAAAGCTATCTGTTATATACCTTTCTGGGCTGCCATCTTGATAAGGGTAGTCGATCTCGACGTTTTCTAAGTCATTGTCAATGACATTGATGGCTTCAAACAGCTCCGAAATACGCGCTGTATAACCAGCCAAATCAGAAAGCTTTGTGGCCTGTTCGATGATTGACGAGAATTTCCACAACAGGTACATTGAAATAAAGGTATTCTTCAAGTATAAAACAGTCAAAATGACATCTCATCAACTGGTATATCCGTAATGAACCAACCGCCTTACCTTGCTAATGATCTCGCTAATCTTGCTGGGGTCGCTAGTATCATATTTTCCGGCAAGTATTGGAATGGATATAATGATGTAACTCAAAATGGAGCCAAAATAAGAATGAATTTGCTTAACGGCTGGTGTAAAGTGATGTTCAGTCTTTGAATAATGCCTGTAACAAACGCTAACCTCGCATATGATTTACCTTCAAGAGGTAGCTCTCTATTGATAACTTTACGCTGAGCACCCAATAAGGTATTAAGCGATCTGTCAGCTCTAATTTGTTCCTCCTTTTCACCACGACTGAATGCAACGGATTCTGCGTATTCACGAAGTCGGACATGAAGATAACTGACGCAAACAGAAGTTAATATATCAGTGTTTGCTAAGCACAATATAATCGTTATTTCAGTCATTACCGGAAGTCTCCTTCACATGATTCCTTTCTGAATACCAGCTCAACAATAGGCTTAATTAAATAGCTGCTGATAACTGAGCCAACAATGAAGTAGCTGTAAATAAAAAGAGGGCCGAGATAACCACCGACATCCCAGCACTTCCATGTGTAATATACGATAAGTGCTGGTGTAATGACGAGAGGTTCAACAATATCGCGAGCAGCTTCTGCAAACCTATCAATGTCTTGTGTGATACGCTGGTCCCTGGAAGGCAAAAGCAGTCAGCAACTAACAAACATTGAGAAAAAAGCGTTGGTATAAAATTTCCAGCTTACGGGTTATCAATGTCTTCATGAAAGAGAAGAACTCGGTATATTGTCTTTGGCTTGACGTAGCAAGCCTGAATATGTTCTGTCAATATCCTTCTGATTTGAAGAGCAAGAATCTTGCTTGAAAAAGTCTGCAAACTCTTGCCCTAAGCAATGATATTTAGAACAAAGGCTTAATGAACATGATGAATGGAAAGCTCAATTGATTGATTAGAAGACGTACCACAGCAACCAAAAATACGAAGCCCAAGCTTTGAAAAAGAACCTTCCAGTAACCTTCAACATCCAAGGATCCCAGCACGGCATAAAATCGACTGGGTATCAGACCTACGAACCAGACGATAACTTCGACTCCACAGCTTAACAGAAGGAAAATAGAATACGGCAAGAGAATGCTGGATTTGAGTATGGAACCGTCTGTTCCTTTAAACAATAATCGCAGTAAACGACCAAGTCGTTTTAGAAACAAACGGTCGAAACTGTGAGACTTCTCTTGGGGTGGTGGAGCAGCTGACGGATGAGCTTGGCGTTCTAGTAAGGGATCTGACATGTAATCATCAACTGGGGATGTGGAGGAGGCAGTCTGAAATTGTTCCATGATCACCAAGAGGATCGGTTTTTTAAGCACGACTGCCTGCGGCTGTTGGTAGAGTCTGTGCTCACCAAGTAGATAGATTACAACCTGTGACTTTCTTTATATAAATTTACAGTATGAGCAAAATATCAGCTGGCTGGCTGCTCTGCATTCATCAACGCGATAACCCCTTTGTGTCGATTCACGTCTGTAGGCTTAAAACTACTTTCACCCTAATAAGCCTGCATAAATTATACTATTGGTAAAAATTATAAAAATAAAAAAAATTATAAAAAAAACGAAGAGTAGAAAAGCTGAGCATCACATGCAAGCTATGGAAGTATTATTTATTATTGACTGCACTCAAAACAAAAGAAAAGATGGCCTATCGTGAAAGTTTAAGCGTAGGCAGCAACTCAAATTGACGCAGCAGTGTGGGGATGCTTGAAACGCCGGATTTGATGATTTTATGGCAATCGTCGCCGTTTGAATGAGAAGGAGCCAGACTCTTCCTTCAGTCTCCTGACCTCGTTACTTTCTCACCATGGTTTGATGAGAGTGCCCACACAGTAATAGAATGGAACAAGTAAAGAATCAACAACTGGATGCCCTTGTCTCTCCATTCCTCGAACAGTTATTTGTTATTAGAGATCGGCAGTCCAACCACGGAAAAGCAACCTTGGGACGAAACCTCAGGTGGCCTTTCCTGAATAAGACAGAATCCCTCATTGCAGGTTAGCGCCACCGAGGCAGGCCAACTGCCCTTGTTGCTTTTTATTCCTAGCCTTGAACCTGCTTCTCTTTCAATCTATCTTCTCATCTTCACCTCACAGCATTCAAGTGGTTGTCGCCCAATGGATATTTTGACCATTCCTCCACCGGCCACTAGGCGAGAACAACATGCTGTCAATCTTGACTTCAAAGTCCCACGAGCGCTCATCGTACAAGAAGAAGACCTTGAACCCTACCAAAGCCCTTTGAATGAAGCGAACTTGATAACACATACCCATATGGTAGGTATTCTCGATATGTGATTGATCAGTGGTGTCCCCAACATTACTTGTACTGACCTGCCTGTTTCTCCTTGTTTCGCTCAGTGCCCGTCGTCTCGTGAAACAAAGGCGCAATTGATATTATGTTTCGTCAACATGCAACAAACTATACTTAAGGCTGAGGCTGAATTGAGAGAAACCGCTTTAACACAAGCTCAAGAGTTGATACCCCTTGAGGCACCGGGAAACTCGGAATTGATTCGTGACACCATTTGCGATCCTAACAAGACCAAACTTTCTCTTGGCCACAGCATTCGCAACAATACTTCAGCCAGTTCTCTGGGTGTCAACAGGCGTCGTACCACTGTTTTGACCGATGTCATGGAAGCTCATGAAGAAGGGAACGAAATGTGGCATGAACAATCTAAAAGGCGAAGGTCCAGCCGGTTTATCAACCTGTTTGAAAAACTATCAGAACCTTTGAAATTACTAACAAGCAAGTCAACTAAAACATCTTTTATGCTTTCTGGATCAAAAGCGCTCGCTCAACGTCGACAAACACAACAACATGGTGTGAAGGAAGATTATGACTCAGGTATCAGTGTCACATCGCCCAAATCAAAAAGAAATTCCATTGGAGGAATAAGTCTTCACAAAGGCAGGTCCGTCAACAAGCTGATCGGTTCCTACTCGGAGGTCACTGATGATTTCGCAGCATTTCGATACCCCAAGATGGTTCCAATCAATCCAAATGAACGTGAACTGAGGCGACATTCAACAACAGATATTGGCTATTTGTCAACCGCTTGGGAATAATCCCAGATCAGCCAGAACCTATCTCATCTGTGTAGCCCATTTTTATCTTTTTCTCCTGTTATCTTTCTTTTCGCACGTATCAGCAGCTATTCTTTTCCCCTGTACATTAGATTACTTACGCTTATTTTATCGAATTCAAATAATGAACAATGTGACCAATACCATCTTCTTTATCCCCTTCCAATCCTACAGATTTATGTCAATACATCGCCAAGCATCATACAACACCGGCAACCATATTATGTCATTTAAGATGTGAATTAAAAAAAATCAAGATGTATTTTTTATAGGTATATAATTTACAATGTATGCGTCTACAATATAGCTTATCGAAAGACAAATCGGACAGCCCATAGATCCATGCTACCATTTGAGTTGTTGATGGAATCACCTAACACAGCACGAGAATCCACGCTGACAGTATCTCCAGCTTCGTTGGAATCCAAACCTGCCAGTTGCTTGGTGACACTGTCGACATTGGTGGTATAACCCAATTGCTCATCCAGTTCTTTGGGCGAACATCTCAGTTCAGTGCATATTTCATCATAATGGTGGTTTCCATCCAGGAAGGACAGTAGTTGAGAATCGAGAGGCCCTCCGGTATTTTGGTTGATGACATTGCTGGGGAGAGTCTCAGCTGAAACGCTGGCTGCTGTAGTCAAATTGACTAGCATCGGGTATTTGTATACACGATAAATGAGACCCTTAATCACACCAAATGTGATCAACCGCCTAGGTGTAGCTAATATTAGTATCATCTTCTGCATCAATTGGCTGACGTCAAAGAACTTTACCGTAAATCAATATTCTCTGCCTGCTCTCGATTATTCGTTATCAGGCTCTTTAACGTTATACCATGTTGTAAGCCACAGTACAGCTTGAACAACTGTGATATGGTAGGTGGGGAATGTTCTGGCAGGGTTACATAGTCTATGCACTCCTCTTGTAAACCGCTCTTTTCATCTAGAAGCTGCATAACTTCTGGTTTGATGGAATAAATGTTGGAAAATTGGTATATATCGATGAGAATGATGCATCCGTAATATCTATTTTTTTAAAAAATAAAAATTAAAATTAGAGTTGTATCGACGGGCAGAAATAGAGACCAATAATGGCAGCATGCACTTACAAAAGGTGTTCGATGCTCTGTCGTGCCCACTCTATTTTAACATTTGCCTTGTCCGCAATTTTCCGGACTGAACTGATTCCATTAATGTGGTTGATTATCTGCAGGCAAGCTGTATGAGACAAATTTATTCACCGTATCATCAGCCATTTTCTGTCACTTACTTTGCAGAGAGTGATATCCCAGTTGATGCTCATCATTGAAGAAAGATCGACAGTGCAAACAGGTACATGATAATTCTGAACACTCGTAGGATTTGGATAGGTTGGAAACAGCTTGAGGTTGATGGTGTTGGAATCATCTTATAGTATGCTATGTCAATACGCGACAGGTTTAGATACTTTCAATACGACAGGTCGACTTACTTATGGGAATCTGGCACTCGCAGTAACTATTGAGATCTTCCAATAACTGTTCAATAACGTTTTGTATGGTAACTGCACCAGAATTCGTGGTGTCCCCTGTGAGAAAATCGCTCTCTCGCTGAAAAATGAAATGAGTTCATCTTATCTGAGAGAGAAAAAAAAAGAGCTGACGCCAAAACCACCTAGGAACGTGAATAGGTACCTCCAAAACCTCCAAAACAGTAGCCATCTTTTGAACAATTGGTTCGTAGCTACTCGTCTCTGCATCTCTCTCGAAGACAAAACATAGATTGAATCGGTACTTGGTTCGAAGTAGTTTGTAGCGAACATGATCCGTTATGCAAACCGGAACACCCATGACTTTATAGTTGTTGTTACATACGGAAACCAGTCTTCCGTTCAACTGTTCTTTGGTAATGATGTATTCGCTGATCGCCTCAAAGTCAATAATAGGCTTTGTGCAAAAGAGTGCATCATTCAGACCATTGGAGCTGGAAGGATCGGTTTCAGGCGAATGTGGAACGATGGTTCCTTCTGGAACTTGATGCTGTACAACTGGACCCTTGTCATTGTCAAAGACAGCAAAAAATATACTATGAATTCGGGGGAATCCTTGAAATTCCATGGATGGTCAGCGGGTACGTTAACGACGAAATTCACTCTCAAGCGGCGGACTCTCTCTGCCTCTCAGCGCTAATGTGACTGTTGGGACACTGTGGGCAGGCAAAAATTTCAAGTAACATACTGCGCGAAAAAATTATAAAACAAGGTTGTAACAATCTCTCATCAAACACAGTGTCTTGCTTTTATTTTGTATTGGAGATTTTTAAAAGTGAAAGCATCGTAAAATAGACATGGTCGGTTGTAAACTTTTTAAGAAATTTACAATTGCTTCTTGAGGGTACCCATGAAAGCCTGCTTCTCGGCAGCAGTCTGGAAACGACCGTGACCGAACTTGGAAGAGGTATCGATGAACTTGAGTTGAACCTTCTCGAGAGCGGAACGCTTGGTGTGGGTGATGAGGGACTTGCGGATGGTGACAACACGCTTTCTGGTACCGGCAATACCACCCTTGATCATCAAGAAATCTTCACTGACGAAACCGTAGTGAGGGAAACCACCCATGGGGGTGATATCCTTCTCAGTGATATCGTACTCAGTAGCGCCAGACTTCTTGTCGCCAGCCTTGCCAACACGGTAGATCTTCTTGTTGATCTCAGTACGGTGATGGTAACCGTCCTGACCAGCACGGGCAACAGAGTACATGACACGGGAAGGATGCCAAGCACCAATACAGGCAACCTTACGGAGACCTCTGTGGGTCTTACGGGGAAGCTTCTTGGTACCCCAACGGGCAGTAACACCCTCGAAACCCTTACCCTTGGTGACAGCAATGACATCAACCATCTCGTCTTGCTCGAAGAGAGAGGTGACTTCGACTTCCTTCTCGAAGTGCTCGCGGGCCCAGTCAACCTTTTGGGCAATGGAACCACCGTTGACTTGGATTTCCATAACGTGGGCCTTCTTCTGGCCAATCTTGGCCTTGCGGACTTGAGTGTGAGCAATGACGCGAACGACGCTGCAGTACTTCTTGATACGCTCGAGTTCACGAGTGATCTCCTTGGAGCCCTCAGAGTACTTCTTGGCGTACTTGGTGAAGGCCTTCTTCTTGGAGCGGTACCAGTTCTTGTAGAAGCGACGACGGACTTCGTCGGAAAGATGCTCAGCCCAGACGGTGGTGAGGGTACGAAGACCACGGGGGGTCTCGACGTAACCAACGACACCAACGATGACCATAGGAGGGGTCTCAACGATGCTGACAGCCTCGACGATCTCCTTCTTGTTCATCTCTGTTTAGCATGAAGAACGACATTTAGCAACGAAAATTTTTTCTAAAAATCAAAATGCCTTAGATGTTCAACTTACTGGAACCAGGACGGTCAAGATCACGAACAACGTGAGTCATACCGGCCTTGTAACCCATGAAGGCGGTCAAGTGGACGGGCTTGGATTGGTCATCCTTGGGGAAGGACTTAACGCGACCACGGTGGGAAGCGCAACGCTTGCTATTAAATTAAAATAGAAAAATTTTCAGGTTAGTTTTGGTCACAGAGATCTCGCAACGAGATCATGGACGGGAAATGTTACACACCGAGGAAGGAAACCTAAATGTGGACAAAGATTAGAATTATGAAATATACGGTTGGTAACATATTGCTGCCGTCGAGTACATACCAAGATGGCCGTGTCTGGGAGCCTCGAACTTTCTATAAGTGGAGGAAGAATAGACATAGTGTCAGACTAAGTTCATTGACTCGAACATTGGCTCGAAGCGGATAACATCAAGTCATTGCCGCCATATCAAGAAAGCCTGAAATATGATCATACCTGTGAGACTAGAGAGAAGGATAGTGTTAGCAAGATATGATACGTGATGGATGGCATGGATGGATGGATGGATGGGTGTGATAATTTACCATTGCAACGGATGGATGAGAAAAGAGGCCGAACACTGCTTTGCCTGTGCCGCCAATAAATAATTCTGTGTCCAAAATTTGAGATGACAGTCACTTTTTTTTTTCTTCACCTTTTTTTCATCCCAGCTTGAAGCAGTCCACTGCCAGGTACGTCAAAATTTTCACCTACCCAAGTGCCGCCAATACCGAAGAAACGAATCAACAGCACACCGAGAATACATAGATCGTAAGAAGAATATAGAATCAAATAAATAGAGATTTTTTCTATCATTTAGAATGCGCAGACGAATTCATAACAAGTGCATGGATCGATTTGAGTCGGTGTCGAACGGTAATAGAATGATAATGATTGGGAGAGTCAAGGCACCAATGTTAGAGGTTTTGCTGTAACAAAAAGGTGGAGCTTGCTTTGCCTTCAAGTTTTCATTAAATCTTTAGAGTCTAATGGTTCTGACAGAATGTCTATTGACTATATTATTGGCATGAATGGCATTGGATCCAATACATCATGCACTATAAAATTTCTCAATTGTAATCTGTTCTCTTCATTAATTCGCCTTTCCATTTTATTTCTCAATGCTTTCACGTCATAGAACAACTATGATAGTGCATTTCCTCTTGTTTTGCCTATAATGAAATTCTTCTCGTGGTCATAACTCTGTCATTTTATTTCATTTTATTTTCCTCCTACGCTTCTGATAAAACAAAAATTATAAGACAATATTGTGTAAAACTGAAGGCTATCGCTCTGTATACTAAAGTATTAATGAGACGTTGTCATGAATGGAATGCATCTTGTCAAAAAAAATTCGATCCAACCAATGTACAATACGGCAAGCAAACAGCTCTCAAAATGCTCTGAATTGGCCAGCCCTAAGGCTGGTTCATTCTATGTGTTGTACAGCTTGGTAAAAGATATTGTCCTTTTAATGTGTTAAAATTGTCTGCTAGCAGCAATGATGGACAATCAGTTTCCGTTACGCTGCATATACTTTTCTACAAAATAGTTCACTGCGTTACAATCTGCTGAAACGAGCTTACTAGCATACTTTATATAAGTCCTCCTATTGAAAGTTCTGAAACTCTCCTTGAGTGGATGTTAAAAGCATCCCCTACACCATCTGAAATACGAAATAGGTAGCAAATAAAAAACAAATATTTTTCTCTCCCTTCAACGTCGAACGCTTTTGTTCGCCAGATTTAAACGGACTAACAACATTGCATATTTTTCTTTGTATGTGGGCATTTCAGCCTCGTCGTGCTACTGAAGGGAAACCAGCCAAAATGTGATTGGTCGATTTTCGCATTCTCCTGAAAGGTCGGTGCCCCATGACGACGTTTGGAGGCCAAACCTCAATATGAAGCGGTCATAACATAGCAATATAAGTTAATACGGTCTCATATCAGAGTGCAGAAACAGTGTATAAGCAATAATTGGGTGTAAACATGCCAGCAGCTTATGGAAAGAACTATTTTTTCTGAGCCGCGGAAGAGGGACAAGAACAATTCCGCGGAAGTTATAATTAAATCGTCGCCCAGATTTAATGGCTCAAGCATTTTTTTGGGGCTCTGGCTTTTTACCTCTCTTCAGAATGACCACCACAACCGACATTCACACTGAGCACAACCTCACTCCTCCGCTCACCCCACCATTATTATCCCTTAAAGATGTCTCGATATCAAGCAAAGCACAGCAGCCGACAGCAAAGCCACCTGTCACTATTCTTCGCCAAGTTTTGACGCTTACTGACGGTCGTGACAAGGCACTCAAGTTAATACAGTACTTCATCAAAATCATATTACATCATGGTTATATTGATAAGAAATGGAGGATGTTCAGCAGTCTGTCTGCTTTGGCGTCTAACTTCTCAACCACCCGAAAGATAATTCGTCTTGGTCATATCATTGAGCCTACGGCTGAGCTTTATAATGCTGCTTATACATCACCAAAAAAAGTGCCAGAAACGACGATACAGCAAGTAGATTCATTTTTAAGCATCATGAGTCTTATTTTTGGTATCGGTAACGACTTGGCCGATGACATTTTCTGTCTGAGTAAAATCAACGTTCTGCCAGCATCGTGGGCCAAAAAAGCGGAGCCCTGGTCTTATCGGTGTTGGTTTGCGGCTATTTTGATCGACACCCAGCGAATGATAAGAGACATCGTGGCTCAACAGCACAAGATGAAGCAATGGAAAACCGAAAACCTACATATTGTATATCCACAAACAGACCCGAATGATACCCGTAACGATCAGCCCATGTCATTGTTTTCTGCTACAACACGGGGGGACCAGTTATCATGGATAGACCGAAACGACCAGCAAAATTTGCTACGGGAATGGACAGCAATGCAGGACAAACTTTTCTGGCTACACGTATCTTTCATCAAGACAATAATGGATGGCGGCTTCTGTGGTTATGATTTGTTCCAATGCCAATTTTCCAACGGTTTCCAGGCATGGACAGGGTTTATCAGCGGCGCGCTTTCCGCTTATAAGCTTTGGTGCAAAAATTCAACATAGAGTACATACATTAAGCAACAAACCTGCCCTATCCGTCATTGTACGTAGAAATGATAATATACACCGCGCGACTAGTCATTTTTTTCTTTTTTTTGGTGTTCCCTTAAAAAAACAATTGCATCAACCCAGTCAGTCACCTACCTATACCAATAATACACACCAATATATGTTCTGACTGATTAATAGCAAGATTACATCTTCAATATCATCGTCACTTTTACTTGAATAAAACAAAAAAGTTTTTTAGAGTATGAAAAGTGTTTCTAATCGCTATCTTTGGGCGTAGCAAGGAGCCATACATACCACCACAGCTAGTGGCACAGCGTTCTTTCTAACCAGCAAGTGATCCCTACTAACTGAAGTCATGTCATGAACTTTCATATTACATTTTATCACATATCTGTGTCAAAGCAAAAGTCGTTCGATGCTATTTTTTGCTGGAGCCGCATTTGGTGATCAAAATGACCTACTACCCCCCCCCCTCACACCAGCCTCAACGTTGCTCACCCACCATTTTTCTACATAGCTATGGGCTCTCTTTACTCTTACCGAGTGGCAAAGGGCGAATAATCCGGTGAGTATTTCATTCATAGCGTTGCTATAAGCTCTGTTCAACATTTGATCCTCTGCCCAGGTATTTACTAGAAACCTTACATTTCAACCCCCACCGATGCCCCAAAATTGGATAGTGGAATTACAACCATGGCAAGTTGCGTGCATGACATGACGATTGTCAGGAACAGCACTTGATATCACTTACCCTATCTTCACTTTGCTTTTATTGCCGTGAAACAAAAAGCTATGGTCAAAAGTATTCATATCATATAAAAATATACAGTTGAAAGCGACGGAAATGTTATACAAAAAGAAAGACTGTCAGCTGGCTAGAGAGAGAGGGGGGGAGTAACATGATGTGATCGGATGCGGCTCAGTGTGTTTTGGACGCTTTTCCAACGGTAAATGATACCAACCGTATTATTATTTGACACAGACGTATTGAGAAAAACGACGAGTGTAAAGGTTTTCTACTTTGTCTTCAAGAGAGCAAGTAGAAAAAGTGAGCCATCGCTGGTAAAGACCCACAAAGGAATAGCTTGAAATTAGCGCCAAAGGTGTCCCCGTTAATTTCATGGTCCGCTCACACAAACTTTGTTGTCTCAGAAAACGGTGTTTTTTTTAAAAGGCGGTCTCTTATTCGCCTTCAAGACTGTCAGACTGTTTGCGACTCCAAGGTCATCGCTGTTGGCATGCTGTTCCAACAGTCTGTGCCTGGTGTCTTTAATCAACCTTATAATAATACGCTGTACAACCAGAAGAATGCTTATCGATCCGATATGAGGCCGCCAGATAATACTGCTCAAGACAAAGAGCTGATCAACTCGGTCAGCGATCTAAATGTCGCCAATGATGAAACATGGAAAGAACGTAAAGATCCCTTCTCAACCAAAGGCCCGACTTCGACAACGCTGGTTGACTTTGAGGCTATCGCACCACCACCTCCGTCCAAACGCTTTATCAATGACAACTCGGCTTCTCAGTATAACACGGTATCTTCACATCAATATATGGATGTTGCTCGATCTTCTGCGTCACGATTTGGTCAAACTTTGCATGAAAGTACTCATGTGCTTCCTTCCATGTCTTATGGTAGCATGCCAATTCATCCTAGTTACCAACCTGGTATGCAATCATCGTCATCTACTTTACCATTGTCAAACCATCATACTTTTCAACAGCAGCAACCGGCATACTCAGCACTTCAACAACAGCAGCATTTACAAGCTTATAATCCCTCTATCATGGTTCCACCGCAATCTCCTACGCTTGCTAGCTATTACTTTGAAGGTTCCAATTCGTGGTTTGATCAATATCAAGATCCGAAAAGATTGCGCAGCCCCTCAGCTCATGTCGATACCGATTATATACAGATGATGCAGCATCGACAGCAATGGTATTCCATGAATGCTGCTGCTGCGAACCTGATGGTTGGTTATGGTTTTGCAGATGCGCAAGCCATGCAGCAGTGGCTTTTGCAACAACAACAAACTTACCAAATCAATCCTCAAGCCTCAATGAATGCCATTTACCAACTGCCAGGCTCTAATCCCATGCTACTCAATGGCCAGCCATATCAGACCCTTCAACAACAGCAGCAAGCCATTCTCATGCAGCAATTATACTCACAGCAGCATCTCATCTCATCCATGGCAGTTCCTTCGTCTGTCCCACCTATTGAGGCACATTACTTGGACAATGTACAACGTAGGAAGCATTCACTCAAACATATGGGGGCACTCCCTAGAACTTCACAATCATACAGTGCCAGTATACCACACCCATCACAATGTAAGTTGACAGCAAAATATAACCCACCGGCTTTTTTTAACAAAGCTTTTAATTTTTCTCTTGCATTATCTTCTTACAGTTGCAATAAACTCACAACTATCGGTGACACAAATGCTACAAGCCGGTGCCATTGACTCCTCTGAAGCAAGCCGAGATCAGCTACTTGCATACGCCCACACTCTATATGCAAACACGCCATATAACCCGACTTTGTTAGAATTACTGCATTTGCTAAACTCCTTGCATCCAACACATCTACCGACTCTTCTTCTACTTGCTTGCGTGTATTTTACGCAACGCAATTATCAGGCATCACTTCACTACAATCAATTGATTCTTAAGCAAGATCCACAATATGTAGAGGCTATGAGCAACATTGGAACCACGCTTCGAAGTATGGGACGCACAAGTGAAGCTGAGCAATGGTGGTACCAGGCGGTCAAGCTGAGACCGGGTTATTGGGACGCGGTGGAGAATTTGGTCGGTGTCCTGTGCTCCAGCCAATCCCACGATAAAGCGAAAAAAGTTGTCACTGCTGTTAGCCATGCGGGTCATGACGATGCCAATGCCACTAAATTGATCCGATACAAAGAAGCTTTGAATGTATGCGATTTTGTCGAACAATTTTTTTTCAAGTCGTCGCCGGATGCCGACGTGAAAGCCACCACCATTGGACGCCTAGAGTCCGCCATTAAGCCCCCCAAAGATCTTCCAAAACACCAAATACCAAGACTACAAAACTTATTTTACGCAAAGGGAAATCTCAAATATGCTATGGGAGACATGATTGGAGCTCGCCATGAGTACGAAAAGGTTTGTTGTGAGGTTGCAATAGGATGGAGGGACATGGATGAAACCAATTTTTTTTTTTTTTTTTGACTAACGTGCTATCACTCTCCTCAACTCTTCAGGGCTTAGAAATTGTATTTGGCGGAAGGAGTTTATTAGAGGTGGTCAATCAAGTGGCAAGCGTCATTGGTTCATCAAGCGTTGCACAGGCTTACCGTCATGGCACTTTGGTTGAATCCAACGCATTGCCTCTCATTTTGCTTCATCCTGAGCAAGCTTCAAGGCTTTTGAGCATAACTTTTCCTGAGACGGGCGGCGTCCTGCCTGGTCTTGCTGGCACAGATCGCAATCCGACGTCACCGAGTTCGGTTGATACAGTTACAACAAGCAGTATTCAGCAAGCCGCTCAAACCACCTCTACCATCTTGTTGACTTTGGCAAAGATGTTTCAAGATATGATGAACCCTTCATCGTCCACTTCTCCTACTGCCATTGCTACTGCAGCTGCTGATGAAACATCCACTAAACCGACCATGTCTATTCTGTTGCCGCTCTATTATCTCAGCCTTTCACTGAACCCAAGCCCATCGACGGCAAACAACCTGGGCATTATTTTAAGCAACATTTCAGGGGCTGCTTCCGCCAATGCTATCTTTATCCAAGACAAGCCACGTCAACTACAGAACCCCGTCACTGGTACTTCTTTGGCACTCCAGTACTATTCATATGGCTTGCAATTGGACCCCCGACATCCTCATCTTTACACTAACTTGGGATCCTTACTGAAAGACATGGGTCATCTCAATGAAGCTGTCCGTATGTACGAAAAGGCTGTTGAATGCAATCCTCGATTTGACGTTGCTCTTGCCAACCTCGGAAATGCCATCAAGGATATGGGTCGTGTTCAAGATTCAGTGCAGTGGTACAAGCGTGCTGTCGAAGTTAATGCCAACTTCGTCGATGCTATCTGTGGCTTGGTGAATTCCCTAGGCGGTATCTGTGACTGGCGAGGAAGAGGAAGTGTTGGAGACGAGCATGGCGTTGACGCAGTGGGACGATTTATACCCTCCTCTGGCGATGTCAAGTCCTGTTCTGGCTGGATTGGAAGAGTTGTTCAAATTGTCGACAAGCAACTTCAGGAAGGTGTTGTCTGGGGTACTGGAGTATTGAAGTGGAAGCAAGAGAACGGATTGCACTTTTTGGAAAATTTGGTTGATTGCGCTGTCCGGTCTATCAGTCAAGATGCCAATGTTAGAGCAAATGCCAAGAAGGCGTTAATGAAACGAGGCGTTGCCATTATGCAAAGGTCCAACGACAAGGTCAATGAAGGCGCCTGGGTCATTCGACTGATTGAGCGTACCATCCGACGCTTACAGCGGTCTTGGTACATCACGACCTATGGAGCAACTATCACTGTTGACAAGTCTGTCACTTTACCTGCTATCATGGTGTCACCTAACCTGGTTCAAAAATACAAACGACCCGCAATTCCTTCTATGCTACCAACTCCTGCTGTTCCTACCGTCCTGCCCTTCCATACCTTCACGTATCCTCTTGATGCACGGCAAATTAGACTCATTTCCCATCGTAATGCATTGCGCATATCGCACTCCACGCTTACATCATCTTGGGTACCTTCTCATGTTTATCCACCACCAGCGCCGCCGGCACCAAGATATAAAATTGGTTACGTTTCATCTGACTTCAATAACCATCCATTGGCTCACCTCATGCAATCGGTATTTGGATTCCATGACAAGGAACGATTCGAAGTATTTTGTTATGCAACCACTGCCTCAGACAGTACACCATACCGATTGAAAATCGAAGGGGAAGCGGAACACTTTATAGACGTTTCAACATGGACCCACCAACAAATCGTCAGCCGATTGCACGAAGATGGAATTCACATCTTGATCAACTTGAACGGCTATACGAAAGGAGCTCGAAATGAAATCATGGCTGCACGGCCGTGTCCGGTTCAATGCTCTTTCATGGGTTTCGCTGGAACCCTTGCCGGTGGTTGGTGTGACTGGATCATTGCAGACCCTATTGTATGCCCACCAGAGATGGTGAGTTGCGAACAATGGCGGTACCGAAGAGCACATCATAGAAACGAAACAGTGGGTGATTTCACTGGTGATATCGATCCTGAATCAGCATTGGATAACTTCGTCTACACCGAAAAGTTCATTTACATGCCTCACTCGTACTTTGTCAATGATCATAAGCAAGGTTTCCGTGAAGAAGAGGATAAGCAACAACCAATGGTACCACCGTTGCGCGATCAGTCTGACTCTAATGTTTGGGAAGTGGAAGAACTTAAACGTTGGAAGATGCGTCGTGAAGTTTTTCCTGACCTACCGGACGATGTCATTATCTTTGCCAACTTCAATCAACTTTACAAACTTGAACCGGGAACTTTCCGACTCTGGCTGCGCATTCTTGAACGAGTTCCAAATTCCATCATCTGGCTCCTTCGGTTCCCTCCAGCTGGTGAAGCCAATCTTAAGCGAACGGCCATGGAATGGTGCGGCCCTCAGGTTGCACAGCGTGTTGTGTTTACTGATGTAGCACCCAAACATATCCACATCCATCGTGGCCGCGTAGCTGACTTGTTCTTGGATACTCCGGAATGCAATGCGCATACCACTGCGGCTGATATTTTGTGGAGTGGAACTCCCATTCTCACATGGCCAAAGTATATGCACAAGATGTGCTCTCGGGTAGGAGCCAGTATTGCCCGCGCAACATCTTTTGGCGACGAAATGATTGTTCAAAGTGAACAAGAATACGAAGAACGCGCCGTGGCTTTGGCCAACAGTCTAAAATACAGCTATGACAATTCCAACGGTGAAATGAAACGTGTCGGCAACGGTGCTCTTCATGATCTTAGAAAGCGACTTTTCACTACACGAGAACACAGTCGACTCTTTGATACCCTTCGGTGGACAAGAAATTTAGAAGCTGGTTACATTGAGGCGTGGAAACGATGGGTCACAGGTGAAGAGTTTGAGGATATCAATGGCAATTTGGATCACTCGGGGTGCATTTGGGTGACGGACCCCGATGATACCAGCCATTGAACAAGAAGAACACATCAAACTTATTACAGCACAAGACAAAACATACACCTAATTGGAACGAAAAAGTGGAAACCAAACGATATTGGGCCTTGGCGGCAGTGCGTCACTGGGCTTTCAAAGAAAGTACTGATAGAACATACTTTCACATTTCAAATAGTTTCTTCTTTTTTTTTCCACATTATTCATTGGCCCTTTGCATTATAATTCAATAAGACAAATTTGCAATAATACAGTTGTTTAAACCAATCCGTTTTGCTAGCCTAGCTCAAAGGGTCCCAAGTCTGTCTTGGTCTGTGACTGCTTCTGTCAGCGCCGCTCCTTCCTAACTTTTTTTTTTTCCAAGACTTGAAACCATACTCTTGCTACTCTACAATTACCATGGGCAAGACTGGAAAAGAAAGAAAACGTCGTCGATTGCTTCAAACAAAGCCCGACCATGTCTTGACCGACCACGAAGATGAGAATCGAGTTCTTGAATACGGCGGTATCATCTCCGCCGAAGATATGAATACCACCTTGCGATGCCTGACTACGCTCAAAGATCACCCTGACCTTGTTCGATCCAAGGAATTTAAAGCACTTCGAGCCGTTGTCCATTTAGTTCATGATTCTGCTTTTGCTGTTACCGGAAAGGGTATGTATCAATGGCTTGTACAGGCATTCTATACATTGTTCGTCCCCTCATATATGCCTTTTTTTTTCACCAGGCGCTACCCTTAGCGGTCGTATATCCGATGCTCTAACAGACGGACGATGGGCTGATGCCTTGGCTGCTTTAGCTGAAATGAGATCAAAGGGTCAAGTGCCGAAACTGGGAGCCTTGCAACGCTGGGTGCGTGATTGCGACGCCGCTTCGCTCCGAGATGGATCGCACGGCGACCCTCAGATATTCAGAGTGCTCGACAGCATTCTTCGTACCGCAGATCCCAACCTCATACCTAGTCACGACAGCGACCATCATCCAGTTCGACAAATTGGTTCCTGGTCTGCCTTCCCTCGTGCCAGCCCTCTGCAAATGGTTTACGATGCCATCAAGGCAGGAAACTTATTCAGTACGTTTGCTTCGATTATCTTCTTTTAAAGCTTATACTCTTTCGCCATGATAGAGATGACTGTTAATCAAAATGGACTACTAAACCATTTCAAATTAGCTGAAGAACAAGCTGAGCAGTATCGCAAGTCTTTCCGTGTAGTATGCCATGAAAAAGGCTCTGAGCGGCGAACACCCAATGAATACGACTTCATGTTGTATGCATCTGTACCTGGTACAATCAAAACATCTGAACCAAATATGCACCCAACTGTTGAACGTATCGACGTACCGAATGTACCTGGAGCGTTTATGATTACCAATGTTTTGAGTTCAAGCGAATGTGATCAAGTCTTGTCTGCAGCTGAAGCTATAGGCTTCACTCCAGATGTCCCTGCCGTTGGAGCAGCTGTCGACTCTGTCTCAGTATTGGCACACAACTTTTTCTGGCTGGTCGATGACGACTTCCTTGGTACTATCTTCAAACGATGCGAACCTCACTTTCCTAAGGAGATCAGTGGCGGTGCTGTCGTTGGTGTGAATTCCCGCTGGCGGGTATACCGATATGTCCCTGGTGCTATATACCGTGTAAGTGAACGCATATTTTACCACTGCCTGTCCAGGTTTATTCACTGACTTGACTGTCTCTATAGCCGCACATTGATGGCGCTTGGCCAGGAAGCGGGCTTGACCCAGTGGATGGAACCTACAAATACGACATGTATAACAACACAAGATGGTCTCGACTCACGTTCTTGCTTTATCTAAACGAAGAGTTTGAAGGTGGTCCAACCACGTTTTTCTTGCCAGCTGCTCAGGAAGGTATTTTGGAGGCTCGTGCTGTGTCGCCTCGCAGAGGATGTGTGTTATGCTTCCCACATGGAAATACCGCTGGAAGTTTGCTTCATGAAGGCAGCCCAGTTCTGAATGGCGCAAAATATGTCGCTAGAACAGATGTATTGTATATGTGTACGCCGCCAAAGGAATAGAAATAAAACAGAGTTTTGCATGCAATGGGGTTTTTATTACCTGCAAGTATTAATGCAATGAAAAAATGAAACAGTAAGAAAAGAGACATCATAATTTGTCGTATTTAGCATACCGACGCAATGAACTCAATGCGCTGGCGAACACATGCAAACTCTCAGTATATGGCAGCTATTTACAGGCTCTTTGCAGCATTTTTGCGTAGAGTGAACCTCACAATCACAGTTTGCTGTTGCAGATTCCGATAAAGTAAAAGACTAATCTTGAACAAACTTTTGGTTTTCTTTTGTTCTCTACAAACGTCCTCGAGTTCCTGTACAACAAACAATTCGTTTCCAGTGCAAGGTTGAACGACGGTCATTTCCAGCGTGGCATTCTTTCCAAACAGAGAAACCTGATTTGGAGCGGTTTGTCGGTTTGGTAGATAGGTCATAAATCCTTCCAGAACGGTGACTGATTGAGTAGCATCCAAGGTGTCGGATAGTTCGACAACATAACCCTCCGGTTCCTCATATGCTCTGATGACTCGCTGGAAGGACTTCAATGTCGAAAGCACATAGGCTTTGGTCATGTCTATCTGGATGCTTTTTGTATGATCCTGGACAGTAACATTGGATATGGTACCAGAATATTCACTTCCAACACCTTGAATTTGCTGTGAGAGGATGGGGACTGAGTGTATTATTGACTTTGGCCAGTCCGATAAGTATCGCGTCTTAGGATCAGAGTACTGCTTTGTATACAATCCTTTACCGGGGTCGGTTATGTAGTTCTCACCGTCGAAATGCACAACAAACGACCCAATATCACAATGATTGTGCTCCTCGCCGTTGTGGCCAGCCTTCGCTATGATAACAAGTTGAGGAGAATGAGATGAGCCGATTACCATTCTTGCTACGCCGGTGTTGGGCAGGACGGCATCACTCAGTTCGATAGGAGGTTGCGGTAGACTGCCGTCCCACCAGGCTAAATCGCGGAAGACGAGGGCGCTCTTAGACATTGCCACATTAGATTGTGAAAAAGAACCACCTGTTGGTATTGCCAGCATGTTACGAAGTTCAGGCTGATTCAGTCGCTCGGCTAGTCTGGATATGAAACCAGGACTGAAGGTCATCTTGTCTTCCTCTGCGTCTCCGAACGGCGCGAACTTATTGGGCCCTAGTTGTAACTTCCGCGCAGAAGAGGCAATAGACATTATCCTTGGATCTTGTAGTAAATCAATACCCCCAAGTGATCTTGCTCTTATCATCTCGAAAAAGGCTGTAAGGTAGGATAGTCCATATTGCCAATACCCCACGCCTTCAACCGTAGCTCCGTCAAGACCAAAGCCTTTGTTCAGATAGTGTTTCAGACCCTCCAAAGCTTGTGATACGCCACGGATAGCTCTATCAGGATCCATTGGCACCAGAAGAAAACAGGCTCCAACAGAGGAATTGACGACTCCGTTCCAGTTGCTGGGTGATGTATACCACCACTCCGATCGTCCAGATTGCTCGTACGGAGTTAAAACTCGCTTGTCAATTTCTTGATACACTCTGGCGACGAGGTTTCCATCCAACATATGTCCTACAACTTCCATTACTTGCGCTAGAGCGAACGCAGTTTCGGCGTTGAACAAATCTACCTTGCATCTGGTATGAGCTGGCACAACCCAAGTTGGTTCATCACAAATGTTGACAATAGCGGCATGAAGGAATTGAATGTAAGAAGCTACGTCGCGGATTTCATTCAGTCCATAACAATAAATAGCGTTGCTGGTCAACTGGACTCTTCTAAGAAAGTATGGATCTTCATAAGACTTTCTATCGCCGCTTTTTTGATATTCGTTGTACAAGTCTTGGTTTAATTCTGTGTGAGTACTGACTCGCGCTCTCTCAGTGATGCGTATCAACTCTTTGCATTGTTGACTGTTCCACGTTGTCTTACTGTTAGGCTTTGGTAGCTCAGGGATTGATTTACCCGCCGTTTGCACCATGTTAGCTCGCAGAAGATTTAAATCACAAGCTAAAGAAGTTTGCGCCGTATTGGACGCCGGTGGAGATAACACATGCTGTTGTTCATTGTGCTCTGGGTGGTGGTGATGAAGCTTTTCTACAAGTCGTTCGAACATGAATGAAGTTGGCGGTAGAGAACAGCCAGTTTTTCGTAAACTTGTTGCAAAAGGGAGACAAAAAGTGATGTTGGAAAAAAATCCACATACACCTATTGGTCACATTTTCCCCCGAGACATCATTTCCATGATTGCGGTAAATTTATTTTTATGTATTGCAAGTTGTTGGGGCGAATTGTTACAATTGTTGTTATTACTTAAGCTATTCTACGTATACGTTGGGTTATTCATGCAAGTGTGCTCATGATGTAGGCAAGCTAACAGCATCAAAGTCACATTTAACAGCAAAGACGTTGCCTCCTGGAAATTCTGCTTCCATCCTTATTTCATTTCTTCCAAAGTACATTCTATTTGGAAAACGAAGTAATGAGCCAAGCTAGTACATATGCTTGCGCAAGTATAGAAGCATGTACTTACCTAACTTCATAATTGACGCGTTGGCCTCTTTCTACACCAGCCATACGAGGAATAGGAATTTCAAGAGCGGCGATTTGCTGGACCCCGGCTTGATTATACCATCGCGGCTCGTCAGGATTTTCAGTAGCATATAGTCGAAGGTCAGTGGAGTAGATGGTATTGTAGTATATATACATTTGCTCCCGAATACATTGATCTACGCGTATAGCATCGCCTTTACAAGCAAAAGTTAGAAACCGGGTAATGCAACGCACGCTTCCATCCGGTCTAACAAATCTTGAGGATGGAGGATCCAGTAACTCGTCATATGGTAATCCAGCATTAATGCCATAGGTGCGCCTTAGGATACGGGAACTGATGGGTTGAGGATGTAAACCATAGTGTACAGCTCCACGTACGATGGCAAGCGACGCTCTTGCCGGATATAGAATTTGGGGTATTCGAGGTTGGAAGGTGGTTCGTACTCTATCGTATAAGTAACTCGATGAACCAAACCCTCCAACTAGAAATATAGTATCGAGTGTCTTGCCAGTAATTTGATTTAATTGCGTTTCAATGAGATCAATCTAAATGCGAATATGTGAGATTTTGCTACTCGTATCTCGAATGGTGATGGTAACTTACCACTCTGTTAACTACCGGATCAAAGACTCTTGACTTCAATTCAGCACCACTAATGACCAGCATTGCGTCTTCTACATGAGCACCTTGAGCAGTAAGGACATTGAGATTCACTGAAGCCGGTAAGCTAAGGTACTGTGGCTCGTTTTCATTTCCGTCAAACTCAGGCTAGATATAAGTGATGGGTGAGTAAACTAAAAGTCAGATACGCACGGTCCATTGAGAATAATCATTGTACCTTGATAGAATCAATAAACTGATCCATCATTTTCAGCATAGAATTGGCGGAAACGTTTATAATTTCTTCACCCAACTTCTCTCGCAAGAGTGTCTCGAATCTCTGATCTAAGAAAATACTTCCACAGCTCTCTCCCATTCCTTTTGTGATTTCCTTGAGACGAGTCTTTCCCTCTCTTGGTTCCTCAATTTCACTAAATGGAAAAAGCTCATTAGTCCAAATGCCAGCCTCCTATGGGCAAAGGTATAAATCAAAATCATAACACTTACAATACAATCAAGTCAATGGTACCACCACCAGCATCGCAGATCATGAATCGATCACCTTCCGTCAAGTTGGATTCTTTGCAGGATTTTTCGCAATATAGCGCTCCAGCTTCAGGCTCCGAAGTAATCATCAAGCGGTCCGGTGGATCGTGTGCAGAGATGAGGCCAGCGTCAATTGCGGCAGTTCTCATTTTGGACTTTGCTCGGTCTACAGCCATCAATGTAAATTTTCATAATCAAAAGGATGTAAAGGGAAGATCAGGTACATACCAGACCACATGGCAGGGACAGTAAGACAGTATCTAAATTGCTCTTCAGTATAATTTCTTGCGAATTGCCTGCTGAGTTCCCGGACGACGTGACTGTGCAAGCACCTCAAATAATCAGATATTAACTTGGCAGTGGACCTAGAGATGAAGAAGTGGGTAATTAAAATCCATCAACTTAAGCATGGGCAGCGGCGCAAAATAGGCTGCAACTTACATGCCATTCGGTAATGGAGGACGTTTCAAGTTTTCGTCGAGGTTTAATTTGAAGCCAGTCAAGAGATCGTAGTTTGCAGCAGCACCAGGCTTAGCATACATCATCTTAGCGCCGTGACCCCATTCTACGACATTAGTGGAATCCCCTTTTTCATAAAGAAGGGCAGTTGGGACTTTGGGGAAGATGGATTCTCTTCTGTTGGGCCTGAAATTTTTCATTTGCCTTAGCAGCCACACTCGGTTAAGCGAACAATGAAACGAGTTACGTACCATCGTTCTATATCAAGGACTTCTTCATTTTGACAGTATGCGTATGAAGCTCCTGAGAAAGTTGTTCCAAAGTCATAGCCGAGAACAATTTTGTAGCTGCTCATATCCGCGGACTGGACTGCTGGCTCAGTTCTCACGGGAGAATGAACTCTGGGAGAGACTGCGTTATTCGCGTGAAAAGGTAGAGCAGTGGACATTCGACTTAGATTCGGGGATCTTGAAGGTTCAGCTTGGGAATCAATGGGTAACATGGGATATAATGATTCCACCATGGCAAACGAAGACATTGTAGAACAAGAGGTGTGCCAAGCCAGTAAAATAACTGGGATCCAAAATGCTTAACCTTTAAATCTTGGCTCGAGCCTCTTGGTACCGCATTTGGGAAAATTTTTATTGGCAAGCTTTTTTATTACGTTGCTTTATTTTCAGATTCATGGCAGAGAACGATAACATCGCCAGTTCGTCTCCAGTCGTCATGGAAATGTGAATTGAAGAATCGTGCGCACTATTGGATAAATGATATTTAAATACTGCCTCATAAGCTCAATAGCTGTTGTGTATAGCGGCGTCTTACCTCTATGTAATGTCCTTGGCCTTTCAACAAATTGCCTACCGTTCCATTCCCGCCTTGATTCGGCATTTCCAGCAAGGAGTCAAATACAACCACATAGTTGGGGGACGATTTAGATGAAGTTGATAAGACCCTTTCGGTTATAAATAGGCTTGGATTGGCATAGAACTTGTCTGCTTCATCTTGATAATTTTTGCCGGACCTGTAACGTAGAGAACGATGAGTATCGCGACTACAATGACATGAAAAAGCAAACCCAGCTTACGTTTTCAATGGAGGCTCACAGGTCAAAAACCACGCATCCACATTCTTATCATGTATGACAGATTGCCAAGGCGTGGAGTGACATGGCATCAAAAACGCAACTTCCATATCGTAATTGGTATACAGGCGACTGAGTTCTTGAGCTTCGGTTCTGATGTAGTTTACAGCATCTATGACGCCTCTTTGATGCGTCGTTGTTGTATATACTCCCATGGAAATGTTAATGGCCATGGTTGCAAGGACTGCCCACTTTCGCCACGCCAGAGGCAATTGCGATAATCCGTAGGCTGCAAAAATATGCATGATGGGTACAATAGGGTATATGAAGCGGAATTCTTTGTGCGCTAACAAACTGTACACAGCTACAGTCCACGCCGTAACATACTTCAATGAGCGAACTCTGTCATTCAGTACCTGGTCTTTACCAATCTGATACCAACCAAAAAGGAAAGTGGGTAAAAGGCACACCAAAACGACTGGTATTCCTTGGCTCAGGTACCAGTGCCAAGAATGGATACCATAGAAAATTGAGATAGCTGATACAACGTTTAACTCGAAAAATTTGCCAGGAGTGAATACTGGTTCAGAAAACAAGTTGCCTAGATGACCGTCATAACACCATGTATCCACTATGGTCGAAAAAGCTACCGCTGCCAAGCTAATGTGCCAAAATAGTGAGTCATCGAAAAAAACAATGAGGGTTACGAAGTGGAAATACAAACCCTGATACTTACAATATAGCAGCGGTATTGGCAATAATCGCTTTAATATGAGAGCGAGCTTTGAAGATTAATTGCAATCCCAAGAAGGCCCATATCAAGGCATTAGTGGGTCTAATGATACAGGCCAGAGCTGCCCAAGCGAGAGAAATTCGGAAGTCTCTGAATGACAATTAGTAGATATTAAATAAAGTTAGTTAACTTTCATGGAGTACTACTGTATCATGATAAGAGGAGGTGAAAGTACCGAATCCAAGCTCCACTGGCATAGGCAACAGTGCCATCAATCGGCCAATAGTTGAGTGCAATGACTGTGAGGACCATCTCGAGAGAATTGGACAGAGTTCTAGCTGCCATATGGAAGTTGAAGAAGGACACCAAAGTACAGAAAAGCTTCGGTACAAGAGGCATAATTGTTGTTAGTTATTTGACCGACTGCTATATAATGCATGGCCGATGACAAAGATGCTTACAACTGTGGGGGCAATGGTCTCCCCTACCGTCTTCTTTGCCAGGCGGTATGTAAAGTAGTCCGCTACAGCTGCAAGCACAGATTCTAAATATCTAGGAGCAGTGACCTATAAGGAAAGCAGTTGAGAATTTGTCAAGTGTGGGCTTCCCATAGATGAGATATTGACTTACAAAGAAAGAGGTATTTTCTAGCCTTAAAAATTGCAGGCATTTGTACAGAGCTGCGAATATCAGCGGATGAGCAAAGCTTCTTATCCTTTCTCGCCATTCCCATGTTAGATAGCCATATGTATTAACCAAGCAAATGCAGAATCAAGGAAAAAATGGTTGTCGGTCATAAAAAAATGAACACAGATATTTTTTAACCCACCAATTTTGCTCAATTGTTAAAAAAGGATATCCAAATGCCAGGCGATGCGCCACCTCTTGAGCTTGCCAATATTCGTCCGGATTATCATACGTTTGCGTGATCGAAGCAATGCCAACTCGAAACAATAAGCAAATGCCAAAGATGATCATGCGCGAATTGCGATTGGATGCATAGACCTTTCGTAGTTCTTCTTCTGATATTGAAGGTTCCGACATGGGTTCTTTTGCTTGAGCGGATTTTTGTCGTTTCCGATTCTTTGCTGCTATGGGCATTGTATCGAAAGCTTTCAAGGCGTGTTTGTTGGTAACTGAGACTGAATTACTGTCCGCTTGAAATTTCAACCCACCGTTTTTGAAAGGTCGTACAGTAAGTCAAGTGACCACCACCGTCTCCGAACAGCAAAGCCAGTTTGGTCTCTTTCAGTCTTTATCACCAATCTACATGCGCACACTCCCCACTGAATTAATTAACGAGATCCTATGCTATTTACCCTTTCAAGACCTCTGGAAGCTTTTCAAAACCCCAAGCTATGACGCTGATCCTCTCAAAGGCATGCTCTTATGTGCTATGCGTCGGGCTCATGGCTTTGACTTCAGCCACCAAGGCTTCCAGCACGAGATCACTATGCAACTTGCAGAACTAGAGATACGAATACGGGATGGAAAAAGGAAAGCAAGAAAGCACAAGGCATCATGTATTGAATCTCTGGCTAAGCATAATTCGAAAACTATCTGTAAATACTTTGATCAAGCCTTCTCCCAGGAAGTTGATGATAAGCAACGTTGTTGTATGGACACTCTTATTCACTATGTCAACGAGATAGCCCTGGCCATACTTCGGCAGAGTCTTAATATGACCACGATACCTGTGACTCTTGTTACCTTGCATTTTAAAATCTGTCAATACCTTTTGAGCGCCTGGGAAGCTCCGACCCCACGAACCTATCAGCGACTGCACAGTTTCCTATGGTCGCTTCCCTACAACGAAAGTGTGGAACTTTTTTCTTCACTTGAAGGATCGCTATGGTTTGTCTCGCAAGAAGCGTTTGTTGACATTTTAAAACGCAACCTAGGAATAAAAAACGATGGCACTCGCTCTTCATCGTCAGCCACGTCGTCAAAAGATAAGATTTTTGACCTTTATGTGTCAAGAACCCATTCCCCCAAAGAAGCGCTTATCAGAATAGCTATCATCTGTGGCATCTATATGAATCTGGGAGGCAGCATTGTCGAAAGTCCGGGTACTATTGAAGATCCCAATGACATGTTTACCTTGTGCTTCTCCGTTTGTGAAAGCGAGGCTTTCAATACCAACGACAAGATTTTAGTAAGCAGCTGCATCTTGTGTTTCCTGATCAAATGCGATAGCTCCCGATGGACACTGCCTACCTTTGGAAAAACAATGGAAAGCTGGCAATTGAGGTCTGAAGCATGTCTACAGCAAGAGAATGTACAGGAATCTGAGGAACTACAGCTAATACTGAAGGTAATATTTTTTTTTTTTTTGGCTTTGTTTTATGGTCACTGTTTACGTTATCATTCGTTTGATCCGATCCATTTTTCTGATATCCTCTTGACCTACAGCTTATTTGTTCTCTCGATAACGGATTCAATGTTTCCAAGCTGCTGAAAGATGATATCATACCATTGGATTCAGAATTCTATCAAATCGCCCAACGCTCCATATCCACCGCCCCTCGATTTAGCTCTTTCTCAACCATAGCCCAGTGTCAATCCCTCCTGTATGATAGCGCCTTTTGAAGGCTATTTGTAACATAATTCTGATTCCGTTTTAATTCCCCTTCGCTTCACCAATTGCTATACCCCTTCTCTTCTACTGTCATAATTTCTTTTTTCTTTCTTGTAACATACAGAATGTGGCCCTGCCAACAATGTATTGATAATTTGTAATGCTTTTTGATGCATGAAAAAAATACGATGACAAACAAAAAAAAAGTAGATGGGAAGCAGCGATGAAAAATAGAGCATTGAGCTGCTAGCTAGGGTAACGCTGAGAAAGCAATAATGTTGCATGTAGTGGGAATGTAGGGTTAACATCTAGATGTCGACAGGTGAGATCCTATTGGAGCTATCCCAATCGATATCAATGGGGGACATCTTGCTTGAAGAGCTCAATGGGTCTATAAGTTTGAGCTCATCTTTAATGGCATTACGAGCAAGTGCATCCAGCTCCTTTGTTATCATTGATACGATTTTCTGTAAATGGTGTAAGCATGGTGGTCTATTAGACAGAAGGAATAGCTAAAAATGGCATAGTCGTTGTCAATTCGTACCTTTAATTTGGAATCGCACTTAAGCACTTGCTCGCAGAACGATTGTGTGCAAAGAGATTCTGTTCCAACCAACAATTTGTGATAAGCCTCGGCCAGTAGATCAAATAATGTGAAGAAAGTTTGTATGTAGTCGAGCTCAAAGGGCTATCAACAAGCGGTTAGTTCAATGAAAAAAAAAGGCAGTTTGTAATATTGAAATGTGTAGTCCTACTTACAACATTAGGAGTAATTAAATGTGTGTATTCACCATCATCAATGTAGCTGTGATCATCTTTACTTTTCGTTTTTCGAAAGATATTTTTCTAAAGCAAGGCAGAGCCATTAGAAGACAGTCCTTAGGAAGATCTATTAAAAAAAATATTTCGAGCGAGATACTCACCATCTTTGGCTTTTGAGTTTCATTGTTATGACATTCAAACTCATGGAGCAGGAGGTGGAGAGCTTTGACATAGTCGACTTGATTAGTAACATCCAATATCGGACCCAGTGACACGCCCAGCGTGAAAAACTTCAACGTTCTAAAGGGGTGAAAGGTCGATTAGCTATTGAGCACCCGAGCGTATATTTTGCCACTGCCCTTAGTACATTCCCTGTGAACATACCTTGGAGTCATTTTGCTATTTTGGTACATGGATGCAAGGTCTTCCCGAGACAGCAGGACAGTATTGAACCAGTGAGTAGTACCTTCATGCGTTCGTCGAAGGTAATTGATGGTGGCAATTCGCTTGTATACTAGTTCTGACAAAAAGTCATATATGTTTGTTTGGGTATTTAAGCTAGATGAAGTGAATGATGAGTTGAGATTGGAACTCATGCTGTGAAAGGAGTGTGGTGTAAGGAAAGGTTGGTGGCCAATAATGCGGTTACTGATCGGGGACAATCTTGGTCAAGATAAATTAGAATTCCGCCAGTTTGGCTGGGTTCAACCGTGACGTCGAAATTTGACTGTCGTGCGGGCTGTCGTTATTGTTGGGCATTAAGCTTCATTTCAACCAGTCAGGTACCATGGCTGATACAACCTCAGAAGACGTTCAAGCGACGTATGTATAAAGCAGTAAAATGGAAGGTTGCTGGAGTAAATGGACTGATCCCTTGCTTTGATCCACTAGGCAAACAGTCGTAAATTCCAGCATCGTTGTTCCAGCTTCCACCGATGCAGCACCACACCGGAAGCGACAGAACGATGAGGACGTAGATCAAACCGACAAAAAAGAAATCGGGGTTCGTATAAAGCAACAATTGTGTACCGTGATACCTGTATTCCTCCAGCACACCGGTTTATTAAATACTTTCTCGTTACAGAAACGCCCTCGGTTAGACATGAGTCAAGATGGACAACGGCGAGGCAAGCGAATGTTTGGAGTGTTGATGGGAACACTAAACAAATTCAAAACCGAGACATCAAACAAAACTACAGCAGTAAGGATTAGGAATAGTTTTGGCCGGCTATATATCGATTATACTCATGTACTGCGTATTTTTAGGAGAAACACCGTGAAGAGATTGAAACCAAATTGAAGGAAAAACTCGAACGTGAGCGTTCAGAACTTGCTGTCAAAGTTAAAAAAGACAAGGAAGAGCATTTGGAGCGCATACAGGAGCGAAAACGACAGAGTCAGAGAGAGATAACGCAAAAAATGGTACGAGCAATTTATGTGCGCTTTGATCCCAATACTATACTCAGAATGACTAATTGCTATTATATTTGCAGGAAAAGACGAATGCTAAGCATAAGGTTCATTTAAGCAATTTTATAAAGACCAGGACCGAACCACAACTGTTGTACCGACCGGCCAAACTATCCGAAGAACAGACAGAACAGATTGACAGTCAGACGGAGAAGTCAAAGGCTGCTCTAGAGGACGTCCTCAGGAGACATGAGGAAGAGAACGCAGCGCAACCCAAAATTATAGAGGATACAGATATGAACGAATCCATTGATAATGGAGAAGCAAAACGTGAAGATGACCAGCCAAAGGAAGTTGATAGTATGGACACTACTGAAACAATGCAGCCTGAAGTTGCTGCAGAAGAGACCGATAAGAACTCAACGACAGAAGGTCATGCAGCAAATGAAGAAGAGCACCGCGCAGACACGTCGTCACAAAATGGCGATGTTGTAGACTACGAAGGAGAGCCATGATCGTGCATGGATACTACCTTATAAATGATACCCCTCACATTTGTTGGCAATTTGCCATCCAGGGGCGCACAATCCCGATTGATGGTTGGATACACTTTACGATTTGGTAGAACCCAAAAAACAAAAGAAAAAATAACAAAAAAGAATAAAAAGGAAAACAACAAAATTTTTTATCATTAAATGATATGAATGTAAAAGAAATGGAACATAACATAATGGTGGACTCCTAGCAAGATGTACACAAAGCGATACTTTTCAAATACGAACAGAAATATGTAGGTTAGACAAGGCAGAAATAATGAGTTGATTTACATTAGAATCAAAAGTGATGAGCTGTAATACATCACCGAGAGGGGAGGAGAACTATAAACTTTACTTTCATTTATGTGCTTCCCACAAGTAGTCCTGAGTGACACCCTTGGGAACGGCGCGATACTCTAAAGGTTGAACGGACTGAAAATGTCCTCTGTTAGCACGAGCTGGTATATAGTCGGTACTTGTTGGTGCGTTTATAGGTTGCTCGACAGGCTTGTAGTAATTGGAAATCGGGAGATTGGTATATGGAGCAGGAATCGAAGAAGAAGAAGAAGGAATTGGTATATTACCAGCGTGGGCTGGCAATGCAAACTTTAACTGCTGTTGTTGCGGCGGAGGCAAATCGTGAAGAGAACGATGAACACCAGAGTTTCCTTGGTTTTCAAGATTTTTCCGGATTTTGTCTGCCGCATATTGTCGTAAATTACTGTCAACATCGGCGCCACCAAGAATCTTTTGCACAAGCGGCAGACCGCATATTTGGTCGTTAAGAATTTCAGGTAGCCTCTTGTCGTTGTCGAATATGGAGAACAGAAGTAATTGTTGAGCCTTAAAATCTTGAGACTGATTTATGAGTTTCAATAGCAACGATGATGCTGTCTTGTGGACACAGTAGTAAGCCGCATTCGGTGCCAGTCGATTAGCTAAAGCTTGGTAACGTCCGGGGAACCCTGATGATTCGATGACCCAATTTAACAGCAATGTACCATTTGGATTGGTTGCCAATACGGAAGTATGTTGAATCATGGATGCTGCGACCAATTTCTACAGGCATAATCATTAATGATATTTCTAAAAAGGATACGACAACGGTACTACGGTGACTTTAGCTTACCTGCTGTGACTTGGAAACATACGCATTTTCCAAAATGGCACGCACTGCTCGAGAGCCATAGCGTCCTTGGGCTACCTCATTCATATTCTCAACGATTGCCTCCACAATGAATTGATTGTTTTCATCCCCAAGTGCAAGACAACATTGTACCATATAGTTGCCAAATTGATCCAATAGCAGTGGTGGAACGTAAGGTCCAACATGGTCACGTATTAACTTCATCTATAAGGCAGGGCATTAACACAAATTTACTTATCTAGTTGTCAGTGTTTGCATCACAACATACCTGTTCTGGAGTCGATATACACTCAATGATCTTTTGAGCTGCCCAAGTACCGTTCTTGTGAATTCCAATGGCAGCAAGATGGGGTGCAATATATTCCAGCATCTTGGTCTTGATATCTTCGTGGCATAGCTCAAATAGACGTTGGACAACAGTATTGCCAATATAATCTAGTATTGTAAAGTGATCATATTAGTGTTTGAACAGAGAAAATATTACAATGAATGACAGACACAGGTGTCACGACTTACCGCTGCTCAGTTCTACAATCTCATTCATGCATTCTTCCGCAATACTATTCGCGTCTGCAGGATCAATGTCTTGGCGGTCCAAGCGCTTACGTAATTCTCGTAAAGCAGATGCATCCAATTTTCGCTCTGGCCCGAACTCAATAACGCTGGGAATAGCTTCGTGATATAATTTCTGTTTTACAAAATCTGATGATAGCAAGATGATTGGCTTCAGTACAAAAGGCGATTCAAACCATACCGAAAGCATGCTATATATCTGGTGAAGAATGGAAATACCTTCGCTAACGATATTCTTCTCATCTTCCTCAGGGGCCAATACTCTGACAATCTCCAGAAGATCAATCTTCATTAGTTTTCGACTTTCTGAACTGCTCGGTTTAACGATGCCATCCGAAATTTCTTCGCTTGGATCACGGTCTGGTATGGGCGTGGAGGTGGGAGCAGGAGCAGTTGGCACTTTGGCAAAGCCAATTCTTGTATTTGGACCAAGTAAATTGGTGCTTTGGACATGATCTTTGGCACGTATGGCACTTTCCAAATACTTGAAGTTCACAAAAGCACAATTTTTCTGGGTCAAGACTCGCGCAGATTCGATGTCTCCAAACTGCTTGAAAACATCATACAGGTCACTGGATGTCAACGTGATAGACATATTACCAAACCCTATACAGATCACAACCCATTAGATATCAAGCCATGGAAATGCAAAATTTAACTTCCACACCACTTACATAATGCTCTGGTCGGTTGCAAGACCGTCGAATCTGGTAGAGGACCATCGTTTTTGCCATATCCGATTCGTACAACTGTATCACCGATACGGCCGTTATGGAGTGTGAGGACGTCTTCCTTGGCACGTATGGCATCTTCAATGTGGACGAAATTCACAAAAGCGCATTCCTTGTCGGCAATGAGTCTGACACTGTCAATCAAGCCATATGGACTGAATGTTTGCAGCAACTGTTCTTGGGTCACGAGAGAGTCGACACAGCCAATCCAAAGTGATCTTGTAGGTGTCTAATGCAAGAAAGAATTTTCATCAGCATCTAAAGAAAAGCGCCACCTCTCGTTCACACGTCGTTCAACTTACAGCGTTTCCTGAGGAAGAAAGACCACGGTCCGTGTATGAAAACATATCCATGTTTTGCTCGAGTTCGACTCGGGCAGCGTTTTGTGCTCTTAGCCATTCGGTATCGCCCACTGAAAGCGCACGGTTTCGCGTTTGTTGAAAGGAGGCTCGTCCGGGCCTGGCCTGACTTTGTGTTTGGTACGCGTTTGAAGACCATTGTCCACTATTCATCATGTTATACGGGGATTCTCTAATTTGTTCAGGTACAGCAATGCTGACGGCTCTCGGTCTGTTTGGCTGAGAATTCAGATAGGACTCATTGGCCTTGAACGCACCGTTGCTAGTATAACCAAGCTGAGGTCCTGTCATGTTATCATAGACAGATGCTTCCGAGCCATAGGACATTTGAGCGTTATGATAATTTGAAATGGGGTTCTCGTTCGAAGACATGGAGGGCGGAGGTATGCTGCCATGCTTCGGTGTTACAACATCACTGTCGTCCAGTCCGAGCGAGGATAATGTTTGCACAATGGAGTTGGTATCTTCCTCTCCTAAGAGTTGATCGGTGTTTTGCATCATCTGTACTTGAGTATCCGCTGTTATCCAAGAGGTGCTGAAGATAGGATTCCCAAAAGCCGCCGATACCGACGCTGACGGGAGAGTGAGGGATCCAGAACGGTTCCTTCCACTGTTCAGGTCGTTCGTATTCATTATGGGATAATGAGTCTCGGTCATACCGATGGCACCATTTTCCGGAATGAACTGCATTGATGGCATGGTCCCTGCTCGACGTCGTCTTGCAGACTGAAGCAGATGATGCCGAGGATCATTGGTATTTCTAGCGTTCTTAATCAAAGCTTCATTTTCGATGGACTTTCGCATTAACGATATTTTGCCCGCATTATTACTATCCATGATACGTTGAGATGAGTCGCCAAGAGACATATTCTGACGTCTAGATATGAAAAAAAGAAAGAAAGTAATAATAAAATCTGATATTAGTTTGCAGTCCACATAAAAAAATACAGGAGGGAACAGCGAAAGGGGTTTACGTTAGACCAGCTGGATCTTGCCAATCATCGTTGTTATGATAGAAAGAGTGATTGCGAGGATGATTGATGGACATAAGCAATCTTTGCAAATTATTACGAAGTGGTAATTTGCTGCAAAGTTACTGAAGCATGCGAGGCAAAGCCGATGAGAACAGGGTAAGCTCCACTTCTGATATGTGTCGTCCCCATGGTAGCACAGGGCGGCGGTCACCAATTCGCAATTTAGCTTTTGGGGGTTTTTTTTCCTGGTCTCCGATGCTTATGGAAACCTCTGATGTGCAAGCGCTTTAACCGATTTAACATTTTTTGGCCGTATTAATGTTTACATAAGGTGTTCTTGGCATTAAAAATGGAAAGCAGTCTACAGTTGTAATACTTTAAAGCAGTGCTGCGCTGGCACAGAGGATCAGTGAAATATTTTCGTTGATTTGCAAAAAAAAAAAAAGGTCTATGTATATGCTCGTCAGAGCAGAATAATAATCTCGAAACATCCTTCTTTTAATCTAACCAAAGTTTCCATCCATGTACAGTGGATCGAACGGTTTGGTCACCTTGATCTTCCTCAAACATGACTCCCATATTTTGAGTCAAGAATTCCTCGGCATGGAAGCTATAGCCAACCTCATCCCAGTTCTCTGGGTCAGTGTCGGGATTGTACGGCCGTTGAGCTATTTCGAAAAATTGTACATCACGATGAGCAAGATGGGGTCGATGGTGGGTATAGAACACTAGAACCACGCCAGTCTTAGGTTTGATTAGTTCACGGCATGTTCTTAGCATAGCATGGTGCTGAGAGTGGTTGAAAATAAGGTCACTCAAAATGATGATATCGTATTTGGTTTCTTCATTTGGTAGCTCTTCTTGTAACGCACCAACTTTGGTACCCCATACATAGCCCTGCGTTGAAATGAAAATACACCAATGAGTTAAGTGTGCAAAGAAAAAAAAACTATGTATGAATACCTACCTTTACTGATACAGCATTTTGCTCATACAATGACGACAAATTAGTTTTGACATTGTACTCTATGTTTTCGATCAGTTCTCGATCGGGATAATCAGTAACAACGGTCTTTTTGGCGCCATTGATGGCTGCTATAAGGCCAGGAAGCGCTGCTCCTGCTCCAAGTTCTAGGACAGTTTTTCCGCCACACAGATCCTTGTGCTCATCCAAATAAGTTGCAAACACTTTGGCTGCATTCCACAGATAATGTGCCCAAAGGGGATGAGAGCCGACAAGACGTAATTCTAATTCGGAGGGAGTGCCTTCCATTTTATTTTGCTTAGTCTTTGCGATGGCTGCTGGTTGATGATATATTATGATACCATACCTTCCAGGACAAACTCGGGTTGCCGTTGAAACTTTTGAAAGGTGTGCTCTGGTTGCTTGACTTCTTCTTCGTCTGATCCCTAACTCTATCGATTAACATACTTTTGACAAATGTGTCATCCATCACAATGATGTCGGCTTACTCCAAACAAATCGGCGAAATCTTCTTCGTGATCACTAGTTGACATGGTAAGTACAAAAACCTTGAAAAAAAGTTTGACTGCTTTTCTTTCTTTATGCCTCAAGCTGGACAATTCGAATTTGCTTCATTTGGCGGAATTATTTTTTCTATAATTTCTTTCTTTCAACTGACTATCGTGTCACTCCTTTTTCTCATGCTGCAATGATAAAAACTTGGTACTTTAGCAAAAATGGACATATCAATCAACATTCTTTGGACAAAGTTGTCGCATAACGGGTCTGTTGTCATACCTAAAGCTCCAGAGCTTTCGGTATCCATTTCAAACTACTCATTAGCGGAATTATTGGTTGTCAGCGTACAAATATAAGTTTGGCAGTTTAAAATAGCAGATTGATAGAGCCAGGTCAATCACCATGCTGAAAATGTTTATTTTCCTGCGTTCGAAAACAGGCTTTTGTGGGTCCGCTAAATTTCCACTCAGCAATGAAACAGGATCGCGCGTCCCTGAATCAAAAGCAGATCAGAAACAAATAGTGTTTTGCAATAATATAGAAAGAAATAGAATCTTCATGTTGACAAAGGAACATTTTAGAATGGAATGGTCAGGAAAGCTTGCGTGCCTACTTTTCTATTTTACGCGGGGGGAGGTGACCCAGACCTACAGCCTTTCCACTCAATGGGGAAACAGGCTCCGGTCTACAGCATCAAATCACTTTCATTTTCTGAAATATTATTTTCTCTGTACTTCATCTCCCTAGATTTTTCAAACCTCATCTACGGCCACAGCAGTGCGAATACATTCAACCTATCATCAGCGTCTAGCGACCACTGTCATCTGAGAAGGACACCACGTGGTTTTGTAATAACGCCATGTCACATTCAAACAGTAATAACCCATACAGCAGACGACCAACGGAATCTCCATTCGAATCTTATGCTTTAGACGACTCCCAAAACTTTGACGAAAAATATTCCAACTCTCCATCTAGACAGGGTTATCATTCCTCTGAGCCTGGTAATTAATACATATCCCCTTTTGTTCGACGCTGCTAGATGAAAGTAGCATGCCTACATTTAAACACGGCTTAGCACCGTTCTCAACTGACCTTTCTTTTTTTTTATAAAAATAACTTAGACGATTCGAGCCATCAAAGGCAATTTGGATTCCATCAAGCTCCTTCCGTATCTTCTTTTGAATCTTCTCACAACCATCGACACTCAACCTACGCAACGTTTCAAGATAACGAATCGACCGAGATGCTTGAAGCGTCCTTTGGTGATATGAATCAATATGATTCAGAGTATTTAACTCAACCACCACCTCATGCTCGGAAAGGACCTATGCCAAACAGCTCTATGAATAATATACTATTAGGTCCCACCAATACCCATCAGAGTGAAGAATATCGATCGCTACAGGAGAACGACCCTCCCAGACGCCAAAGGTCACACCGAGCGCCAAGAAAGAAGTTTAACTTGAGCGATGCCTTTAAAAAGTGTTTCAATCGGCGCAAGAACAACGAAGCGGCTGGTCCACGTTTGATTTATATCAACAGCAGTGGTTTGAATGAGCAGCAAAAATTCCTTCATAATAGAGTTTTCACAGCAAAATACAGCCCGCTGACCTTCTTACCGAAATTCCTTTACATTGAGTTCAGCAAATATGCCAACCTTTTCTTCTTATTTATTTCTGGTATACAGGTAAAAACAGATGGTATACCTTAACTTGAGTAAGTCCGAACTCACTAACCTCGATTTTCTGTAATATTAGCAAATCCCGAACGTATCCCCAACATCCAAATGGACGACGCTGATTCCGTTGGTCATCGTTTTGTTCATTACCGCCATCAAAGAACTTGTCGAAGACTGGGTAGGTGCAAGGGATAAGGAACAAAAAGGTTATATATGATATCATCGGCTAATATACAACCAAATAGGGTGTTCATCGATCAGACGCTGAGGTCAACGCTCGTAAATGTAAAGTTTTGGTGGGCGGCCAATTTATTGAACGACGATGGCGAGAAGTGCAAGTGGGCGATATTTGCAGAATTGAAGGATCTGAGTTCTTTCCTGCGGACCTGATATTGCTCAGCAGCTCTGAGCCAGAAGGCCTGTGTTACATCGAGACAAGTAATTTGGACGGGTAAAAGTTTTATTTTAATTGAACGCGGGACATGATGGATTTATAGGTTGACACTTGTGTTTTTACTGCTTCTTAGTGAGGTCAACTTGAAGATCAAACAAGCATTGCCTGAAACAGCAAAGTATACGTCCCCACAACACATTTCTCAGCTTGGAGGGGTTGTAAAATCCGAACAGCCCAATAACCGACTGTATAACTATGATGGAACATTCTCCATACCGTCTAAAGAACTCGGCGGAAAATCAAAAGATCATCCAGTCGACCCCAATCAGGTTTTATTGCGAGGTGCGCAATTGAGAAACACCTCTTGGATTTACGGTGTAGTCGTTTTTACTGGACACGAAACGAAGTTGATGTTGAATTCGAGGTATGACTTGTATTATCGGACGTATAAAAAATGGTCAAAGGATTCAGTATATGCTAATGCAGTTGTTTCTTCATTTACGCAGCAAAAAACCTACAAAGCAGTCCAATGTCACCAGAATGACAAACCGCAATATTCTCTCGCTATTCGTTATCCTAGTCTTGATGAGTGTTGCTTGTGCAGCTGGTAACTTTGTTATTTCTGTGAGTTACTCCTTGTTCGTTTATGCACGCTACGATTTAATTTGTTACTAATGTCTTCATTACTTTATTTAAAACAGGTGCGTCAAGAATCGACCATGGGATACCTGAATTCTACAGCGACGAACAAAGCAGCAGAGTTTGGCAATCAGATTCTCACATTTTTGATTCTATTCAACAGTTTCATTCCCATTAGGTAAAACATCGTTTTCTTCCAATGTTTTTTACACCGTGTCCTAACCTTCTCATATCATTTCACACAGTTTGATGGTTACAATGGAGGTTGTCAAATATGTACTGTCAATGCTTATCGATAATGATCTTGACATTTACTACGACAAGACCGATACCCCAGCTGTGGCGCGCAGCAGTAGTTTGATTGAAGAATTAGGTCAGGTTGAATACGTCTTTTCCGACAAGACAGGCACATTGACATGCAACGAAATGGAGTTCCGTGAATGTTCCATTGCTGGTCTACGATATGCCGAAAAAGTCGATGCGGATAAGGCCGCTCGACCAGGAGACAATGGCGAAGGGCAATATACTTTCAAGCAATTGAAGGAGCATGAAACATCTTCTAAAAGCGCTCATATAATCAACGAATTTTTGACTCTCCTAATGACTTGCCACACTGTCATTCCGGAGAGGAACGAAGGATCTGACAAAATCACTTATCAAGCCGCTTCACCCGACGAAGGTGCATTGGTACAGGGAGCTTCCGAACTTGGATACAAATTTTATGGTCGACGACCCAATTCGATCAACTGTACAGCCCACGGACAAGAGCAGGAGTATCAGATTCTCAATGTTTGCGAATTCAATTCGACGAGAAAGCGTATGTCCGTCGTTGTTCGATGCCCCGACGGCAAGATCAAACTTTTCTGCAAGGGTGCCGATACTGTCATTCTTGAACGTTTGAGCGACAACAATCCTTTTACCGAAGAAACCTTGGTTCATTTAGAAGTATGTATTGTGATCCTGCAACGCAAAACGCTATCGGTACCATTTTATGCTGACCTCTTTTTATTTTTATTTTTAGGATTTCGCAACGGAAGGTTTGCGTACTCTTTGTCTTGCCATGCGTGAGATTCCTGAAGATGAATACACCCGGTGGTCACAAATTTATGACCAGGCAGCTACGACTTTGAATAACCGTGCTGACGAACTGGATAAAGCGGCTGAGATGATTGAACAAAACCTTTTCTTGCTTGGCGCCACAGCCATCGAGGATAAACTCCAAGACGGTGTTCCTGATACTATCCATACGCTTCAAGAAGCAGGCATCAAAGTCTGGGTTCTTACTGGCGATCGACAAGAGACTGCAATCAATATTGGATATAGCTGTCGATTGTTGAACGAAGATATGAGTCTCATCATATGTAATGAGGACAGCCATTTCAGTACCAAAACGTTTTTAGAGGCTAAGCTACATGAGGTGACCGAGGCTCGAGAACAGCACAGCCACTATGGCCGTGGAGAAAACCAAGGACATCATGAAGATCCTATGGCACTCATCATTGATGGCAGAGCATTGACATTTGCATTGGAGAAAGACATCGAAAGGATTTTCTTAGATCTAGCAAAACGGTGCAAGGCAGTCATTTGCTGTCGTGTATCACCTCTTCAAAAGGCTCTTGTCGTCAAGCTTGTAAAGAAGTATTCGCACTCCATCCTCCTGGCTATTGGTGATGGAGCCAACGATGTGTCCATGATTCAAGCAGCTCATGTTGGTGTTGGTATCAGTGGTGTGGAAGGTCTACAAGCTGCACGTAGTGCCGATTTCTCAATCTCCCAATTCCGCTTCCTCCGCAAGTTGCTTCTCGTTCACGGATCCTGGGCCTACCAACGACTCAGTAAAATGATCTTTTACTTCTTTTACAAAAATGTCGCTCTATATTTGACCCAATTTTGGGTAAGTTGATCAAGACAGGTTAACCATGTTTCTCTACAATTGTTTCCATCATATCTTACCATTTTATCTTTCATTAGTATGCTATCTTCAATGGATTTTCCGGTCAGACACTGTATGAGTCCTGGACTATGTCATGTTTCAACGTTATCTTCACCATTTTGCCACCTTTGGCCATTGGTGTCTTCGATCAATTTACTTCTGCTCGCCTCCTTGACAAGTATCCTCAAATGTACATGCTTGGTCAAAGCAATGAATTCTTTAACCAAAGGCGATTTTGGGGTTGGATTGCCAACGCTATTTTCCATTCTCTGGTAAGTTTACAAATTGAATTTGATCCACTTTATTGTATGCTCTCACATGCTAACTTCCATATACTAGGTTCTCTTCTTTGCTGGAATGTTGGCTTTCCGTGATGATGATGTTTTTACCGATGGATGGTCTGGTGGCCAGTGGTGGGTTGGAACAACTATTTTCACAGCTACACTGGCTGCCATTCTTTACAAGGGCTGCTTGATCACTGAGTAAGGATTATAAACCTTTTTCTTTTCAGCTTTGTGAAGCTTTATCTAACATTGCTTTTACCTGTACAGTACATGGACAAAATGGTCGGTCATTATGATTCCAGGTTCAATGGTGATTTGGTTCATTTATATGCCTCTTGTAGCATATGTCGGTCCTATGTTACCATGGGGTATCTTCCTAGAATACACAGGCATCATTCCTGTTCTGTTCGGCAATGTAAATTATTGGCTTTTCATTCTGCTCGTTCCTTTGCTCGCCAACACTCGAGATTACATTTGGAAATTGTAAGTGCTACTCTTTTACTGGGATATCTCCGCCTTAACATCACCGTATGTCCATTAACATGTGTCGTTTTCGTTTTCACAGCTACAAGAGAATGTATCGACCACAAATGTACCACTTTGTACAAGAAATTCAAAAACTTAACCTGCCAGATTACAGACCTAGAATGGACCGCTTCCGTCAAGCTGTGAACAAAGTTCGCAAGATTCAGCGTTTGAAGAAAACTCGAGGTTTCGCCTTTTCCCAGAACGAAACGGATCAAAGCAAACTCATTAGAATGTACGATACATTCAAGAGTAAGCCACAAGGATAATGTAAATTTTCCTTCATTGTTATCTAGACTCTCCTTTCGTCAACACCATATTGCTGGTTTGCGATTTGGAGCCTCCCTATTTTTTTTTCACTGCTAGCTTTCTTTTTGATTGCGTTGTGTGTACTGTATGTTCGTTCCTCCTGTAACAAGAGCTAGATATGTATGAAGTGCTTCGGAACGATCAGCATTGCATATCAAATTGCATTGAATACCGTAATAAAATGATTTCGTCTACAATTGCATACATCTTCGCCTTACAAGCCCACTTTCAGGCATCCACCCGCTTAATATTGTCAGCCCACAATATTTTTAAGCTTGCTGGCTGGAGGTCAGCAAGTGTCCAGGCTCTGTAGTAACACTATGTAAGCTTTAAAAATCTTTTAAATTGGTCAGCTGTCACGGATATCTATATGGTCCATGCAAAGATTATGAGGTAGAATATTCCAACGTATAGAGGTGTATTATTTGCCGCACAAGAATAATATTACAGTGGCACGATGTTTAGAGGAGAGGGGGGGGGTATGTACTGTTTGCGAGAAGCGCTTCAGATGGTGATAACCAGAATAAGCAAGATGATCAGCACAAGGATCAGGCAGCACACACAATAACCGGATTTTGATTCTGTATGACATTTGAAATACGTGGTGAGGATGAGGATTTCCTACACCAAATCCACCGTAATATGCGGTTATTTACCTTCTTCTTTCCGTAATATGTGCTTGACACGATTCATGGCTCGCCCAAGTCTGTTGGAGGACATATCCACATGTTGGTCCAGTTCATCTAATAGGCTGTTGAAGGCAAGTGGTGTCAGCATGACATGCATTACCTCTGGATTGACATTTGTTTTACACAACATACACAACGTGATCTTCCACTTCCTGGTGCATCGTCCCTGCAATATCTTTCAAGTTATGCAATGTACCAGAGATAGAATCTAATTGTGTATCCTGGTCTTGCATCATCATCTATTTGTTGAAAAATGTAAGTGAGCCTTTTGACCCTTCCATGGCATCTTTCTCATTGCATCCTTACCGCTTGTTGCCCACTTGCGTTGTCAATATATCGTTGATTTTCATCCGCAAAAGGGCTTGCGTCGTATTCCCCAGGAAGGTGCCGAGATGACGAACCCTTTGCAACGACTTAGAAAGCTATAACATGTTCCAGCTTCTATTAGGCGAAACCACTTACCTGATTGTTTCTTGGTGATGCCTTTCGAGGTGGATTTCTTATCGTGTCTTCCATTTCCCGTACAGTGTTTCGCGTTCGTGTAATAAAGTTGTTACGTGATTGTACTTCAGAGCCGGACAAGTTGAAAGCTTCAGGATGAGCTTGTACAGCAGCAATAGATTCCTGCAAGTCGTCTAAATCTTGGTTGATGGCTTCCAGCGATGAGGAAAGTTCGTCTGCCGTCCACATTAATTCTTCATTGCTTGGCGAAGACACCGTGTTGTAAATTCTCTTCCAGGAATCGAACAAAGCTGTGGCATTGTCGAGGGAACCTTCTACTTCTCTAATTGCACGAAAATGTCGAATATATAGTTAGAATAGACATTCTATTATGTGTATTCGTTCCAATAGTCGCCGACTTACTTTTTCACAACAAGGAAGGGATCTTGGGTAGCCATGACGGGATGTTTGAAATGGCTATAAAGTGGGGCCTTGTGGTCTGACCAATTGACCACTCATTTGCCTCAAATTGACCCCGACAAGGTCAAGCATAAAATTGATGCCCTGTGCATAATATTCTTTATGCCCTTTGCAGACTTTCGTTTGAATAGTTTGCATCGAGTAAAACGGCGTGGAATTATATTACACAAAACATAATCGTCCTGTCGATAACCAAACGACTGTGCCGTTCTTGCAGTGCAGTGGTGCTTTAATTTCGCCTTTTGACAACTTTTTTTTTGTACTTGTCAATGCTATGGCATGAGCATAAAGCATTCAGTCATCAGCTGTAATTACAGAGTATTATATCAATAACGTAAATTCATGCAAATACCGTATCAACTTTTCTTTCATCATTTTATCATGGTAATTTGATATTTGATTTTTGGCTTTCGCCTAGAGATTTGAAGAGCTCTCACTAAATTTCTTATTATCATCAACATGTATCATCAAATGTCAGCCTCGCTCTCCAAGAAAGTTTTTGAAAAGGCTGCGTGCCCCAAAGTCGTGGATGCTTTCCAAACTGGGAGGTAGTTATGAAAGAGCAAAGCTTTAACAAAATCGTCACGCTTGCAGTGGTAACTAAACCCACCCGGGTTATACAGGATGTTATGCTTTGAAAGCCAGAGGAGGGCCTCATAAAACAAGAAGTAGCCTTCCTATAGCAGTCTATCTACAGAATCGCCTAAAGTTTACGCTCGGCCACGACAATAGAGAGGCGAAAATCATTTTGAAGGAAAGATTGGTCAAGATCGACAATCGCGTCCGAACAAGTATGGTTTTTCCGGTTGGATTTATGGGTAAACCGTTTTAACCTCACGGCATGAATTTTTTTTTTTTTTAGAAAATGCGATTTATTGAAAATATTTTTTTTAATAGATGTGATTAGCATCGAGAAAATTGGGGAGCATTTTCGAATTCTATATGATGTCAAGGGCCGCTTTACGGTACATCGTATTTCCGAGGAAGAAACCGGGTACAAACTGTGCAAAGTGAAAAGAAAAGAGGTCGGACCTCGAGGCATTCCATATATCACAACGCACGATGGCCGTACTATTCGCTATCCTGACCCTCTGATCAAAGTCAACGATAGCGTGCGTATCGATCTAAACGACTTTCACATCATTGATTACCTCAAGTTTGGTGTGGGTAAACTATGCATGGCTATCGGCGGTCGCAGTGTTGGACGAGCAGGCCATATTATGCATATTGAAGCTCACATGGGCGGCTATGATATCGTGCATGTCAGAGACGCATTGGACCGCCAGTTTGCCACCACCATCAACAACATTTTTGTTATAGGTGACAATGCACGACCATGGATTTCCCTTCCCAAGCAGCGAGGTATCAAGTTGACTATTGGTGAAGAAAGAGATAGCCGTCGAGCAATGCAATGATTGTCCTTCGTGAACACAATATTATTATCCGAATAAAGCAATTTTACATTCAGCGAATAAAAATTGAGTCTGCCGTTTAATACTGGTCGCTGATTGGCTCTCAGTTCTAGCTGCACAGCCTAAGTTTAATTGCAGCTCATCTGAACTGACTCAGCGCTCAAAACTGTAAAGTCCCCAGTTTCAAACCTTTCCTTACCCTTCACCCATTCTTCTATAGCCTGTGATTTGACCCATGCGGACGAGAGGCCTGCAGATCACTTCGCTGCTTGTCGCCTCACCTGTAGTCTTAATTCTCTTTTCACTCATTATCATTTTATTGGTGTCAATATGTTCACAATTACGCATTTGGATAAGCGCCCTTGCTGCATCCATTGGATTCACCACCAAATCAACCGCCTCTAAAGTCCTCATATCCCCACCCTCCTACCATGGAATGGCGACAAACCAGTTTGCTTCACTGGATTCAAAGACCATTGCGTCTGTTGACAAGATATCCCTGAGCGCCCCAGGGTCAAGCAGTGCCTGGATGCACCGCCTTGGTCAATATCTCAGAATGATGCCACTTCGTTTTGCAGCTTCATCCACCATTTTACTCGCCATCATCGTTCTTATATGTATATTTGCATTCCGTCTTGCTCGTTATAAGGTACGTTTATTCTTGATTTATGACAAGCGGAGGGATGTGCAGACAAAGCCACCCATGCGCTTGGCCATACTTTGGGTGAAAAAAAAATTTCTAGTTGCAATGGAACTAACCAGAAGGAATTTGCGTCGTACACAACAACAGATACGTGGTCAAGATGCTTATGAGACGTGTATGGAGAAATTGGCCGAATACAGAATACCTGGAACCATGTACATAAACACCAAGAAGTTTCATGAATTCTTAAAGGCAGCCGAAAGGCAACCACCCACTGTCCGACGATGGCAATTGTCCAAAGAGTCATCATCCAATTTGTCGGAAAACAGTCCTAATAGCAATACAGCTCTACCTACCCACAATCAACCAGTAGATCATAGTATGCTTCGAGTTCATCGAACGGGGTTGACAAGACCTCGCTCACGTTCAAATGGTTCATCCACACCTCATAACGTACCAGTTCAGCATGTGAAAGAAACCTATGAACAACCAAGAAGATCAGATTTGGACGAAAAATCTGCGTCTCGGAATAACTCTATCACCAGTCCCTTCCTTTCAGAGTATAGAAAGCAAAATGGTGATATGCGGTGTAACCAATCTATAGCTCAAGATCGTCCAGAGTCTAACCTCACTACGGCTGTTGACACTGATGTTGAGAATAAGATTGTCTCCTCCGCTGGAAAATCATCTCAGCCAACGCTAGGAAAAGCTTCGGTCACTACCGACACTACATCTACTACAAATCACTCTCATTCAAAAGTAGATGTGAGCACAACTCCGGATAGTTCGTCACAAGTGGAAGAAGATGATTCCCAAATTGCCTTTGTTCAAGTTGAGAGAAAGAAAAGAAAGAAGACCAAAGCGACAACAAAACAGTCAAAACCACAACAATTGCCACCTCGAGTAGAGTTCCATGAGCCAGTCAAGTCAACTGTAGATCATGTTATGGAATATAACCCCGAGTTCGAGCCTGTGACCGATTCTCATTCTCAGCCTGAAGAAGCTTCAGAAGAACCACTAATCGTGGAAGATAACAGTGAAAAGGATACATCTCCCAGTCAGGAACCGGTTGAAGAGCCCAAACTAAATCTCCCTACTGTCCCATGTTCAACAACACCCTCGCAACCTAATCAAATGCACTCGGGGGCCTGGTACTCTCCTTTCTCCAGCGGACTTCAGCTGGATATCTTGCCGAGACCACAGTCACCTCCTGAGGCTGCTGCCTATAATTCAGCGCCATCTTATGGTCAATTTGGCGGTATCCCCATCAACCATCGCAAACACTATCAGCAAAGTTCACTGCCGTACATCTCCAGAGCAACGCCGCCTAGAAATTTCGTTGGAAGAGAACGATTACCGGAACGTCCCTATTTCACTGCACCAAGCAATAATATCTATCTTGCTGATAGTATTGAGACACCCTATGGTATGGAGAGACGACGATGGCGTGGTATTAGTGGTCGTAAACCGAATTACGACCCTGAGGCCTATTTCCCAGATTCTGAATTCTCACTATTTGATAAGAAGTTGCCAAGTAATTGATTCCCACATCTTAAATAAAATTTTGATTAAATAGCGTTTTTGATTATTCGTAAACTCGTATTCAATTCGCTTGGAGAATGGCTCGTGTATTCCGTTCTGACACGCCTAGAAACAAAAGTGACAGCGTTTTTGACAAGTCAGACTCCTCACTTTTTGACTTGCTACATTGTACCTGAACGACATGCTACGACAAGGCATTGCTAGGATCTCCTCTAGACAAGTGCGCAACCTCACACCAAGTGTGAATCGCATAGCGTTTAACGCTGCAAAACACACACCTACCAAAGCGCCTGGCATCATATTCCAAGCGGTTCGCGCCATTGGCAGCACGGCTAGTGCTCCAAAGCAGCTCCTACCGAAGCAATTAGTCATGCCGTCTCGAGCATTTGCAACCCAAGTGTCCGAAAACCCCTTTTTGAACTGGCAGCTGTTTCCTGATTTCCAGAATCTGCTCACCCAGTGCAAGCCAGCTACCGCTATTCCCATATTTGAGAAGTTTCTGGACAACGCTGAGCAACAGTTCAAGCAATTGGAGACTAACTTCAAACCCACTTGGGAGGGATCCATTGGCCTTGGTAAGATCAATATATTGAATGCATTCTCTTGGAGATACAACTACTAATTTCGAGTCTCGGACAAATTTTCAAAAAACCCATATGTTACAGTCCAAAAATTGGAAGACGACATTAGCAGAGCGTATGGTATTTTAGCTCACTTCAATGGAGTTAAAAATTCAGATGACATTAGACAAACTTTAGAGGCTCTGCAGCCCAAGATTGTCAAACTGGGTTTGCAACTTAATCAATCGCTTCCAAAGTACAATGCTCTACTCGAACTCAGAGAAACTGCATCCTCGTGGAACGCGCTAGATGCCACGCAAAAGCGCATTGTAGAGCAAACTTTGCGTGATATGAAACATGCTGGTGTAGGATTTGCCCCCGGTTCACCAGAGAAAATCCGCTTCAACGAAATTCGAGAACGTCTATCTAAACTATCGCTTACGTTTGGCAACAATGTTCTTGATGCCACCAAAGCTTACAAAGAAGTGGTTGACAAGTCTCACTTGTCTGGATTATCCGACAAATTTCTAGAAACTCTATCCAAAAATGCCAAGCGTTTGGGAATTGAACACGAAGGTGCATATTGCATTACGTTGGATTTTCCCATTTATGGGCCTTTCATGCAAAACTGTAGCAACCGAGCTCTACGAGAAAAAGTTTACCTATCTAATATTGTAAAGGCATCAACGGGAAAGGTCAATAACGAGCCCATCATCAACGAGATTTTGGCACTTCGGCAAGAAGAGTCTGAGCTCCTTGGCTACAAGACCTATGCTGACCTCTCCTTGTCGGTAAAAATGGCTCAGAGTGTTCCGGCGGCTGAGGAGCTACTGGACAGGCTTTTTGACGCTTCTGTCAACCCTGCTAAAGCCGAGTTGTCTAAACTTACTGATTATGCTGCTGAAATTGGACACCCTACTCCCCTCGCTGCATGGGACATCTCCTACATCTCGGAGCAATATCGCAAGCATTTATTCAAGTATGATGAAGAGACCATTGCACAGTATTTTGCACTCCCAAAAGTTTTGGATGGTCTATTCACTGTCGCTAGTGAAGTTCTTGGTGTTGATGTAGAAGAAATAGATGCGGCCGAACAACGAGCGATGGGCATCACAACTTGGCATAAGGATGTCAAGGTCTTCAAAGTCACCGAAGGTGAAGAAGTGCGAGCCTACTTCTATGGAGACTTTTACTCCCGTCCTGAAGAGAAACGCAGCGGTGCTTGGATGGATACAGTTACTACTCGATCAAAGGATAAGAATGGAAGCGTACGCATCCCAGTTGGTACGTATTTTAAACCAGAAACAATGCTAGTATTTGATGAATGAAGAAATTCTCACTGTTGCCCAAATCACTTTGTTACCTTTTCGCACAACAGCATACTTGATTTGCAACCAACCTGCTCCCGCGTCTGCTGATGAACCGTCTTTGATGAAATTCAGAGACGTTGAGACATTGTTCCACGAGTTTGGTCATTGTCTACAACACGTAAGTGTAGAGGATAGTGTGGGGACTCGCAATTGTCATAAAATAATGACCATCCTGATAGATGCTCACGACGGTTGACTACCCTCAAGCGTCAGGTATCAATGGTGTGGAATGGGACTTTGTCGAGGTGGCATCGCAGTTTATGGAAAACTTCTGCAACGAACCTGAATGGCTTAACAAGCACACTGGACATTACAAAACGGGCGAGCCTATGGAACAAGGGATGGTTGATGCTCTGATCAAGAACCGAGAATTCCTAAGTGGTTTAGCAACTTTACGTCAGGTATGATGAAGAGAAAAGATCCAATATAACAATTTATAGGTCACCAGTGTACTGATTCAAGACTACACCCCTCACTTATGACAGATTCACTTCTCCAAGACCGATCTCTTCCTCCATGCTTATTTCAATCCACCAAAAAGCTCCAGTGACAAGAGTGTGTTTGACGTGGAAGCAGAGCTCGCAAAGAAGACAGTACTTTACCCTCGTGTTCCCGAGGATCGCTTCCTCTGTAGCTTTAGTCACATATTTGGTGGAGGCTATGCTGCTGGATATTATAGGTACGTTACTGACAGAGACATCATTTTATCAGAAGAAAATTACTTAAGATACACCATATTATAGTTACAAGTGGTCCGAAACCTACTCTGCTGATGCTTACGCAGCATTTGAGGAAGCTATGTCAAAGGATGGACAAAAGGGTGTTCGGGAGGAAGGAAAGTTATACCGCGATACTGTCCTTGCTTTAGGTGGCGGTACCCCTCCCCAGGATGTATGGAAGATGTTCCGTGGTAGACCCGAGGTGAACATTGACGCTTTACTTCGTCATTCAGGCTTGTTGTCCACCTCCAAATAAAATCAGTTGAATGTGTTGAACATCAGTAGGCCCAATAGGGTGAACCTGAATTTTGCAATAATCCACAATTTATACATGAATATAGAGTCTACTTTATCCTCTAGACAATATTTTTATATTTTGAAACATCTGCCTTCTTGTGGTTCTACTGTACAATGAATTGTTTTTGACCGTTTCTTTTCAATCCAAAAAAAAAAAAAAGCAACATTAAATTAAGCTTTTGTCTGTCTCTAGCATTCAATATTTGATGGGAAAAAAATATATAACATCTATGTACCGTTTACTATGACATTTGTACACACTGGTAACTAGGGAATACCAGTTCATCATCCAATATTTTGCGCAATTGATCAATAATGAAGCGTTCAATCTTGTTTACGTTTTTGAGCACTGCCAAGGAAAACAGCATGCATAGGCGAGGGATTTTGTAAATACAAAGCAATGTCAATGAAAATGAGTATAAAATAATAAAAAACAAATATTGGAGTATGTTTTCTGGTATCTGACCTTGCTTTTGCTCATCACCGACGACTGATTCTATGTGCACATTTCGTAATAGGCTGTAGGCCAAACGGACAGAGAAATCGTTCAGCACATAAACAAACAATAATAAAGGACATTGAGTGCCGCTTACCTTCCAAAATCTCGGATGGTGGTGGGAGCTCCTTCAAGTTCCGCATCTTCGGGCTCGAGCACAGATATACAGACGCGATTCATTCCTTTCAAATAGGCAACCACAGCAGTGGCTTCGAACTCAATAGCAGTGACCCGGAGCTGCATTGGTAAACTCATAAACATCACACTAGGATAATTCATTCTAAGCTCAGTTAGGATAGTCATAGCCATATCTCCTTTATAGGACACCGAAAAGTGAACTTGAAAGTCACTTTCGGTTTTACTTTGCTCCAATTTTAGTTTGGCTTCATCTTCGGCAGCAGTATCATCCATGGCTGCTTGCGATCCGGAATGAGCAATTGTAATCCCGCGAGGAATTTCCACATCATCTATCCAGTCCTGAAGATCCAGCGTGGATCCTGCATTGGTTAACCCGTCTGAGCGATACAAAGAAGGATCCATGGTCCCAGTGGAAATCACACTACGATGGGAATCAATGTTGGAGGTGGGGAGCGACGATGACGGCCGTGGCGTTGTATGGGATAGTGTCGGTGACATGGGTGCTGATTGTGTTGGTGAGAAATAGCTTTGATGTTGGTGGGATGAGAATGGGTGATGTGGCGCTACCAAAGGTGACCGATGAAAGCTATTCAACAAATATGCATTAAATGCTGGTGTGGTGGTGGGAAATTGATTCCCATTACGAAGCTCGTGCTGGTTCATCGATATACTTGAATTGGAAATGCTGGCCTCTCCATATCCAGTATTGTTTCCGTTGCTACCCGGAGTTGTGTTGTAATAAGGCATGTCGCTATGCCATTGTGATGGACCAGCGGTTGACTCAGCTTTGCTCGCCGCTATGTAGCTATTTGCGCTACTAGGCATGTCTCGCATTAAAGTAGAGACACTTTCCACATCTTGAGAAGACGCCGGTTCCACATCTTCTAGATCATCTGCGTAGAATTCGTCCAATGGTTCGGTTATATGAGTGATTTCAATTTGAGGCGGCTCGGTACCCCAATCAAATTTGACGACTTGAACTTCTCCAATAAAGGAAGGCTTCGTTATCTTTTTAAAGTGCTCATTGAGGAATTCCTTCACTTTCTCTGCTAAAGAGTCGTCTAGTTTCGACCAATCCACGTCTACGGACATGGGGAGAGTATAATAGGCAGCGTAACCGATCTGAGTTTCAAAGAAGTAGCTAACATTTTTTTTCTTCGAAAAGCCAGGGGGAGAGAGACGGACGATTCATTGCTGGAAGCATTAAACGGCCTGTCTGCCTGCCATGTAACTACCTCAATACATTTATTCTATTGTGTGTACGACACGCTATGTATAGTGCTCAAGTCAATAATTTTATGACATCTTCATCGCCAGTAGTTTCTCATCAGTCTAGCTAGCTTTAACGCGCTAAAGATGTTCTCGTTCTATAAAAAGTCGATAGTCTGTGCGCATGTATTCTTCTGTTATGCGCGTAAATAATCTTTGTTGGTGGACTATGAGTACTAAATACAATAGCATCTTGAGAAACTTCTGAACAAAGTTAGGAGGTATTGACTCGTTCCCCTACGCTCTCATTCAGTAAATCTTTTCATAGCAAGCAAGCAAACTTGAATTTATGATTGCTTGTACATCATCAAGGCGGTGCGTTGCCAGCCAAAGGGTTGCAGTCTGTCTTATTTTACTTTTCCTTTCGCTCGTCAATGTCTGCAAGTTATACTGACATTAACTGCAAAATTTCTAGTGACTGTCACTACGCGCGATTGTCGCGCCTAACGGTGGGTGTTATCCAGCAATAGTTGGCAGCTTCTACCGCATAATTCCTTCTCATAAAATTCCGATCATCCTTGGAATGAACAAAGTCCAGCCTGTCGCTCAGTAATGTAAGTCTTAGACAATGTCTTGGGCGCATTGCTCGTTTTCGAGCCTTGCTCCGAAAGATTAACGTGGCATCCCAAACTCTGACGCTCTTCCTATCAATATCTCCCCCCCCCTCTTCTACTGGCCGCCTAGTTATAATAAAATGACAAGCTTGAGATCCACTTTTAATCGTTTTACTCCTGAACTACAAGTCCGGTATAGAAATGATTTTGAAATTCTTGTCAAGTTTGGTATATTTACAGGTAAATCTCCCAATAACCCACAAACAAAAACTTAATGGTCTATGGACTGTTGTCGAGATTATGCCACCTTCATTCGATACACTATTTATGTTTGGAACATGGTGGTATCAAAAAGTGAAATACTAATAATATCCGTCCATATTTACTCCGCGCAGTCCAGGATTTACAAGAGTACAATTTGGATGATCTTGCTCAGCATACAGGCCTATCAAGCTACGTGAGTGATGAGCAATGGGTCCTTTTTTATTTTTATCCCTTCTCTTTACTAATGAATGGATTTTTCAATACTAAACAATCATTGAAACAGACTCTTTATCAGTTACAGCAAGATATCTGTCATTATGCGGCACGACAGCGTTGCAGGACTGCGGCTGATCTTTGGGAAGAGGAACAACTACCAAAGCCACAACTGAATCTATCCACAGGTATTCCCAGGTTAGCAAAGAAAATATTTTTCCGCATGGATTGCCCGATGGCATTTACGGAAAATGCAGGGTTCGTTAAAATAATACTTGTCAATATAGCATTGATGCTACATTGCAAAGCCAAATCCCTAACCACCAGATCACTGAGTTGTATGGTCTCCAGCAGGAGGACAAGTATCATGTAAGTTCGGCCAAAAAGCCAATAGGAATGATTACCGAATTGTCCATCCAATCACTGACGGACTATGATGAAAGATATACCTCAATATGTTGATGTCCTTGCAGGAGGAAAAAAAAAATGTGGTGGCTTACTATGTCGACATTCAGCGTCATTTTGACGCTCAACAACTCCAACACCTGTACTTGACTAGCCCCAAATACCACATGTATCGTGAGGCAGGGATTGTAAGTAATCAAAGGGTTTTGATTATCATTCGGTGTTGTTCTAAGAAATGGTGGAGACTCTAACCATAACCAAATTTTTCACCTAAAGACGATTGAGAATATCCTTAGTAGATTACAATGTGTGCAATGTTCAACAGCCAAGTCACTGGTCCTGTTTTTGGAAAGGACCAGCAGCACGTCGATGGTAACGTCAGGGCATATTCAACTGGTGTTCTTAGATGCTTGCGATCAACTGTTCAACATCCCATTCTCCGATGGTGGAAAAGGTAAGTAACCTGGTAGGAAAGGGGACGCTTACCCATTCATAGTTAAACTATGGGTCAGGGTTTTAGAGTTTGATTTAATTAACTAACAAGCATTTTCTTGATGTCATGCAAGAAATGTTTTATCTCGCGATGACGATACAGTCTCTTAGTTTGTTAAGAGCAGACGACTTCACTTTGTTATTGGTAAGTATCGTTTTGAACAGAAGTCAACAGATCGTGGGGGGGGGGCGGGGGCCGATCCTAAAGCTATGTATGATTTACCATTCTTTTTTTTTCCGCGCTAAGATGTTCCATGACAGCGCTGAACAGCATGATACCATCCTATCTCCTGCTCATTTGCCTCCGTATGTCGGACCAGCATGGAGCTTCATTTCAGATAAACAAATGATGATGTTATCTTCTAACAACAAGCAGACTGAACTACACAAAATTAAAATTCGCCGATGATTGAGACTTTAAAGCTCCCCGCATATTGTCTGTCTCTATTGCTCGCGTCACGAGCTATATTCATTGATGTACCCATCATCTCAAAGTCTTGGCAAAAAATTGTAATGATGTCGCAGATAGTGCGAATGTTGCTTATCTCTATCTCAGCACCGCCGTTCCTCCACTTATCTCTATCTGTGTATCGACACCCGAGAAATTACCATGCATTCATGAGCATTTAATCCCGTTGCCAGAGGGAAAGGGGGGGGGTGTTAAAAATTTGTTGTCAATCGGACTCTCCAAGAATGGTAGCGTTCCTGGGGGTTACATCTCGACTGAACTCAAACAACATTGAGCATCAAATATAGAAAAGGTTCAATTCATGCAAGATTATAGTTGAAAAAAGAAATGCCTGTGCGACACCTTGGAACCAACTGTTTGGGTAAAGTTTATCTCTGCTAATCGCTTTGCAACTATACTCGATCATGCCTCCCCCCAGTGCTGAGCGATAGGATAACTCGAGCAATTTTTGTGTTCAGAGCCACGAAAGCAAAAGCTATGTCATCCAAACTGTTGGTCTTAGGTTCTCAGACATCTTTAGAGGTAGAAAAGACCCACTTTCTGTTCTGCATTGAGATTGTGGAGTCGCGGGCATGGGTCCGGTTCTGTCCAGTAGCAAGTGAGACTCGCACAGGTGGGAAACTTTGAGGTCATTTCCCGATTAAGCACCGGTAATCACTGGGTTGTGAGGCCATGTGTGCGTCTCTCTAAAGTGACCATCCTCCCCCCAAATGTCACTTTTTGATGAACCCACACTAATGTAAACGTCACCAAGTGATCACTTTTGGTTAACCTTGTCAACACTGCGGTGACTGACGATCATTTTTTTTTTCCAAATGTCTTTTTCTTTATTTACACCAGGCTCACGGCATAAGGGGAAGCGATATCTACTGTTTACAATAAAAAGGGCTTTGTTACTAGACCGTCAAAACATAGTTGATAACCATGATGTAGTTATTGGGGGGAAAAAGTTTAAACCTATAGGTCAGAGTAACTGATCAGCTTAGCTGAATCAGTTCATCCGTACCGAAAATCTATTCCTTGTGTTCCTCATTCCCCCCACAAGAGAAAACCTCTCCCCCCCCGAATAAGCTTGTAAGTTTCGGTTGACATCAACCTTTTCTTTGCATGACCCTATCTAGGCAATCCTATTTTTCTTCAGCCCCGATGAAAAGAATGAGCGGAAGAATGGCCGAGAAAGACTGGACAACTGGGAGAATGCAGGCAGAGACCATGTTGAATTTCAGTATCGGTTACCATGAAATTACTTTTTTTTTTGTGCGAGAATTTGTGGAACTTGACTTACCACCCCCCAAAGAAGATGCAATGCTATTTTTCCCCAATTTCACACACCGGGACTAACGAGTGTTATTATTTTTTTTTCTCTTTTTTTTTTCCTGATAAATAGAAAGCAGAACCCAGAAGTCAAAGCAAGAATCCCAACATCTCTTTCTTTCTTTCTTTTCTTCCTATAATCTCGCCTTTACCTATGGAACAATTCGTAACACCAACGTCATTTCAAGACTTGTCGCTTGCATGTACAGAATTAATGACTCCGCAGAAGCAAGATGACAATCACCATTTCCTATATTCTATGTCCAACGCTCCTATACATTACCCTATCAACTCGAACTATATAGCACAGTATTCCGCGCAAGCCTTTGGTCATGATCCAACTGGAGCATGGTCCGATAGTTCAATGAGTATCAGCAGTGATGACGAAGCAGGAAACGTATCTCCCATAATAAATGATGGGGATGACTTGATATCGATGCTACCTGGTATTCTGGAATATCAAAGCATGGATGCTCTTATGCCAACTATCGACCCGATGTCCACGCTACCCACCGACTTTAATGCAGCTAACTGCACCTCGGCCGCTTATGCGCCACCAACGTCTCAGTGCGTGGTTGAAACATTAAACATGCCTATCACATTATCACCTCCAAACTCCACTCGACCCTCCGTCATGGAAGATTGTACAACAGCAGCATTTGTCAACGAAACCCCGTTCTCACTTTCCAACACTAGTCAGGACCAGTCAACCGTCAAAGAAGAACGTCGGCCTTCCGATAAAGTGACCAGCAAGGTGCTGCCTGCTCGTAAATCCTCTACTAAAAAGCAAAGTCGACGAAAAAGTTCAGTGTCCACTGGCTCGGCAGAAATCGTAAAGCGATTTCCTTGTTCTCTCTGTCAAAGATCTTTTGCTAGAAACCATGACTTGCATCGTCACATGCGGGTTCATACTGGTGATAAACCATATGTGTGTCCTTGCTGCAGCAAAGGCTTTGCGCGCACGGATGCTTTGAAAAGACACTTCAAGGTCGAGGAGACTTGCAGGATAAGTCCCCAGGTTCAGAACATGAAGACCGGTAGAAGGCATTCTACCGTATAAACCAAGCAGCAAAAACCAAAATCGATCCACAATTATCTTTCAACTTGGGCAGAGTGATTCCTCCCAAAGTATACTCGCTTGACATTGCAGCAGCTTCCACCCAATGTGTTTTTCTCCTCTTGTCGATCCTCCTTTTTCCCCTTGTTCATTTTCAGTACATAAGTCCGTAGCTTCTACTCAGTTTCTTTTCTACATTTTTCTTTTATTTTCATCAATCGATGTATGTAGTAAATCCCCAACAGCTAGTTTTGTGCATAGTTATCCTGGCTTCTTTTTTTTTTTTTTATCTTCAAGTGATTACTTTTTGTACATACAACAACGGAATATTAAAACCCAAAAGATTTGACCTTACTTTTGAAACAATGGGCCCGCCCGGTCACGCGCTGGGACTAGCTTTCCTTTTTATAATACAACCTATACATAGCCTTATCTGAGACCTGTATAATGGTATTATAAACACAAAATCTGCGCAGTGTAAAAAATCCTCACCAATACACAAACTTGAGGTTCTTTCCCTTTCTTTAACCTATTATTTGAATGAATCACAGTACATCGTATTTGCTTTCATAGTATTGTCTTTCCAATATAGATAACCCCTCATCATGAATACCGCCGTAACTATCCGACATTCATCACCATCCCATTCTCGCAACTCATCTCCAAGGAGACAAGCCCCAACCGTTGTTGCTCCTAACAAAACCATCCCCAAGAATAAGTCGACCCGCAACAAAGGAGACAAGAAATCAAAATCAGTTTCCAAGGTCAACGATGTCGCCTCAGAGGAAGTCAAACCGAAGCACTCTCGCAAGCAAGATACCAAATCTGCACTTCCTTATGGTAGCGTCAAAATCATTCAACGGTCCACCACCAATTTAGCTGTTTTGAAGGAGGATGCTAATCACCGAGATACCTCCAAGCGTCGCAATAATCCTCCATCGGCGAAATCTCGTCGCACCCAAAGACGCAAGGATCTTATTGCTGATGTCACGGATGCCTTGGAAGTAGAGTTCACTGCTACTCCTCCTCCTCCTTCTCAAACCACGGATTCAGACGACTCTTCTACTGGTGATATTCCCAAGCAGAATAAGAAAAATCATAAATCCACCGCTCATCGACAACCCAACAACTCCCCTACCAAGAGGTATGTATGGTTAGGAAATTTTTTTATTCTAGTTTTACATCAATATCTGACTTGGCATCGCAGCAAACCCGCCTCTAGACCTTCTCGACCTCGTAGACGCTCCGGTAGCATTCTCGAGATTTCTGAAAGACATTCTTCCACCACCAAGGCAACAACCGTCCCACTTTCTAGAACTCCTCCAAACGATTTTATGTTTGGCCAGCCTGCCATCAATCCGTTGTATGCAGGTCCTACGTTCTCCAACTCACCTGCGCCAAGTGCATTGCCCATGCCTGGCGTTCGTCCTACGCTTGGCCGATCTCATGATGATAATCTCTTCATGATGGATGATGATATTGATACCAATGCAAACATTTTGCGTCAAAAATCCTTGGACTTACTTGACATGATTGGTGTGGACCGTCCAAGATCGGAACCTGTTCATCCTCGCCAACAGCCTCCTCAACCCATACCAGCTTTTGAGGCTCACATGCCTGTTCCATATAATGTAACATATCACCAACCTCATCCCATCTACCATCAGCAACTTCCTTTCGTGATGACCACCTCCCACAAGATTCAGCCTGATCTTTCTCCTTCTTTGTCAGAAATTCAGCATAACTTGAGGACCATGCTCAAGATTCAAGACGGCATGTAAAGCAGCCCTCCTATGCCGCTCATCTTTTGCTTATTATTTCTCTTGCTTTTTTCCTTCCTCCGCCCCCCCCCCTTCCCCCAGGCAATTTGCACCAGCATCTGGATTGTATATATTTTCTGCTGCTGTAAAGATACCACTTGCATTTTGTTCGCTTTGCGTTATTCTTTCTTTCATTTGAGGTTCGATCTGCATGTATAAAGCGGGCTAGTCACCAACTGGTTCGCATCCTACTCAGATTCACCGAAAATGTCCCATCTTCTTTCTTCCTTTCTGTACGATAGCCTTTCTTTTTGCTTTATTCTGCTCTTTGGATTTGACGTTATTCTGTTTCCGCTCTTCAAGTATCTCTGGACAACTTCATCCTTTTATATGTTTTGGATGCCAGACCATTTGACCCTAGCGGTTTCCTTACTCGCAACCCCATCCATCCTTTGGGATTTCCTCATCAAACCTACCTCTGAGGCAAATCGAAGGTATCTAACTTTTTCTCTACCACCCTCTTTCTCGTCTGCCTAATCGGATATATTGAGTATTTTAATATCCTTCTTTTTTTTTTTTGATAATTGGATATCATCATCCTTTTCAATATTTTTTTTGAAAGAAGAATATGAAAGATACAAATAATATATGACGTTTTATCACTTTGAATGAGTGTACCTTCTGTTGAAGCAACTGGTCTCGCTCATCCTATACCAAAAAAAAAGTTCGCCATGTCACGTGTACACGCCATTTCCACCGTTTTCCAAAAATGACCCATTTCCCAACTACTTGAACCCTTTCCCTTGATTACTCATTTTTTAAACAAAGAACCCATATAATGTCTGACGTTGACGATTACGATTGCCCATTGTGTATGGAAGAGTTGGATCTATCTGATCGCAACTTTAGACCCTGTCCATGTGGTTACCAGGTAAGACATGAACAGAAAAAAAACCGGATTGATCAGTGCCACATGTCAAATGCACCCTCGACCGCCATTAGCAATAGAATTCACCCCAATCCTTGCTTTACACTCTAGATCTGCCGATTCTGCTGGCACCATATAAGAGAAAACCTAAATGGACGCTGTCCAGCGTGAGTATTATCTGCCATGACATGGCCATGACCTCTGATTCATGAGATCCTCTTGACTTTTGACTAAAACAAACTTGACCCACCTTGCAGTTGTCGTCGACTTTACTCTGAGCAGACAGTGGAATTCACACCTATCAGTTCGGATGAGTAAGTAGCGTCGTTGACTTTGATCATGTCAACCGGCTCACTGTATCACAGAAAACTCACGGGCCTTATTTGTGTTACTTTTTAGAATTGTTCGTCTAAAGAAAGAGAAAAAAGAGAAGGAGCGACAGCAAAAGGAGATGGAGCAAGCGAATCGAAGACATTTGGAAAATACCCGTGTGGTGCAAAAGAATCTTGTCTATGTCATAGGCTTGAATCCCAAGTATGCTAACGAAGAGGTAAAGAAAAACTTTTTGATCTGCTTGGTCAATATTGTATACATTATGATTTTTTGTTCTTACACATCATGTCTAGACCATCATGTCTCAGGATTTCTTCGGCCAATATGGAAAGATTTCAAAAATCGTCATTAATAAGCGTCCACCTCCACCGTCTGCAACCGCAAGACACGGTGCGGCGGCATTGCCTAGTGTTGGGGTGTACGTGACGTACTGTCGAAAAGATGATGCTGCTCGAGCAATTGCAGCAGTCGATGGAAGTGTCATGGGAGGTCGTATGCTACGGTAAGTTCATGCACATACATAAAAGTCGTGGTGCCACAATACCATTTCGCTGACATTTCCGTTTTGTTTTTGTTTTTTATTGTTGTAGAGCATCATATGGAACTACCAAATATTGCTCCTACTACCTTCGAAACATGGCTTGTCAAAATCCTGTATGCATGTATTTGCATGATCTAGGCGACGACGCAGACAGTTTCTCCAAAGAGGAGCTAGCCGTAGGGAAACAAAACCTTCGCGATCACATTTCCTCTGAAGTCGATTCAAAACCTCAAGTTTTAGGTCAACATGCTCGTCCACCCACACCAGCTGACTTCCCGCCTATGATGTCTTCTTACCAAAGTGGCCGACGTCCAGCGACACTGGAATCAGTCGCGCATATACAGTTCAAGAACAAGCAACTCCCCACCGTGGCGCATCCAAATGACTCTGGAGAAGATGTTTCGGCTGCTAATTCGGAAGACGAAAAATCAGACGAAAAGTCAGCTTTGCCAGCCACCGTCTCATGGGCTACTGGAAGTGGTCCCAACACTCCCAATTTGAAGTCTGCATCCTTACCTTTGACACCGGATAACTTTGGACCATCCTTGGCGGCAGCGGCGGCAGCGGCAGCTCAAGCCAAACAACAAGCCAAAGCAAAGGCGAATAAGAAGAGAAATAAGGATAAATTGGAAGTTGGTTCACAAACGTCTGCGGTTGACGACGAAAGCAAAAGTACATCTGATGGACATGTGCCTCAATTGGTATCTGATTCAGGAGAAGAAGCCGAGAACGAAATGGATGAGATGGAGTTCACACAATACGTTTTGGGCGGCAACCACTTTCAGCGTCTTTTGTCCATTAGCGATAAGGATGCAGAAGATATGGAAGATGAAGTCGTTGGTATACAGGCGTTACGCGATGATCCACAACCCGCGGAAGACGAACCTGTGGTGGCAGATCTCATCAAAGATTCAGAACCAGTATCCACATTCTCTATCTTAAAGACAAGCTTATCTCCATACAGCAGTACAGGCTATGTCGGGCCATTCAACCCATTTGCGAAGGATGAGCCAGCTTTGGATGACATGGCAAGCCTAGAATCCTTGCGAAAAACACTTCCGGATATACGCACATCGCCTACGATGCATATGTCACCAGTGCGAAATCACCTTCAGTCTTTACCTCATAATGTGCCAATGCATGCTCCACCTCAACCTAATATATTAGGTATGCAAGCCGGAGGTGGAAAATCACCTCAAGCTGCCAACGCCTTTTTGCAAGCATTACAACATCGTCAGCCTCTTCATCATGCTAATCCTATGGTGGAGAATATGATGGGAAGGCCAGATACGTCAATGCGTGGTCCACCTCCTGGTATCAGCCATCCGCCTAATTTGCCAGATTCTTCACATGCCCGGCTCAGTCCACAAGCCTTTATGCACTTGAATATTCTCAATAATGCCGCTGTTCAACCAGAGATGAGTATGCAGCAATCGCCTGTGGTAACCAACAATGGCCATCCCAACATGATGTCGCCTCACAGAAAACCTTCGGAAGCATCCGTCTTCCAAGACACGGCTATCATGGCTTTAGGTAACCAAGTTGTATCGCCCATGTTCAACGATGACAACCAAGCTCCAGAGGCACGCCGATTGAGAGTGTTCCAAGGATTGAGAAATACTGAACCTTCATTCACACCACCTGTGGCTAACAATAGTAATGATATTCGAGCTGGACTGGCTGCTCTTCTGAACGGTGCTAACTATCCCGGAAAGCTATCTAATACAACCCCCAACAATGTCGCACCTCTGTAAAACGAAGGAACTATTGATTCGGTCACCCACCACCGAGAAATTAGCTGAACGAATGGGATCTTTGCTGCCTGTCATACCATTTTGTGACCTTATACCCTCTCAGCCCTGCCAGTCTTACTGTAATTCCTATAGAATGTGGTACCGCCCTTCGCTTTTTTCGTTTCTTTTTATAAAAACATAAAAAACTCTACTCAATAAAAAAAGCAAAAAGTATATTTGAAAATCACAAGAATTTTTTCAAAACCATCTGTATGCATACTACCACGTTTATTGATAGGTTATTAAGTACAGAAATGTACTAATGATCGCTTTAACGAAGTCAATGAAGGTCATGGTGCTCGCTAACTATCAATATGTGGTAATTCAATATATGCACTATCCAACGTCTCTCATTCACCTTGCTCCTCAAATTTTTCTTTACATTCATCGCATTGACAGTGATGGCTGGCAAAGAGTTGAAAGATTACGGTATCTGGGATAAGTTTGTGACTTGTTGATCATAAATTCCCCTGTTCACAAAGCTAGAGTGTTTGGACAGTGGCGTTTGGGGGGACCAGGGAATTGGGGGATGACAAACAGTTAGCATAGAGAAAGGGAATTTTTCGGGAAAGGAAAGTTCGCAGATGGTGGATATACAATGTTTGGAGGCATTGTTTAGGGAAGATTTGGAAGGGAGCCATATGGCTCATCATCTGATGGCCATGTCAATCTGATTGGTTGCAAAACGATAACCGGCACAAAAGGTAACCCGACCCTAGAACACAAAGATGATACCATCATGACAGAAGGACAATTGTCACTCCGTCGACAAACACCAATCTGCGTTTGGCGACACAACAGACTTGCCTTCGACGAGTGTATTTTCCCGTAAATAATTATCTTCGACATTTGTCAAAAAGTATGAAGTGAATGCACATCAAAACCGCCCGCCCATACCGCATTTGCGAAGCAAGCTATTGTATCATTGTATACCATTCCAGGTCATGGTCCTGAATATTTGCCATTCTGTAGTCAATATACCTATTTCTCAAATGATAAACAACCTTTTTACCATCCATGGTGTAGAACACTATCTTATTTATATCATCGTTCTGCCCAAAAGCATACCCTCGCGCTTCACCAGCAGTGTAGACAGACATTCTGCAATGGGCCACTGGGGTAATAAGAGCAAAATCACGTGATACTTGATCAATTTTTAGACATGGCATTGGTGGCCCAAGCCTGCATTTTCACGCGTACGAGGGAGCACCTACTTCCCACCTGTTGTTTCGACATTATCAACACGCTTTCCCTTCACATCACGCGATAACCCAAGCCCGCCTACATCAAAATTTGAACCATCTTTTCTTTCTGGATAAACCTCAATGCCTCCTAAACCTATCCCAGAATATCCTCCCGGATCGATTGTGTTTGCTAAATTACGAGGTTACCCATGGTGGCCCGCTCGGGTAAGTCCTAGAGTGAACCCCATCAATGACGCTTGTGTTGGAACCAGATTGTGTCTGTGGACCAACATGATTTGGCTTTGACGGCGTGCGAATGGCGTGGAGTATCCAGGAGACGTTACGGGGGGTTTTATGTCACAGTCTAACACCATGGTTTGATGTTCATATCAGGTTGAAGACGAATCAAAACTTCCCTCCAAAGTGTTGCAGTCAAAGGGGAAGAATAAGACCCCAACGTGGACGGTGTTTTTCTTTGGCTCAAAGGACTAGTAAGTATTTTTGAGGCAGACGTGGTGCGCAGCTCGTCACTTATACGTGTCGTTTTATACGATTCGTTGCGTGATGCTCCTTCACTTCTTTTACTGAATTCACAACCCAACAGTGGATTTTTTGGATCGGATAGCATTCGACCCTTTGATCGTGACACCGTCGAGCGAGATCTCAAGGCGAATAAGTTCAAAACAAAGGATCTAACCACTGCGATCCAACAGGCGTTAGATCCGACTGAATTTGACAAGGAAGTGAAACAATTGAGAGATGCGCAGCGAAAGGAAGAGGGACAAGAACGAAAGGAAGCAGCAAAATCAAAGAAAAAGCAGCCAGCAGCCAAGAAGGAACCATCTCCTGCCAAGAAAGCAACACCTGTCAAACCGACTGCGGAGAACAAGACAAGGGCTGCTGCAGCTCCCAAAGCTACTAAAGTGCAGGACAAACCACAAGAGAAACCACAGGATATAATACCGGCAGCCTCTTCTTCAAGAAAGCGTAGAGGTACCCAAGCACGAGAAGTGTCGGATGCTACAGATAATGCAAGGGACAATAAGCGAAGTGTAAGTTTCTAAAAAATGAATAGGGTCTTATATAACGCGGCGATAGAGCATTGCTGTTTACCGCTTGTATAATACAGCGTATTGCACAAGTCAAAGATGAACCTAAGCCTGCCCCACCGGCTACGAACGGAGACAAAAAACCTGCTGCAGCTGTCACCAAGGCAGTTGAGGTCGAGTCGAGCAAAGCTTCCAAGAGCCCAGAGCTCGGAGGTGGAAAGGAAATTCATGATGGCAAAAAGTCACAGAAGAAACTATATCATCTTAGACATAAGCTGCAAAAATTGGTCTATGAGAGGAAAGAGGTCAGTGTCATGGCAGAAGGGTGCCTCCTTATTGACGAGACTAAATGTTATCCTACTACAGGAGGAGATCACGTTGGACGATTATACCAAAATTGATGGTGTCCTGACTGAAATTGAAGCTTTACAAGGCGAGGTGACTTACGAAATACTCAAGGTAACAACACAATGGAGAAATTAGAACAGTATGGACATTGCTTGCAAATTTCGACTCACATTGACGTTATTTAGGAAACTAAAATTGGCAAGGTGATGAAGAACGCTTGTGCACATAGCTTTGCGAGTGATAGCAAGTACAAGCTTAGAGACAGATGTGTTCAGCTTATGAAGAAATGGAAAGTAGTCTTACTGGCTGGAGCGGCGGAGGAGAAGGCCTCGGACGAAAAAAAGACGGCCGAAAAGGGACTTCATGTCAAGTCTACAGAGCAAGCTGGTGGATCACCAAAGCTCACCAGTGCAGAAAAGCAAAAGGATGAAATAGCAAAACAGTTGGCTGTAGAACAAGCAGTAGTGCCTTCGGTGCCAACTACTGAGCCTCCACAACCACTTGTGTCAGATCCAGCAATACATCCACCACAGAAGAACAATACAGAAATAAAAGTGGCCTCCATAACAAAAGAGGTTGACATGCAAGAAGTCTCAAAAGAAGGGCTATTACAGGAAAATACCTTGATGATGGGTCAAGCCACCACCACCGTCACAGATATTCATGGCAAGGACACCTCAAGTCAACAACACGGAATAGAGTATGCTGACACGAACCAGTCAGTCGACACAATTATGGATGAGGCTTCACATGGAACTCTGCCCTCGGCAATGGTAGCTGATGCACCCTCTTCTGTAAACCTAGCAGCTGACCCTACGCTCGAGCTGCTTGGATCATCAACAACATGAAGACAGAAAAAGAGAGTCGTAAAGTAAGAATCACTCAACCTTTGTTGAGACAAAAGCCTGTATATCCCCGTTTTGCGTTCTCACCTTTGACTTGCCTAGTGTTCCACTATTCCCTACCGATACTTCTCCTTTTCCCATCTCTTTTTCCATTTTCTGTCACAACCCTGGTATTTTTTCTTTTCTTTTTTTTTTCTTCCTGAATTTGTTGGCTGGATTGAGACGATGAATTTCGCGTTTCAGCGAATGTGCCTGTGATCAACTTCTGGGGATGTAACATTTGTGAATATTGCTTTGGATTTTTGATCACCCTGCCGACATCCCCCACGTCTTATTTCCTTCTTCTTCATTATATCTTTTACAACCCAACTTTTCTTCCAAAGATAACTTGAGTAAAAAGAAAACAGGTATTACAATGGGTCTGTATTGTTTGATTAATGAATGTTCTTATGGCTAGCGATAGGATAGGAGGATCTGTCTTCCGAATAAGTTGAGCAGAATTAATTGCTATCCCGCACGATAAGGATAGGCATCTTGAGTTGGTGTGAGAGATGATCTGACACAGATCCAAGAAGGCGTCTAAAGGAAGTTCCACTTAGCATGGGTTATAACTGCATGACGTACCCTTCCCTCAACGTACCTTTTGACCCATCCGAGACCGCGCTGACCAACAATCACCAAGTCCGCTTGGTTTGTATTGGCATAATCAACCAACGATGATTTTGCGTCTCCACGTAGGAGCACAGCATGAACTTGACCCTAGATTATATCATACAGCTCAGAATTCGCTACGATGTCAGTTTTTTCCCCTTATCTTCACTTACCACATGTTGCCTGATTTTTTCCACAGCTTCTTTAAGCTCATGCTCAGCATCTTTTTCCATCTTCTCCACTCGCTGTGTATAATCGGTAATGAAAAAATCGCCTGCCCCACCGACCACATTGGGAACAGCTAGCGCTCCACCCTCAATAGCGGCAACGTCTTCATCCAGAGCGGTAGCAAGAGTCACGGAGTCATCGGGTAGAAAGACGTTTTTCGACACGGCCCACTGGATAGCAAATCGTGATGAAGGAGAATGGTCATAGCAGACGATGATTTTTCTTGGCATGATGATGTGAGGAGAAAGTAAAAGTAAAGAACCGCGCAAGGCAGGGTTGAGTAGGCCAGCCAATTTATAGACGTCGCTAAATTTTGCATGAATCGGCTCGCAAAGTCAGCTCACTTTCGCCTCAACTGGATGATGCATCGGAGAACCGCAACCCGTACATCTCCATCCCAAAAGGGGGTCCTTCCACATAGCATAATAATTCCTGACATAAGGTGATTCCGCTTTCCATATGTTCGCTTTTGTGCAACTGGTAACAAAACAGAGCAAGGCGCTCGGTTGAATTTGGAATATCTGCCTGAATAATTTACCCAGCAGGAGAGGTTCCCGAAAATTCCGCTTTGACCATGACTGTATTTGAAAAAGGAGTCAAACGGACTTTTCGCAAAGCAGTCTGTCGCTGAATGACAAAAACATATCCCTGATCCTCCTTTCAGCACCAATTGGGCCAAGTTGAACCCCTTACCATGGCTACTGTCTTCTGACCTTCCCTATAACTTACAAATAAATTTTTTCTGTTCTATTCTTGTGGTGTTGATATTTTCTGCCTTCCTCTGCAAACCCATTCAGTCACTTTCCATCGTTCAATCTCGTCCGTTATCAACGCGAGGAACGAATAAATAAGCTATTTAAAACAAGCAGCTAACAGTTCGCCTGTTAAAGCTATCCTGGATTCACTTGTTTATTTTGGCCTGACGTAAAAAATAGTTGGCTAAAGGAGTTGACATCAGTAAGAGCATCATTCTCCCTTTGCATTCGCAACTGTGTATGTCAGGTTTTTTGACATGTTTGGCAGATTTCCTTAAACTCCGCCCTCGGATTCAATGTCGGAAGGATATACATCACTCTCCTATGCCGAGACTTCGTCTCCTTTAAAACCTCGAAGCGACTCTTCTTCGCACTCCAATTTGCTACTTGATCAAAGAAAATCAGGTACGAATTAATATAAATTTTCAATCTCTATTTTCAACACGGCCTCTGGCTCTTTTTTGTTCTTTCCCCACATATTGACGCTTACCTTCAGGCTCTAGCTACGCTTTCTCTACCTTACAATCGCTTCGCAGTTCGCACACAAGAAAATCGATAGCAAGTTTAAACCAGCTGAAGAAAGCTCACGAAAATCTGTCATCAAAGGCACTTCGATCACCAAAATCCAACCCGTCATTACTATCAGTCAGCGAGTCTTCTTCTCCAAAATTGTATAACACAGACCTGACGCTAGCAGCACTAGAGGATGATATGCCCCCTTCATTATACAGCGAATTGCACCGTTCTTCTATGGACGCAGACACTATGAGGGATCATAGCTATATCTCTACCCACGATAGTCTGCCTAGTGACGAAACCATGGCTAGTCGTAGCAGCACAGCAAGTGATTTCGGCACAGGTGACGGCTATGACACAAGTACAGCCAGCGCTGTACAAGAAACCAAATCGATAAAGGAGCGCAAAAAACTGAGAGGTGTTCTTGAGAAAATGGTGGTTAGCTTCAATGGTGAGTCTTGATGGTGTACTTTTTTCCGATTGACCTCTCCAGTTGACAGACGATTCAATTTTGCCATAGAGCTCATGTCAAAGGATAATAATGGCGCAGCAAAGCAGATCGATATAGGAACACCTTACAACGCCAAGCATATTACACACGTGGGGTTTGATGCAAAAAGTGGGCAGTTTACTGGTCTCCCTCCAGATTGGCAAATATTACTAAAATACAGCGGTATAACGGAAACGGAGCAGATGAAGCATCCGCAGGTAAGTTCCAGGGGTGGAGGTAGGAGCTTTTATAATTTGAGTTTGCGCATCATATCTGACCTATGGTCTTCAGGCTGTCATTGATGTTATCGGCTTTTACAAAGACTCTCAGCAACATCATGAAGCTATATGGAATAAATTAACCCACGCACAAACCGGCTCAACGTCTCAGCGACGTCCAAGTGTACAACAGTCACCGTCTACTTTTTCTATTGCTAGCACAAGCACCAACTACCCCGAAAAGAGATTTGAAAGCCCTCGACCACCACCTACTCCACCCACCAATTCTGTTCATTCCCTAAGAAAGCAACAAGCGCATGATGATAGTCGTTCTGAACGCACCTCTCATGAAGCCCCTAGAAAGCCTATAGACAAGGTAAGACTTCATGACCCGTGGAAATTTAATATTCTTCAACATTGCCATACTTATATTGATATATGCATCTGCAAATATGCACACGATAAATAGATGGCTTCTATAAGTTCATTACCTCCAACACCACGAAAATCTCGTAAGTGCCTCGTAATCCTCATACAATCCCTATATACATTAGGGGGCTGTGTTCCATATGAAGCTACGTCCTAACCTACTTGTGAATATTCTATAGAGGATACTGGAAAACGTGCTGCAAATTTACCCTCATCAACAACACCATCATCTTCAACCGGTAGCAAAGAAATCTCTGTACTTTCACACAGTCCTCCGACCATACCCAAGTCCATACCAAATGAGACAGTTATCAATGCCGCTCCGAAATCGCCTCCCCTGACAAAGGTATCACCCAAACTAAACGAACATGAGAAAAAGGCATCCAAGGTTGATATGCCAAGCTCTGCAGCTATGGTTGAAACCATCAGTAAGGCTTCAGGCACTAGGCGACGGACAGCAAGGAAGCCATCCATGAAGGATGAAGAGATATTGGCGAAACTGAGAGAGATTTGTAGAGAGGAAGATCCCACTGGCATTTATTCAAACATGGTGAAAATTGGGCAAGGGTAAGTGGACATGGGAAACTCTCATTTGGCAGCATGCTTAAATGTTTGGCTTTCGGTTCATAACCGGTTTTTTGTCATCATTTCAGTGCATCCGGGGGGGTCTACACAGCATATCCTCTCAATAGTACGACTCCAGTTGCTATAAAGCAAATGAACTTACAAAAGCAACCTAAAAAGGAACTGATTATCAACGAAATCTTGATCATGAAGGACTCACAGCATCCCAACATTGTAAACTTCATAGATTCCTATTTGTGGCACGGCGATCTATGGGTCATCATGGAGTATATGGAGGGTGGTAGTCTTACCGACGTAGTTACCTGCAATATGATGATGGAAGGTCAGATTGCTGCTGTATGCAAGGAGGTGCTTCAAGGTTTGATTCATTTGCACGACAAAGGTGTCATCCATCGAGACATCAAAAGCGACAATGTACTTCTTAGTTTACAAGGAAACATCAAACTTAGTAAGTATGAGAGGCGTAGGCTGCAGCTGGAAGTGGTACACATTCTAAATATTTTGTTTTCTACCAGCCGACTTTGGCTTTTGTGCCCAATTAAATGAAAAACGATCAAAACGAACAACCATGGTTGGAACGCCATACTGGGTAAGTTGAAGAGCGATATCGCGGCTAGGAAAGCACCTACTATGATGATCGTCTAATACCTTTTCCTTTCAATCTCTCTCTCCAAAACATTCACTTCTCCTCCATGCTCTTGCATCTACATGTTCTTTTATCACATTATTTCCCTTTAGATGGCGCCTGAAGTGGTAACGAGAAAGGAGTATGGTCCAAAGGTTGATATTTGGTCACTCGGTATCATGGCCATCGAAATGGTAGAAGGAGAGCCTCCATATCTAAATGAAAATCCTTTGCGTGCCCTCTACTTAATCGCTACTACGGGAACTCCACAATTGCAACATCCAGAATCACTCAGTGACCACCTACAAGATTTTTTGAAAAAGTGCCTGGAATCAGATGCTGAAGCAAGACCCTACGCAGAGGAAATATTAGATCATCCCTTCATCAAGCGTGCTGATCCTGTTCGTAACCTGGCTCCATTGATTAATGCTGCTCGTCGCGCAAACCGCTCCAGTACCCGCGTATAAGACAGTATGAGTCCATTTTTCCATTATGCCCAAAGCTTAGGGCGTATACGCGTATGTTTCCTCATATTTTTGCTTACGCAAACATATATACTACAAGAAATAATCAACAGAATTTTGCATATCACCACCATTTGTATCCATACCGTAGTTCCTGTGAAACCAACGCCTACTTTCAGCTATTCGGTCGGCTACAATCAATCACGTATCCTTTGCAACATAGCGATACATAGTACAATATACAGTGCTATTTCTAAACCATTACATATAAAGTGTTTGAAAGTTGAGGTCTTGATTTCCAAGTCAGGTGTTATTAAGACAATAGGTAGCTTGTCAGCAATGGCAAGTGAAAGACGAGCGAGGGGCAAGCACAAAACACGCTGAGATTGAAATAAAATTTTGGGAATGGAACGCGTAGCGTGACTATTCTGCTAAAGGATACTCTGTCTGATTCCTGCCAACCTTTAACAACATTCTCTACTGTACGACTATTCATTAGCACCTTTAATATCTTGGTTAATTGTTTGCTCCTTTTCCAATGTGGAATGAACATCACCTGTCCCGCGACAAGCGAGATTCCAGTGCACCACGATCTGACAGCTTTCCATTGCAAAATGCGCGCGCCAGCCAGTTGAATAGCCGGTACGGAAGACCTCCTCGCTCTGAGAAAGATGAAAAGGGAACGAACATACAAGTTGTTGTTCGCTGCAGGTAATGCTGAAACAAAATTGCCGACCATTCAGTGCAATGTGTTGTAGAGTGTACTCACCTGTTATATATGCATCGCACACAGGGGAAGAACTCAGAGAGAAATCGCAGAAAACATACCCGTCATCGTCGACGCCGCCTCCAATACGCAGGAAATAACACTAAAGACAACCAATAAAACATACACCTTTGATCGAGTTTTCGGCCAAGAAACGACACAGCAGCATATTTACGATGATGTGGTCAGCCCGATTTTACAGGAGATGCTTATGGGGTAAGATAACTTGGAATCAGTCATTCGCAAATACAAAAATGTATGAATACTGAGCGATTGCTTTACAGATACAACTGTACCATTTTTGCCTATGGTCAGACAGGTACAGGAAAAACGTCAGTATATCTTTGATTTTTATACACAACTCTAGCTCAATGAAATCTGCTGTTGACGCTGAATTGCATAATAGGTATACAATGGAAGGAGATCTTGAAGACCAGGAAGGATACATCACCCGGGATGCGGGAATTATACCACGAACATTATATCATCTTTTTGACGTTTTGGACCAAGAAGAAGCTGAATACGCGGTCAGAATATCCTCCATAGAACTTTACAATGAAGAGCTCAAAGACTTGTTAAACCCAGGAGATGACCGTCCCAAACTACGAATTTTTGAAGATCCAAACGGCACGGGCGTGATTGTTCAAGGCCTAGAAGAAGCTCTCATCAACAGCGCTGAAGATGGTGTACGCGCAATCCAATTAGCGAGTCGAAACAGACGGATTGCTGCTACAAAGTGTAACGACAAGTCCAGGTAATATATTATCTTGTGTTCGGGAATTATGAAAACCAACAAGACATCTTTCCTTTTCCTAATTAAATGTCAACTTTAGCCGATCACATTGTGTTTTTACGTTAACCGTACATATCAAGGAAACACTAGCAGATGGAGAAGAGCTACTTAAAGTTGGAAAGTTAAATCTCGTCGATTTGGCAGGGTCTGAAAATATTGGTCGTTCAGGAGCTGAGAATGCTAGAGCACGCGAGGCTGGATTAATCAACCAAAGTCTACTTACCCTTGGCCGTGTCATTAATCACCTTGTCGAACACTCCGTCCATGTACCTTACAGAGAAAGCAAACTCACCAGGTTGTTACGGGATTCTCTTGGTGGCCGAACCAAAACATGCATTATAGCTACCATTGCCACTGCCAAAATACATTATGAGGAAATCATCAGCACTCTGGACTACGCTAGCCGTGCCAAGAACATTCGCAACAAGCCAGAAGTCAATCAGCGCATGACCAAAAAAGAGCTTATAAAGGAGTATATACATGAGATCGAAAGGCTCAAGTCAGATTTACAGGTTGGTAGTAGTATCATGTAAAACCTTGAATGACAGGCCGTTGCTAAAGTGCTTTTCCTTGTAGGCAACGCGCGAAAAGAATGGTGTTTTCATGTCCGCCGATTCCTACCGACTTTTGTTGGACGAAAACCAAAGCAAAAAAGATCAAGTCGAGGAAATCACGAAAGAGATACAAGTCTTTAAAGATAATGTTCAAAATTTGACCAAGGAGGTGGAGCAAAAGGCAAAGCTTTTGATGGGAAAACAGAGAGAGCTTCGTGAAGTCAATGTAAGTGAATTTGTTCAACAAAAGAGAAACGCTCCACACAACAAACATATTCTTACTGCTTTTGTCACAGGATAAATTACAGGAGACCAAAAAATGGTTGCAGAGAATTCAAGAAGAGCATGAACAGACGAAACAATCACTTGAGGAGCAAGTTGCTCTCAGGAAGTATCATCAACAGTATGGCGACAAGCTCGAACATTTCGCTTCCGAAACAATCAACACACTGCAAAATACTGTCAAAGACAACGCTGGACTTTTTAACAAACTTGGTGTGTACTATTTCTTTCACTGCGTTATGTGAGCTGAACCGTCTAACCAATCATTACAGACCGTCAGCGCTCAGTGCAAGAAAAAAATCGTGGGGCCCTGCATGCGTTCAAAAAAGACGTGGATGTCAAGGCTCACAAAATCGTCGAGGAAATGCTTCAATTCAAGTCATCTATTGGTGGTATGCAAAGTGATCTGGAAGCCAAGGCTCAAGCCTACGCAGATGCGTTACAAAAGGTGAGCATGTTATACTGATAGTACTAAAATTTTCAGTTACTGACACCATATCTAGAATTTGTCTGCCATCCATCATGGTGTTGAGACTAGATTGAAGGCGCTGGAGCAAGAAAGTGACGCTTTGAACTCGTTGGTTAAAGACGGTGGAGCAGCACAGAATTGCCTCTACAACATTTTGTCAGATATCCACGAGCAACTAGAAGAATCTACGAAGAAGCACAAAGACATCGCCAAACAAGAGGCCAACGCATTCTTACTTGTGACCAACGCTGCCTTCCAGAAATTCGGCGAGCAGCTCACTGTTAAGCACTCTGTGTTGACCGACATGCTTGCAGATTATATCACCGATATCAAGCGAACCACAAGTGAGCAGCAGAATCGAATTGAACAACTGCGAGCGAACATCAATGTTGGAATCGAAGGCGAAGTAAGTTTACCCTGGAAAGTGACTCTGGCTAATCATTGATCTTCGTCCGATATTAACCACATAACTTATATAGAAATCATTTGTTCAAGAAAAAGAAGACCAACTCAAACAGATCGTCCATATCCAACAGCAGAGCAGAGCAAAGGCTAAAAAGCAGCTCATGCACGACATATCCCTCCTTTTACAAGAGTATGACAGTGAAGAGCACGAACGTCTACAAAAGTCTATTTATGATGTACAGTCATCCCTTCGATCAAACGGTGCGTCGCTGGACGACCTTCAATCCGACCATAATCAAGACGTCAATGGTCTCATCACATCTGAAATGGCTACCGTTCAAGCTGCTGAAAATCATTACCACAATATGAGTGATCAACTGGATAGTTTGTCTAATGTAAGCTTTGGCGTTTAAACAATATGACCTATTATGCTAGTGTGATTTTAACTCTCCAAATCTTCTCATTTATTACAGCTCAAGGATGACGTTGAAACGGTTGAAAACGGCTATGTCGAATACCAAGAACGCTTATCCAGGTTGAATGACGAGTATGAAGCCAAGGTGGCTGCAGCAAACGGAAGAATCAGCGACTCTGTTAAAGCAGCTCGGTCTAAACAAGCAAAAATCATGGAACTGCATAGTTTGGAAATCAACAAAATGCAAAAGACCAGTTCTACAGTTCGCAATGGACTGTCATCTCGTGTATCCGATATCATTGCTCAAAGCCAGGACGAAGCCAGCTCCGTTCAGCGTTGGGTATGTAAACAAACTGGTTGCGTTGGTGTTAATGGCTTGTTGGCTAACACACTCATATTTTCGGACAGGCGGAGGAAAACAAGCAGTTAGTAGAAAATCACAAGCTGATAACTGACGATGAAATTGAGCAACTTCAAAATGAAGTTCACCAATTGCTACGTTCCAAAATTGAGGTCAGTACAATGGGAATTGGATCTCGCACAGTGTGACATGAATACCTAATTTTTCATTTACTGCAGGACGATCATTCAACTGGAGAAACTCCGAGACGAACATCGTATCGTATACCAGCCACCGTGACGCCGCGCGTGTCGAATGAAGTACTGGTTCGCCGGCTCCAGGAAGCTCTCACCAAACCGACCCCCGCCAATAGCTCCGAAGAGGTTACACTACCAAGGTCTCCAATTGAAAGAGAGCGTTCGCAATTGTCACAAACAAACCATCAGCAAGAGCGGGAGCTGACTCATATCAAGTTAGAACCTGTCAAGGAAGAAAATGATGTTGTCGATTCGTCCGATATACGGTCCTTTCCCAGAACTAGTCTTCCAAAGAGCATACGATCAGACTCACGGTTTGCATCAAGTCGAGGGCTATTCGCTCATAAAGCTAATGCGACTGACGTGACATCTGGCAACGAACCTGCACTACGGGACAAAACCAATGGAGACCGATTCAACAGTGGCAGCGGTGTGAATGAGCCCAAGCTATCTAAACGGAGGTTGCCTACTGAAGCAACTGACACCTTGTATAAAAGACGACGAGCACCTGAATCTACATTTTGGCGTTCTTGAATTAGGAGTTCCCATTAAGCTCCATACTTGTTTATAATGCTTTTGTTCTTCTTTCATCAACTTTTGTAAATTGATACCAAATAAACCGCAACCCATCTTGACAACGGTAAAATATTCTAGCTCCAATCAAGTTTTCCCACGGCATTATGCACAAATGTTCAATTTTTTTTCTCGGTGGCAACGATATTTTCATTCTTCCTTCTCCAACATGACAGCCGACCCTTATCAATACCTTGAAGGCTTCCATAATCACCATACTTCAGAAGCGCTTCCTGATAGCCTACCAAAGGGTATGTTTGCCAATGTATCGGACTTGAGGACTCAATCTGGGATAACTCAGATACTTTTTCGCAGGCCAGAATACTCCACAAAAATGTCCTTACAATTTGTATACTGAGCAGCTGTCTGGCACGGCCTTTACCGTACCCAGAACGCATAACCAACGAAGGTGAGTTGCATTGAGATTGGTCGTGAGATTGAATGGCCATGATCTAATTGTCTCGCGACATGAACTATGCAGTTGGCTATATCGAATTCGCCCCTCTGTCGTGCACGAGCCCTTTAGCCCATTGGAAGCTGGAAACGATACGCTACTGGCCAACTTTGCCAACGCCCATATTACGCCAAATCAACTTCGTTGGGATCCATTTGATTTGCCGCAGGACAGCGAAGAGGTTGATTTTGTGACCGGCCTTCGTACTGTCGCGGGCGCCGGCGATGCTGCAACACGTAACGGCTTGGCCATCCATATCTACCATGCTAATCAAAACATGAACAAGCGAGCCTTTTACAACGCTGATGGCGATTTTTTGATTGGTGCGTGTACCTAGAGGCTAGAGACTCGATATGGCCTAGTTACTGACTTTGCATATAGTTCCCCAGCATGGAAGGTTGGATATCACCACAGAATTTGGAAAAATTATGGTTCATCCTAACGAGATTTGCGTTATCCAACGTGGAATTCGATACTCGGTTGATTTACCGGATGGCCCAGTGTAAGTGATGTTCGTCAAGGCTCCAAAATTGGTATACAACTTTCTCATTCATCGCGCCTACACAGTCGTGGATATATCCTGGAAGTCTTTGGAGCTCATTACGAACTCCCTGATCTCGGTCCTATCGGTATGAGCTTGAAAGCAGTGTTGACAGTGGCAACTTATACTAACTTTATTACTACAGGTGCTAATGGATTGGCTAATCCACGCGACTTTGTTACACCACAAGCATATTATGAAGACGCGAACAATGAGGAGTGGCAAATGGTGACAAAGTTTCTAGGAAAATTGTTCGTAGCTAAACAAAATCATTCTCCATTTGACGTGGTCGCTTGGCATGGTAACTATGCCCCATATAAATACGACCTTGCCAAGTTCTGTGTCATCAACTCGGTTTCCTATGATCATATTGTAAGTAGACTTAGTGATCGACGATGTCATCATGAAGGCACACTCACCTCAATTCAAATTTCACGCAGGATCCATCTATTTTCACCGTCTTAACATGCAAATCAGATACCGCCGGCGTGGCAGTTGCTGATTTCGTTATCTTCCCTCCACGTTGGGCGGTCCAAGAGAACACTGTAAGTTTACCATACCTCATGCCTACGCCGTTGACAGAACAGAAAATAACTCGTTTGATAGTTCCGTCCCCCCTATTTCCATAGAAACTGCATGTCAGAATTTATGGGATTGATATTAGGCGATTATGAAGGGAAAACTGGTGGATTCCAACCTGGCGGTGCGTCCTTGCACAATATCATGACCCCGCATGGTCCAGACGCGGCTGTATTCCAAAAGGCCTCTACGGTTGAGCTGAAGCCTGTTCGCGTTGCAGATGGCACGCAAGCGTTTATGTTTGAAACGAGTCTTACGCTGTCTGTAACAGAATGGGGCTTAGTAAAATGCAATAAGGTCCAGCCTGACTACTGGAAAAGCTGGAAGGCTTTGGACAGCCAATTTTCTGCTACTCAAATCTAAGCTGCGCTCTATTTTTTCACTTCTATTCAGCAGGTGGTGGCCGGAAAAGTGAATCCGCATTCTAACCGCTTTTTTGGCCATAAAATCATAAAAACGGGAACCACTGATAGTCGTCCATCAGCTTGTAACCCGGTCAATGCAATAAATAAACACTGTTCGAATACGTGTCTTTTGCCCTGACTGCTTATCGGATTATAGCACTTTGTCGAAGTCCGCAGTCGTTATATCTGGCTGATTTTGTGAAGATATATCCTTCTGGTTCAACAATGTTCATCTAACCTACAGCTTCAGTCAAATTCCATGTCTTGTTTCTCCTGTTAATCCTTCAGCATACATCAGATTCCAGTATGTCAAGTGCAACAATAAGTAACAATGGCATGTTTAGAGTCGGACTGGACGTCAAACTTTGCTAACCCAGCCAAAAAAGAAATGCTCGAGATAATCACGCTCTCCCGTGAGCTAAAGCATGAGAGAATCCTTCCTGTAATTACCAGACTCGACTTTGAGACATTATTGGAAGTTGTGTTTCATTGTTTCAGCAAGCAAGTATGTCTATTGCAACACAACAGCTTGAGAGTAGGTAGCTCGTAGCATTAGCAGAATAAATATAGTGCATAGCATATAAATAGCGACAGTTTCTACCACCAAAGTCAGCGAGAGTCGATCGATAGTACAGAAATAGCGGTCTGTACAGTTATCGCTTGATGTTTTTATTTCAGTTCGTGCAGATTGCGGGAAGTCTTACGTGATTATTTAATTTCTGGACGGGCCGTATCATGTCTTACTAAATATTCGTATCACCTCGATCGAAATGTCATATGTACCACCTAAGAGGTTTTTTTTTCTAAAAAAAGGACTTTTTTACCCCGCCCCACGATGCCATGGCTAGCATTCTAGTTGAGCCAGAAATACCAATGCTGGTTCGGGAGAGGAAACGTATCATCGTTTTGCCTTTTAGCCAACATATCATACTCAACCATTACTTCCGAAGCACACCCATATCTTCACTATCTTATCTGTGAGTATCTATGGTTGAGTGTTTCTCTACTGCCATGCTTAACTAGCTAAGAATGACGAGAATAATCAGGGCGGCGCAAATTGATTGAAATATAGATGTTATTGTAATACATGAATTCGGTGAACTGACACTGGATAAACGAATAGGCTCCGCATATGCACCCACTCTGCCGACTTTTGTCATGGTCAGATACCAGGACGTCCGCGCGTAAGCTACCAAGAGTGTTATCATCGCCAGAATGGTGTTTCATGGCGTTTCTGAATAAGGAATTCACGATTTCCATCCACACGCCAAATTGTTCCGTTATCTCCAAAAGTACAGTCACTAACGAACATTGCAAGGTACTTAAATCTGTATTCATAGCGATAGTTAGCAGACCTTGTTGAACATTAAAGTAAGAGCCATTCACTCTAGTGACACTGACTTGATATGGTATATAAGTTTTTTCTCGTGGTTGCTCAGAATATTTGAGGAGATGGAAGCTGAGATACAGCTCTTTTACAGTCCATGAGCTCTATGAGCATTACGAGATGAATAGGCTTGCTAGTGGACTATCCATCTCAAACCGTTTCACAGCGGCTCAAATAATATATAGGTATTATAAGCTTCCATGTTATTCTTTTTTCCGTTCATATCAGCAAAATGACCTTAACAGGCTCCATCTTATAAAGGTGGCTTAACATTGGGGGCTGTTCATAGGAAAACCATTTGCTTGAGAGTCAAAGGGATTGCCATATATGTATATGATAAGCCTATTAGAGAAGTGAGCAGAGATATCACTATCTGCCCTTCACTAAAATAAATGTCGCCGGAAATCATATAAGTAGCGTCAAAATCTTGCTACGATCATCCCCGCATTTCCATCATGTCCTTTAACGCAACCACTCCGTGGCTCGATACCGGTGACAATGCTTGGCAGTTGACCGCGGCCAGTTTGGTCGGTCTGCAAAGTGTTCCAGGTCTCATTATCCTCTATGCTGGCCAAGTCAAGAAGAAGTGGGCCATTAATTCCGCTTTCATGGCACTTTATGCATTTGCTTCTGTACTCGTCACTTGGGTAGTCTGGGGTTATAAGATGTCATTTGGTGAGCAGATGTTGCCTCTGGTCGGCAAACCGCAACCTATCTTATCCATGGACGGTCTGCTCGGGCAATCCACACTGCCTACAGCTAACTTAACTCAGAACTTCCCGACGGCTACCATGGTATACTTCCAGTTCGTTTTTGCCGCCATCACGCTTATTATTATGGCTGGTGCCTTCTTGGGCCGTATGAGCTTCACAGCCTGGATGGCCTTCGTACCACTATGGTTGACTTTCTCCTATACCATTGGCGCCTTCTCGCTTTGGGGCGGTGGTTTCTTATTCCAAATGGGAGTTATTGACTACTCTGGCGGATATGTCATTCATCTCTCCTCCGGCACCGCTGGATTTGTTGGTGCTTGGTGGATCGGCCCTCGTTTAGCCAAGGACCGTGATAACTTCCAGCCAAACAATATCCTCATGATGCTAGCTGGCGCTGGTATTCTGTGGATTGGTTGGAATGGTTTCAATGGTGGAGATCCCTATGCCGCAAGTGCCGACGCGGGTGCTGCTGTTCTCAACACCAATCTTTGTACTGCCGTCAGTTTACTTGTCTGGATGATTTTGGATATGATCAAATACAAGAAGCCTTCCATCATCGGCGCAATTCAAGGCATGATCACTGGTTTGGTTGCCATTACCCCTGCTGCTGGTGTCATTGCCGGCTGGGGTGCTATCGTCATGGGAGTGTGCTCCGGTGCTATTCCTTGGTTGAGCATGAATTACCTTGGTAGAACTGCTTTCTTCCGCAAGGTGGATGACTGCCTTGGCGTCTTCCATACCCACGCCGTTGCTGGTGTCGTTGGTGGCTTCATGACTGGTATCTTAGCTACCAAGGACGGATGCGCAGCTTTCGGTATTACCAACCCTGGAGGTGCCATCGAAGGTAACGGCAAACAAGTCTGGTTGCAAATCGTCGGTGCCTTGTTTATCATAGGTTGGAACATCGTGTGGACCTCTCTCATCATGTTCGGTATAAATTTAGTCTTGCCTTTGCGAATGAAGGAAGACTTGTTGATGATCGGCGATGATGCCGTTCACGGCGAAGAGGCTTACGCCTTCTTTGGCGATGGCGATCGTACCTTCCAGGAAAACTGGGACCACCAAGCTGTCAATGAAGATGTTGACGACGGCGTCAATGATAGAGACGGATCCAGTGGTAGTGAGCTCCGTGAAGTCGCCCCTATGACAAGTGTGAAAACAGAAGTTCCAGTAACTCACGTTGAGCAAGTTTAGTGAAGCTCGCTCCTCAGATTAATTTTTTTTAACGACTTTTACATTTTTCTCAAATTTTGGCGAATTTTTTTTGCCATGTAAATTGAGTACCTGTTAAGCTTTAATACCAGTCTTTTAAATAAGCTCATACGCTATGCTTGGACAGATGCGAAGTCAAGAGCAAATCCTATATTATCACTCCATACTGTCTATTTAATTTTATGAATTTTCAAACATACTTTTTGAATCAATTGACGGCACGTTTCAGAGCATCGATTTTGATCAAGCTGCTCTCGAAGAGTAATGTAGCTCCCGGGGTTGTTTGAGAATTGGTCATGTTAGTCGGTCGACTATGGCAAGCTAAGCTCACATCTTCAAAGTCATCCCATATAGTAACAGCTACTTTCTCTCAGTACGCATGTACGTTACTAAGTGTGTGATCCGCACACATCATGAATAAAGTAACTCATTGGCAAGACGCGCTACATATCATTTTGTTATTATTGTGCAAGAATACAAGATCCATGGAAGAAGAAAAAAAAAAGGGTCGGTATAATATCAAAGTAAACAAACTAAGCTGCAACAGTATATAAAAGTCGACACAATCGGTCTACAAGAACAAAATGCAATGGTATACAGTTGGAAGAGGCGGATGCAGTATTAAGGTAGGATAACGAATGGTATTGTTTAACGATTTCTCGAAGCACGCTTGCCGCAGTTTGCGTTGATTGCATATGAATCAGATGCAGCTGTAATGAAAATTCATAATTTGAGATAAAGGCGAGTCAGTTCACAAGCATCTAAATTACACTGTATCCCATGCAGCGTAAAAAATACAATGAGTTTTTGGCTTTACCTCTATGGCTTGTGTTTCCAACGAAAATTGTTCTCGTGACGGTGCTGGTGCCTTGACGGGAACTTGCAAGAGATACGCACTAGCTAAGGGGAGCATCCATTGTTCAGCGGTGTCCTGGTTCAGGAGGATGCCGCTACTCGTCAGTTGTCGTCGCCTGGAGTACGCCATGCGGTGGTTTACAAGAAGAGCATGGGATTCTCCTGACTCTGGTTCGAAGATGTCCGCAGATTTCGGAGTCACTTGGGTAGAAACGGACCCAATGTTCATAGATGGTGTGGCACTAGGTGTAAATGTCTCGGGTGTTGGTGTGCCTGAGGATGAACTTGGTGTGTTGCTGCTTTCTGCACCCATCGTTGAATCTGACTCATGGCTTACTCTGAACGGAGAGTCATAGTCCAAGGCTAAGATGGATATGTTTTCTTCGTTGTTGACGGTTGCGATCCAATCTGTCCGCAAATATAGTGATAAGATAGTGTTCATCAATCAGTACCTATTTCGACGCGGAAAAATGTAAATAAAACTTGTTGCTCACCTGCAAGTTCGTTGCCAAACATTAATCCAAGCTTGCCAATAGTAAACTTCCATGAGAATCCTGCTCGACCACACAAATGCTTTGTTCGTTCCCATATCTCTTTTATGGCATGCAGCTGCCATTCAGCTTGCCGGCTATGGTTCTCAGCTTTCTGGACCATAAAGTCGATCATTTCACCTCGTGCATCAATCCACACGGCGATAGCCCATCGATTGTCTAAGCTGAACGTGTAGGCAATGTGCATGGTGACATCGTGTTCCAGAGCACTTGGAAAGTCTTTGTAGGCATTCTTTGTGCTGTATTGTATAGATGCTGGAGGTGGTTTTGCGAGAACAAATGGTGGGGCGTATAGCTCTGTTACCGACTGTATGTCCTGTGCCCGGGACTGCAGAAGAAGACAAGATGAGCATGTTGTCAAATTTACTTACAACAGAAGGACTTAAACTCCCCCATAGACACTCACCTGCTGGTGCGCTCTCTCGACTACCATGGAGCACTTGCTGTAGACTGAGAAGGCAATTTCCTTTAACCCAAATTTGTTATATCCACCAAATGCAGTTGGTCTTAAGACATGCTCAACAGGTACCAATTGCATGACAAGGCGCGGCCGCGTTTTATCGCTAAACGTTGTACCGAGCGCAGAGGTATTAAAGGCGACTACAAGACTTTGAAAGCATTGACTTAAGTCAAGCAATGAAGAGGAGTGCGAGAAAGGGTTGATCATGTATATGACATAGTAAACACTTTCTTGTCCCATGTTGCCAATGGTAGCGCCTAGTCGTTGAGCAGCATGTTGATAACTTCTAAGACGGCGCCCGGCTGGGTCTTCGCTATCGATTTTATCTGCAGTGAAAGCAAATTATGTGTAAGTTGAAATGCATTGATCCTGCCGTCGCATTATTCAAAGCGCTACTAATATATACCTAACAACGGTACCGGTACCACACCGCGCTTGCGATCGCCAGCAACTCCAGGGTGGTGTGTTCCCAAAAGGCAAATCTCGTATACAGCGCTCAGATCTTTGAAAAAGTCAATAGCCATGCTTTCAAAACCATCGCTATCTGGACAAAGGGCAAAATAGACAATATTCTTCTTTGTCGAATACGGTTCCAATCGTAATTTCTCCCAAAATGTAAGCATATGCGGAGATCCTTCAATCCATTCATCTTGGCGGCCAACTACTACGCTCGGAGGTCGCAACATGTCCAAATTCGGCTCTACAGGTTTGCGCTTTTTGACTTGATACTTTCCGTATTTAGATTGAGTTTGGGTCGTATCTGTTGAAATGACAAGCGTGTTAATGGCAATGCTAACAATTGAAAGTAGTTATTCGAGATTATCGATGCGTTACTTGCCTGATAATTCGTAATATTGCTGTACATTGAGAGGACCCTTTATGCCTATGGTAGTCGGCAGCGGATGCTGGCCTATCTGAAGATGTGTATACTCTGGTGTCTTGTTGAAATCAAAGATGTTACTTAAAACATCTTTGAAATCTGAAGTCAAATTGTCCATTTCATCTGATAATGATGGTACCGACGTTACAGCTATTAAAGCATGGTACCCAATTAGTAATTGCACGTAAGGCACGTCGTATCATGTTAAAGCAAATTGGTAACTTACCACCACAGTTGCTTTGTACTAAATTTCTTCTTCGTGTAATCGCTACTTGCATCGACTCGCCGTCTATAAAGTCCCCGCCTCGTTGTGAAATTTCTGCAATATTACCGACAAAAGGATACCCTCCGAGGACAGCTTGCTGGCATAGCAGCTCTACTGCAGCCATGTGTCCATCGGAAGTGTGCCGATCCTCAGGAGGCCGGTCATATAATGGCTCTCGGGTGACTACTTGAGCAAAAGGAACATCATAGTCAATTGATTCCTCAAGACGAAGAGTTTGTTGAGAGGTTGGCAAAAGTAAAGTTTTGTCACTGTAGTCGCCTGCTGACCATGCTAATAGCATCAGCTTTACTTTGTTCAAAACCTTAAGATATTGTCGATCAAGGCCACTGGTGATATCAAGACGACTTGTTGCACGGATCATTTCCTCCGCATCTTCCATATCCGTGTCGCTGCTGCTAGTACTGCTATCACTGCTACTGTCGTCAGAGCTATCTGATAAGGACGTGTCGTCGGGGATCACCTTGGCGTCATTGTTAAGCGTGGCAGGATGTAGGGTGGCGTCTACCTTGGCTTGCTCGCTACTATTATACTTATTACGTATGTCAACAGTCTTGAAAGGACCATCTGTCGTCCTTTTCCGTACATGTGGCATGTAATCCGGCTTGTATGCACTCCGTCGAACGCCAACCGCACCTCCTTCCTTCTTCCTCTTCTTTGACGGTGAATAAACAAACTTGCCTCCGTTGTAGTATTTGGCATCGTCAACGCCAGCAGTGACGGGAAGAGGCGCGAATTCTGGTGGCATGAGAGCATCTGGATCTAAAATTGATTCATCTTCACCTGTTTGTTGTATGTCTTGTTCGATGATTGAAGTGATATTAGCGTCGGAATTTTGCTCTTCTTCTTTGACGTCAGTGGCTAAATTGCTTTCCAACACGGTGCCGTTGTCTATAATATTTTCTTGCTCAATGGACACAGATTCTACTTGAGATGTCACAATGGCTGGATCCATGTTCAAATCCGATTCTGCTTTCATAGGATCATCCAGAAAGCCGTTCGTAGCCATCAACAGTTCGTCTAAATCCAAGTTTTCGTGCTTTTCTACATCTCCGGCGCTCAGATTGAGATCAGTCATGATCGGCGCATCCAGGGCATTAGGTGGTAGAGATGATACTGGATTAGAAACAGCTGATGTTAAGCTAGTCGGAGGTGGTGCACTAACGCTAGCAATAGATTTCCCTGTTGGTCGAGATTTGGTAGTAGGCGTTGATTCGAAAAAGTCAAAATCTTCTTCAGTGACATCCAAATCAAAATTATCCATGTCGCCAACGCCTTCCTCCCAAGCACTTGACAAGCCATATACCATTTGATCGTACCCTCCTAGATTATCCATACCAAATGACATATCCGCATTACCTCCACCTAGATGGTCATGTGGGGAGGGATAATTTGATCCAGCAGCCGAATCAGGGGCTCCTAGGTTCATTGGCATGCCAGTCGTTGTGGGAGCAAAATGGCCACCAGTTATATCAGTAGCTGCGGGCTCATTCATTGTGATTTGCAAACCACTGAGATCTTGTGCAGTTGTCGCTGCTTTCGGCTGTGCGGTAGGTATACTCGCTCCAGAAAAAGCAAGCACTTCCGTCTTGATTTCTGCTGTCGGCGTCTGGGATACATATGGATACGATGACACATTGGGGTAAATACCGTCAGGATGTTCTTGTTTTCTGGCCAAATGCTGATTCATATCCAAGCCTGCATTCAGTTGCGCCATGAAGTCTTTTGAATTTGGCTGTTGCACTTCCCAAGTGTGAGAAATGGTTGGCTGGAGTTTACCGGAGTTATATGTACCAGTGGATCTTCTGGGAGTTCTTGACACCTTTGGAGTCATCAATACATTCGACGAAACTGTCTCCGTCATAACATTTTGTAGGAGAGTTGGTGAACCGAATGGATCAGGCATAGATGCATGATTTAATACCGTAGAAGTGACATGTGCAGTGGGATTGGTGAAATCCCAAAAGTCCACAGTAAAGCGTGGATGCGTTTTCTGAGTGAGTTCAAAATCAATCTGTCTTGTTTGCACTAATGATTCTGTTGGAGTCGGTAAAGTCTGAAATGATGCATTGAATCTGGCTTGAACATCATTCTTTCGGTCATTGGGAGCATTGGTGAAAGCTCCAGTACCGAAGGCTTCCTCTGCTCCTTTTTTAATTGCAATTTCCGCTATGCGTTCCTCCCACGCCCATCTATTATACTTTTCGCTCATCTCTTCGATCAAGCCGTGATTTCGAAATCCTAATCCATCTAAACCAGATATCGAACTCGGCGTGAACTTTGTTGATGTGGATACGAATATCAGCGCTGAAGGATATGGGAATACTTCTTCGCCGCATTGAACCATAACCAAAGCGGACATGGAAGCATCGAAAGCAGTCGTTTTCGTTAAGTTTTCATAGGGTATATTGAGCATGCTGGCCCAGTCCCACAAAAGTGCATCCTCCGTCTGAGCAGACAAATCGGCTGTGGAGGATTTCAGAGTAGCGGCCAGTCCAAGAGGAGCAAGCAGAACTAATGGCGATCCAGGCAGATATGTTCAGCAATAGCAATTTCTAACAAGGGACATAGCATTATTTACGTACCTGTCTTTGATCTGTCAGATAAGAAGTCGGTTCGCCGAAGTCTTCGAATTCGCAATCGTCGGATCACCGGCTGGAAGATCAAGTTTGTTGAAGTCAAATACAGATTGAAAGTGCAGGATGGCAAAGTCTGATCGGCACAAGATGTGGTTGAGGTGTTTGTGGATTCTGTGGTTAGAACACCGTCCATTACATTGACATTTGATAGCGTTGGATAAATGAAGAAGTCACCCAAAGGGATGGTGCCTTTGTTGACCATTTTACTATACGGAGTATGTATTTGGTTATAGAATGACTCAGGGATCAAATTTACTATCTTGAAACGTATACCTACAGGCAGATCAAATTACGAACAGCCTTTATGAAAAATCGATAATCTTGAGTTAACGATGTATTCGGCGTAGCGTTTGCTTTTGCAACCGGCGAAATTGGAGATGTCGTAGGCGATGTTGTTGCTGCAAAAATATTTTCCCAGGAGAACGAAGTAACTTTCACTTCTATAATTGAGCATTAGTAACATAAACAAAACCATTCTGCTGAGCTGAAGCCAATGCTTTTACCTTCCAGCTCATTCAAGTATGGATTGCGATCAACGATCCCTGTGTGCTTGTCGTCAATCCAAAACACCCATAATTCAACCCTAATATTTTCTTCAGCATCGTTTGCCGTTTCATCCTCTTCGTTATCCTCCTTCACATCCAGAGTTCTCCAGAATGCGGGAATATTTGCTCGCATGATCGATCTATAGCCGGCGATCAACGGCACATTCGACGGTTCTTCCCTTTCTGAATCGCCTTCATAGCTTTCCGACTTCTTCTCTTTATATGAAGTCAGTTCTTGCCGTTTGCAAACATGTTGATAGACGCGAAGTCGAATTTGCAAGATGCCCGACTGTGAAGGTGAAGTTAGAAAGGTATAATTGAAACACCGAAAGAACATACACTGAATGGTATAGAAGAACATGGCGTGGGATTCAACATGCAACTCGTAGCTGGTTTGAATAGTCAAACTGCTGATTTTGAAGCAAGTTGCAATGCTGATTTCTAGAAGCAAATAACGACAAGTGTCCAGCTGTCAAAGATATAAAACTTACCACTTGCAAAATGTTGGTCAAGCTGGCATCCGAAACCATTATTCAAGGTAGGGTTCAGTAGATCCAATTGTTGACTGAAAGTGACGCCGATCGCAGCAATGGAATGGTGTAGCTTTGATTTTGGTGTCTCTACAAGCTGGTACAGCGTCTACCAGATGTTCCTGTTGAACCTCTCTTGACCGAAATGCGACGCTTTTGGTAGTCTTCTACTACACTACTGCTGCAGGAATCGACCAGATAACTAATCGAAATGATAAGTAATACGTCCTTCTGGGATCGACCTAATTGTGGTCTGTCGCTTCGAGGTTTTCGCAACAAAAGTAGTGGCACACCGCGGTAACTATGAACCACTTGGAGGTTTCCTTTACTTCGTGGCTTTGAGCACGTGACCAAAATTGATATGAGCATCGTCCAGGATCTATCCTACCAGCAAATTATCGGGATGAATCCAAAGTAGCACCTTGAATGGATGATGGTCACAATAATTGTATAAAGATTCAGAGGTTATCAATAGATTTTTTGCATAGGGTTGTTGGAAGTGCACAAGAACTGATATGAACAGCATCATCAATAAATAAAGTTAACCTGTGTATACTTTTGCGGCTCCAAAATTGTTTACTCTAACAACATGTATCATCTAGTTATATAACTAGCTATATAATATGCATAATTATGAGGCATTTTGAATGTACTCTATATCAGGCACTCTAAATTTGATCGAGATCATTTGTGGTGCCTGAGTCGGATTGTAACGCACTTTGGAGCCCATGGCCCATTAGCTATTATCTTACTCCGTCGATAGAAATTACAACCTAAAATTTGATCGAAAAAGCTCTATGGAAATCATCATGGACTGTGATCTACGATCGCTAGAACGTATAAAACCAACTCACTTGTACAAGCACCTCAAGAATTTAATGTACCGTGATTCTTCTATGCATAAATAATAAACGGTTAGTAACCAGCTTTTGCTAGCCGATGTGCAAAATGTAATATGTAATAGCTATACTGTAAGGTATGTCGGGGAACATGGACCATCAAATTGGCTTACACTATAGAGCGATACATAGTGTTTCGAAACAAGGTGACATCTTTAGAGCCATTAAACAGTGATATACCGTCCATTTGAAAAGTAACACGATCCGATGTACCCGCTAGACAATATACAAGTCTTCGTGGCACTTGTCATATCGTGAAGTAATTTCGCTGTCACAAAATACTTTCAGATTGTACCTCCATGCAACTGCTAGTATCTGTATTTTCGCGGCAGTCCAGCTCATGACATGTCTCACAAGGCAGCCAAGGCAGTCAACTCACTGCTGAAGCCATATATACGGCGGATACTATTGAAGACGCATCCCGATTTCTTTACCCACGATGTCAAAAAGAAGAAGATAAATCAGGCATCTTTTCAAACGCTTCAGAATGTCCTGGCTCCAATACTGCAGGAACGATTCAGGGATTCTGAAAATAACAAACCCGACCGTGCTGTGAAGTTGGAATTTTACTTGAAGAATAGCAAAGTGAATAGTAAACTTTCGAGAATTGAACATACACTACCTATCTCTTCACCGAAGTCCGCACTAGACTTGTGGACAACCACAACATCAATACTGGATCTTTGTCGCAAGATTGGCATACAGGTTATGCCTTCCGATATTGACGCGGCCGAGCAGATGATCAGTAGCCTGTCAAAGCAACATTCTAGTCCGTCGTATGCTCGGAAACCAGCGCCTAGCCTCTCGCAAATATTTGCCAACGAGTTATATCAGTCACCATTAGCTCAAAATGTCACGGACGTTAGCAATAGGCTTCCAAAGCTACAGCTGGACAAAAATGAGTTATTGTTTTTTCAGCCACATATGAATTCCAAGATTAAAGAGTCCATGAAATCCAACCTTCAGCAAGCGCTTCCAATGCTTTGTCCGGAACGATGGTGGCAAAAAGTCCCGTTATTATGCGTGGAGGATGAACAGGTTATCAATGGCATAGATGTATCAGGAATATTAGTATTCACTGCCAATATGTCAACCAAAGGTAAGCTATCGCTGATGAAGAACCATGGGTTGGAAATAACACTAATTGATATTAAAGACATGCAGAATTGCATTGAAGAGAATTTAGACCTCAAACTGAAAGAGTATCAGGAGCACTTGGGTGCCCAGAGTACGCCAAAACGGTAAAGCAAAAGAAGAACGGCAGTTATAGATAGATGACGGGGTCATGTACAGTTCAATATTTTAGAAACTCTCATCTATTTATAACAGATATTGTACATAATTTAATTCCTCATCCTCTTTTTAAATCGCTCCATAACGGCATCGTCAGTCGCTGTATGCCTTTTATCGCTGCGTGATCGGTTGTTGTCGTGCGTCGTTTGCTTTGGCATAGAGACTGAGGCAAGCATTAATAACATGAAAAGGTTGATTTATCATTATTGAGTACAAAAGTTTACTTACATCGGCTTGGGGCATTGTATTCTGTGTTTTTGTTCTGTTTGTTGCCACTTTGCTGATTTTCTGATAATGCCCGCTTCGCATGCTCTGTGGCAGCAATATTTTGTAGTCGTACACTGCAAGCAACGAATTAGATATATACATTCCATAGCGCTCCAGAAAGATGCAGTACTTACTCCATTCCCAAATCAACTTCAGGGATCGCAGTCAACATTTGCGTCGAAAGTTGCACATTGCCTTCGACGACAGGCTTCTTGTCAACCTGAGAGAGTAAAAGAATTCAATGTGATGAGTACCTGGCACTTATAAAAGCTCAAACTTCTGTTATGTTCACTGTGATTTTCTTACCCTAAGATGGTCAGGTATTTTGTAAAGCTCATCATAGATGTCATGGTAGCTTCCACTCTCCTTAGCCTCCGCAGATGTCTGATCGCCAATATCTCCTTCACCCCTTCGCTTTTTCATCTCTTCTTCAATGTAAGCCATCCTGATCGACGGAAAGCGTGTTAAAGACAATAACTAGATAAAGATTGGTTCGCTGTCGTTCAGTTCTTACATATGTTTATCCACGTCCAAAGTGTTCGTTTGCGTCGTGAATGAGTCCAATTTCAGCTTCTGCTCGGGTTTCTCTGCGTCCTCTCTGATTCTAAAGTTATTATTGATAAACCTTTCAATGCCTTACAAAATCAAATTACTTGCCCGTCAGCATGGATCTCATCCTTGTCCACCAGACCACCCGTTTTCAGCTTCCACGGATCAGAATTAGCAGGCTGTGCTTTCTTCTTTTTTTTCTCTTCTCCTTTGAGTAATTTCGCAGAATCTATGCCAGCATGTTTCCGGCGAAGTTTTCTTAACTCTTCTAGTTCTTCGATAGTTGAGCTATGTAAGTGAAAATTTGAGGGTAAGTTGAGTGATCGGACTCTTGTGTCGATGCTAATCACATACCTAACATCCTCTTCATTTCGAGGTGTAGATGTTTCTGATTCGCTTCGAAGAGAGGAATCAGCTGTAACTTGTGATTCATCGTCAGATTCAGCCTTCTTCTTTCTATAGGTTCGCTTTTTACGTTCAGCCATGGGAGTATACAGTATTGTTGATCGTCGTGGCAAAGCTTGAAATTTTGAGCATTGGCAGCGGAAGTTTAATAGTTTTGGCAGTCCACCCAATTTCGCTACCTGATCAGCTTCCATGACGAAATGATAGTGAAGGCAAACTTAAGAAGTACAAAGCCATTACCAGCATCTGTTCATTCCCGTTATGCTGCTAGTGATATGTAGAAACCCCGGATATCTTAAAAGTGAGTATGTCCTTATAAATGAATCACAGGCTACATACAAGTGGATGATCGAGTTTAGAAAAATGAACGGCAGACACATCAAGTACTGTAACAAGAACGTGAACATTTTGGTGGTAATTGTATTCGTGAATTTGGTGTATATACACTATGGAAGTATTTAATTATTCTATGTATAGCTTCATTCTTCGTCGCTATCACTCGCTTCCTCATCTTCCTCGACTCTTTGCTTGGCGCCATTGTGCTTGATTGAGATGGATTGCACCTCTTCAGGTAGGGAGTTGTATATGGGAAGACTGATAGAGTCAGATGTTTTTATGTTGATTGACTGAATGTTTTTCCATTTCTTGGGGATGTTGTCAGCAACTTGTGGGACAACAGACATGATGTTTTCGAAAATATGTTGTTCGCTCAAGGCTGTTGTTCCAACCTTGATGGCACTGCAAGATCCACCGTTCAAATGCATATATGTGGAGCTCAACGCCTTCTCAATCTCAGCTTTCAAGTTAGACTTCTTCATATCAACAGGAATGGGTTGCCTAATCATTAAAGCTCGTTAGTAACACATTAATTGAACCTGAAACAATTGATGACCTGACTTACTTCTTCTTCAAGAAGAACTCCTTTCCAAGCAACTTTGGCAGAAGAGGGATGACTCTATCGTCTGCCAAGAACATGCCATATGCTGCGCAAAGCTTTCTCTTTGCTTCGAAAGGCTTGTACTTGTCTCGTAATTTTGAAATGCCAATAACCTTATTTACACAAGAAAATTAGCGACACTTTACAACAGAGTGTCTTAATTGCAAAGCTATTTTACTCACCTTGTTGACACGCTTGACCTGCTTAGAAGCCAAGAGCTCTTTGAATTCCTTCTGAGGATCTTTGGTGAATAAGCACACCTCAGCATCGCTTTGAAGAACAGAGTACTTCAAGTTCCTAAACACAGTGTAAATATAAAATTCATAAAATGGTAATACGATATGGAGGGAAAGTAATACTTACAATCGCTTGGGCATAGCTTTTCTTGTGTCAGGGATCTTCTTGGTGCCGACAATCAACCAGATCACAGATTCGTCTTCGATGAGATCATTTGCGTTTTTTGACTTGACATGTTTGACAAGAGCTGTGACAGCAGATTTGGTCTTTTGTATTGTTGTTAGTATTATGGAATAGCAAGCTACTTAAGTGCATCCGGCACCTTACCTGCTTTTCGTCCAAATTCATTGTGGTGAGGTGTTGAAAAACTGGCAAAACTTTCGAACAAGAAAAAAAAAAAAAAAAGTGTTCGGTTAAGTTAGCAGTCACGGCCACTCATGAAGCCAATCTGCGAAAGTGTCAAGTTTTGTTTCCCCGCTCGCGACGTGTCCCTGATCACTACCGGACAAAAAAGCGAATGGTACGAAAGTCATTGCGACCGCTGCTGATGCTTTCGGCAGTGCAACTGGCTGCTCTTTTGCTCTTCTGTAAAGGTTTTTTCCCGTATAAGACCTACTTACCTGGATTCGCCACTACTGCCGACGCCCCAGAAATATTGTCCAAGACAGCCGACAGCAACGAGCCACAGTTTGATAGATTAGTCTTTGTCCTTGTCGATGCGCTCAGAAAGTATGTTGCAGCTCCAGTTCGACTGATAATATATATGATGTTAATAATTCTATTTCCTTTAATGAAGCGACTTTGTATTCGAAAGGGGTTCCGGGTTTTCTTTCGTGAAGAGGTGGGCTGGCTGCGTATTAGCGATGATGCTGAGGATCACAGAACTGACTTTCTCAACACAAATAGCTTGATATCCCAAGGATCTGCAAAACCGTTTACTGCCAAGGCCACAGCACCAACAGTCACGCTTCCTAGGATTAAAGCTCTTACAACAGGTACCATGAGCAACACTATTTGATGACAATGCTGAGAGTGTGAAATCCATCGTCTCATCATTTAACCACAGGAGCTATACCGAGTTTTGTTGACGCAATATTGAATATTGCTGAGTCCGATACTTCTTCGTCGCTAGCCCATCAGGACAACTGGGTATACCAATTGCATAAGAATGGAACAAATACCATCAACTTCTTTGGTGACGATACTTGGATCAAACTGTTCCCTGGTTTGTTCACAAGAACGGACGGTACTACTTCATTCTTTGTATCGGTAAGCTACTGAATTTAACATATTTTGTTTAAGGCCATACAAGTGTTGACACGTCTCTTTCTATAGGATACTGTAGAGGTTGATACGAATGTCACTAGACACGTTCAACCAGAGATTGCAAAAGAAGACTGGACTGCCATAATATTTCATTACCTTGGATTGGACCACATTGGACATATAGGTGGCCCAAAGAGGTGAGGGTTCAAATATTGTCTCAGCTAACGTACCACACAATGCTTACCACATCTCTAGTCATCTGATGTTGGATAAGCAGAAGGAGATGGATAATGTCATTCGAACAATATATGAATATGTTGCAGAGGATGACTCTCAGAGGAGAAAGAGATCCAGAGATGCTTTGGGTACTCTCATTGTGCTGTGCGGTGACCATGGTATGAATGAAGCTGGCAATCATGGGGGTTCATCTGACAATGAGACGTCAACGGTAAGTGGCTCGATTTCGTATCGTTGTATGTAACTTAGGCTAATATTGTGAAAGGCTATGGTTTTTATGAGCCCAAACTATGAATCACGGCCCATTATAAAACATCACACTCCTCGCCGGCCGACATTTTCGAAACAAGATCAGTTTGGGTATCCACAGATTGATCAAATCGACTTGGTTCCGACACTATCTATGCTTCTCGGATTGCCAATCCCCAGAAACAATATTGGAAAAGTAATACTTGAGCTATTCAATGGGCAAAATGGTAAGTTGACCCTATTTGCTAGACTTTATATCACTAACTAACCATGCATTAGGACTCCGAGCATTGAGGGCGTTACAAGTCAATTCACACCAACTCGGCGATATACTACATGCTCATCATGGAGCATATTATGAAGAGCCTGCAGGCGATGATGCTCGAATAGCAAAGCTATTATTATCTTTGGAGAATTCCGAAGAGCTAACCAGCATACAAGAAGCATGGCACGCACTACACTTTGCGAATGGGTTCCATAGCCAGTACGTTGAAACTAAAGCGTTCAGCACGGCCAAATCCAAGGACCTTCTTTCAAGAGCCGAATCGTTGTATATGAAGGTAAAACAAGATTGACTCTAGTGCTGAGTAAATCCATATTTAACTTTTGTATCCTACAGTTTATCGATTTCTCGCATGACCAGCTCGCTAGAACTGCTAGCTTATATGATTTACCCTACATGTATCTCGGTATGTTCTTGTCGCTGGTCTCCACAGTTTTCCATATTCGCCTTTTGATATCAGCGAAGAGAGACAAAATTGATGGCAAACAATCAACTTTGTCTGGCGGAAGTATTACAATGCACCATGGTTATGTCGGCATCAGTCTCGTTATGTATTGCGTGTCGCTATTTGCAAGTAGTTTTATCGAAGAAGAGCACCTGTTTTGGTACTACTTTATACAAACATCTTGGCTTATCATGATGTTTGAGAGGTAAGTTTATCTTCCTTGGCAACATCTACAACATTTCTTCTAATCCTTCCTCTAAAATAGTTTACGGAGATATGACTACACCGGCGATCGATTCCAAAAAATCGCCTTAGTCGGAGTCAGCCAAATGGTTGTTTTCCGAATTGTACAAGCTTGGAATCAAACTGGAAACCAACATGCCGGGGAAATCGACATCCGATACTGGCTCAACAATGAATATGATACCTGGGCATGGCACCTACTCGCGGCAACGTTGATGTTGAATGCATTACAATGTATTAGAAACCTTTGGCAAATGCAGCTAGTAACATCGCGCATCAAAGATATCTCGCAAGCGGCTCGAGTAATTTATCGAGCGTCAAAGGTCATATTCTTAATCTGTGTATGTCTGACATCAACATTGGTTGTTGTGTATAAAGTTCGAACGGAGAAAGACCAAGCAGATATACCTTCAATATATCGAGATTTAGCGACATGGGAGCTGCCGGATCGCTTGGACCAACAACAGCTGGGTCGCTTGATATACAACTACGTTGCCGCAGCATTTTTCATGCTAAATTCGACAATTTTCATTGGAAAATACGTCAGGAAACTGGACATCACAAATACTCGTAACAGTAAGTAACATGTCTGGTTATATTAAGACCGAATGCGTCCTAAACTTTGTTCCATCTATAGTGGTTGCGCCAGCTCCATATGTTCTGCTATTGCTCAGGACTGTGACTCCATTGTTAGTACTCTTATCCAAAACGCACAACGCCATCTTATTTGCATTCTTCGATGTTCAACTCGAGCTATTTTACATTTGGTTCCGCTGTGAACCTGCCTCTGCCTATGCAAATACTCCTGAATCTCATTCCATTCTTACAAACGCCAGTATCATTTTGGGAATGATACAATCGGCCTTCTTCATTATGGGCAACTCAAATTCTCTATCATCAGTAGACCTTGGAAACTCATATATTGGGGTGGATGGGTATGATGTAGGAGTAACTGGTTTGCTAACATTCATATCTAACTGGTCAGGCAGCGTTTGGTGGACATTTGCTGGAATTTCACTCATTGCACACGGATATTGGCTTACACAGAGTATATCACAGCCGCCACCGACCATCCAGCTGAACGATGATGCGCCAGAACATTCATCCCATGATGAAACCCAAAATGATACGGATGATAACTCGACCATCAACGACGAAGATAACACATCAATTATAGCCGCTAGAGAGTTGATCTCATATTATTCGTCGTTCTACATCTATTTCGCCATATTCTTTAACTTGGCTCTAACCACATTATCAGTCTCTGTCACCATTCTTCGACAGCACTTATTTATTTGGACGGTATTCTCTCCCAAGTTTCTTTTCCAAGGAGCCTGGGTAGTTTTATACCATTTCATGATTCAAACACTATTAGCCACAGTCTTGATTGGAACTTGGCTACCATGGTGTATCGCATAGATTTCTTTTACTGGCCCTTGGCACGGTAGCGCGTCGCTAGTATAAAATTTTTGAAATAAAAAAAAAATTGTCAAAGTGGTGTCGTGCCACGCCTAATCTTGGTACCTCTGAACTGAATTCGCCAAACAGTTTTCAAAAACAAATTCACCATACTATAGCTGCTTGTGATCTCTCAATATGAGCGATCGAGGACGTGATTCCCGTATGGATAGTCTTAAAGCGCTCTACGACTTGAAGAAGAATAACCCTAATGACACTACCACCGAAAACAACTTCTACAATGCTGTTCTGTCTTACTTATTGCAGGACAAAACAGACCATTGGTGGTGCAACAAGTCTTTAGAGCCTTTCGTTCGGGAATCGATGATGCTCTTTTCACTACCAGAATATGATCATATAACGAAGTACAAGAATAGAATGAACATGCAACTAAGGACTTGTCGCCACTGTCTCACTTCCTATCACAATTCTAAATCAGCTCTTCGACAAAGGTACGTCAACTTTGTTTCATGTCTGAAAGTCAATTGGATCTAATAGGTTTTGTTTTGATAGCTACGAGCAATTATACTCTGTTGAAAATGTTGCGCAGTTCTTTCAGCAGCTAGAACGATTCGATGCCAGCAGAATACATTTGACACTACAAGAGATACTTACGCCGCCTGCCGGCCCTAAGCAGACATCCAGCTCATCAATAGATTCCAATAATGTCTTTTGTGCTATCCTGGATATTACGATAAGTCCAGCGGTTTTGAATGTCAATAACCTAGATCAGGAGTTCTCCAGCGCTATAATGACCATGCAGAACTCCACCTCTTTAAGAATCCCGGAATTGGACATGAGCCCCGGCCTGTTCTCGCTGACACTTCATAAGAACAAAATTATCCGGCTTTTTTCACGGAAACAAATTGAGCGATTCACGACTCGGGGACAGGATTTAGACAAGCAACATGCAGATGTTTTGAAACCATTTGCCAAACGATTATTGATCTATCTGGGGTCACTCAATCCAACACATTCAAAGGCAGAAATACACCCCGTTGACGAGCCATTCGCCTTGACTGATCAACCTGGAGAGTACTGGAAATCTTTTCGATATTTAGCTTCTTGTGTTGCCGCCCCTCCTCTGTTGATTTGGATTCGTAGTTCACCGACAAATATGGAATCTCTCATACAATCACATTTGGAAGATGGAAGCATGTGGTTTCATGAAGTTCTTAAACTGCTTGCCGTACTTCTTACCAAGCTAAAGAGTCAATTCTGGAGCAGTCCTCCTACGCACTTGTCCGATTTTTCGAAATACATTGATTCCATTTTTTCGAACCGTGTGTTCCGAAATCTCATGCAGTTGCTCTCACAAGGAAATGGTAAGACTGTTGTGCACCAGAATGACGGTACGCCTATTCCGTTTGAAAAAGTTGCCATTCGCCTCAATGGCATTTTAGAGTGGATATTTCCCTTCTGGCTCTCATTTACAGGCACTGCCATATATGTCCCCATGACAGAAATGATTCTCGACTATATGTTCAACCTCTTCCAACAAAATAACACACCGACGCTAATGCGTGCCAAATGTGTGGAGATAGGCATGTCGATAATCAGCGAAGCTATTACGTTGGATGGACGACCATCCTCAGCTTTTATTAACAAGTATGCTGCACTCATTGTAAAGTCGTCTATCAGCCCCAATAGTAAAACTTTGGAAACAAAAGTTAAAACGGGACAGCCACTTCTTGAACAGTTGTTGATGTCAGATGTAGATGCAGTGCGAGACACCTACTTCAGTCTTTATGCCATTGTTCCATCTAAACGATCTGAACCTTCAAACCGCGGTATTTGCGAAAAAATTTGGAAAGAGGTCTGTGGCATAAATTTCGACTACTGTGTGCCAGCACAGATGGACGTTGTTACGTCTATTTTCAAAGCACACTCTGTCATCGCTTTGCTAGATATGGATATCATGCAGGATGCTCAACAGCATTCGGAATCAAAGCAACAGCAGATACAGTTTCTAATCGATTCTTTGATGATTATCCGAACGAATGTACAGCCGCTTTTACAAGCACTGTTGGATCAGCAAGGGAACCAACTGTCTAGACTGATGAATAATGACATCGTCGCTTCTCGTACGCTTCATATCGTTTCATCGCCTGATAGAGATATTCGAAGCATTGGAGTTACGATGTTCAAGACTGCTTACCGCGAAGATGCATTTATTGATTGCTTGATACAATACCTACGGACCAATCCCAACAATGGCTTGGATGCCATCACGCAACTAATGCTAGATTTCACCGAGTTCATTGATGGAGGCTGCAACATGTTCTCCACCTCAGGTCCGGTCTTTGCCACACTTGCTTCCGTTGTAAGCGCCCTGGTAGGAAACGAAGACAGCTTATTGTTTAATGTTATCACTAGCGGCGATCTCTCAACAGCTGGTGATCTGGATAAACTTCAGAAGCTTTGGAGTTTTTTTTGGATATTTGTTGGCAAGTCTGTGAAAGCAGCACTAGTCTGGGCACAAAGCTACCGGCCGAAAGAAGTCGTCAAAGCGGTTTTACCCGTACTTCAAATTGCATCGCAAGTCATTGGTACTTTCAGAACCTTCGAACAAATCGCACAGATGAAAGATGCAAGCAAAGAAAACTCGACACATTGGTCTTCACCATCAAGTTCAATGCTCTCATATACCGAATTGGCCAATGCTCTGGATCCTTTATCAGAATGGATTTTTGTTACTAGCCACGATGTTCTTCGACTTTTAGTACCACTTCTGATCATGTCATTGAAGCGGCTTACACAAACACAAGTAAAGGTCTCATCTAATACATATGACCGGTTGATGGGCGCCGCAACTGGCGCCGTTGACAGTAGAGTTACCACAGACGAAAAAGAAAATATGTTTATGGCCTTGAGCCCGCATGACCCTGCTAACACCGTATTTTTCGATGAAAGCGACGATGACGATAATGGCAATTGGGTGACAACAGATTCGAATACAAATTTTTCCACAAATTTTTTGGATTCTTCTTTGTTGAACGCTACTCATTCGACTCCCAGCATACCCATAGTTGCCCCACCTATATCACCTAAAAGGCTGCGTCAACCAACGTTGGCCGAATCTTTTGCAGCTGCAGTTGGCAAATCACCTGATTCACCTAGTCAAACCACCAAAAACGTGCGCAGCCAAATGAAATTGACAGATTTTCTAGCCAAGCCCAAGGCTGATGCGATCGTTCTGACTGATGAAGATGATACCCCGAAGCCGGTGAAGGCGACTCAAAAGAAAGAAACAAATCAAGAAGATGAATTCGACGATGAGTTTGAAGATATGGACTTTACTGATATACCTGAAGAATGGTTTGACGAACAGAAGATCAGGCTTGAAAGCCAGAAGGCATCAGGAGAAAGCGAGGAGAAATTGAAAGCACATCGCTTAGAACGCTTGAGGATCGCTCAAGCTAATATGCATGCTAGGAAAGCGTCAAGACAAAATCGAGTGCATATGCAGCAAACCACACCTACATATGCAGTCGGCCCATCCAGAGGGGGTCTACCAGGAAAAAAGCTTCGACCACCAACCATGGGACTTTCCAAGCTTCAAGCTCTAAGAAAAGAATTCAGTACTTCTCGTGTATATCCTTCAGCTACATCGACACAATCTAGACGTGAACAAGGCTCCCAGCAAGACTCGGATGATTCTGGAGACGAATCAGCCTTCGCTGAACTTGTTAGCGATTTCGATAAGTCAAAAGAAAGTCATGCTCCAAAGGAAAAGGAAAAGTTTTCAGGTGCTATATTCGATGATCGACCACGCCGCTCTGTCAAACTAATTGATGCTCCTGTCACTGCTGGGAGTAATTTTCAAGAGAAGAAAGCTCAAATGCAACGCGCTCTGGCTAGGAAGAAGAAAGTCACTCCAAGCATGAGAGGACTGCACAAAACAATTCTTGCATGGGATGTGACAGTTGAAGGAGAGGTCCCACCGAATGCTTCTCGAGATATGTACAAGCGCGTTCCCTCCAAGTTTTCTGACGTTCATGAATATACACAAATCTTTGAACCGCTACTGTTACTGGAGGTTTGGATGCAACTCATGCGAGCAAAAGAAGAAGCGACAGAATCAGATGTTATTGACAACTGTATGATTGAGAGCCGGTGCAACGTAGATGAATTTGTCGACGTTACTTTCCAGATGACAATCGCTTCGGGACGATCCTTAGCGGTTGAAGATTTGGTTTTCATCGCGAATCATTTCGGTAGCTCATTTTTCAATAAGTCGGATGGACAGCATCACAAATGGGTCGGAAAAGGTTTCTTGAGCAAGGTCAAATCTATGGTATACAAAAAAGATCTGGCTGATGTGACGGTTCGCTGCTTCTTTCCGCCATCCCAGATGATTATGCTGAACTCCTTAGCTCCGAAGTCAATATGGCGAGCTCTAAAGCTTTCTAGGTATGATCAGATATTTTTTAAAAAAAGATTTATTTATATAAGCACCATTAACAACTCTATCTATTTAATCCACTTCTTTTAGTTTAACCACTGCTCATAGAGAGTATTCGGCGTTGAAAGCTTTAGAGTATTATGACCTACGAGATATGATATTACAGCCAAAACATCTGCCTACCGCGCCAATTTCGGAAAGAGAACTAGTAAGATGCATGAACACATTCAAGGTCAACCAACCACAAGCAGAGGCAATTATGGGTACTATACGTCGACCGAAAGGATTCACCCTCATTCAAGGGTAAGTGTGTGTATCTTGCATTACAACATGACTTGGATATCTAATTCACATTGGATATCGGTGATACTTCTTAATTTAATAGCCCACCTGGAACTGGAAAAACCAAGACCATTCTCGGGCTACTTGCATCGCTCATCTCACAACAATCAATGAAAAATGATCGTTCGTCCATTCAAACTCCTGTTAACGAACAAACCACAGATTTATCTGGCAAACTACTGATTTGTGCGCCAAGTAACGCAGCCGTGGATGAAATTGTTAAACGTGTCATGGAAGGCATTGCTGGACCAGACGGCAAAATGTTTCCCAAGATTGTCCGTATTGGCAAATCTGAGTCTATCAATTCCAGTGTTAAAGACGTTTGTCTGGAGCCACTCATTGAAAAGGAAATTCAATCGCTGAACTTGCGCAAGCAGGCTAACGACAAAAAAGGCAATCCACGAGAGAAATTGATGGAGGAGATGAGAAAAATTAAGCTGACTCTTGACGAACTCGATAAAGAAATGGCACAAGCCGAAGGCGATCCCGTACGGTATGCGAACATCAATGACCGTCGTCGAGCGCTAATGGGAAAGAAAAGAAATCTGGCTGTTTCACTGGATGAGGAGTCACACAGGAGAACTGAATTTTCTCGAGATCTCGAAATAGCCAAGCAAAGGGCCAAGCAAAAGATTCTTAGTGAGGCTGATATCGTCAGTTGTACACTCAGTGGCAGTGGACACGAAATGTTGACATCCATTGGAATCTCGTTTGAAACCGTCATTATTGACGAAGCTGCGCAATCCATTGAAATTAGCTCCTTGATCCCGTTGAAGTACGACTGTCAACGTTGTGTCCTTGTCGGAGGTAAGGAGTATAAGACAATGAGAGCTTTTTTATTATTTTATTCGTTGACTCAGGTGTATTTTGACAGATCCCAATCAATTACCTCCAACTGTACTGTCTCAACTTGCCTCGAAATATAGCTATGAGCAAAGTCTATTCGTGCGACTACAAAAGATGGCACCTGACGATGTCTTTCTTTTGAGGTAGATTCTTGTATATTCTGAGTTGAGCAATATACCATTGAGACAGTTATACTAACACATCCTTCTATCAAGCATTCAATACCGTATGCACCCGGAGATCAGCCTCTTTCCCAGTAAACTGTTCTACGAATCACGACTTAAAGATGGTCCTGGTCTGGCCGAGCTGACAAAAGTTGAATGGCATAAAAACCCGTGCTTCATGCCGTACCAGTTTTTAAATATCTTGGATGGTAAAGAATCCATGGGAAGCGGAAAGTCTCTTTACAATACGAAGGAAGCGGAGGCGGCCGTCACACTAGTTGACTCATTGGTCTCCAAATTCCCAGCTGTAAATGTAAGTTCACTTCCATGTCCTTATCTTTCACCGGCACTAGAGTGACACGGCTAATTGATATTCAGTTTGCATATCGTATTGGCATTATCACGCCTTACAAACAACAACTGCGAGAACTGCGAAATCAGTTCGAAAGGCAGTATGGACGAGACATTTTGAACGTTATAGATTTCAACACAGTGGTAAGCACTAAACTGTTGCCTAGCTGGACCTTGCAATATCAACGCGGAACCAACGAAACTCTAATCGGTTATGCTATTTTATAGGATGGTTTTCAAGGACAAGAGAAAGATATCATTATCTTTTCATGTGTTAGAGCCGGTCATGGTAAGCTAAAATTCTAAAAAATACGTTTTATGGTACGGACTATTCATATATAAACCTTAATTATGGCAGACAGAGGCATTGGATTTTTGTCAGACATTCGACGTATGAACGTTGGTCTTACTCGAGCAAAGAGCTCACTGTTTGTCCTTGGGCATTCACAGTCTCTGAATGGTAGTGAATACTGGGGAGACTTAGTTTCAGATGCTAAACGCAGACATGTTCACATTGATGTAAGTTAACACATATGATACGAATGATAGATTTCATACACCGCACTCGTCTAACGTGGTTGGGATATATCTTCAGTGTCGCTTACCACTGTTTGGACACCGCCTGAGAACCGGATTTCACCCTCCTAACCTTTTCAAAAAAGCGCTACCAACACCAACCACTCTCCCTCCAGTTGTCACGTCTGCATCACTCACACCAAGTAAGATTACGGAGCTACGGCCATCACCTATAGAGTCTGACATGGATGTGGATGAAGCAACGACCATTTCTTCAGCTAATGGAAATCCGACGCGTACCACGGTCCCAGAACAGAGACCAGTACCCAGGAGAGATGGCGCTAGTACAACAACGGAAAAAACAGATTATATTCAAACTGGTCTGAATAGGAATAAACGTGGCATTGAAGGATTTAATGATGCTGATAGCTCTTCAGCAATAGCGCCACGAAAAGACAGTGACATTACCGGTGGAAGTCGCAAATTAACTTTAGAAGAATATCGCGCCAAGCGTGCGAAAATGGCTACCAGCAGTCGACCTGCAGAGGGCCGTCCCAGCAAACAAATTCCCCCACCACCTTCATCAAGTAAACCCAAGTCTGGCATATTCATTCCAAAATCAAAACGACCGGTAACAGATAAAGTAAGTTTATTGGTTGTTTGAAAAAAGGATCAACCATGACGCTCATTGTCTATGTCTTAGCACCAACCAAATGAAGAACTAGCTTTGAGCGCTCGCGAAAGATTGACGCTTCAGGTAAGACTCTACCAGCAGAAGTGGACACACTAATGAGATCTAGAATTTGGGGCTGCAAAAAGTTATAACCGACGTATATTCCCTTTATACTCAATTGTAGGCAGAAGCTTCCAGAGCAGAATTGAAACGATTAAGCCTACAGGATCGAGAAGTGCACAAAAAGCCCAAGACAAACACAAAATCTGGAAGTGGTTCAAACAATGTACTGGATGATATTTTAGATTCAATTTCCCGTACCTGATCACCATGTATTCTAAGGGTACAACTTGTAAATAAAATGTAAATTAGAGCTGAGCTAAGATTGGACAATCTTCACAGTCATCATTTTCCATTGCAGCCAACCGCTATTGCAAATTGTCCGCTGGATGACCTTGTTCGGTAAAGCATGGCTTCTAAATTTGACACTTTGGCGGCCATCAGTGTAACATTAAGGTTTAACTGCATTAGAATGGCGCGCTGAGAAATCAGTTGAGATTCAATCTATGGAGCAGCAGGAAGATCCGCCTATCCGTTGAGGCGAGCAACTAAAGAGAAAGAGACAAAAAAGACAGTGAACCAACATCTATAAAGACAATTCCATCTTCTTTGCTACGCAATCAGATAATATACTCAATGTGAAGAAGTTTTCTACTGGATAAAGAGCTGACGGATGTTAATTGGCGAGACACTGAGCTTCATTTCTCGACTGCAACTGGTATAGTGTCCTCCTAATGGTTCGCCCGAGTTCATCACTTGAAGCCGTCATTAATGTGCTTGGCCGTCACATTCACATTGAACGGATACCATTTAATAATCACAAGCGTCATCTTATAAAAAGGAAAGTGAAAACTCTTTCTTCATCCATCTTTCACCTTCCCTTCACTCTCCTTCACATTTCAACTCTTCTACCTCAAGACAGTTTGGTCCATTGTTCAACAAACCTTACAATATAGACTAGTGTTCTTAGTGTAGGACAGCCATCACCTTGAATACGAACAACATGGATGTCAACAGTCAAATCAACACCGTATGGCGAGTATGCGATAACAATCCTGATCAAACATGCCACTGCGACTGGCGCTTGACTATTAAGAATTGCGCAGAAGAACGAGTGATGAATATCGTCTACATCATCAACATTGCCCTGTCCGCACTCACCGTCATCTTTGGTAAATTATTGGTAATTTTGAACAGTAGACATTTATATTAGCCCACTGACAACATTTTCTACCAGGCCTGTATATGCTGGGAAAACGAGTCTTTTTTCAAGGTCATAGCTTTATGGTCCGAAGTGAAGGGAGGGGACTTTTCCGACCAAAGCCTGTGGAGTGTCTCTTATTGTTCATCACTATTTTCAGCATATGTATGTATAAGCCAGAAAATGGTTCTCATCCTATGAAGGTCAGCTTTACTCATAATGCGTTTTCTCTTTTCTGTAGTGCGTTTGGTGAGCAGCCTTGTGCTTGTGCTGGACATTGCACCAGGAAACATGATTTTCCGCTCCTGTAAGTTTGAACGCCTTTTCCTCAGTATAATTGCTTTGTCCTACTAACACACCATGTATTGTTTTCTCGCCATTGGCCATATTTGTTATAGTCATTTTCGAAATACCATGGCAATGGGGGTTTGGTGGCTTTGTACTCTATTTGATTGGCATTGCACAAACTCTTGCAGATGTATGTCGATATTATACTTCCCAATTTAATCATGCATGTCCTAATATCGCTTCACTGCATTTTCGTAGAGTCACAAGGCCATCTCAACGGGATGGTTACCATCGCCGGTTCTGGTTGATGTCTTCGGATTTTCTCTGTTGCTCCTTCCATTCATTGCAAATAACACCTGCTCTCTCATTGCTGGAGCTATGCTGGATGCCGGTCATGATAGAGTTGCTGTAATTTTCATACGACTACTGTATGTATTTTGGTTCGTTGAAGATTCTACTCTGGCTATCTCGGTCGTGTGGGCTGGATCACGCCTAGTTCGGCTATTGACTCGCCACTTGTTCCAATTTCGGGTCACTGGTGAACGATACTCGTCCATCAAAGGTGGCATTTTAAAGGTATAATTTTTCGAAAGTGATACTGCTGCCGACCAAAGGTGCTTATTACTTTTTCTTACTCTTTGTTTTTATATAGATCAAACTAGTTATTGTCATTGCTGGCATCGGTCTCAGTGGGTTCGCTTCATTCTTACTTCTATATGGAATTTTGCGCGACTATATTATGACCAGTACGGTCGGTAGTGCTATTCTAGGTGGTATCTGGACTTGGCTTGGGGCTTTCATGTGTATCTCATGTGAAGCAGCAGTGGCCATAAGGTACTTGATAACCCTAAAACTTGACCATCTGTTGATTTATAAATAACATTGGCACTAAAACGTCTACTTTATTTTCTAACAGTCCTAAAATGGCCGCTCCTTCTGTCGGTCTCCCAGATTCTTCAGTAGATCCGTACACGGGTAGAACAGGTGTTTCTAGTGGAGGTGGCTTTTCCTCTCATCATTCCAAAGGCGAAGTTGAAAGTTATGGAAAATACAGTCCCAGTCCTGCTGCCTTGGTGGCTTTGCATACGATTAGCAACTCGCCTTCTTGTTTTGCCCCACATTATGAAGAGGAGAAATATTACAGTCCTACTGGTTTACCCATGGATGAAGGTATAGGTTCTGGAACCTTGTCCGAGATTCGGCTCATAGGTGAAGCCAAGTGAAAAGCAGCTAGATTGACTTACACCTGTTCTCTTTTCCGCCCGCCAATTATTTTTTTTCAGAGCACTAGAACGTCGTAAAAGTGTTGTACAAAGGATACCTGCCCTTTGCTTTGCCCTTCACGTGCGCTCATAAGCTTTCGTTTTACAAACATAGCCCGTTATTACGTTCCAACCCACATCGTGAGCCCATATGCTTTTCATCCTTTTCATGTCTTTTACAGTAATCCGTTTACACTATGCTTCCCAGTAATTACCGCTGTACCTTTTTCCCACCAATACGCACCTTTTAATTTTCTGCTTCTACATAATAAATATGGAGGCATACTTCATACGGTAAGACGCATGCCGAGATAAAATGAAAATACTGATACACAAGGCTGGACTGGTAAAACCTTTTTAATGCTATACTGACTGATTGACGTATCTAGATTTAAGAGTTACACAAAAAAAATCACTATAACAAATATCGACTTTCGACACCTGGAGGACTTGATGCGGTGTCGAAATATATAATTGAAGCTACCCATATTATGGTAAAGCTGAAATTGACATTGATACACCAGATAAATCTCGTTCAATGTCAATCATACACTGTCTCATCCACGTTACCTAAATCAATGTTACAAATATACATTGTCCAGTGAACTTTGCCGTTTTCATATACACTGTATACGTAAATGACATGACCGGAACTCTTCTGTCTAACATTACTACCGATATCTTGGCTCACTAATACTAGGAGAGATGTATAAGGTAAGGTGAGCAACTTTAGGATTTCCTTGGTAACGTTCAATGGCTGACCTTGCACCGTTCGTTTTTACCATTAACAAGCTAGGCACTTCTTGCGGCAGTACATCATTAAAATCCCGAGCTCCGCTTTTTTCCTCAACGTTGCAATTCTTATATTTCTTCTCATATTGAAAAAAAGGTCGCAATCTTTCCTCTCTTCTCTTCTATACCAAACATTCTAAACCACACCAGCAGCTTTTCTACTGTCCTTTTCATTGCTATCAACATTTCGACACTCCTTGAGACATAGCTGGCATCATCTTCTTCCATCAGCCACGACGCATTTACATATTTCATACATTTTTCTAAATACCACCAAAAAAGCTGGATCTTTCCACGGTTACTCTACATTTCTTGAAAATACCCCACCATCAGCATAACAATATACCAATACACTAGAATATAAATGGATGCTTCGAATAAGGCTTCAAATTTTTGGCTATCTTGCAATCCCGCCGGAGAGCATTGCCACTGCGACTGGAGACTGACTTATCTTTCCTGCGAAGAAAGCCATGCTATTGATATTATCTTCAAAATTAATGTGGTTTGGTCAGCCATTGTCTCATTCCTAGGTAGGGATTCATACTTTCACACTGTCGTTAGTATATAGTGATAATAACGTTTTCTCACCTAACGCCATGATGTAGCTGCAGCGCTACTGATTCATCGTATATTTTATCAAGGCCAACGCCTCTATGATACGAAACGTGGATATTTGCGGCCACAACCTGTAGAAACGCTTCTCGTCCTTGCTGTTATTTACAATATTTGTAGGTGGAATAGCCTGTGATTTATCTTAGCATATTGATTCATGCTAATACTCTTTTGTAGTGCGCATGGTGCACTCTATAGTCATTCTCAATGACAACCCTAACAGTGTGATTTTCCGTTCCTGTAAGTCACTAGGATGCCAAACCGGATGAATACATCCAGAACCGCTAACCAACCATTATACAGTTATATTTGAGTTCGGTTGGCAATTTGGATTTGCCGCCCTAGCTGCCTATTTATGGGGAATTGCCATAACAGTTTTCGATGTAAGCCAGCTGCATTATTTATCTGATGCCTGAGTTAGAATTTTCGCTCGCCGTCAATGCCCCCAACTAATATTTACCATATGTTAGAGCGAAGCAGTTATGGACAGTGGGTGGCGATTATCTCAACGACATATAAGCCGAGTGGGATTAGCATTTGTACTCTCTCCAGTTATAACCAATAATGTGTGCTCTATTCTGTCGGGATATTATGCTCAACAAGGCGACGCTTACAAGGCTGAGATCTTTGCTCGACTTCTGTATGCCTTTTGTACGTCTAGCCCCTTTTCTTTATTTTGATCATGATGCCGACATTACATACTGACACGACTTTTACAGGGGCTTTTTATTGCTTACTACTCGTCTTCTGCGTCACATATTCTGGAGTGAGACTCATGCATTTGCTGGGAACCCATCTCTCCATGTTAGGATCTGGTAAACGCTATGAGCAAGTCAAGACTGGACGTATGAAGGTAAAGCCAAGATTTGCATGTGTTTGTGGAAGATTTACACAGCTTGAACTATTTTTTGCTGATAACTTAATTGCATCGGATTCAGGTCCGAGCGATTATGACGGTGTCAGCTCTCTGTTTGGCTTGCTTTACCATGCTTTGCGGCGTTTATTCCATTTGTCGAACAACGGTTCAGAATCACAAGTCCTTCAATGTATTCTGGGCTATATTATGGAACTTCGCTGGTCCATCGGCTAGTATTCTCATTGAAGTGGCACTGTTCATAGAGTGAGTATTCTCAAACATTGACTTATTTGTTAACACTTTATTGCCAAATCCGTCACTAAATACCCATTCTTTGTAACGCCACAGTCCACGAATGTTTGGCGGACCATCGTTCTCAGTGAGCGGGTCATCTAACGAACGAAAGACCGAAATGCCTGGATTTGCAAGCTCAATTACTATGGACCGACACAAGAGTGGAATTCCTCTGTCTTGGATCAATTCACAAGACGAACAGAAGCGTTCAAGCGCTCAGTCATCAAATATATATGCCAATTCAACCGTCTCAGATTCTACTCTACTTATTCATCAAGCACCTTAGTTTGGAAATTTTACGACCTGACCTACTCCCGAGAATCAAAAATGGCTTGTGTAGTTCCCAGGCTCACTTTTTCGAGAATGGTTGGTAAATACCTAAAGTTGTGTGCCTGAGTACTGGACACCCTCCACATAATAAGATAATCATCTCTAAAACCTGTACTTAGACATTCAAAATGATCGCTGCATTCGTTTCACACTTTCGTCCCCAACATTTTACCTGTAGCAGTAACTCTTTTAAAAAGTCCTTTTTTACATTAATGCTTAAAGCTCAACTATTAATTCGGTACGAATTAAAGCGCGCAGTGTGTCGCTAGCATCTGCAAGATATAACATACAAATGAATTTTTCAGGGTTTTTTTTTTGTTGGGTGCAGTACAGATAATGTGGGGGAAAAAAGCGTGGTCCATGGAGTTGGGGTCTCGTGCAAACGCTCCAGTCAGGTTCTCGTATACCCCACGTCTGTGCCACCAAAATTTGCTTTATTTGCCTTTCCAGCTTATAGCATATTTTTTCTCTCCAGATTGGTAACAACGCTGGAATTCTGACTGTTTGATTTACCGTCAGCTGCAATAAACTTTTTTGCATCCTACATCATTTGAGAAGCTACTTCCTTTCTTTCCTCCCTTCTTCCTCTTTCACTTCTTCGACTGCTTTTGAATTTTTACCTTGGCTGTTCGCGGGGTGTATACTTTAAATCTTATACATAGAGGCGACCCACAACAAAACCTTTTCTAGCATTTGCATACGCGCACTGCAAAATATTCGACATAGCACCAAATCATACTCTCCTGCCATAGCATCACTGAACCAATCTCTTGTCCTCATACCTTTACTCTCATGGAATCACCATATTGGCGACCGTGTGATGCAGACGGCAGCAATTGTCACTGTGACTTACGACTAGAACTCATGGACTGTGCCGAAACGTACTCAGCAAGTATCGTCATGAAGTTACAAATAGCTCTATCAATTGCTGTTACACTTGGAGGTAAATTTCAAACCCTGCCCAGCCCAATAATGATTGATTTGGATCTGACGTATCTCGACAAACTTATTCTATTTCATCTCAGCAACTGGAATATTGACGTTTCGCCTGTTATTTCGTGGGCAAAAGTTGGTTGACTATCGAGGAGGAAGGCCACAACCCCAACCTATTTTATCCATGTATATTCTTGGTATAACCTTCAATCTTCGTAAGTAATGAGGCTAGCACTAGTCTTGAATCAAGGGTACTGCTCCCAGTCAAACATGTAGATCTCCGCTCACCGACTTTTCTTATTTTAGTCCGAATGTTACACGCAATATTTTTGCTTACTGAAGTAGTGCAAAGCAAGATTGTTCGTTCTTGTAAGTGTATATTCATCTTGCATAGGATAACTTCTTCGACAGTACTAACATTTCTGGATATAACAAAGTTCTGTTTGATCTTTCTTGGCAATTTGGATTTGGAACATTCGCTGCTTACCTCATTGGTATCGCTAGCGCTGTATTTGATGTAAGTGATTAAAATCTTCACGTTAGGAGCAGATGAAATGGGACAACCTGACATTTTCTTATTGTACTTCTTCGCTAACCCTTTATTAGAGTAATACAGTTGTCACACGCGGCTGGAAATTTAGTCAATCTCTCGTAACTAAAATTGGTGTGGCATTTTTGGTCTTGCCTGTCTTTACAAACAATTGCTGCTCCGTATTGATTGGATACTTCGCCGAAAAGAACAACCCACAGCTGGCGGACATATTCACCCGGCTGTTGTACACATTCTGTAAGTACTGGTACATGTACAAAATGTATTGCAAGACCTACACTAACGAATTATGTGTGATAGGGTCGTGTTACTGCTTTGCTTTATCATCCTGCGTCTTATATGCCGGATTCGGTTTAATCAGGTTATTGGATAGCCATCTCCGTGCCGTTATTGATGGAAGACAGTACGATGTTTTCAAGACGGGTCGAGTGAAGGTAAGATGCGAACATCAATGTGATTTCATTTGGTTTGGCTTAAATACTGACAATGCTATCGTTTGTACAAAAGGTGCGAATTATTATGACGGTAACTGTTCTCTGCCTTATGGCATTCTTTCTACTTTTGGTGGTTTATATGGCATGCAAGCCTATAATTCAAGCAAGCGTGCCATTTAACATCATTATCTGTATCATTTGGAACTTTGCTGGACCGATAGCCACTTTTTTCATTGAAATAACGTTTCTACTTGAGTACGTATCAATGATTTTTTTTTCTTTGCCTTCATTATTTGAAAAGCTGACTCATTTCCAGCCCTAAAATGCTCAAGGGTCCAACATTTTCAGCAACTGGGTCAACTTTTGGCCAAAGGTCCGATGAAACGACTATCGAAATTCGAGGCAGCCTCATCGACGCCAATAAACTGCCTGGAGCTCAGTACCTTCAGCGAGGTCACGAACTAAAAGTATATAACCAGAGTCAAAGCTCTATGAGCTCTGACGTGAAGCAATTGATGTATCAATGACAAACTCTCCCATCCCAACCCTCTCCTCTCCATCATTGTAACATTTGAACACTGTAAAATAGTATTTATCCCGCTTGTAAAGTTATCTATCTTTTACTTTTTTTTTTCTCGTTATAAAAAATACGGCTTGTATAGCTTGCTTGGTTTGCCCCAATGTCCACTGACATCGCATGAATTCCTCCAAAGCCCTCGCTGGAGGCTCTGTGACTGCTTCCCCCAGAACGGGTTTCCCGCTTCGGAGTAGCAGTGGCACAACTCTCCGTCTCCTCTAAGTGCGCCCAACATTTCAGACAAATGAACGATGCTGACGAAGAATCAAAGCTGAAAGGTAGTCTCAAGAATAAAAAAGATCAATATGATAGCTCTAAAAGAGTTTCAGTACGTCGAGCAAGCACACCTACTTCAACGGAGCTTGCCATGGTACCGTCCCACTCGCAATGGCCCACCTACCAGAGAATAGCACTACCGCTACCGTACCTTCCAAGCGATTACGAACCAAGCGAATCCAGCATGAAGCAGCGAATATTTCACCCAGATTATCTTCATCAGGACAGAAATCGAATTACAGGATCAGGAAGGCTACAAATTGACAGTTCAAGTTGGAACCTAAAGCAGCATCAACAGCGGCCTCGTTCCAGCTCGACCGGAAGTGACCGTTCTACACTTCCTACAAATAGACAACAGCAATTAAGCACTAGTGGCTCACAGGATGGCCAAAAGCATCTTGAGCTTGTACCTTACCGCGACTGGACCGTCATCTCGTAAGCTACTCCCTCCATTTGGTTTGTTTGCAGACTATCTTGAAGACTTCAAAAATATCTCACCCGTGTACACACAATATAGACAAAACGAATTACGAGGCAATCTTGTCCTGTACAACCCTGACACCAGGACTGTCACAGTTCAGACACATAGTCCGCCACTACAAAATATATCATCTATGAATCCAATGGAAATTGTACAAGTAAGTACGCCGAAAAGCTATGAAATAACTGACCATCAAGTAACCTTTCCTATTTCTGAAGCGAATTGTGGAGTGCCCTTATTGTCATAGAGCTTTTGACTCTTCAATTGAACCAACCAATGTAAATATTCGTATAAGTATCTTGAATAGCTTAGATCTCCCCGCTCATATTCACTTTTTGCCCCCAGGAGAACCAACCTGAATTCATGGACCGAAATTACTTCAGATTACTTTCACCCGTACCTACACAGTATGTATGATTGACATCTTTCTTGAAATGATAATATTACTGATAAATTTATAGAGTGTCAAACAATGAAAGCACACCAGCGGCAGCGAGCGTACCGCCAGATCCGAATACCAGCCAGCCAAAGCCACAAGACACAAGCGAGCGGTATGCTAATAACCTCAAAGCAAATGCATTTAATCAGGGCTATTACCAGAAGTTTTTCCACGAAGAAAGGAAACTTGGAAGAGGTCTCCGAGGCAGTGTATACCTTTGCGAGGTAGATGATGTAAACTTCGTTGTTTGTGTAATCATATGCTTCGTTCTAACTGGGTACATGATAGCATGAGCTGGATGGCGTGAATTTAGGTCATTACGCTGTTAAGAAAGTAGCGGTCGGTGAGTAGCAAATTGTAAAGAGAATTTACTACCAATGTAAGTGACCTAACGATGTTTTGGAATAGGGAATAATCACCCGTGGCTAGTCCGTATGCTTCGAGAAGTCCATTTGATGGAGCAGCTTCGACACCCCAACATTGTCAACTATAAACATTCGTGGTTGGAGTATCACCAGTTTTCTGATTTTGGTAAGTAATGGGTATGTGTACGAATTCAAGGAGTTGCAATTAATGGGAGTGACTTTACAAATCGTTAGGACCTGAGGTGCCTTGTCTCTTTATTTTGATGGAATGTGCTAATGGAGGGAATTTGGAAGAATACATCGAGCCCGAGCCTCAAGCACCTGTCGAAACTCCAGCCTCCGATATGCTTTCATCCAAGGCTGCTGCCAAAAAGAGCAAGAGAGACCGAATCAAGCAGAAATTCTTGGAGCAAGAGAGATACGAAGAGCTCCTCAAGCAACAGGAGCAAACCAATCCTGGAAAACGATTACTGTCACTTTACGAGATATGGTCCTTCTTTTTTGACATGCTCGATGGTCTCGCTCACCTTCATCGGCACAACATCGTTCACCGCGACTTCAAGCCACCCAATCTACTGATCAAGTATGATGATCGAGATGTTTCAAGGACTTGGATTGAAAATGTCAATGGAGTTCCTACACAGCGTCGCATGTAAGTGAATTTGCCTTTATAAAGATTATTAGAAAGTAGATTATGCTCATGCCTGACCTTTCCTTTTAGACCACGCATACTGATATCAGATTTTGGAGAATGTGAGGTTCTGGACGAACTACCCGACCGGGATCGAACTGGTGCCACGGGAACTCTTGAATTCATGGCCCCAGAATTGCTTCGACTGGATGACCATGGGAAGTACTTACAGGAGTTCTCACCAAAGGCTGATATGTGGTCACTTGGCATGGTGTTATTCTACCTGTGCTATTCTAGGTTACCATATCACTATGTAAACGATATTGACAGGTTGAAGGACGAGATTTTATCTTTTGACAAGTAAGTAGATGTGATAGGAACAACAAAGATCTCAAATATTCAGCATGAGCTCACGTCTTCATGGTTATTTTTAAAGGATTTCTTTCCCTTCTTCTCGAAACAATTTGGATGTGACCACTCCATCGCCACAAGATCATATTCCTCCAGAGTTGAAGCATATCATTCGCGCGCTTTTATCGCTGAACCCAGAGGCGAGACCATCCTGTGACGAGATATTGGAAAAAATTGGCCATCTAAAACCGAAGGCACCTAACATGAAAAATTCGGTACCAGAAGTGAGAGCTGACCATCAGACATACATATCCAGGATGCGACTCGGGAATTCGTTGGGAATCCAGGGTAACCAATCATCTGGACATACATATAAAAAGCCAAGTGGATCAAATAGTTCACAGCCTCCGGGCAAACCGTCCAATGCATTATCAGAGGAAACAAATGATCAGGGAGTGAAGATTGAACGGATACCATCTGATATGGGATACGCTGGGAAAATACTTTCTGGAGATAGCTTTGATGAAGGGGACGAGGATATCAGCATGGATGAATCTTCAGACGTTGATCCAAACAACGCTGAAGGGACCAGGAAACGACGGAAAGGTTCGGACAGGAACTGGAATGTCGGAGACGGCGTGTCTGGCAGTACATCCGCGAGTGATCACATAACGGACGGCAAACACGATGGTTTTGTTAACGAAAATGAGCAGCTTAAGCAGTTGCTGCTGGAATCGCCCGATCTTCCAGGTGATGCTCACCAACAATCCCAGCTTGCTATGCGTGTGCTTGCTTTGGTTCCTGAAAGCCATCGCGAATTGGCGGAATTTTGGATGAGAGCCGCCACTGAGGTCGATTGGAGGAAGCTTCTCAAAGCTGTTTCTGCCCTTCTCAAGGTATTTAAATGGCCAACCATACTCAAATTTTGATGGGAGTACGCACATTTACTAAAGCATGTTTGTTGTGTAGGTGGCGACATCTACATACCCTTGTTACCCATATATGATGTCGCCAACTTCCATGTACCCGATGGTCGCCATGGCTCTTTTGGATATGTACACGTAAGATGTATAACATGTACTTTATAAAAACGTTGTTTTCATTGGAACTTACTCGTATAATACATACATTAGGAAACACGCATCCCAAAGCCTGGCTCTGTTGATGCTACACTTAGCATGGGTCATTGTGATGACCATGATGGGTTCACGAACTTGTTCAATGCGTTAAGCCTGTAAATACAACACCATCTCCATACTTTCGTTCAACCCATGCTTTTATTGTTCAAACGTCCTTTAGGGACTTCCCTCTCTTTCAATATTGGTTAGGTAACGCAAGCTCTGTCCAAATATAAATCTTAAGTAACATTGAGGCTTCTTTTTACCTGCCCGCATGTGATGGTGAACAGTCTGCTCTACCTACCAGCAAGTGATCAAAAATAGCCTGTGCTCCTGTCCGCACGTTTATAGAAACTAAAAAATATAGAACTTGCTATGTCATATTGTAATTTGGCTTTTGACAGTACGAAGAGTGTAATGAAGTTTGATTTCGCAAATATACGAAAGGAGACAGCGATAGAATTAAGATGCTAGCGGCCATTGCGGAAATTGCTGTTCACCCTGCTTCATACATCCGATGGTTATGGATAATTTATAAAAATATCTATTCATATTTCTCCATATTTCTCCACATTCATGCGAAGCGCACGGCTGTAATGTGCAGAGGGTTAGCGAGGCATCTCGCTCCTGTCTATCTACTTCGGATAATACCGTATCAACATTGCTAAGCTTGTGATACTGTTAAATCAGAGACATCCTCAAATGTCTAAACAGGCACCCGTCGCATGTTGTAGTTCATTCTTCAGGGTAGACTCTACGTATCATACTTCCACATGGATTCAAAATTTAGAACTTTGGCTCTTCATGGGAATATCTGAGGCTGATACCAGAGTTCAGCATAGATGAAAAAGACAAAAGTAGTTTGGATGACCAAGCAAATTTACGGATATAATATATTACAGTTGATAAAATATACATTGCTTGGTCACGACTTCTTATCCAAAGCTTTTATGTAGTGGTGGTGCTCTGCACCGCTGCTAGTATGTGCATATTGGCAGGTTTCGACGTTTTCCAGCCATGCGCAATTCAGAACCCTCTCGATTGTCCAGCGTCGAGTAGGGTCTGGATCAAGCATACCGTAGAGGCATTCACGTTCTTTTATGTTACATAGCACCAGTGGTGGCCAATTCCGTTGTCGTCTTGCCGCCAAGTACTCTGTATAGAAGGCGTCCTCCTTTTTTGCTTTATCGAACGGTAAGGCTTTGTGCTGCATGCCATACCAAGTGATGGCCGTTGACCACACATCCAGTGCTTTGCCGTCATATTCTTTTTCAGTAAACACTTCAGGAGATAGAAATGGTTCGCTACCGACGTATCCAGCGCATACCCTTGATTCCTTTTCAAAACAAGATTGTACGACATCAGCGACACCAAAGTCAATAATCTTGAGAGTGCCCGTGGCGGTCAAGACAAGATTTTCAGGCTTGATGTCTCGATGAGCCACGCCACTGGTGTGGAGATAGTGGACGCCTTGCACCAGCTGCTTAAACAGACAATCAATTTCGTCATCTGTCAATTCGACATCTTTCAAAACGGTGAAAACATCTCCTCCAGCACACTATAGCAATGGATTAGTCAGGAATAGCAGCCAAGCTGGACTGTGCGGGAGATCAAAAGATTTTAAAACTGACCCATTCTAACACGGTGCACCAGCGACCTCGATCGTCCTTAAGCAGATCGAAGGTTTTTATTACGTTTTCGTGATCCAGTGGCTTGCTGATACAAAACTCACTTGTCATTCGCTTCATGTATTGTCGTTCACTTTCATTTCTAGATCGCTTTCGAAACTCCTTCGCAGCCAAAATGGTATCGTGGCCGCGACGTCGTACAAGTCGAATGATCGCCGTTGCCCCTTCTCCGACACTTTTGTCTTGACAGATACCGTACTTTTCAAGCAAAAGTGGAGTTTGTAGTGCGGTTGTAGGGGATTGACTAGGTGTAGATGGTGAGACTAGGGATGTCACTTCAGCGGATGGCGTGGCGTTTTCTGATCGGCGATTCAAGCTTAGTAAAGAAGTCAATGATGGCCTACGACTGGATGTTTTCCTGTTTTCATCTACTTTCAAAAGATTGGGGCCCGGAGATGTTGCAATTGGCGATAAAGGCTTTTCGTCGTTTTGCATATTGTGACGATCATGTCGAAGCAAGCCAAAGCCCTTTCTGTTTTCAACATTTGGTTGGGGTATGTAAACCCGTTGCGGTGGTTCAACGACGATAGGAATAAAAGACGTCGACGGATTGCTTTCAGGTGTATCTGGACGGCTTGATGGCGACGACGTTTTCAGATCCAACGATAAATCCAAGGACTTTTGACGGTCCCATTGAGAAAATAAACTTGAAGCAGCCATCAAGAAGATACAGAGTACTGTGGCCAATCGCTATTGTTGATTTAGGAACAGAATGTAGACTCCTTTTTTTCAGCTCGACCAGGGCAATTAATGGAAAAGTGAGAAGAACAATAATGATGCACTAGAACAGACTAAGATAGAGACATCAAATGGCTTGGTTTGAATGTTTCTGCTTTTTTACGCTCGACGGTTTTGAATCGCCGCAATCGCAGTGGTGTCGACGGAGAGGGATATTTATCCAATCAAATCCAGGGTTCTGATCTGCCAATGCCCCTCAAATCACCTCAAATGTCGTACAATGAAAAGTTCATGTAATTCAAGTTGAGTAGTGAGCGTTATGCAACTAAGCGGCAGCTTTAGAATGAAATGCATCGGAAGAAATGGACGAGTTTGATTGTAATTGGAGCCTAGTACTGAAAGTGAAACGGCGCGGTACGCTTACAGAACATTAACCTAAAAGCACAAATGCGTTTCACGTACATAGATAGAGGGAGGGCCAAGAGTTAATATTTAACGAAAAAATTGAGTACCACTATCACATTTACAAGGCATTTATAGGCAAAGTGGCAAGATGATTGTCATCTCTACCATCCAGCAAAAACAGAATTGTCTGTAGTATTAATGATTTCATTTGTGGTGGAATATGAGATCCGCTCTGTAAGGGATCACTTGATCTTCAATGCTTATTGACGCAACACATCGAGATGTACAGTATTAGAGACGCGTTTGGTTTTTTCCTCCCAATTTCAAAAATGCAACACGGTCACAGAAGTAAATTACTATGCGATTTTTTAAAGGCTACCGATCATACCTTTATGTTGGTCCTTGACAGACATGCACAGTCGTCACCTTCTTTGCCCGATTCACATTGATACTTCTGCAAAGCATACTAAACTATTTAAGTTAGTACTCGCCTCTCTCAATCGAGTTGTTGAGCTGCTGTATACAATCAGAGTCGACCAAGATTCCCCGAGAAGTGGTGAGTACTCATCATGTAAATGCTCAAACGGCCAACACTATGTCTGGAGAAACGGAAGAAGTCCTTAATTAAGGAGTTTTCTTTCTTTCGGTCAACGCATGTACCGTAATTGATGCAAGTCCACCTCCTCAAGCTATCACAAGGCACTGGGCGGTATTATCAGTCTCCTATCCCATTTTATCGATTAAGGTTAATATTCTTCCATGCTATATGAACAGCACAGCAATTTCCAGGTATCGTGTTTTATTTTTCCATTGATTTACAGTAGTTCCATCCACAACATATTATACAAAGAGTTCTGGGTACTTTTCACCATATAAGACCACCTTGTTAGCCAGCGCCAAGTCTACCAAACCATGATGGACGAAAGTAAGCATTTGACCCTGAACTGACACTTGGAAATTTATAATATTAACCTACCAAATTCGTTACCAAGATTTGTAAAAGTGAACTCTTGGATGGTATTCTCGGGTGTTACTTGTCCAATCAACTCGACATAAGTTGTGCCCCATTGGCTTTGCTAAAATATGCGAAACGTGAGTAAACACTGCCCATTGAATGCTGTACTTTGACATTGAAACCCTACCCCGTTGAGAAGAACTTGGATCTGTCCATTATCTGTTGCTTCAATAATTGCGTTGTCACCATTGAGCTATAGTGGTAAAAGGGCGTCAATAAGCATGAACGGTTTGACAGACTTGCTGCGCGTCAGATGCAGAAAGCAAGAGAAGCGCATGTCAAAGACAGCCACAATCAGCAAAACTTACAGAGATGACCTTTCCTGACACTCGGACAGTATGACCAACGTGATTCTTGAGGGTGTTAGAATTGACTCTTGGGGTTGGCTTTTCCATGTTTACTTGTTAATGTGAAGTTAAGTAAGTTTTGTCGTGTTCCGCCTGTTTCCAACGCGCTAAACCCGAAGTTTTAGACTACGCGAAAGCAGTCACTTGTCAGCGACGAAAAAAAAAAAAATGTCAATGAACCCGTTTGGTCGGGGAAACTATATCAACCGCTGTTCAACATGGTTCACCCAAATCAAGCAGCATTTACAGAGGGCTTGAATTATGTATTGCGCTCGTGGTCGGCTTTAAAATTAGCTGTAGAGCAAGATTGGGGTGGTCCCGATTCTGAAGAGAAAAGAGAATGGATGGCGGAGACGCTCGTTGAATATTTCGGTGCAAGTATGTGTTGCATTCTTTTTTGACGCAACTGCACTTTGACCATACTTTCTTACTGACACGACTCCCTATCCTTAGATGCAAAGAGACTCGATGAATTTGATGTAGAGGATATCTTGGTACAGATCATGTCTGATGAGTTTCATACCGACTTAGAGGACGGATCTGCGTATGCTGTAAGTAGAAAGCAAGCGGCTGTACAAACGCAAGTTGTATTTAATATCTGACTCAAGTTACCTGTCGCTCTCCCTTAACAGGTAGCAAAGCACCTGGTTTCCATGTTCAACCAATGCATTCACGGTGACTTTTCAGAAGTTGCAAAGTTGAGAGAGAAAGTTGCATCTCGATCCCATCAATCGGCAGGCCAGTCTGCCAACAATGATGAAGACAGTGAGGACGATGATAGTGAAGCAGACGAAGAGGTAATTTACTTGTTTCAAAAGTTCGGTGTACCTTGCGACATTAGCAGCTAATCCTGTGTTGCTTTCATTGTCAGGATGACGCCATGGATGTCGAGGAACCATCCGCTCCTCAGGAACCTCAAGGCCCCATCATTGACGAAGATGGATTTGAGCTCGTAACCAAGGGTAGACGAAGACGATAAATAATGGTCATTGAACGACCTTGTATACACTTACTAAATGTTAGCATCATCATGATGTCTGCCCATGGCACATCCATATCTGCATTTTTCCATCCTAAACTACAGTAGATTCATGTAATAACAATGACCTTGAAACCCCACTCAATAAAAAAAATTCAAAAAGACCGGGCAATTTTTTCAATTAACCTCACGCATTCACATAACGCACGAGACGAAACGGAATGGTGGGTTGATCAGTACATAGGTATATTTTTGACCTAAGGCTTATGGTGCCAAATAATATGGTGGTGTGCTGAGTGCATGAGCGCCGATATAGGAAAAGGGACTTTTGATGTTAGGCGCATAGAATAAGGAACGGTAGGGTGGGGTTTGGGTTCGATGGGGGGAGGTGAACTTTGAAAACAAATAGAATTTGGTGGGTTGAGTTATAGAAGTATAATATAGTCACTCTTTAAGAAATAAAGTACACTATAAGGTAGACAGTGATGAGAGGAAGGGGTAGTGAGGACCGGGGGTGGATGGGGATTTCAAAAGTAAAATATAATATTTATATCAAGCGTCATGAGAGTATCGTGAAAGGATTGGAAGTGCTTCACATTGACGTTGCAATTCTCGGATTCGGGGTTTCATGGCATCATATAATCGTTCTCGTTCCTTGTTTCCCTTGCCTTGTTCCCGCCAACTAGCAAGGGCATCTATACAATTTCGTGTTGCCTCCAGGGCTGCGTCACGGTCGTTGGTATAGTATATGGATCCCAACGATTCTTGAGCGTACGCCAGCTGATGAGAGCGCAATGTATGGTTAGCCTTTTACCGAATCGACTCATGCTAATGAAATATGTGTTCTTACTTCATCCACGGCATGGGTATATAGTTTATGAAACTGATCAACGACCTGTTCAATTATAAACTCTTCCGAAGGAGTACTGGAGAGAGCAGAATCATCAGACATGGCGGATGGTCTTCTTCGCCATGGTTTGCAGATTTCAGATATTTGGTCACTATCGAATGATTTTGTACTTTTGGTTCTAAAGAGTTGTAAAAGGTTGGACCATCTGTTAATTTGGTGTCTGGTTCGGGACATGTTTCGAGGCTTGTTCATGGTTATATAAGGGTAATGTTCATAAAATGAATGGAATTAAGCAACAAGTGGTAGAAAGAAGATAAAGAAAGTAAACTTGTAGGGGGAATAGAAATATAGCGGTTGATCGGTTATATGGCTACAATAAAATACCCTAATGATAATGATGCAGGGACCTTCAATACAAATTCAAAAACCTACCAAGCCAAACTGTTTAATGCAGCTTTTTATAAGAGTTGCAGAACCCTAGATGCTCCAAAAGTCCCATCCTAGAAGAAAAGCGGGAGAAGATAGGCGAGGAGAAGGAAAGGAACTAAAAACCTAGCAAGGGAGGGGAGACACAGCATGATGAGGGTCGCAGTACCAGGTTTTTAGTTGACTAGGAGAAGCAGTAGTATCCATCATTTCAACTTGTGTGGAAACAGGGAGATATAAAATCATTTCTCTCTCTGGTTTTTTTTTTTTAGGCCTGAGGTTTCTTTGGAGAAGATGGCGACAGTTATAAAGTGCAAGGGGTTATAGGATGACCTTTTTATTTTTACAAACCTATGGCTTCTCAAGGGATAAAGAAACTAGTCTACGCCAGTGGGAGAAGTTTACCGGCACTCTGAAAATGACAACTTGCATTGAAACATCTCGATTTGCTGCAACAATCTAGTTCAGCATACTATTGTGCTTTTGCCGACATGCAAAGGGTGCTCCAACCTTTCGCTAGCCGCCATTTTTACCTTCAAGTCATCTCGTTGACTCATTTATTCAAATCAGATTGAAAAACACATTTATTTCGCAATTTTTCAACATGGCTAAAGACAAGACTACATTCTCGAGATTTTCTGTCGGTCTCCCCGCCGGCTATATGGCGTCCGATCGGGTATTACAAACCCCTATATGTATGCATACTGCAAAAGTGTTAAGAAGCGTACTTTCCTTGATTTTGCTTTGCAAGTTGATGGTTATATCAAATAAGCTCGCCAACTTTAAAAAATAGTTCTTTGATTGAGCGTTGGCTGGAAATCCCTAGGATGGAAGGGATGCGGCATCAGACCTTTCTTGGTTATGCTCACCCCCAGGGGTTCACTCCCTATCATGATTCTCAATGTTCTCATGATGAATTTGCCATATAATCTGCCTTTTTATACAGATTGTTCCGTGCAAGTCTCAGTCAAGTATTAAAAACAAACCATTCGTTTTCCATGAATGTACAGGTATGTTACCCTACCCCCGGCTCATTTGGCGACAAGAAAGCTAGTTGCAATTAAGATTTGAAGATTTCTGAACTGATGCAGGGCAAGGGGTCAACCGCCTTGAAGGGAGAAGCATACCCAGCATCCGACCCCAGATACACGAATGTATTCAAATGTCGTTTTTGGCGTCGGCAAACTGCCATGTAAATATTTCGGCATACCAGTTATCGACAAAAATAAACTCACTACATTTATATTTCCATAGTACAATCAATGCTACTAAGCATGCGTATATGATTGCTTGTTCCAAACAGGGAAATGCAGTGTTACCGTGATTGAAATTAGAGTACGATCGATGAAACGATATTGTCAGGACGTTACTGGATATGCAGCAGTATATTTTGTAGGTGAGTGCATGAACGTGCGTTGAGAGAGATTTATTTTTGTGGGGGTTAGTTTCTGTAATGGTTTCCAAGTATGAAGAAGGCAAGAAATATGGGGCTGGAGGAAATGTACAACACTATACAACTAGATGAAAATGTGAGATCAGCGAGAGGAAAATAAGAAATCAAAAGTGATAGTGGGGAGCTGCAGTACATTGATTTCTAGAGTGAGCGGGAGTAAAGGAAAAAAGAAAATGAAGATTACAAGAAATCGGCCATAACATATTTAAGATATCTCATGCCGTGCCCATCCGCACTCTGATGTATCATCTCGTCTCAAATCAGAAGTTGGGAAATAATGATTGTTCGTCTTCACGCTCACCACAATAGGAACGTTGTCGAACGACACAGTTCTAATGCGGACATATGTGTTGTCTTGCACTTGCCCGACAGCCTCCAAAAAGGCATCTAGATCGGAGGTGGGCTTGGAGTTCACATGCGTAATCCAGGTGGTGGGCACCTAAGAAAATATTAATTATAAACACATCATCATTGCTTTACGTTACGTAAGACATAAATCGCCAAGATTACTAACCAATCCGTATTGATAGGCTGGTGATCCCTTTGCACGAGCAGACACATAAATCTTAGAAGGCACAGATTTACTTTGTTGTAAGACCGCCTTATGTGGTTCTAAACATACGAAAAACCATGTCAAACGTTTAGTGGAAAAGACCAGATCCAAAGGTTATGGCACAAGTAACTTATTCATGACGTACCATGTAGAGCACTACCTGCCCAGAATACAACACGCTTTGTTGCACCACCATCTTCATCGATTTCACTAGTAGGTACGTCCAGTATGAGCTCCTTTTTGTGCCTTAGAATGGTCTAGATTGTTGGGGGTGATGAGAATCATGATACATGCGACTACCTAGTTACACCCTCACGTGGCTTACCATTTTTAAAACTTCTGAATTGTATTGAACGTCAAGTTGTGACATTCGAGTGATGGTTTCGTCATTGATCGCTAATACAAGGTCGAGCTCCTTAAGGACCTGGGCACTCGCACTGCCTGCCTCCATCCTTCGCACAAGGAAGAGTTGGTGTTTTGTGTTATTCGACTTCTCCACCTTTGAAATCCATTCATTGGACAAACCCATTGATACAGCTTGGGCTATTTGCACTGGCATAAGCTCAATATTGAGTGACCGCAGCTTGGGCTTGACACCCTGTTGCAAGGGTTGCAAACAAGGTAAAATAGACCTGATATCCAAACCAAGATGATATTCGCTATCATGTCCGTTCATGTTGCGTTCTCCCAAATAGCTTAGCCAAAGTCCTTGAACCTTGCCTTCGGCATCTGCCAATAACCCAGAGGAACACTGCTGAGCTAAAGGTGTGTCTAATGTGATTGAATCCATGTTGATACCGCGGAATCGAGGGCTCTAACGTCAAGACAAGCAGATATTATTAATATTAGCAACCTCATGATTGGCAATCGGTTTTGTGCACTTTCACTTACAGCATTGTGAGGAATAGTGATGCAAGTGACATCGGTAACCGCAGTAGTCAGGCAAATAGGTCGCTGATTATGATTGTAGGCTATCAAGGTGACCTTATGTCCTTGACCAAGAACATTATCGCTGACTGGTGCTTCGAGGACATTGGTTTCGCCAATAAGCTTGGGATCATAACGGACGATGGCAAAGTTATGAGTTGGATGCAAGTACTAATTGATAATCATGTCTACGATCAGTAAAAATAGAAAAAAATATCAGGATGTCATGCTTACAAGCATATATATATGCTCACCTCGACGTTGCCGGGGATAATCACTGAATCCGCAAATGTGATAGAGAGATCACCAAGCAATGTGGGAACGACGCTCCTACTAACAACAATCAGGCCCTTTTCCTTATCGACAATAAGACCAGCTCCAAACTTTCTACTTTTTGGGAATCCATCAAGACGACATGGCATGTAGTAGCTAATTTTGACTAGGCAACGAATCAATTCTTTGGCAGGACCCAAGCTTTCATTCATGGTGATGAATTTGGCAGTAGTTGGTTCGATAGGTTTGGGAGGGATGGGCTTCCCAAAATCAGTATAGTCCCAAAGTCCAGTCTTATCGTTTCTCACAGCCATTCGGAAAGGTGCCCAATGTCTCTCTACTTGAACGACAGCCACAAGCGTAGTATGGAAATCGGCAATGGAGTGATAGACAACTGGTACACGCTCGCGATCCGGAATACTCTTCATGACTTCCACAAAAGCATCAAGATCTGGGGTTTCCTTGTCATCAACGCTTTGAATGATCCATCCTTGGTCAGGACCATCAAGTCTAAACACTATGACAGAAAAGCGTTATAACTTTTGCATACAGAACGTGGCAGCTCAAAGACGGAAATAGTCAACTTACTGCCATGTGGTTCACAGACATAAACTCCTTGACAAGGCACGCAGTATGCTCTAGCAAGCTGATATGATAATGAATTCAACTTTGCGCCTCCAATCTCTACAAATCGATCTGGTGTACTTTGAAAGCAGATGCAACACGTCAATGCAAAGCTGGCCTTAAGATATGTTGACGGGTTGTACTTACATTGCATGCAGGTCGCCCACTTTGACAGTGAACTCTTTATATTCTCCTCCGCGTTCAATGCCAATAACCACTTCTTGTTCCACATTGGAGTCCAAAACAGATTCGAAAGGTCCAAATTTGGTGATGTATTCACCATTGATTGTTAGGAGCACATCACCTTCCTCCATATATTGGGATGCTGGACCTTTGGGAATGACTGTTTCAGCAACCAGCATACCTATTTCCTCTGGGAAGAGCTTTCGGATCTTGGCTTCAGTTGAGGTTTGCAAACCTAATCGCAGGACTTCATCAAATGGTCGGTACCTATGAAAAAGAGGCTGTAAATATAACCACCAACCAAGCCCTATTTTTTTTTTTCCCAAAACACAAATTTGTTTACATAAAGTGAGCTTGAATATCTCCACGTGGTACGTCCAGGCCCTTTCGAATATACTCCAACGCACGTTTTACTCTATCCAAAGGCAAAAAGTAATCCGTTGCAGCTTTAGTATGACCTCCGGCCTGTAGACCGACAGCATCTCCGTCAATATTAATGACAGGAGATCCTGAACTTCCACCACTAGTGCTGGATGCAGCTTGGCTAAAGAAGGCAGATGCGATGAGAAGTGGATCACCCAATATCAATATTTGTAACTACGCTGCCACTTACAGGTAGAAAGTGTTGAAATCATTATATGTCAAATCACCATAGTCGGGACAATTGCGGTCAAGTCGTGAAATAGAACCGGCAAGAATACTTAATTTTTCTCCAGCATCGTTACTATAGGAATGGGGATATAAATTAGAAAATGCATTTTCACAGGCATGTCACTTTCATGACTTTAGACACGTACCCCACAACGCGAATATCAATGCCAACTTTAGCACCTTCAGGTTTCAGAGCAATTTGCTTAACCTTCATGTATTTGACTTTCTTCGGATCAAACCTACCCAAGAAAGCAAGTTAGTCTTTACATTAAAAGTCTTTCCCATCACATTCAAATGTATTAAAATTCTTACTTGAGGAAGCCAAAATCGTGGACTGGATCACGATAAATGGGAAAGACATCGACTTCTTCATGATCGTGAAAAATAGCTTCACCTACAAAAGGACCAGCACATGCGACGTGACGATTTGTCAAGATAATTCCTCTAACAGCATCCACAACAAAACCAGATGCCTCAGAAGATTCCGCGGCTATGAAAATTATTAGTCTGATAGTTCTGTTATAAAGTATTGTCATGCTACAGTCAAAAGAGAACAGCGCCTTACGTTCAGTGTCAAACGCAGCAACTTGACTGGCGCGAATTGAGACGATCGACTGGACTGCCCTCTCTATGGTTTCCTGCCATTGCGGTGGTTGCAAGGCGGAAATGGAGTTTGTACCATTCATAGCGGCATCGGGCATGTCAGCGTCCTCGCCTTGTTCCGTAGCCGCTTGAGATTGATCGATTGGCTTTTTACCAGGTTGATTCCATGAGGTGCTGATTCTACGTCGCTTGACAGGAGGAGCTGAATTTGAAGAGTTACCCGTGTTATCGAGAGTCTCTGGGGTTGATTGTCCAGAGCTCGATTCTGGCTGCATGGAGAGAAAGCTAAGGTTTGAGTAGGCTTAGGAAGTGGCTTGTGACAAGAAGAACGGCTGAAAATTTCAGAAGCGCTTTGGCAGTCTCAAAAAATTTGGGGGATTCCAAGACGTGCTTTAAAGAACTCGTTTTCAGAATTTCAACTCCAACGTTTTTGTTCAGTTTTAGTGAGCTGTGCTTTTTCCTTTCATGTTACATTTATTCAAAAATTATCTCTATATATAAGTCTACAATGCTTTGCACCAGGCTATATTGTCTTTGATGATGCGACTGTTCATAGCAGACGCGTTGCTTCTCTTCTCGTTCATGTCTTCGACCGAGAGCTTACGAATTCGCTCCACAGTGTCGATGAAATGCTCTCCTTCGTTTTGGAAATATACACCATCCTTGCTGAGATGTCTATAAGAATCCAATAAAGCTTGATCGGCAATCAATGGGACGCCGGTCAACAGGGCAGCTCCAACAGAAGAAGACGCTTTGTAAAGCAAGTATGAGTCGGAGGCGAATGCTGGTAAAAGAGCCAAGCTATGGTGGATCTTGTCATAGTACTCCAAATAAGGGAGATCGTTGTACGTCGATACATGGCTGGCGAGTGGCTCTTGCAAGTCGAATGGTGAACCTTGACCGAGCAAGAGAAGATGGAAGTTTTTCCAATCCTCTTGATCTGCCGCTATTTTGTTCAGCAAATGATCAAACAATGAGCCATAATCTCGGCGTCCTGTTTCGAAGATGCCTTGAACCACAAAGTTACTCTTACAAGCTTCGTTCATTTCAGTATTACCGGATGTCGAACAGCTCTCAGGTAGGCGGTAGTCGAAGGTGGGCACGAACACAGTAGTAGGAACGTTTGCAAATATAGGGTTAAACTCTTTTGCAAGGTCTGGAAGCTTATGATCCTTAAGATAGTCAGCCACATGCGGAGATAGTCCAACCATGGTGAGAACGCCTTTTTCCGCAAGTGGCGACATTCGAAAGTGAACGTCCTGTAATGTCTGTGGATTATGAACGATACACATGACTTTCATATCTGGTTTTGCTGCGACCATAGTTTCCACTGCTCCGCCAACATAGTATATATCTGAACCGTCGCAAGATGCCATGATGAGGACATCTGGGTATGCCGAAGGTTTGTAATGGCTGCCAAATGAGTATGGGTCCTGAAGCGGCTTTGAGTAGAATGGTGACATGATCTTCTCAATGCCATATCTGGGTGTAGTGAAGAAGACATCGACATCATATTCTGGTATCTGAGCCAGGGTATATAGAATGGAGACAACAACTTCGTCATGGGCACCAGCATAGTTCAGTACAGCCACTTTCTTGTTTGGACGTCCAATCTCATCCGAATCCTCAGGGTCGTGAGCGAAGTCTTCGTCAGCTACTATGGTGTCCTCTAGATCTGCTAACGGTTCTTTAGCCAAACCTATAGACGTGGATAGTTGTTCTTCTGAAGGTAACCAGAAATATATAGCTAGTCCAAGGTTTAAAACCACAGCTACAAGTATGATGACCTGAGTAAATCGGGATCGTATTGTGATTGCCGGGAAGAATGCTCCACCTCCATTTGCCATCGTGATGATGTGGTAAAAAAAATACTTCGATAAAATCCGTTACTGGAAAAAAAATCCCTAAATGGAGTATAATTAACGTGATTGGCAAAAAAAAAATACGCAATTGTGTGCAACAGGTCAAGTTAAAACTGATAGGACTAAAAATTTCATCTGCGATAAGTATTTTTGCACTGATTCTACCCTCACCCCAAACGAACAGGAAGAGATTCATTTTCAAAATAGAATTTAGGTGGGAACGATGGCCAGCTTTGCATTGAAAAGATGGGTATCGGTGGGGGTATGACGTTAGTTAGTGCTTTGTTGTTCTTCAAGGGCACGACTAAAACATGAATTGAACGGTATTCTCAGCAGCGGATAGCTTGCTTTCAAATTGGTATTTTAACGAACTCTTGAATTACCTCGATGTTATTTTATGAACCATGCTGCTCTGTATACTCCCCACCAAATTCAAACAAGAAAAAGTAATTTGAACTACGATAATAGTTTTGTTATCTAAAATTAGGACAGCTGACGCTGCGTAAGCGTCAATTGTAATTCAATCTCATTTGAATAAAGAGATGAACCTAAAGCTGACAATATAAAATCTTTCTCCTCGTAGGCAAGAAATGTACTCAGTCCCGTTCTTCTAACACGACAACATACGAGCGTTGCCCAGTAATACTGCTCTGAACATGGTTTAAAGAAGTGGCAAAGAACCCTCATTTGCCTGTCGGCACTCAATTATCGCATGGAGACTCGTTTACAATCTCATCGAATTTTTTTTTTGATGATCGTAAGCATTCACAGCGCTATATCCCTGAATCGTATTGTACACATTTATTAAATAAGCAGTAGCTCAGTATACATGCATATATCTGGAGAATACCATATCTATCTTTTCCCCCAAAAGCTCAGAAGACTCTTTTGATCAGCAGCGCTTCCCTTCTTTGCACTCTTCTTGCTGTCGTTTTTGGAAGGAGAGGCAGGTGGAGCCTTTCGTTTAAGAACGGGTTCAGTCGTCTCGTCTTCACTATAACTCTCCCATTCGTATACATCATCAGTGACCAAGTAACCCGATTCGTCTTTATAATGCTTTTTCTTCAGTACTTTGCGTTTCAGTCTACGTCGCTCTCGAGGTGCCTGCACGTCGTCGTCTGCTGGTTTCGTTACTGTCACCTCTGCTATATCTTGGTCTTGTATACTGTTAGTACATTGGTGTAATAGCTTCATTCAAAGATGGGTCGTTGACCTACCTGTCTCATTGGGTTGGTTGATCGGCGTAGCTTCACCATCAGCTTCCTTTGCCGAAATTGTCTTGCTGGGGCTAACTGGATCAACCTCATCATCCTTCCAGAAATCTTCTACCGACTCCGCTTGTCTTGAAGACGCTGCCAAGCGCCTATCCATTTCCTCATCATCCTCCTCTTCTTCACTATCCGACTGAATTTTCTTTACATTCTTTGATTTAGCCGGCGCAGATTCTGTCACTGGTGCCGGTTGAGCAATTGGTTTTGGTTTGGCAACTGATTTAACTTTCTTTGCAGCAGCAGCACTAAATAAGGATGCTACGTTCCTTTGCTCAGATTTGTTTTGGTTTGCCTTTTCCTGCTGATTGACGGTTAAGAAATCTAGTCGCGAGTAAATTACAGTTCATGTCAATGACATTACCTGATTCGTTTGTGCTTTGGTTTGTACTTTAGATGCTGTCGGTTTTGCTGCCTGCGTAGGAACACTGGCTGGCTTGTTTGCGGCTGCTGCCTTGGGATACGATGACGGTGGTGGTGCGGCCGGCCGTGATTCTGATGTCGTGATGCTATTGTCTCTTATGACCCCTAATCGAGGCAGGTCTGCCAATGAATAAGTTGGAAGATCGCTACTAGCGGTCACTAATACAGAGTGGTCCTATACACATCACAAATTAGTCCATTGCCTTCATAATATTTGTCATACACAGTAATTGTTGTTTCGTACCTTTAACTTGGATGGTTGGACGCTGTAAATATGCACGCCAGTTATATATTTAAATTGCTTGCGAGCCTCTAAATGACGTATACGTATTATAATTCCATTTGATAACATAGTCCTTGACTTTTATAAAAAGAGCGTTTGAACTTACCTTCAAGATCCTCGGCATCAACAAGACGAATTGTCTGTGTTGGTTCATTACCGGGAATGCTAGTCAGACCTTCACCCGAGACGCAATATGTCGCGCTCACATTATGCTTTGTAGTGGATACAAACTGATATAGAAGCCTGGTTGAAAAGAACACTGTAAGAATGATGGTGTTTGCCGTATAAACCAAGGTGTATAATGTTCATTTACTTTTTGGCGGCCGTCACGTTAATATTTGCTTTTCTAGACAGCGTTCTGTATGTAACCTGTAAGTTTTACATTTTGGTGTTAGCATGCGGAGGCAAGTTCCCTTCAAACACAATGAGGCGTAACATACAGGTGTATTTTCTTGCGTGAGGGCAACCTCAAGGTAATTCAGATGCTGTGCCATTGAAACGCAAAGCAGAATCCAGGTCGCGTCAAAAAAAAAAAAAGTTTGGCTTCGAAATTTTTGTTTGGTGGCGACTTTTTTAACTGGCCCTACTTTTTTCTGGGCACGCGCTTTGATAATTGAGCTAGTTTCTTAATGCTCGGAGGAATATTTACTCATTTTCTTGATGCATACATCAAATCGCTATGTATAATATATATTCATTGTTTCCTGGTGGACCTTTTCCATATCTTCCACAACGGTCATGTAAACCCAAGTGAATACTGATCGTCTCAATATCGCCTTCGCCACCAGCCAGTTTAGAATGGGCATAACACGTTTCAGGCATCCATATGCTGTTGTCTCCAAGATAAGGTACTCAAATATGTTTTTGGTTTGGCTGATCTGAAACATTTTGATAATGTCAGAACTAGCCTGGCCCGCTGAGTTCATGATGTGAACTCCTGCTGCATCGGACGAGGTAGGGGATGTTTGTGCAATTTGGACATCAGCGACTCAGCTTATATACAGCCCTCGGCTTTGTCGCTTTCCGTCCTATCTCTAGAGCGTTTTTGCGGTATATTCGACCCCTCTGAATCCATTCATTTGGGTCCTGAACCTGTTTTTTCTGGGTACTATATCTTCAACTGGCAGGCATTCACACTCTATGATCTCAGTTTGAGACCTCTTATCTTTAGCATCGCAAACATCGGTGGGAAATGTTGCAGTACTTTTTGAGTTCTTGATTTCTGGTTTTGGTTTTGAGTAAACGTTGTAAAGTCCCACGATATGTCGAACGACTTTCATCCCTTAGCCGGAAATCAGCAATACAGGGAGGACATCGCTCGGGTGAGTATCGCCAATACAAGTTGGAGATGACGTACAAGTACAAAAAGACGGGATATGTCTCCTGAACGCCGCCACACTTTCTTTCGCCGCGATTTAAACCATGAACTTCGCTTCGAAGCAGATGGGGGTTTTAACAGCATAATAGCCGATAAGCCACGTGACGACTTTGATAAGCAGTGGAAATTCTGTACCCACAGTCTTGTTGCCTGGCTGCCAAAAGTGGTTTCAACACATTGGCGGATTATCCGGTGTCACCATACGGTGAACGCATGTCAGAGTATCGATACTATTCCTCCCTTGAATCAGCGATAGAGATGGCTATTGTTATTTTTTATGTACTTTTTTTTTTTCTAGATCATCCACGGAGGCAAGCAAGCGCCGATCGTAATGTATTAAAAGGATTCGTTCTAAGCGGTGGTTCATAACAAAAATTAGGGAGAAAAATAATATGGTCGAGGGTGGGACGACCTTTCCCGCAATAACCGACAAAAGGGCAGGCTAGTAGGTCAGGAAATCGTAGAGCCAGATTTTTTTTTTTTTATCTCTTTGGACAAGGGCGGCGATAGTTGGGTTTCCATGGTAGCGGGCGTTCTCTATACTCATTTTTTTTTTCTAAGCTTCTGTATCCGAAAAACTGCGAGTCGGCGACTTCAGCAGCTATTACCTTCATTTTATGCAGTCCCTTTTTTTTTCTGACGTACAGCTATAGACCTAAGCGATTCCAAAACTTCTTTTTCATAACCTTGTCTTTATTTCTTTCCTATAATCCTGTTCCCTTCTTGATATCCACGAGCCAAAAACAAACTCGTCCCAAAAGAAATGTGCGTATATAAAAACGAATTGATTATATGGTGCAAGGAGTGAGGGTCCACATTTGGTTGGGTGGGTGTGCACTTATAGGCGGACAGCGAGGGGCACACGCGCGGATCGGCTCCCTGCTTAAGCGAGCATGACAAGGAGATTAGGGCGCGGGGGAGGCTTTCAAAAAAAGAAGTGTGCCACTAACCAAGCTTGTTATACAGCTTTCCCTTTCCACTTTTCTCAGACTCATCTGCATTCTTTGACATGGAGCCGGCTCTTGCATCCTCATGGGCGGATCACCAGCTCATTTCGTTGTCAGCAACTGCCATGGTCACCAAACGCTCTGACACTGTCCACAGGTTTGAACAGCCACCCCTTGTTTGTGTCAAGTTTGTACAAAAACGATTTCGTATTGAATACCTTTATTCTTGAACCCTTCTTCTTAGGTCATATGCGTCGCAGATGAAGCCTCGGACGATTCTAGGTCCCCGTAACTGGAGTGACCTTTCGTTGGATAACTCGACCGAACTTGGCAAAGGTCAAGCTTTTGTCGATTTGGATGATTTAGTGAACATCAAGCGAGGCCATGTTTCTAGTTCCGACGAAGACACACCAGAACTATCCAGTCCATCGTCTACTTCGTCTGTATCGTCTGCTTACAGTTCTAGGCAGTCCCCTCCTGTTCAACATAAGCCAAGAACAAGGCCTCCCAGCAAACGAACTCCGTCTGCCAAGGTTGTAGAGAATCGAGAAAATGAACGTGGTCGGTCTACAAGAACCACCCGATCTACCACTAGACGAGAGCGACGACTATCATCGGACGGCCATGACGACCAAACCGAAAATGACTCCGGTAGCTCCACATGTACGTCCTTTGCGACACCAAACCTAACGGAGTTTACGAGCGCCCAATGCCCACCGCCGCCCAGAGCACAACTGTTTCAGACGTGTGACAGTTTATGGAACGGAAAGAAATCGAATGACGAACCGATCGATGTTCAAGTTATCGGAAAGCAACTGTTACAGCGTCTTCATGAAGCCAGTCAACGTATTTTGGAAACAAATAGTTCAGCACGTACATTGCCGATGTCAATGCGACTTCGAAAAGGAGACGGCTCTAACAGTGCGGTTGGAGGAAGCCGAAATTTCTTTGCTCGGACACGAGTAATCGATCGTGTTGAACAGCGACAACGAGCCGTTGAGAAGATTAAACGATTCCTTGACTTTGTCACGGACGAAGACTTACAATGTTTCCAACAGTTATCGGAGCAAGTTCATCAAGTCGGTAAGTACATTGTTGTTCTGTTTTTCCTTCATGGGTTTTTCCCAATAATTGTCAACTGTTGTACGACCGGCACTTTGCCTAATCCTCGCGTTTGACTCCGCCACTAACGCTATGATTTTCAGATATTACCACTCAGTACTCTTGCGCTACTTGCCACAAATGCTACAAAAACAGCCGAGGCTTAGCTTATCATCTTGAACGATGCCGAGGTACTCGCGGCCAAGCCAACATGTCCGATGATGAAGATGATGATCCCAATGCTATCATCCGTTGTATCTGTGCTAGGCCGACCGACTCCACGGGATCGATGGTTCAGTGCGATCGTTGTGAAATTTGGTTGCATATGGACTGTATCGGGCAATCCGAGGATGCGTTGGACGACCAGTATTTTTGTCCTCGATGTGCTGGACAATACCATAGCCCAAGTCCCGATGCATTTCTTCACCAAAGTAGTGGTAGCGGTGGAGGCAAGAGTGTGGATTTATTGGTTCAAGCAAGAAATTTGGAATTGGCAAAGTGTCATAACAATAAGGTCAAAAAACATCAAGCTCGTCTCAACAAACAACAACGATCTCGATCATCACGACACCTTGCTAACCGTCAGCAACATCATTACCACCATAGCGCTGCCGGCTTGACCCGAAAGACGTTGGTCAATTGGAGACAAGAAGCTGTTCGAAAAGATCAATTATTGCAACAAAAGGCGTTACAACGAGTATTAAACCTCTCAAGATCCGCGTCCCGGTCCTCCATGGATGCCGATTCCGATTTTGCCGATGACGATGATACCATGTCGTACATGTCAGCCCAAGATGACCAAGATTGGCAGTCAAACCAGTTCAACATAGAAGACGAGGCAAAAACGTCTTTTGTCAGTGAATCGTGGAGCGATGAGCCACCGTCACTACTTTTTGATCAAGGTTCGCTCGGTAGTTCACCTATGGATGAAGACAGTGGTTTGGATCTTTCTACCTCTTCTTCGCAAATGGTTACGCAACTTCCTTCCGATTGCCATGTGGAACATCTGTTTGATATGGATGGTTCCATGGATGACAATACCATTCGTATCCATGGTGAATGGAATGGATCAGATAACGCAATAATATCGCCTTACTTATTTCCACACCTTTCTCACAAGCTATCTGAGCACGTTTTTGAAGCCTTTTCTACCCTACCTTCAACCCCTCAAGATGAAGCAATTGACTTGTGGCTGTCCACCGGTGGTGGCGGCGATGTTGTAGCTGGTGTTGATATGGACCAAGAATTAGATGGTAAGGGCCGTTGTGTAATTCAAAAGATCTAATCCCATACATATCATCTAATATTACTTGTGGATTGCTTAGGTCTTGTTGATTTGGACCTCTAGAATCACTCAACCAAACCTCTCCTTGCAACCAATTCATAACAAAAACTCGTACCAAAAAAATCCTCCTCTAAAAAACAGAAAAAAGGATGGCGCTCTTCCCTGTCCGTCTCCACCAAAAATGTAATGAATGAATGGACGAACCCTTTTCTTTTGCCGCCATTCATCAGGGCCCTCCCAACGCCTACCGTTACAGTATAACGCTTTACATGATATTCCCCCACTCAGCCCAAACTCACCCCTTTGTGTTTTTATTATTATATTCCCTTCTGTGCTTATCTCCCCGTCTGCTCCCTCCCCCAATTCCTCGTTACATACATTTACCACCTCTTGCCCATCAAAAAGCTCAAAAAATACCTACCTTGTTCTTTCATCAAAAAACCCTTTTTTTGTACATACAACCCCCCATCCCTCAAAAGAAACCTCAAACCAAAAAAAAAAAAAGAAAATTGCCCCATTTTTTTTTTTACAAAATAAAATTTCAACCTCCTCTGTCAGTGCCACATACGCTAACTGGACAAGCACCTGTCACCCTTGCCTCCTTTGTTGGCTAATCTGAGTAGCATTTGGCTGGTAAAGCACTTAACTTGCCCTGCCTCCCTAATATGACTGGGTGGGTTGCAATGATTGGCTCCTCGGCTCATCTTCCCGAGCTAGACTCGTCGAGACGGACGATGTGGAGAGGAGTCTCGTACTTTGGAAATGGTCCTTTATTATGTAAATTATGATTATCAAGTGTTAAAAACTTTTACATGTGTTATTGGTAGGGGTATGGAAGTGATTTTGATTTATGGAATGAAGTGGGTCATGTATTTGCTTTTGGCATGAATCTCCATCTCATATAACTTGTAGCGGTTTAGCTCATCACGAATCAAACACGCCGTCTCAGCATTGAGACAATAACATGTGTTGGTGCGATCACTCGTTCGATTATATTGTGCCACGCTATAGGTTGGTAGAATATACACATGTTCATCGAATTGGACGGATTTTTTGGGCTGCACGGGCACATCGGGTTGAATGCGTACACCCAGCAACTCCTTTAGCCGGTTGATACTGGACAACGATCTTGTGTGTCGAAGTCGTGCTGCAAGTAAGTTTAATATTTGCAAGTCAGTCATTATTTCTTTACGTTCTAGTATCCCCTTAGTTTTTTTTTTTTTTCACAAGCTCCTTTACACTCACTTATTTTGGCTTCACCGCTTAGTTCGTTCAAGTAGTCAACACTATCATCGATGTGCAATTGCAACCTTCCATTGTCTTCACTAAGTGCTCTTCGTCTAGGTACAGGATTGGGATTTTGTAGTGGTGGCATTGCAGCTCTCGTTTCCGGCAAGATCGGCACCTCAGTCGATACGGAATTACGGTGAAGCACGGAACGCCACCGCATTAGTCCATTCATGGCATGGTTGGATGATTTCTTTGTTTCTTTGGAGGTAGATGTTTGTATGTGTATATTCGGGACAGAGTGCCGTTTAGGATTTGTAGTATCGTTCATTGGTTCATCCATTTTCTTAGACCACATTCGCTTTATTCGCTGTCGAAAATTTGGTCGCTCAGCCACCGGAGCAGGCTCGAAGATGGCTTCACCGGCTAAGGTAGAATAGGTTATCCCTAACGGTTCATCTATACACAGGGGTGGAATTTCACTTTCTGAAATGACGGGTAACGGCTTGTTGATTCTTGCGAATGAATTTGATGAAGACGTGGTATCGGAACCGGATGAGATGGAGGATAGTGATGCAGACGACGACAGACGGTCTTGAATAATCAGTAATGCCATAGGTTTATCCAACAAGCTGTCGGATGGAAAGATGGTCAGCCCTTGATAAGTTGGGTCGTAGACTATCGGCTGTAATTCATTATATCATTTTTAGTTATAGTGCCGGATCAACGTTTCTGCTATACTTTGTCAATTATGTCATTCCTTTACCTCTTGTTGCATGTTGGGTCCAGCTGAAGCAAAAGTGGATGCCATCATAACGGATGTTGCCATGCTTATTTCAGACGATGGAATATATTGACAAAAGACCAGAAGCAAAGAGTGAAATCGCAAAGGGGCAACGCTGACATCCGTTTAACAATGGTTCGCTGCAAGGAAAAGAAAAAACTTACGGCTGCCCTGGAGGGATAGACTTAACCATTGTAAGTTGAAATCATTACTTACGCAGGCTTTTCATATTAGATTTTTCTTTACCTTTGAGAGCACAGTTACTATGTCTGGACTTCATTCGTTCACGTTGCGTGTGTCCGCTATATCCGATCTGTGAGTGACACATTTCCACAAAAATTAAGATCAAAATTGTGTGCTTGCAAAAGTTAATTTAACCAGTGATTGAACCAAAAAAAAATAAGAGGAATATCTCCTACTTCCAAATGTTTGCGTCAGACGCCGATCCTCTCCAAGATAAATCATCAAAGGCGTCGGCTCCTTTCTTTAAGGGAGGAAATTACGAGAGCCACTAGCGAAATAATAATAGTAATGATGGAGATAAATTTTACTCTATGAGCTGGTTCCAAGTATGGTATTGTGCCGTGGATTTAAGTATATCCTTAGGGGTAGTGGTGTGGCGGAATTGTATGGGCGATCTCTAATAACCTCATTGCACGCTTCGTTTTGATATTCGTATACTTTAATGACAAGTGCCATTTGAACCATAGTCATTGATCGACATGAAACATTCAAATTATGTTATGAATGAAAATTTCCCAGAGTTTTTGCTCTTGCCAGCACAGCGTTTCACTCAAACTTGTTCTTCCCAGCACACGGTACTTCTTCCCTTTTGGTTCATCCTCCCATCGGAATAAAGTGGATCGTCCTATCCATGCACGCTATTCTTGGATTCAATGCAATTGGATCCTTCACATCACTATCCTTCCAAGCATCCCTTACCTTAGAGGTACTAAAATTGCTCCTCAATAGTCGGTTCAAAGGAAAGAAAGGCAGCACATTTTCAAGTCGAATTTGCATACGTTTCGGCAGAACATATGCAAACGCGGGTGGCATTGCCCTACAGGATTTGTATGAAAACAAACTTGTGAAAAACCCAATGAAATTCTTAAGCTGATGCTATTCCGTTATAGATTGCTGGCGACTGCTCTGCCTACTGTAGCTGTGTTGCTTTTGCAATTAAATTATGTGCTATGCGAGCGTGCGGAGTTTTGAACCCAGGCACAGGTTGGCAACTCCATGTCTAGGTGCTGCAACAGATTGATGGATACAAGTATTTCTTCCATGCCCGTAAAAAGCTCAAAAGGATAATTAGATTACTTCTTAAATAACGCTTTCATATCTATTTATCTCTTTTTCCTTTGCCATTCCACTAACTTTCATTTTCACGTGATGTCTGAGTGATGGTATTTCCTTTCATTGTTCATGTTCCGATCCAGCTCACACACAGCTTTTTCGCTTCTCACCTTCTCGCCATGTCCGAAAAAGCAATCACTGGCAGCCTTAACCCTTTGACCATTGCGAAATTATTGGGTCCCTCGACTCCTTTGCTGGATAGAGTTATCCGGTTCCTAAACACTGTTCGTGGAACGGATAAAGTCCTCATGGTAAGCTCAGTGCTTTGTTGACATTCTACTGAACTGACATGGAGACAGAGCCCGGCAATGTCACTTACTTTGAATCGCTCTTTAACATTTTTCTCAACTGCATATTAGAACATACAATATTGGTCGAAGATTGTTGTTTGGTTTTTGCAAAGACGTGCTGGTCCTGCACCTATCAAGGGACCAGCTATCACCACCCTTGCCCAGCATATCAAAAACTTTGCTGGTCCTGTCAGTGATTTCCGTATCTTGCTCCGTTACTATGGATTGCTGCCTATGATCCAATACATGGCATATCTCGAGCATAACCCTGCTCCATCGCGCCTTCACCTCAACCTTGAGCGCATCCAGAATCTATCCATGATCATCTATTACCCACTGGAACATTTGTACTGGCTTGGAGCTCATAACGCTATTCCCTTGTCTGAGAAAAAAACAAACAGCATTGGTATCTGGAGTTGTCGATTCTGGGCACTTTGGGTTGTTTTGGAGTTTGGCCGTATTGCCGAACAATATCGCCTGTTGAAGAGAAAGGAGAAGTCCTTGATTAAGAAGATCAAGGATGGTGAGATCACCGATCAAGCTGAGAAGGAGCAACAGATTGCAAGCATCAGAAGTGAAAAGAAATCGATGCTCTTGGGCACCGTTATCAATACTGGGTAAGAAATGGGATATTGCTTTGGTGAAGGATTGATTATTACCAATCGCAAATTGTGAATGCCCGACTGTCGCTCGCTTGCCCGTCTGTAACTAACACATAATTTTTTTTTTGCGCATTTAGTTACCTGCCGTTGACTGTACACTGGTCGTTGGAAAACTCCACCTTCCCGGATGTGCTTGTTGGACTGTTTGGTGGTATCGCTGCTGTTTGCCAAGTATACGCCGCGTGGCAGGCCACGCCCTAAGTGATAATTCTCTGTTTCTTCATAATGTATATCCGCGTCGTACGGTCTTTCATGTCGATGTATAGCTCATATTTGATAGACGAATGAGTATGAGTGAACACTTTCTTTATTATGTTTGATTTATCACTCTCTTTGGCAGAAAAAAAAATTAAAAATATTGCCTCTTTTTTTTTTTTTTAGAAATTTACAATGGGTCTTTTGCTTTCCTTATATCATAATGGAGGATAAAGAAATAGAAACAGAGATGAAGGTGTTTTTTGTGGAATTTTTTTTTCTTTCCTTATTTTCAGAGTCGAAACAAAAAAGAAAAGAAATAACAGTGATTCTGAGAGTGCGCGAAAAAAAGAAAATGCCTCTTCAAGGACTTTTGTACATACGAATATTTTGTTGTTCTTTCCTCATCTCTTTTTGTTTTTGTTATTGGCTGTTGAGCCATAGCTGGGACTAGTGGGCGAGTAGCTAGGTGATGTTGGACTGTAGCTTGGACTAGTAGGTGAGTAGCTTGGTGAAGTTGGGCTATAGCTTGGGCTAGTAGGTGAGTAACCTTGAGCAGTGGGGCTGTAGCTTGGACTGGTAGGGCTATAGCTTGGACTAGTTGGGCTGTAGCTGGGAGATGTAGGGCTATAGCTTGGGCTGGTTGGACTGTAGCTTGGACTAGTTGGGCTGTAGCTCGGGCTAGTTGGGCTGTAGCTTGGGCTGGTGGGACTGTAGCTTGGACTAGTGGGACTGTAGCTTGGGCTGGTTGGGCTGTAGCTTGGGCTGGTTGGACTGTAGCTTGGACTTGTGGGACTGTAGCTTGGGCTGGTTGGACTGTAGCTTGGGCTGGTGGGACTGTAGCTAGGACTAGTTGGACTGTAGCTAGGACTGGTGGGACTGTAGCTAGGACTAGTAGGACTATAGCTTGGGCTGGTAGGGCTATAGTTGGGAGAAGCTGGAGAATATGAAGGACTGGTTGGGGAATAGTTGGGCGAGGCAGGAGAATAGCCTGGAGATGCAGAATAGTTGGGACTGGCTGGTGAATAACCAGGAGACGCAGGTGAATAACCAGGACTAGCAGCATAAGGGCTCATATCTCCACGCCATGGGCTTGCACCAACAGAGCTTGAAGAAGCACCTGAATCACCAATAGGTGAGAACATGGCTTCAATAGGAGAGCTTGGATGAGAGAAATCAACCCAATCAGGACTGCGACTGTCATAAGGAGTGGCAACATTTGGTGTCATGAAACCAGGTCCAGGTGTGGCAAAGCCAGCATTATCTCCATTAATACCATTAGGTAGCAAGTGTTGGCGATCTGGATATGGTATATCCTTCAACATATCTTCATCCAACATCACATCGAATTCTCCAGTTCCCAAAGGAGCGATTTGACCAAGCATAATGTTTTCAGCAACACCACGACAGTCATCTAATTCACCAACAGCCGAGGCTTCCATCAGAATTTCGACAGTTTCTTCGAAGGAACATCTCATGAGAGCTCCAGTCTCGGCACGATTGATACCATGACGAGTGATGGCCATAAGATGACCACGGTTGGTCATGACATCACAAAGAAGAGCCAAGTGACGGTAGTTGACATAAGAACCATCGAATTCAATAACATTACGAAGTTCCTTGAGCAATGCTTTTCGGGTAGCTTCAATACCAAGAACCTCCATAATTTCAACAGTGTTGTTGGAGTACGTCTTTCTTGAATCGACACCTTCTTGGCACATAACTTCTTGTAAGTTGATACCATCTGTGTCCAGACCCCATTCGGTATGCTGTTCAAAGTGACCATCTTCGTGCATACGGGTCTCTTTACGTTCAACGATGTAGACCTTCCTGATTCTTGCGATACCACGAAGGGTGATGGAACTCAACATATTAGCTTCCAACTTGCGTAAGAAAACGTCTTCTTCCACCTTGGTCTCATCATCGTCCATATCCTTGTTTTCGTCGTCGTTCATGATTCGGCAACGAATAATCAATTTCTCCGAGTTCTCATCACTTCCCATGACGTGCAAATCATTCTTGAAATCTTCAGAGATCTTGGAAACAACTTCGGTGATATTGAGGCGCTTGTCAATCATCATACCACGGTTCAATTCGAGACGAAGAAGCCATGGAGAAACTTGAGTAACAACCGGTGAGTTATCATCTTCAAGTTGATAGTATGTGTCAACGAAGTCAACATCCTCTTCAATAACAGTGTTGCGCGGGTCTGGATCGTAGTAAATTTCAGATGCTGCAGTGACCTTCTGAAGAGTAGTGTGTTCCAAGCCAACTTGTACTTCTTTGGCAAGTTCAATGTTGCGTGCGCGTTCAGGTGTCAGCCAGACTTCCAATCGAGGTGTCTTGATGTTCTTGGCAACGTTGATAATTTCCTTCAGACGAGGAACACCGAGAGTAACGTTCTTACTGGACACACCAGCATAATGGAAAGTGTTGAGAGTCATCTGAGTGGCAGGCTCACCAATGGACTGCGCAGCGACAGTACCAACCATTTCACCAGGAGCGACAATGGAAGTCAAGAAGCGAGATTCAATTTCACCGAGGACCCACTCAAAAGCTTGAGTATTGAGATGGAACTCTTCAATGACTCTCTTGGTGGACAGAGTCGATCGCAACAAAATTTGGAAGAGCAAAGTGGCATTGCGTTGAGCATCGATACTGATCTTATCGCTACCACGAACAACAAGCAATCTTTCAGAAACTTGGCGAACACCATCGATCACTTGAACCGGATGCAAATCGGAAGGCTTGCGAGGATCAATATGGAAGATTTGCTGAGCATTCGTAATCAGGCGTTGCAAATTGCTTGGAAGTGGCCACTTGTCATCGCCGCTTGTAAAAATAAAGGATCGAAGGATATGTCTATCTTCACTCAGCTGTCTGAATTCTTCGTCTAAATAACGCTGTGCTTCTTCACTGTTCTCAATTTCTTTGAGGATGGAGAAGTCCAAAGTGCCCTTCTTGAAGCCCTTGTCCATAACATCAGCTTTGTATCGCTTCTCAAATTGGGTATCCGTACAATTGAGAGTAAAGATCTTTTGTTTTTCCACATAGCAAGCATCCATACCATCTTCACCATAACAGAACTGAATAATGTCACCAAGTGAGTTTCGGACGGTACCATCGTATTTGACCATGACATCTTCAAGTGCCTTGACAAGACGACGTTGAATATAACCAGTTTCAGCAGTTTTGACAGCAGTATCAATCAAACCTAAAAGGAGAAAAAAGACAGGAAGGTTAAATTTTGAAAGATGCCATGAAAATCAAACTCAACATTTGGTTTTTTTTTTTACCTTCACGACCACCCATAGCGTGGAAGAAAAATTCTTGAGGGGTTAAACCACGCAAATATGAATTTTCGACGAAACCACGACTTTCCGGACTATGATCATCTTTAGCAAAATGAGGCAATGTGCGGAACTTGAAGCCATAGGGAATACGCTTTCCCTCCACGTTCTGTTGACCGACACAAGCTGTCATTTGGGAAATGTTGATGAAGGAACCCTTGGAACCAGCAACCACCATTTGCTTGACGTTGTTATCTTCACGAAGCGAGGACTGTGCCTTTTTACCAGCATCATCACGAGCCTTGTTCAAAGCTTGATTGACTTTAGCTTCGAAAGATTCTCGAATGGTCATACCGGGCTGAACTTCCAATTTGTCCTGTTGAGCAGCAAGAATAATTTCTTGGACACGATCTTTAGCGCTAGAAATCAAGCCAGTGATGTTTTCCATGGTGTCTCTATCGGCAATGGTATCACCAATACCAATACTGAATCCATTTTGGAGCAACCAGTAGTTAACAACCGTCTGCGCACCGTTCAAGAAGTTCTTGGCAGCTTCTGGACCTTGCTCGTTCATGATGGTATGAATGAGACCACCACTGGCAGTACCAACAGTTTTCTTACAAACGATACCACAAATGAGTTCACCATTTTCAATGAAGACTCGGGTATCACGAGGAGATATCCATGTAGTTTCACCATCTGGATGATTAAAGTGGAATGTTTGACAGTTGATACCTTTTGGAATAATCATGGAAAGGATTTGCTTGCCAGTCCACATAGGCTTTGGTTTCAAGATGGCAGGAGTTGGCAAATAACCGTCCCAGTCAGGAACCCACATGACGATGTTCATTACTAGATCTTTGCTAAGGAAGCTGTCTCGTCTTGTGAACTTGTTGACACCAGCTAATGTATCTTGTACAATACCCATGACAGGTTTGTTGGATTGTGGAGATACGATTTGCTTTGGCACCATGCAAATCTCTGTGATTTCGGCTCTGGTTTCCAAAGACTGAGGAACGTGAAGATTCATTTCGTCTCCATCGAAATCGGCGTTGTAAGGACTTGTGACGGAAAGATTGAGACGGAACGTTGAATACGGCATAACTCGAATTCTGTGACCCATCATGGACATTTTGTGAAGTGAAGGTTGTCGATTGAAAATAACAACATCGCCATCGTTGATGTGTCGTTCGACTTTATAGCCATATTGCAATGGTATTTCACCAGCACGTTTGTGGTATCGCAAATCAATACGTTCGCCAGTATCTCGGATAACATACTTGGCACCAGGATGTTCGGTAGGACCGTTACGCACCAAGGTTTGAAGCTTGTCCATATTATATGGTGTGACGATTTCGGGGTATGTGAGAGTGCGAGCAATAGAGCGGGGCACACCAACTTCGTCGACTGACAAGTTGGGATCACCGGTAATGACAGTACGGGCAGAGAAATCCACACGCTTTCCCATCAAATTACCACGGAGACGACCTTCTTTACCCTTCAGTCTAGCTCGAATAGATTTGAGCTAACATATAAATGCGTATTAGTACTCAATATTGTGAAAAAGCATTGACTGTGCCACACAGACTGCGGCTGACCAATGTCAACTTTCATCACGAAACTTACAGGTCTGCCAGATTTCTGCAATGCTTGCGGTTGGCCAGCAATGTCATTGTCCATGTAAGTGGCAGTGTGGAACTGTTCATATTGGATTAGAATGATAATCATTGTCAAGTTTGCAAGAAAAGTGAACAGCATGTACCTGTAACAACTGTTCGAATTCTTGAACAACGTGCACTGGAGCGCCTTCAGTTTCGCAACGCTTCACATTGGCATTTGCTTTCAGTACATCGGAAAGTTTGTGTGTTAAATCATCTTCACCCTTGCTTGTACCATCCATCTGGATACTAGGTCTAACGGGTGGAGGAGGAACGGGCAAGACGGTGATAATCATCCATTCAGGTCTAGCAAATTCCTCAGATAGACCCATGTCTCGTATATCTTGATCAGTGATATTTTTTAAGATCTGAAGAGCTTGAGAAGCAGACAAGGGCTGTTTGCCTTCAGGATTCGAGTCCTACGTTTTACATCATTCGATTGTATTGTCAACTTCAGGCCAAATATCAACAAGTAAAACAAGGATGATATACTTACATCGCCACCACCTGAACGGTAGGCATAGAACAATTTCAAACCCTCCTTTCGGATGACAGGTTGCTTGTGTCCACAGCCACCATGAGGCTTTCGTCGTTTCATCTCACCATCTTCACCTTCTATCATGCCTTCGTCATCCAAACCATCAAGATCCATATCATCACCTCCTTCGCAGATCATTTTACTTTTGCAAACATCCCAAACAGCACGAAGTCTGGCTTTAGAATCACGCTGTTTGCGAGCCTTAATGAACTTTGGGTTGGACTGATAAAAGATGTCAATATACATCGAGAATCAACAATGATCCTATTTTGGGGGATGCGATTACTCACTTCATCGACTTTCAGCTTGGAGCATTTGAAACAAACGCATTCCAAAATCTTCTTGACTTTGGTCAAAAAACCTGTACAGCGATTTCAGAGAAAATTGATAACATGAACACCTAGAAAACTATAGGCAAAAGGGGGCTTTTAACAAGCAATCCAACATACCAATATGGTAAACGGGTTTAGCAAGTTCGATGTGAGCAAAATGTCCCGGACATTCAGCCATTGATTCGCCACAGGTTTGACATTTGAAATTACGGTCGATTGTGCCCATACGAGGGTCGAGAAGGCCTCCTACACGGGGCTTCTGAGTGCCTTCATCATATAGCTCAGGGAATTCGATCTTTGCAACAGACATGGCTTTCTATAGGTCCCATCAAAGAAATGGTCAGTCTTATGCACAATTGAAAGCAATTCGGGCATGGATTGATAGATCAAAGCCTATCAAGATTATAAGAAAATGGGCAAAGTACGTACAATCTCCTCTGGAGATAAAATGCCAAATTGTACCGAATCCACACGTCGCAGCGGTGCCGAGGAATAAGCGAAATTGCTTCCGCTCATTTTAAGCAGTTGTCGATCGAGTTGACTACGATGAGGCTGTTTGGTCGAATCTCAATCAGCTAAGAGAGAGAAAAGCTTGAATGCGCTGATTCATCTGCTGGTGCCGCAGTTTATCCTCAATTTTTCAAAACACCGGTTTCCAACGTCATTGGATGACGTGAATTTTATACGGACAAATCAAATTGTGCGTTTAGGAGGCATGCCGTTTATTGCCATGCATTTTGTCTATGAAGGATAAGCAGTGTCGACAAAGTCAGATATTGATAGCAGCTTGGGTCTTCTTGGTGTGAATAGTAGTTAGGCGTTAACTTCACTAATTTATGCAGATTTTCGGTGGCACCAAATGGTTGAGGAGCAAGCTGAAACTGTCTTGATTTTGAGCTGAGTATCAACTTGGGTTTTCCTTTGGGCCACACCACGCGCGAACCTGGCAATATGGCGGATGCTATGAATATTGATTCCGAGGAAACCAGAAGTGTCAGCAAGCCCACTCCTGGCGTCAAATCTCGAGCGAAACTTTTGAAGCGACTCAAAAGTGATGCAGCGCAAAATGATCGCCAAAAGTTTTTTCTAAAGAGTAAATGCTCGCTAGCAACTTGAAATCCCCTTCACCACACAATATTGCTAAATAAGCTACCTACAGGTCAACCAGAGGTGCGATCGACCTTTGAAAGTGAAACTTGGAAAGTATTGGAAAGCTCTATCAATGCCATACAAACTGGCGTTCCGGTTACAGAAAGCTTAGAGCTGCTATATCAGGTACCTAATCATTTACCTCGATTCTGTTTCGAAATTAAATTTGCATCTAATACCGCTTTGAAGTCCTGCCTGAATCTTTGCAGACTGAGCAAATCACAATATTTGTATAATCATTTATGTAAACAGTGCCAGCAGAGGATAAAGGCGGATATCGAACGATTGTCTCAGTAAGTGACGAATGCTGGAATTGGTGGATGTGGATCAAATATGCTGACATTATCATACCATCGCTAGAAGCACAATGGCTAGTGGAGCCTTTCTTAAGCTGGTAAAGGATTATTGGACGAGTTTTCAGGATCAAATGGTATGTGACATTTGATAATTTGATGTGAGGATCACACAATTTGGTTGACATAGGATCTACAAGACTATGATTCGCAGCATTTTCCTCTACTTGGACCGAACATATTTAATTCACGCAACGGAGTACTCTTCCATTTGGTAAGATCGTGGCTGATGTTCATCATCAAGAAGGACCTGTATGTACTTACATCTCCTGTCGTTGATCTATAAAAAGGGATCTTGGCCTTTACATCCTTCGTACGGAACTAATGAGTGAGGGTAAAGTTTTGAATCGACTAATCGAATCTTACCTTGGTTTGATTTCACAAGAAAGGTATTTACAGTACGCCGGTGATGCTTGATTAAACCATGCCACCGGTTATGCTAACATTTTATCAACATTGCTAGAGGTGGTAATGCAATCGAATGGTTAGACCTTCAATCAATATCTCGGATGTTCACAGACCTTGGCATCTATAATACTGTTTTTGAACCAGCTTTCTTGGATCAGACGAAGCAATATTATAGCTCAGTAGCTGCGTCAAAGATTGAATCACTTTCAGGAAGTGCATTCGTATCCTGGACAGTACAGGCGCTGAAAGACGAGACAGAGGACAGAATCAATCGGTATATCGACGTCAGATCCAAGACGAAGGTTGTAAAGACAGTTGAAGACTCGATTATCTTGGAAAACGTTGATCTTATCATATCAAAAGGTACATATGTATTGCCAGGTTATTAATGCTAATGTATTACCACGGAGTCTAACAACCCATAAGCGTTCAAACCTGCCATTGCGATGGGTGATATGCGGAATCTTCGGCAACTTTATGATTTATGTCGACGAGTATTGTGCTTGCGGAAGCTGTGCACGTCTTTTTCAAGCTATGTAAAGGTATACACAATACATATTTTACAGACCTTGTAAGCGTAGTTTCAGGAGACTGACTTCTATCAGGAATCTGGATTGGTCATTATCCACGACGTCTCCGACTCCAATGCTACTGTAACAGCGATTCTTGAATTCAAGCGAAGAATGGATTCGATCGTGAAAGAGTGCTTCAACAACGATCTTATGTTTCTAGATGCGCTGAAGGACAGCTTTACCAGCTTCCTTAATTTTCAACCTAACAAAGCGGCGGAAATCATAGCTAAATTTGTTGACAGCAAACTACGCAACAGCTCAAAGGTAGCAGATTACCTTAGCCACATTCCTACTGCAAAGACATTTATGCTAAACAATATTATTCCCATAGCAAAAGGAGACGTTTGATGAACTGGATGAATTGTTTGATCATGTTTTGACCATATTCCGCTACGTACAAGGTATTTATTCTTCAGCACAAATTCAGAGGTTGATCATTGTGCTCGCTCATTTAATGCTATGACACCAGGAAAGGATATGTTTGATGCCTTCTTTAAGAGGGACCTTGCAAAGCGCTTATTACTTGGAAGAAGTATATCGGCCGATGCAGAAAGGACCATCTTAACAAAGTTAAAATTGGGTATGTATGTGAAAAGTTAGAGGCTTCAGTTGTATTCAAACTCAAATTAAATCGCTTGTAGAGTGTGGCCCGTCCTTTACTAGTAAAGCGGAAGGGATGCTAAAGGATATGGATGCATCCAAGAAGCTGATGAAGGAATTCAAGGTAAGCTGCCGTGATAGAGTCTGAAAATTGTGTAAACAATCAACTGAACATGAATTAGACGAGTCATCCTTTGGAGGCATTCAACGTCAGTATATTGACGCAAGGTTACTGGCCGGTGTATCCACAATCAGCTCTAAATCTCCCACCTGAAGTATGAAGAATTTTCTCTCGAATGAATGAGTGTGAGATTTCCACGGAACGATCAATTAACTTGCTCCCATCTTAACTCAACTAGATACTGGAATGGCATATTGCATTTCAAACATTTTATAACAACAAATACAGCGGTCGAAGGCTCAAATGGCAATCTTCACTAGGTTATTGTCTACTTAGGGCCAATTTTCCGTTGGTAAGGATCATATGAGCTCTCACAATGCGAAGTCGGTACAGGACTAATTGATTAAAATAGGGACAACGTGAATTGTCGCTCAGTCAATTCCAAGCGGTAATGCTACTGCTATTCAACCGTAGAGATACATATTCGTTCACTGAGCTTTTCAGCGAGACTGGAATTGGTATGATACATGAATCTTTTACTGTTGATCGATATAATGGGCCTTTGCTAACCAACATATCATTATTTTTTTGTATGCTTCAGAGGAAGCAGAGCTTGCCAGAACCGTCCAAAGTCTGTGTTTCGGGCCTCACAAAATATTACTGAAAACTCCTCCAGATCCGACAATCAAGCCAACAGATACGTTTTCTGTGAATGAGCAGTTCGAAGCACCTACATTCCGACTGAAAGTGAGCAGCTTGATGACAAAGGAACCAGTCGAGACGAATAGTGCCATTAGCAAACAGGTGATGCAAAATAGACAGTACCAGATAGATGCGGCCATCGTTAGAATATTGAAAGCAAGAAAGGAGCTTCCTCACGATCAACTCTGCCAGGAAACCCAGAGTCAATTGAATTTCCCTGCTGGATCAGCGGATATCAAGAAACGCATAGAATCTCTGGCAAGCAGGTGTGTATATTATAAGTATGGTTTGTGGAATTCTTTTACCAAAGATTTTCTTACGTTGCGTGTGCCTCCTTTGCTTCCAGAGAATACCTTGAAAGGATATCAGATGATGAAAATATGCTGCTTTATCGTTATATTTAGATAATGCTGGAGGACTAATACCTGACAAAAATCACATTCAATAAACAGGACAACCTTCCAAAAAAGTGACTTTTGTGACTGGCTTTATTTGAAAGATGTTTTTTTGGGTTGCATTTTCCTTGCCACTACCGATATCGACTATTCACGAAATGCGGAATTTACAGCTGCTTGAGCAGTGCAAATCTCGCTTGTCCTTCCAGGATCTTTCACAATCGAAGGCGTTTACAGCTGTTGATCCGGATTCCGGAGATGTGTATGCCGCATGGTTTACCGACGATACTGTCAAAGTCGCGCTTCGTGATCAACATTCCGACTTCGCTAACGACTTTGTTGAACTTTGCCGACTCCCTGCGTTCGAACGCAACGATGGTGGAAACGTCATAATTGATTTTCTGTACCTTCCTGACGCTCAAGCCGCTTGCTTGTGTTTAAATACTGGTGATATTGCACTTATAAGCAAAGAGCGATTTAACGCTGGAGGCGAAGCACTCGAGATTGTTGGCACAGTCGACTCCGGTATCCTTTCTATGTCTTGGAGTCCGGATCAAGAAGTTGTTGTGGTCATTACAGGTATTTTACAGGATTTATTTGACATTAATTCGAGGAAGCAGTGCTGACAACAAATGTTACAGGAGCAAGTACGGTGCTAGAGATGACTAGGGATTTCGATACAATTACCGAATTTCCGTTGGACACAAACGAAGAAGGCGAAGGTAATTCATTTGTCTGATTAGATTTAATGTATGCTGTAGATAATAACGCCGTATTGCCCTAGGTGTCAGTCACTCTGTAGGCTGGGGAAAAAAGGAAACCCAGTTCCACGGATCGGAAGGCAAAGCTGCTGCCCAGAGAAAGGCTGATATTAACACTTACACCACTTCTCCCGATGATGATCAACAACCTAGAATCTCATGGCGTGGTGATGGTAGCTTTTATGTTGTTTCATCTGTGGATTCAAGCAAGGGTTGGTATCATTGGACGATTTTTGGCGACGAATACATTTAAGCGTTCGTTATTAACATTTCAAAATTTAATAGACTCCCGTGTTTTGCGTGTTTATAACCGTGAAGGTGTATTGCAAAACACAAGTGAACCTGTCGATAAACTCGAGCATGTACTGAACTGGAGGTAAGCATAGCGATCGACCTGTCTTTGCCAAGGAGACATCAGTGATATTGAATCCTATTTGGCTAGACCGTCGGGAAATCTGATCGCTTCGACTCAGCGTCTTCCACACCGTCACGACATCGTTTTCTTCGAGCGTAATGGGTTGAGACATGGCGAATTTACGTTGAGAGAAACATCTGAGCACAAGGTCATTGAATTGCAGTGGAACGCAGATTCTTCTATACTTGCAGTCTGGCTTCAAGTCCGCCGGAATGACACCATAAAGAAAACGGGTATGTTTCGGTATAGCTTCTAGGCTGTAGATGGCTATAATGATTAATTCTTGTTTTTTACATAGTTCAACTGTGGACCATGAATAATTATCATTGGTATATGAAGCAGCACATGGATTTAGGAAGTAACATTGTTGCATTCAACTGGGATGTTGAAAATCCATATGTTGCACATATATTGGCAGAAGGTACAACTGTCGTGATTTATTATAAAATGTTGACATTCTACAACTTTCTAATTGGCGTTTCTTTAGATGCTTTCTATCATCGATTTGTTTTTATTCACGACATTGCTACTAGCACGTCTACGTCTAAAGATAATGCTGGCTACGTTGCTGTTATCGATGGAGGTCAGTATTTAAATCGGTGGGATATGTTGAAATCATACGATGCTGACTGTAAACCTTATAGCCTCTGCTCTTATGACGCCATTCCTATACCAAAATGTTCCTCCGCCAATGAGTAGTATGGTGGTAACAGCTGATGAAAACATTCAAGAAATTGCATACTCCAATTTCTCGACTGGAACTCAGATTGCAGTACTCGGAGTTTCTCGCAAAGTTGTTTTCTATGAGCTTCCTGAGAATGCACGTGGCGCTACAGTAACGCTAGGTACCGTTCAATTAAGGTAAGCACCAAGAATACCTCGATGCAGATAGAACACTTTCATACTTCGTAGTAATACATGCCATTAGTATCACCGACGGAAGTCTTCCACGACAAATCAAATGGATCAACCAGACAACTATCGCTTACCTTCAGTACAGCGACTACGACCACCAGGACTACTTGTTCGTTGACGAAATTAACATGAAGGGAGATATCCTCAAAGAATCTAAGCTGGCCGTAGGTGGTCGTGGTCTGCGACTGTACAGTAACGCTCTTTCTGGTAGCCTCCTCGTAGAGCGAAACGATGGTGACATTTTGGAAGGTCAGTCAGTTGTTTTATTATGTGATTGCTCTGGCCTTAGCCCTGGATCGAAAAACTGACTTCATACTGGTAAATATACAGCCATCTTCGATGCTGATACCATTGAACTTCAACCGCTGCTCTCGCTGCCGTCAGCAGCACCTTGGATTGGAGCCATCACCATCCAACCAGAGTCATCAGATGTTAAGGTATATTCGAAGATGTTTATATTATCCCATACTCGAGTACATAATTAACATAGTAGCACACAGACCATTATTGCTGCATTGACCGACCGAGGAAAGTTGTATGTTGACGCACAGCTTGTTTCCTCCGAATGCACTTCATTTTTTCTGCGACATAACTTTTTGGTATATACTACTACCAACCATGTTGTAAGATTTTTACCTTTGGATGCGCCTTTCTCAGGTAAGGCTGAAGTGCGCTATCGTGTTAGTGGTTTCCATTTGTCCCAGACTAATACGCGAGTGGCAGATACGCAAGAGGTAGAAAAAATCGCCTCAGCATATGACGAAACTACCAGAAGAGTTGAGCGTGGTGCCAGAATTGTTGTTGCTATTCAGGACGCCCCAAAACTTGTTCTTCAGGTCAGTTGATACCCGCATGTAATTATCACTTTACGGTAACTAAGTGTCCTTTTGAAATCGATCGTTAGATGCCTCGTGGTAACTTGGAAACTGTTTGTCCACGCGCATTCGTCCTGTCCAATATAAGGGATGCTATCAAGAAGTAAGTGAAAAATAATGATTATATGGCAATGTTACGTATGTGGTTCAAGGTCATTAATCGTACGATAATAGGGTCGATTATCGTTCTGCGTTCCTAGCATGCCGAACAAACCGTATCGATTTGAATATTTTGTATGACGAAGACCCTCAGTTGTTCAATGACAATGTTGATACTCTTTTGTCACAAGTTCATGAAGTGGATCATATCAACTTATTCTTATCGAATTTGAGAAATGAAGATGTTACAGTCACTATGTATCCAAAAGTAGGCACTGGACCAGAAGCTTCCGCTGCTCTACCTACCACCAGGTAATAGAAATCCGTAGATGCAAACAACTTACTAAGGGAGATCGTATTTATTTTACTAACATAAACGTCTCGCTATCCTAGTATTTTAGAAAATAAGGTCAACACCATATGCGAAAAAGTTCGAACAGTCTTAATCCAACGCGATCAGAAGAAGTATATTCAAGCGATCTTGTCTACCTATGTTCGAAGTACGCCATCCGATCTAGAGTCCGCACTCCGGTTGCTTGCCGAACTAAAAGGTAAACATGGGCAAATTTTACAAAGTCGTCACTAAAATTTTGTGCGAAATGCTCATTCTTTATTCTTCCAGCGACAGACATTGGACACGCTGAGGAAGCTTTAAGTTACACCATCTTTTTGTGCGATGCTGACAGACTCTTCGACGTTGCTTTGGGAATGTACGACTTCAGCTTAGTATTGATGGTTGCACAGCAATCACAAAAGGCAAGTGGTTTCTACAAACTTCCTTGACGTCAGAGCCCAGGCTCAAAATGGCGGAGTAACTAAACGCTCTATGGCTTTCTACTTTAGGATCCAAGAGAATATTTGCCGTTCCTTCAAGAACTGCAGTCACTTGAAAAGTTCTATCAACGTTTCAAGATCGACGATCACCTTAAGCGATATAAAAAAGCTGTCCACAATTTATCCAAAGCTGGAAATAGCCACTTTGAACAAGTTGTCAACTACACAAAGCTTCACACGCTTTATACATATGCTCTCTCGCTGTATCCAAATGCGTCCAATGAAAGAAAGGTAACTATTTTACTCTAAAATGTTAAATTCTAATTGTGCATATTTTTAGGACATTTGCTCACGTTTAATTCAGACCCTTTTGTTAGCGTATGCTGAGTACTTGCAAGGACGCACTAGCTATGATGAGGCTGCAATTGGTATAGTCTTTTACACATTGCTTGAAATTCACTTTGAAGCCATGGATTTTAACATTTTCTACCAGCTTATACCATGGCCGGATCTCTTCAAGATGCTCTGGATGCTTACAGCCTTGGCCTCTCTTGGAGAGAAGCCTTTTCTGTGGCCAAAGAGCTTCAATATTCGGATAGCGCAATTGCTGACCTTGGATATGGGTTAATCGGTAAGGCACCCAAAGGTATTTAAAAAAAACCACCCATGCGTCCTGATCTAATCATCTGGTTTCAGAGTCTCTTAAGGAAAAACGTCGATTTCAAGAAGCCGCCCAGATTGCGTTGGATTACTCAAAAGTAAGTTAAGCTAATGTTGGTTAAACCAGCCATGCGTGCGTCGAATTTTAAGCCGATGTTTCATTTCTTCCAGGATGTTGAGGATGCCGTGGATTCTTTGATCAAAGGAAATCTATGGAACGAAAGTATTAGGATTGTATGTTCGCCCAATCAGTCGGTACTGACTCTCTTGAATAAGAAATCACTAACAAAAATAATTCTTGTGCCAGTCTCGTACATATAATCGTACCGACCTAGTGGAAACTCACATCAAACCAGGCATAGCTGAGAGTAAGTTGAGTTTGTATTTTAACACATTCACTTTCCTTTTACTTCTATGGCATTGCCCTTAAAAACAGCACTTCTTTAACCCAACAAAAAATTAATTATTTTTTACTATAGCCTATTCACAGCACCGAGATGATATCAAGGAAATGCAAGAACAGTTTGAAAAGCAGACAAGTCGTTTGCGGGAATTAAGACAGAAGAAGCCTGACCCGTTTATGAATATGCCTGATGACCCAACGCTGGAAAATGTCGACATGTTTTCAGATACAACCTCAATGTATAGCCAGTTTACCAGGAACACTGTTACAACGGCCAGATTTTCTCAGGCATCGTCGTCAACTGCCAGATCAGGGTAAGCATGTGGTTCATTGCGATAGATGATTGTACAACACGTTTGGCTAACCAACCAAATGACTTTTTCTGCAGCCGATCTTCCAAGACCAAGCGACGAGAGGAAAGAAAGAAGGCTAGAGGTAAAAAAGGTACCATCTATGAAGAAGAATACATTGTTGGATCGCTCAAGCGACTGTATGAGCGAGCCAGCGGAATGCAAGGTAAAAATAAAATTGAAGAGTACATCGGTGAGCCGTTGTATTTGCTGTTACTAACTGAGACTTATAGCCGAGATAGGTGGTATGATCAAGACACTTATGGTCTTTGGACATGTTGATGATGCCAAGGTGATACAAAAACAGTTCTCTTCAGTGTTAACTCAGTTGCACTCTGGTATCGACGACATTTTTGTTCCACTGCAACTGCAGTATCCTCCTAACGATGAAGGGATTGTGCCTCCACCCACCGTCATAGAAAAACCAACAATAGCCACTGTTGAGTGGACATTGGAAATACTACTGGAGTAAAAAGAAAGGGAATAAAATAAAAAGTAAAACGATTTTTTGCGCTAATAGAAACATGGGCATTTTCAATCGGAGGCGGTTACACTCCTACGTGTGGGTAAGAATTTTTTTGGCGATAAAATTTAGAATGGAAATTCGACAAACGTATGGAACAAATTTTCTTCAAACTCTGATTTTACAAGCCGAAATTTATATTTATGGAAGCTGATGGCAAAATTTCGGAGGATGGAAAAACAGAGAAGGTCAAAGTATTTGATGGAAACAGAAGTGGTACAGATTTCAGCAGGGATCTACAACACTAGGAATACTGTAATTAGACACCTTTACCTTATAATCCTCTTCAGAAGATTGTATGAATAGATAGATTTCAGTGAAATCATACACTATCCTTCATTTGCCTTTCTTTAATCTTGGCAAAATAATAATTCAACTATCACATAGAAGGATGGTCAAGCCGAATACATGTTTCACTTGTGTGCAACAACGTCACTGCTGGAGCTCAATTAGGCAATGGTAACCGAAGTCCAGGCCATTCAGTGAAAGTCCGCCATTGTCCATATAAATGGAGACATGGGGGAATTTTTCTTTTTCTTTGTGGAAAGTCCCCTTAGTAGTTCGTTTCAATGGCAACTGTAATCGAAAGAGATTCCTTTGATCCTTTCACCATGGTAAATCAAGAAGGTTGGTTAAGCAACTCCTGATTCAACCCCTGCCTGCCTTCCTTTGCTCACCTTATCATTTCTTTTCAGTAGTAGACAATGCGCTACACACACCAAGCCGATTTCTTCTCAACTGCTTCAGTGAATTGACACCAAGCTTCGGGGAAAGATACGGATTCGAGGAAGCAAACCCTTTCGAACAAAGTTTCAATGAGGACGTTCGCACTCGCGAGAATCACGTTAACACAGAGTCAAAAAACTTGGATCTCACAATTTCAAATTTATCGTCCTATCCGTCACCCGTTTCCCCACCCACTTCAGTATCTTTATCCGATGCTGGTAGCGAACCGCTTTCTTCTCCAGTCAAACCCACCAAATCCCTAAGCACGAGCAAAGCAACAGTTTTCAAAAGCCAAGGACCTGAAAATTTTGAATCTGGCAATGGCGCCCGAGCATCTAAATATAAAACGTTGAAGCACAAGCTGTCGATCGACGAAGACGAAGATGAAGAAGACATGGAAATAAAGCGTCTCCGATTTTTAGAACGCAACCGACAGGCTGGTATGTTGATATGGTTTTACCACAAACAGAATTCCTCGTTTCTACCACCGGCATGGCTTATTAATTTATTTATTTTGTTCCTCTCCACTAGCTCTCAAATGCAGACAGAAGAAAAAGCAATGGGAAAAAGAACTACAAGTTCGTTCAGATGAAGTTGTAAAGCGCAACAAATCCCTACGTGCTACTGTACAGGAACTGAAAGAAGAAGCTATCTTGTTGAAGAATCAACTATTAGCGCATTCAGAGTAAGTTTGCAATTTCCCCCTTTATTAAAAAATGGGAAAGTGGAATACCATCGCTTACCCATTTTTCATTTTTGCTAGATGTGACTGCACTGTTATTCGAGAGTACATAGCCAAGAGTGGTTCTTTCAAGTTTTACTCACAGGACAGCTATGGTCCTGATGTCGCCCAACCTCTTTCTATGGCCCCGATGAACAACACTGTACCACTCCAAGTATCACCGGTTATGTCGCATACTGACGCCTACTCACTTTTTACAAATTCAGACTGATTGTGCGAAAACAAGCCCTTCGTCTGCTTTTTGATAAAAAGTTGTAACCCTTGTAATTCACTGTAAATAGCTTCCTTATATCATGTTTCTCATTACTGCAAAGCACACCTATTCCGATCACTTCTCTGTAATCATACGACGCTTGTTAGGCGCTAACCAATCCATGCAAAAATAGCAAATCAAAAAATTCAATTCAAGCATCATTCTTCTTTTTTGCTGGCATAGCACCATTTCCTAGCTTTCTTTATTTTTGGCTTGGCTTAAACAAGATGATTTATTAAAATAAAAAAAGTAAAAAGTGATGACACTGATAGAAAATTTGAGCCAGTGGTGAGACTCACACAGTGCGAACGACCGATGCTGATGGAAAGACAGCCGCTAGCGCGGAGAATAAAATAAAACATGTGTCGAAGGAGCATTTTCATTGGTCGCAGTTAGGCCTGGCCGTCCCATATACCCTGTGTAAATCAGAAGTGCGTGGCATCCATCCATCTTATTCTACTTCCTCACCATGTTGTTGTACCGTGATATTCTTAGCAGTATGTGTTTCTCATCATGATGGATGGATACTTGACCATGATGTTTGCAACGCTAACTTTGACATTTCCATCATTTAGAGGACGAGTTGTTCTCTGATGCCTACGTAAGTTTTCCGCATGCATAAATTCGAATCATCATGGCATAAACGCAAGCACAATGCGCGGATTACCTGATCTAACCTTACCCTCATACTACAGCCCCTTAAGCTCGTCGATGACTGCGCCTATGAGGTCGACTGTAAGGTAATTTATCTTGCGTCAAACGCGCGGTTTATTTTTTTTGGGCAACTAGGTTGGACTTCGCGGATCATGGAAGCTAATCCAAACATCTGTGGGCTATTTTCAACTAGATGATCACCGTCACCGAAGGTGATGTCGATATCGGTGCCAACCCCTCCGCTGAAGACGGTGAGGAGGCTTCCGAGTCTTCTTCCCAGACTGTCAACAACGTCGTCTACTCCTTCCGTTTGACTGAGACTTCCTTCGACAAGAAGTCCTACATGACCTATATCAAGGGTTACATGAAGGCCATCAAGGGTAAGCTCCAGGAATCCAACCCTGACCGTGTCCCTGAATTCGAGAAGAAGGCTGCCACTCTTGTCAAGAAGATCATTGCCAACTTCAAGGTAAATATTCCCAACCAAACATTGAATATGGCCCCCATGTCACTCACCGTATTTTTTTTTTCTTCCAACCAACAGGACTACGAGTTCTACACTGGTGAGAGCATGGACCCCGATGGTATGGTTGCTCTTCTTAACTACCGTGAAGATGGTATCACTCCCTACTTCACCTTCTTCAAGGATGGTCTTGCTGAAGAGAAGCTTGTAAGTGTTGTTGTTTACTGGTTGATATTACGTAGGTGTGCTTGTTTCTGACTCGTTTTTTTTTTCCTGCCAAAAAGTAAATCACATCATATACAAATATTGGTGCATCCAAAAAATCCAATCCACATTTCTTTTTAACATACAGCGCTTTTTGTTGCTGAAATTTTGACCCAATAAAAAGCATATTAAGACGTTGGTCATTGTAATGAAAATATATTTTTTATTTATAAGTTGTGTATTTTTGTTTTTTTTTTTTTCGCACTGATAAGACGGGGGTGGCGCACCAGGACCAGAGAGTATGGCACTATCATAAGCAAAGGAGTGGCCGTACTACAACGTCCAATGGCCTAGGCCTTTCATGGCAATTGCTTTCATGCTTCAAAAACGCCAATTTCAAAAGTTCTGCAGTGTGTGGTTGGCAAATTACATCAACCGCTATGTAGCCCAACATCCTTTATTCGCCGACTGAAATGAAAAAATCCGCTGTGCGAATTTTTAACCGTCTCAATTGACGGTGTCACGGCTGTACTTTGGTCCGAATAACGCGAAGTTTGACTGGTTGCATCAAAGCACGTCAAGGTCGTCGTTGGTCGGACTTGGTATGGCAATTGGGAGAGGATTAGTAAATGGTCCTCTGCAACGTACACCATTTGTTTGTTTTCCGATTTCATCCATTTTTTTTCCTTGTTAGATGGCGCCATCGACCTAAGCAACCCTTCTGCAGTAAGCCTTTCATTACACACCCCTTCCCTCCTCTCCCCCAAAAACAATGTATTTATATTTTAATTCATTGCAAACTCCTACTTTCCAAGCTTGGATGCATTTAGACCCGGGATAGGGTTATGCATACCAGGCTGGCCCATTATTTCCTTTGATGAATTGTGTGACAACTTGGTCCCCACCCTTCGTGCGGAGTGGACAGATAGGAAGGAGGGATCAGCCAAATAGATGCCCTTACCCAACCGTAACAATCAGGCGTCCAGGTCACTCTGGAAATAAAGGAAAACCGAGGCATGGGCCCTACGGAATAGTTAGTTACCATAAATGGCCACGGTTGCATGTCGCCCAATTCGAGACAGAGCCAAAGGACCCATGCCCCATTTCATTGCTTGTCACAAGTTGTTCGGTGGACCGATAATTGTGTTCGGCAGTACCCGTAAAGTGGTTTCAACCTGCATTAGCGTTAAGGGAATGGGGGGTGGAGTTGCTTGTCTTTTTT